CCCTCTTCGCCACCCACCAACGCAAGCAATTTCCTGGTCTCTGATGTCCTCGTCTATCGTCTGCCCCCCCCCCCCCCCCCCAAAATCGATCTGATCGCAGGCACATCTTTTCCTGATTGCCTCGCTGCACTTGTTTGAATGCCATGTTTGTTGGTCGGTGGCTGCTCTTTGTCCAACCCCACATTTTTCGCATTTTTCGCAATTGATCATCACCAACATCATCGTCGTCTATCATTGTCAAGTTCAACATCTATCATCGATCGATAGAGGGTTCACCTTTTTATCCCTTTGTCCACTTTTTCCCGTTGGTCCTCCGGCTCTCTTTTCCTCTTTCTCTGGAATCATTTAGGCTGAGACCAGTCTCACCCTTGCCCTACTGACTCAGCTTGCGCTACCGAGCACTCTTATTCCCCGTTACAATGCATGGTTTGATTTTCTTCCGAGGTAGGGAGTACCGTAGTACTCGCGAGGTACCTGGGCCGCCGTTTGCCGCTCTGAAGGGAGATGGATGGTACATCCCCAGTACCCAGAACAGTCCAGACCTCTGTTTTCCTCTCCCTCGTCCCTACATAGATAATACTAGGTATTGTACTCGGTCCTCGCTATTTGATCCTTCCTGGCTGACTCCCCTCGCTTCTCGCTTCTTTTGGCACCTTTTTCTGCCACCTCCCACGCTCTCGGTCCTTTTCAGTCCTTGTACCCCCAAATTTTCCTCGACTTGCCGTGCGTGCCCTTGTCCAGCTTGTCCACCCTCGATTCCCCCCCCCCTCCCACCCCCCAATCTGCAACAAAGAAAAAAAAGTGGGCTGCATCTTTTGCTCTCCAAGCCGAATTTCCAGCAAAAAGCCACAGCTTTTCCCTCCTCTCCCTTGTCGGCTTCTTCCAACTCGGCCTTCATCCCACACAGACACCGAGAGATACCTGGATACGTCGATACCTGCATGCCTGCATGCCTGGATACCTGGATACCTGGATACCTGGATACCTGATCCCTTGACGCCTTAAGCCCTTGAATCTCCGACCTTACTCATCCCGCAATCTACCATCTCCTGGTAAATCAACCGGCTGGACAGCTTTGTCAGTGTGTCTTCACATGTCTCACGCACCAGTCTCTATGTGTCACCCTGGATGAAAACTCGATCATCTTCCTCCTTACGAACCTCTCCCTCACCCGACACCACGCTGCGACGTCTCCGTCGCACACAATTTTCACCGCCAGCTCTGTCGGCTTTGCCTTACAAGGGAGATAGATCGCTCTCCATCCGCCCGTGTCCGTCTAAACCCGCCACCAACCGCATCTCATTCGGACGGCTGCCCCTCCCACTTTTGCCATTGCCATTGTGTCTTATTTTCCTAGCCTTCCCCAGACACCACACAAACACAAGAAGACGGCACAAACTCTGGCGAAATTACACCGTCCGTTCACGCCTCAGGCCTGTCTCTTTTGAGCCTTTTCGCCGACCCTTGGTTCTGCTTCCCGGATTTGCATTCATGTGTCGCCGCATCTTCCCCCTCCTTCCCCGGTGACCTGTCTTCTGCGTGGTGTTTCTTTCCCGTCCTAGGGAACAAAGAACCAGCACACGAAGACAGGAGAGGAAAGGGAGTTGTTTTTATCATGTACAGAAATTCGGCGCAGCTAAAATGCATCAAATCCATCCCGCCCAACGCCCTCCCTTCGCCCGACAACACTAGCGACTCTGACTCGGAAATCCTCGATGCTCTCGACCAGAAGAGAAGGCAGTTGGACGACGAGGTCGCCAGGTTCAAGGCTGCAAAGGATCGCGAGTTCCGTGAGTTTGAGAAGCAACTATGGATCACCAAGAAGAGTTCGCGTGCCGCCGCCAGTGGCTCCCAGGCCACGCCCACCAAAGCTGCGTCGACGCCTTCAGCGACGTCTTCGGCCTTGAGCCTGTTGGCCGCGACACAAAATGGTTCTGCAAATGGCTGGCCGGGCTACAAGGTGAAAAGAGAGAGTGCGGCAGCTGGTGACAAGGTCAGAAAACCGGCACCGCTAAGCGGGCCGACGCTGTCCTTGGAAAAATTGAACATCGCGGGCGAAACCACGCCACCTTTGCATACACTGGGGACTCCTCCCACGCCCTCGATCCTAACTCGGACAAGATCCCGTTCCCCCATTTTAAATGCAGCGGCACGGCCGACGACGCCGCCGACGCCCGCACAGTTAAAGAGTGAAGATCCTCCGCCCTCGTCCACTCCTACGCCTTCAAGAGATCGATCCGACCCCTTTGCTGGTGTGTTTACGCCCATGTACCTGCCCCTTTTAGAGTCGCGCGATCGTACTCCGATCGTGCGGAGTCCACAGCCCGTGACCTCCGCGGAAGAGGAGGAGAAACGACTGCAACTGGACGCGGACTCTAAAGATCGGGCGGACCAGCTGTGGAAACAGCAGGCCCGGTCGTCTCAGTCGCTACCGCCGCAACCAGTCTCGCCATCCGTTGTTGCAACCAAGCGCGCCCAGTCGACGTCCGTCTTGCCAAGCGCAAGTCTCCCCAGTGCGTTAAGGAGTGCCAGTGGCGGAGGAAGGACGCGGAAGCATGTCATGTTCCAGTTGGCCGACTTTAAGGTCGTCGATCCGAGCAGTAGTTACGAAGAAGGACCGAGTCCGGAGTTGGAGGGCGAAAACGACGTGAACGGAGAATCAGCACACCGATTTCTCGGGACCGAGGAAGACGGGGACCGAGATAATGGTGAGAGGGAGAATGGGAGCACCGAATTACTGAGTGAAAAAGACAAGCGCCGAGGAAGAGGACGAGGAGGACGTTTTATCTCGCCCATTCCTTCCCCGTTGGCGAGCCCCAATCCGAGCCCATCACCGTCTCCCGCCCTGAATGGAAGTTCACCAACGCCGTCCCCATTGCAGTCACCACGCTTAATATCTTCACCCGACCAGTCAGGGTTTTCTGGCGGTTTGTTGGGCGCCGAGGACGGAGGCAGCGGCGTTGGGTTTTTCGAGCTTGACGAAGAGCTAGCCAGTCCGGCGTTGAGAGAGGGGAGACCGGTAGAGGCGTTTGATCTCGAGATCGAGGAAGAGATTAGCGAGAAGATGGGCAGAGATGTCACGGACACCGGTGAGAGGGGACTGGGAATAGTTCCCTCGGTCCAGGTGGGGAGCGTTCCCATTGACATTGTGAGGCCCAGTGGGAGTTGGGTCGGGAGCTTTGGACACTGACGTGAGAGGACACGCTGGGCCAGAAACCAGGGGAGAAAGAAAAGAAAAGGGAGGAAGCAAGGTGTAGATCGAAGGACACCTACACCATCTAATCTATCCAGGAAGTAACATGGGGGTTTCCAGATCCCCCTGACCAAAAGTCGGCAGCCTTGGTCCCTCCTGGCCGTATTTTCGGTTTGTGGCGTTTGTCTTTTCGACTGCGTGTTTCGGGCGGCATATGTTTTTTTTTTCTGTCTCGCTCTTACCAACAACTACGACTATTGGCATGGGGGGGGGAAGGCACTTGATCTCCCCCCTCGCGCGCTTTCGAACGATCTGGGTGGCTATTGTGAGCGATTTTTGTCCTCATTTGGGAACCGTTTGATCCCGCACAGCTGTGCTGTGATGTGCTCTGAACTTGTCACGCTAAAATACGATGCGATGACACCAAGGAAAAAGGGATCCGAGGGAGGGAGGCTATCTGTCTATCTGTTTTTGTACCTTGGCTTTAGTTCTGGATTCTGGAGTGAGGAAGGGGGGGGGAGGGGCGGGCGGCGGCAAAAGTCCACAAAAAGATGATGCGAATGTGATGGCGATGACTGCCATGCTATGCGATGCTTTACGCATGCGATACGATCCAGTCGATTCGAGGAAATGCGATGCAAATGCATGGAAATACCATGGAAACGTTTTGGAGATGGAAATGGGGATAGAGGTGGAAATGGAGCCGAGCGATGTGTACATCTCACATATCGTACTATACATATATTGTCCCCAGCCAACATGACGCGATATGACACGAGTAGACTACGATCTGGATACATACCTCTATCGCTCTCGCCCTATTCCTTGCTTCCTCATACTTCCCTCTATTTATCTACTAGCATACTCACCGAGCCACCTGCTTACTGCATAGTACAGTACCGTGTAGTATGTTCTACATCCACCTAGTGACTGCAGATTATCCTTCTTTTTACGACCTAACTTGGATCATCTCTCTTTCTATTATCATGAGCTTAGGACGAATTGGGCGCGATATCCAATACCTTCACGTGATCGTTTACACTGCCCGAGTGGCGCTGGCGGGGGATGCTAAGATCCTCGGAGATGGATTCCGATATGACTTCATCCGAGTAGACTCGCCAAATCTCATCAACTCTCTTAGTTGATGGCATGAATCCCGTGGCTATAGCTGCATCATTACAGCCTCCCAGGTGTCGACACGGATGAGTGGTTTCATCGGATGGCCAGTTACTGGGCGTCCGTAGTCAAAATCCACCGCTTTGGCCACCAAAAAATATATATATATATATATTAGGCCTTCCTGAGTTCTCATTCTGCAGATGTCGGCAAGACTGGCGGCCGGCTTACCCTCGACTCTCTTCATGGTGTTCTCTTTCTTCGGCGCGCTCTGGGGCTATTGGGCCATCCTCAAGCACACCTCGCTCGTCACGGCAGCATTTTCAACATCCCCTGCTTCGGCTCAAGCACCGTTGGCGGGCTCCCCTGAAGCACTGAATCCCAAGCTCACCAATACCATCGGCAAGGATGTCATCACGCTCTACTACAACGGTACAGGACCAGTTCCTGCCTACGACAAGAAGTCACCTTTACCAGAGCCCATCACCCCTCTGGGCGAGTCGGCGGTTGAGGAGTCGATTCTGAACGAGTTGCTCTCCATACTTGGCACTCCCTACTACCCAGACACTTGCTCAAAGTGCATGGCAGCGGGTCAAGTTCTCCACATCGCAGCCATCAGTCAGCCGGTAGCTGTCTTTATCAATGTGCTCATCAGAGCCTGCAATGCTGTCCCGGAGTTCAAGTCAAAACTCCGAGCCGCGTCCTGCGAGTCTCATTTCAGTGGCGGGTCTGGATACGGCCCGTATATGGCGCAGCTCTTTTCGAAGATGAGTCTAGCCACGGGTGACATGCAGCATTGGTGCTCCATCAACTACGAATTTTGTGAAGTACAGCCTCCAGTCCTGATCGATGAAAACGTTTACTTTGATCCGAAACCGGAATCGGCAAACATGGCGCCAGAACCTTCCGGCCATACCTTCAATGTACTCCATCTCTCTGACTGGCACCTGGACCCTCGATATGACATTGGGTCCGAAAGCAATTGTTCAGACTACATGTGTTGCAGGCCATACTCGGTCAACAGAGAGCTGTTCACCGATTCTCACAACGCTTCGGTCCCAGCTTCGAGGTTTGGATCGTTCCTATGCGACTCGCCTGCTGATCTGGCGCTTTCAGCACTCATAGAGATGCCCAGCTTTTTGGACATGGACGAAATTGCCTTCAGTATATTCACGGGTGACATCGTCTCGCACGACCCAGAGGACTTACTCTCACATGATTATGTCTCCTACGAGGAAGAGGTGACTTTCAAAATATTTAAGCGTCTGCTCGGGGACAGAATTCCTGTATACCCTGCGCTGGGGAACCATGACACTCTCCCAGTCGGCTTCAACACCCCACACAGCATGAACCCCGACCCCACTAACCGAAGCAGCAACATCCTGCAGTGGAACTACGACCTTCTTTCCTCGCTGTGGTCAGGCCATTCGTGGCTGAACGACACAGAAGCCGAGTTTGCACGTACTCATTTTGGTGCCTACGCGACCACCACCTCTCAAGGTCTACGCATCATCTCGATCAACTCGGACTTCTGGTACAAGGAAAATATCTTCAATTACTGGAACGTGACGAACCCGGATCCGAGTGGAATCCTCAAGTGGGTGGCGGATGAACTGTCGGCGTGCGAGAAGAGAGGCCAGCGAGCGTGGATCATCGCCCATGTGCTCTCGGGGTACGATGGCTCCTCGCCCATGCCGAATCCGACAGCTCTATTCTATTCTATCGTGCGCCGCTTCTCGCCGGCGACAATCGCGGCGATTTTCTTTGGGTGAGCCCGGGACATTAACCCGAACTACTCGCCCATAAAGCTAGGACTGAACACTAACCTCTCACACAGGCATACACACCAAGATCAAGTGCAAATCTTCTATGACTACCTCCCTTCCTCCTTTGTCACCAATTCTGACCCGAAAGACCCCAAAACACTCCGGGATACGACGCAAATAGACATCACCAAGCCATTGCAAATTGGACACATCGGCCCTTCCATAACACCCCTCACAGGCCTCAACTCAGGGTACCGAGTCTACCAAATCGACAGCGAGACATTCGCCGTGATGGGTGCGCAAACGTACTTTGCAAACATGTCCAACAGCCTCAGCTGGACGAAGCCGGTCTGGGAATTCGAGTATGACACGCGGCACGTCTACTCGACCGATGTGGATTTGGAGACTGCGCATGAGGATGAAAGGGCGACGCATGACGACGACATGGCAAGCACAAGCCCGTCGCATGGCCACGGGGTCCCCTGGCCCGCGTCGTCGCCCCTGAACGCCACCTTCTGGCATCTCGTAACCGAGAAAATGCTCAATGACACCACCACCTCCTCCTCCACCCCCACCTCCAAAACACGCGACAACGGCGACGATGGTGACAGCGACGACAACGACAAACCCAAATCGCCCCTCCTGGACCTCTACGAGCGCCACGAGTCCAAATCCAGCTCCCACCCAGAGCGCCGGATGAGCGGCGGCGCGAACAATCCCGAGCAGAAGGTGTGCTTTTTGCGCGCCGGCAGCGGCTATCTGGGACACTACTGCAAGGAGAAATACGGCGGTGGCGACGCGAGGTCTCTGCGCGAGAGAGCCTTTGACGTGAGGTGACGTGAGTTGCACACGTAGGTGTCGGGCTGGTAGATCTGGGTCTGTGTTTGTGTGCGTCGAGGAACGGGCAAAGGGGAAAGGGGAGCGGAATTGGAAGTGGAAGTGGGAGATAGAAATGGAAACAGCAGGGTGGTCTATCTAGAAAGCGGTCCCAACGCATCTGCCTCGTCCTCCCCTCGCAGGCGGGGAGGTAAGAAAGACCGAAACTGAAAGAAAACAAGACTGAGAAAAGGAAGGAAACGATCGCGACACCACAGAAGGGCAAACTGTGTTGATGGCACCAATGGAGCATATTGCTGGCTAGATGGAAGAACTAAATGCTGGACAACGAACAATCTAGGGTATTTCCATTCCAGCAAGATTGCGCTATCAAGGTCAAATCATAGAGACACGCTAGTTATGATATAAACGGCCGTTTTGTTGGGAATTGAAAAGGAAAAGATCCCCCCCACAAAAAAACTCATCAACTCCATGCTCAAGGTAGGACGACATTGCCCTAATTTCACGTGTCGCCGATTCATGTCAGGGAAGGAGTATCAGCCCACAAACTCCAGGGACGCCTTGCTTAGATTCGATAACCAGGCACATTGGTTGGTTGATAGATAGATAGATAGATAGATAGATAGATAGGTAGGTAGGTTGACTCATTCAGTCGTGACAAGTTGTTCGCTCAGGGTCAGCGCGGGTGTCTTGAACGACACAGACATCAACGAGATCCGACGGTGTCGCTGTCCTCCTCCTTCTTCCTCCTGCCTCGATGGACAATCTCCTTCGCCGTCTGCGTGATGCTGATGCCGCCAAAAAGCCAGTCGTCGCCGTGGCGCCCATACCCGCCGGGCGAGCTCCCGCTGTGGCGCGGTTTCTTTTGGACCCAGCTGTCCCGTTTCTGAAGGTCTGGAGACGATGGACTCATGGCTGAAGGGGAGATGGCGCTGTCGGAGGCTTGTCTCTGTGCCCTTGGATGGTCATGGGAAGGGCTTTGAACCGGCAGTGGAGAGGTCTGGGCGTGCTTGATGGTTGTGGACGGGGGAATGGAAAGGTCTATTGGTGGTGGCCTTGGGGACTTGGATCGTGACCTGGTGAAGGGGAAGGGGAAGCTGAGATGGCCTTTCGTCGAGCTTGACGAGGACTGAGTTGACGATGAAGAGAGTGTGTTTGTTGGGGACAAGGTCTTTGAAGCTGTGATTGCATAATTTGATCCGTCGCTTGAGCTTCGACCCTTCATATCCGGCCTCTGTGAAGGAGCAGCTGGTGTCGGTGTTGTTGTTGGGTTGGAGTTCATTTCAATGAAATTGGTCAATGGGGAAAGATGTGAAGGATGCGAAGCCGTGAACAAGCGCTTTGACGGGTTGAAGGATCACGAGTGTGTTCATGAAACCGGGGGGGAATTGAATGGTTTATTTGCTTTTCGGTTGAGGAAGGTCTTTGAAACCACTTACGAAAGTACGTCTTGTCATCATTGGACTTAGCGGACTCGGCGTGTCCAGGAGATCAATGTGCAAGCAGCCCTGCATCTGCATGCCTCCAGGTATGATGATCAGATGAGGGACGATTCGGCAGCCAAGAACCGATTGAACATGCGATGGACCTCGTGGGGTGTTGCGTGGTTGGGGAATGCGAGGACTGATCAGTGATCAAATGCAGGGTGTGACCAAAAGCCTGTTGCTGCTGTTCAGTGTTCACCACCAAGACTGCCCCCGTGCATTTGTTGGACTTTGAACTTCTTGTCGAGTCTATTCCCTCTTGTCTTCTTTGGACCATTCATCCAATCATCCTTGGCCACATTCTGCAGGCCAGGCTGCCGAGCACCTGTCTCTCGTCACATGTTTCCTCGACTCTGCTCACCGGTTTGGATAGCCTTCGCCTAAGACTGGCTGAAAAAAGCCGCCACAGGCATCCGCGTCTGCAAGCTAGACCAGGCAAGACCAGGCGAACGCCCCGTGCTGAAACCAATAGCGATGTTAGCCCCAGATGAACGGAATCTGGTGGAGCCTCTTTTTCAGCCGCACTTTTTGGGAGTCGCACGTTTGAATGGTAATTATGGAGGAGAGCAGCATGTCGTGGAGTACCTCGTACATCAGAGTCGGAAGCGAGACCAAGGACGGCCAGGCGAAGCAGAATTCCAGTCGAGGGCGTTGCCCGCTGTCCGTCTCTGGCTGGAGTGAAAGGGCGGTTGACCATGGGTGTCCTGGTTGGGATTGGCACAGAAAAGGCTTAGCTGTTGCTGTGGACTTGGATAGACGTGCGGAAACGCCACTGCATACCGAGAACTCGACATACTTTGGACACTGTGGATGGTTGTGTAAATCCTGGTGAGTTTGGTCGCAGTTGGTGCCTGCGGAATGGAAGGCGGCGGCGGGGGGCAGGGAGGCAGAGGAGGTTGGAGACGCCGGGGACTTTCTTGGGACTTTTTGGCGCAGGCAAGTCACAAGTGAGAGTTCTTGTCGGCACTTTGGTTCTCCCCGTCCAGATTTCCTCTTTCACCATCCGGACTCGAGTTTTCCTGCAAATGGACCATGGAGAGTACATGTCGATGAAATCCCCTCCGACACCCTCTTTGCACGGGTGTTGGATCTGTTCGAGCAACGATGCATGGATCGCAAGTCACCTTCTCACGACACCTCTCTGCTTGACGGTACACACTCACTGGCACCACCATCTCAGTCGCAAGAAGATCCCTATAATCCGCCTACAATCGATCAGTCGCATGATGTTGCCCTGGTGATCAGAGTGCTCAACCAATCCTACAATTGCCATGGCGTCTATCATTCAAAGATCTTGCTCTGGGGCTCCGCGGGCTGTGGGTATGCAAGTACCAATCTCTGTTCGTCCCTCGGTGCTAACTACTGACCAGCAAGCGCCGCATTGCCACTGAAGCTGCGCTACAGTTTTCCGCCCGGACGGGCTGCAAAATCCTATGGATAGATGGCCGATCGTTTGAATGTTTTATCCGCGATTATCGAGCAGCCTACACCATCATCACCGGCGAGAATCTCCCTCAGGGCCTCACATTAACCCATACACTCCTGAAGATCAAGTCCACCCTGGAAGCTCGCCGGGATGAGTCACTCATAGTCGTCTTCGACTTGCAGTTCTATCTCGAAGAGGACGTGGAGACCGCACTGAGTACACCGGATCTCTTTCTCCCAGACCGGTGTCGTATTCTCTTTACGTCTTCCTATGTCATCCCCTCGGAATGCGTCAGCGGTAACCGGGGCTCCTCTGTGACATGTGGACTCAAGCTTGCCAGACGAGCGATATGCCTGTATGTCGGCGGCCTCAACGAGGAACAAGGCATGCAGTATTTTAGGGCTTCGGTGCCGAATAGCAACGATGCAGTCGACTCTCTCCGCGCTTTCGGGCACAGAGACTCATGGCAAACCACGCCGCTTCGGCTTGCACTTTCTTGTGCTTGTATGCGCTTACTGCAGGTCTCCCCGAAACATTTTCATCGACTATGCGCACACAAAGCCCGGGAAGGCTGTAGTCCATCATGGCCAGGCTACAGTCCGATCTTTTCGGACATAATGTGTATCCTGTGGGACGCGCTCAATGACTATGATATTGCTGCAGGGCGGTTGTTGGCCATATGCTCAATCGTCGATCGAGTCGCCATTCCCGTTTCACTTGTTGAAAAATTCCCAATATTTCAGAATAATCGAGAGCGACTCCTTTCCGCAATCGATGTCCTTCGTCTGAGTGGGTTAGTTGAGATCCACCGGGGAGCTGGGCTTGATACAATCAACCTTCACCTACAGGTGCAACGCTGGCTGCAACTCAAACGTCGAAGGATTGAGGACAAACAAGAGCTTACAGATCTTGTCCACGCCTGGGTCTCTGTGCTCAGCGACTATCTAACCAAACCCAAAGACGAGCTCCCGAAGAATGATCCCATCTTTGATGCTGAGAAATTCTGGCGAATGCTCGCTCATGTCACGTCGCTTTGCAGTCTCAAATCACGGCAAACTCGGGAGCTGTGCAGCATGCAATACATGGCTTTCTTGAAGCATGTCGCCATTTTCCTTGTCGAAGACGGTTTCTTTGTAGGCATGGCGTGGGCAGCTGTAACTCATGCGTTAAGCATGTGCACGCTTTTACAATCTCGGCAAGTTCATAACTTGGAACTAGACCGTGAGTACGTCCACATTCGACAAGTAAAGGCCAATGCCTACATGAATATGTCGGAGTATGGTCAAGCCGAGATTGAACTTCGGGAGGCCAAGCGAGTTCTTAGTCGTCGCCTATCAGGCAGCGCCGACAGCACACAGACATTGCGCGAGATTCAGGACACGGAAGCGTACCTGAGTGTCGTGCAAGGGAAATGGGCTGAGGCGGGCCGAATGCTCACTGAATTGCTGGCCTACCCCGAACCTAATGCTGAACCGTCCAAGGTTGCACAGCGACACTATTGGATGGCGAAAACAAAAGCGGCTGTGGGTACAGATATCAGCGCATTGGCACATTCGCAGTAAGTATGCCCTGAGACGGCTGCTGGTCTATCGAAGCCGGAGTTTCGATGGCTCTCATCCACCACTCGGATGCTAACTGCAAGCTAGCATGACCATGTCTTACTGGAGAGATTTACCCTACGAAGAACAATGGGGCTTCAAGGATAGCAGGCGCCTGTACTGGGTTGAGAAGCACATGCTGAATCTAATGAACCTGAGGAAGTACAAGGGTGCTCTTCTCCTAGGCACACGACTGCTGGAGAGAGCGCATGAGCTTATGCCTCTTCTTGGAGCGTCTGTGTGCCGCTTGACATATCGCGTTGTGTATTGCCAATGCATGCTCGACAAGGTGGACGATGCCGAAAGAACTGTGTGTCAACTACTTGGACTGCCATCACACGACAAATACGGAGATGACACTACCCGGGCCTATCTGCTGTATACGCTGTATGAGCTTGCGGTAGTGCTGCAACGCAATGGCAGAGCCGTGGAAGCTGAAGGCGTGTACAGATTCAACATACAGTCAGCGAAGCTCTACGACGTCAAGAACTTGAGCGGCACTGAAAAGTATGACAGCTGGCGTGACTACCTACAATTGGTCATGTGTCTCGTTGAGCAAGGAAAAGCGCTGGAAGCCAGAAAACTCAAGGAAGAATATGAGTATGAGAACCCAGACAAAGAGTTTGCGAACTCGATCATCCAAAACAGCTGGACGGCCTTTCGACAATCGAAGGAATTGTACGAGAGAGCAATCGAGGCCGAGAAAAGTGGAACAGCTTTGGAGTTCAAAGCAGCTGTTGATTTAGCTGGAACTCGGCCAGCATTGAAGCGGGCGGTAAAATGGTTCGGAAGCCCAAAGCATCGGCTCGAAGAGGGGCGGGACTTCGAGAGCGACATCGATTTACACCACATCGGCCGGGCGAGGAATAGCCGTCTTCTTCAGCTTCTGAATTTTCCCCTCGTCTACCTGGCCTTCGTCGATAGACGCTCCGGTGCTCTAGGCTACGATTGGCAGAACACCGAGTTTCTGTGGGCCAATCTCCGACAAAGCGTTCTTGGGCAATATTGGAAATGGTGTGAGTGTAGGAGGAAGAGACGACGCAGCCAAAGCATCCATGAATCAGATGAGCCTGTTGTCAAGCGAAAAGGTGACAACGACGGCTCCGAACGGAGGCTGAAACAGAAACCCATCACAGACTGGACAATAAGAATGCCAGATATGAGCAAGGCTATCCCAGAAAACTGCGGCCCCTCTTGTCCATGCATTGAAGCCAACAAACGGGGTCTGCTGGAGACATCTGCGCTGGAATCGAAACTCTTCTTATGGAAAGAGCCGACACGAGAATATCGCAAATCAAAAAGTCAATACAGATTCCGGAACGCTAAACCAAGCCGATCTCCGATCCCCCGAGAAGAATTATTTACCCTCCTCCAACCTAATACTTGGTTCTGGATCCAGCCTGAATTTGCAAATGGAGAGAGCGAGGGGGAGAATTATATCATTCCACGAGCGACTGAGATTCCTGGAATAGCCATCACGCCCCCGGATGGTCAAGTGGATCTTCTGCCACTCGCCGCTGATCCGCAAGAGAGAGTGACAAAGTATTACAAGAGGGACTATGCGGCAGACTTTGCTCGTCTCTTGGAGAAGCATGAGCGCGGGTGTTATAGACCGACACGGTTAGATGACATCTTGGAGGACGACGAAGAGGAGGAAAAATAGATGGTGGGCCAACGGGGTCAAGTCAGGGTTCCATGCGATCTCATTGGACAGGAGTGTTCTGGAGGAGGCCATCATTGCTACAAGGGCGGCGCAGTCCATGTACGATGGAGTACCCAAGAGTACTGGGTACCCCAAGAATACAACGTGCTCCAAGAGGATGCGAAAGGAGACAAGGCTGACAATGACAAGGCTGCACTTCACGCCCTCGCGTGCCCTTTCCTCGTCTTGTCTCTCCCACTCTTCGCTCTTGGCATGACGTCAGTCTCGATATTCGACGGGCAAAGTGACAAGACCACGAAACCGTGCGAAAGGCTCGGAGCATCTTTCCACCAGACAAAGCTGAATTCCCGAATACGATCACTCCATGTCCAGAATCGCCGGTCTTTCTCACACCATCCTCGCCTTTTGCTGCTGATGGGAACAGGATGCCCCAGCGCCTTCGTGAATCTATAATGTCTCCAATCCATGACCGATGCCCCTCCACCTCAGTGTCTTCTTCCACACAAGCCTTCACTTCTTCCTTGTCTTATTCTACATATTCTATTTCTATGCACGTAGCCAAGTTTTTATGATTGTGGATTATGACTTGACCCATTAATGGCTACTTCGCATCTGCCTCATCCACTGAACCTGTCCTCGTCGCCCCCCATCTTCATCCTTCCAACCCACCTGAAGCCACAAGAACTTCACGACACAGAAGACCTGATCATTCAATCCGGAGGCCACTTGACGTTTGATGCCAAAGAGGCAAGAGTATTCATCGGCCGGGTTGCCCAGAAGAAGCGCGCTGCTTTTGATCTACGGGCCAGGGGAGTATGGACTGAAGAGGCAGCCTTACCCGAGGTCAGCTCCAACGGGAATGAAGATCGTGAACCGGCAGCAGAGGAAGGTCCAGAGAGGAAGAAAGCCAAGCTTGCAGACCATACTAGGAATTCCCGGCCTTCAACAAGGCGAAGGCGGCCCAGCTCAAGCACAATCTCGGCTTCTTCAGATGTATCTCAGAACAATGCTGCCTCTTCACCGGCCCAAGTGCTCTGGCCTGATCTTTCCACCCACATTCTCATTCTTAAACTCTCCTGGCTGGAAGCGTGTCTCAAGGAGGAACATCTGATTCCATACCGACCTTACGTCGTCTATACTGCAAGAATCATCCCTAAGCCTCCAGGCGAAGTCTCTCCAAAATCACAAGTATCCCTGTCGGCATATTTCAAGGTAGGATCCGGATCCCAGTCGCAAACCGTCACGTCACGAAGAGCATCCAAACCGGCAGTGACAGCATCTATCCTAGAACGCGCAAAAGCTGAAGCAGCAACTCTCCCCTCCTCGTCTCGCCGCCGTTACGGCGATCATGCACACCACCACTCTTTGGCACAAACGACCACCACCAAACACAAACCTAAACTTCACCGAACTACAACCTCCGAACTTGAATACCAAGCCGAGCATCCTCTGCCTCGTCTTCCAGACTGGGCAGTTGGCCCATACGCGCCTTACGCGTGCTGCCGCTCCACATTCATGCACTCCCCCAACGATGCCTTCATCGCCCAACTCACCAAAATCAGGGACGGTCGCACACTCACGCTGGATGATATCGGTGTCCGCGCCTATTCGACCTCGATCGCCTCGATCGCCGCCTATCCATATCACATTACTCAGGCCGAGGAAATCACCCGCTTACCCGGGTGCGAATCAAAAATTGCAGCGCTGTGGCGTGAATGGGAAGACTCTGCTCCGCCGGAAGCCGACGATTCGGAAAGATTCATCCAAGTTGTCCGCAACTCGGACGCTGATCCGGACCTTCAACACCTCCGACTATTCTGGAATATCTGGGGCGTCGGGCCGGAAACGGCGAGGAAGTTTTATTTTGAGCATGGCTGGAAGGATATGGATGACGTGGTGGAGTTTGGGTGGTCGACATTGACTCGCGTGCAGCAAATCGGAGTCAAGTATTATGATGAGTTTTTGCAGAAGATTCCCAGGGGCGAGGTGGAGTCGATCTCGAGCGTGATTCTGTGGCATGCACGATCTGTTCTTGAGATCCCGGAGCAGAAGTATGGCACAAAGGAGGATGCAGAACTCATCATTGTCGGCGGATATCGACGTGGGAAGGAATTCTCGGGAGACGTGGATGTCGTTCTATCGCATCGGGACCATTCCAAGACCGAAAATTTAGTCGTGGACGTGGTGAGGAGTCTCGAGTCGGAGGGCTGGGTTACGCACACGTTGACGCTGAATACCACCACTAGTGATCGTGGGCAGACAACGTTACCATACCGAACCGGCCACGGGCACGGCTTCGACAGCCTGGATAAGGCGCTCTGTGTGTGGCAGGATCCCAATTACGAAGGCAAGGACCCAGAAGCGGACGAGGATGCAGCCAGGAAAAAGAACCCAAACATCCACCGCCGCGTCGACATCATCGTCTCGGCCTGGCGCACCGTCGGTTGTGCAGTGCTCGGCTGGAGCGGTGGCACGACCTTTCAACGGGACGTGCGACGCTTCGTGAAGAAGATGCACGGCCTGAAATTCGATTCCTCGGGCGTGCGCAACCGTGCGAACGGACTCGTCCTGGACCTTGAGGCGCCCAGGCCAAGGGGGAACAAGGACGCCGTGGAGATGGTCCTGATGGGTAAGACTCTCCAACGGAGCGATTTCGACGCCGGCGAGGAATGGGACGATCAGGATACCTGGTCGGATCGTGAGAGGAGGCTCATGGAGGGGCTGGGCATTGGGTATAGACCGCCCGAAGAGAGATGCACGGGTTGAATATCCATCCATCTTTGGTTTTGCTTCGTCTTTGGATTTATTGGAAGGGAGGCGAGTCTGCAGATCATTCTCATCAATCTGGCATGCACGATACGGTAAATGCCCCCTTGATCGAGGCTCGGTTTGTTCATTCATTGCGAGGGAGCGCATGCATGCATCTCACGAACCCAGAATTTTGATATCACTACCAGGTTATGACGAGCTTTGACGAAAGGAATCAGCGAGCGAGGAGATATGGCAGGATAAGGAATACATGAACATTGGACATTGCCCACATTGATCGAAGGGTTCGCATTTCATACCTAATTTTTCTATCACTTCCCAGCCAGAAAAGACCACTTTTCGATAATCTACAGTCCAAAGAGAGGCATACATCCCTCATGGTAGTGTTCACGCTCATGGAGACCTTATTCTCCTGAACCAAGATGTAGTATCATCTCTTCTTCTTCCCGATACTCGTGTCCACACTGCCCACCAACCAAGCTAGCGCAAACACCACAGCTGATCCAGTAAAGATGGTGACGGGTTTCCTGAAAGCCGCTAGGAACGGATACTCGTACGTCAGCAGGACAGTAACATCTCTTGCCTCATCAACGACATTGTAAGCCGTCAACTTCAACTCCGTTCGGCCCAAGGTGTCCATGAACGTCTTGTGGTTATCATACTCGGCATGCAGAGGAGGCACGCCTGTTCCGCCGTGAGTTTGCCATTGGACGTTTATTGCGCCTTCGGGCAGGATGACGCGGAAGACAAGCTTCTCGTATTGAATGCCTTCTGGCATTTTAGGACCTTCCAGAAGTGGGACAGAGAGGATGTACGTGTCGGATTTAGTCTTGAGTTTGCGGAGGACAGAGGAAAGGGCATTATTCCAGCCAATGCGGAAACTATACTTCCATCCCCCGAATAGAGGGTAGCGAGGTTTGAGCTCCAAGCTAGCTTCGCGGACATTATTGGGCCTGAAACGCGATGTCGACACGTTTCCAATGTCTGTGAAATAGGGGTCGACGGTGCCTGGTTTCAGCGGTACTTTCAGTTCCCTGAGAGCTGAAGTAGATCCCTGTCCTGCGCTGATGTAGAAGCTCTGCGTACTCCATGCCAGGCGAGAGAATTGATTTGAGAGCGTAGCGCCGTCATGACGAAGCCAGTATCTTTCTTCAGTCGCCAAATTGCCTCCCCAGTGGGAAACTTCAACATCTCGTTCAAGCAGGCTGCATACAAGGAGGGGCTTGTTGAATTCGTAGCGCACAGTCACTGGGTAGACCGTGCCTGGTTCGACCTTGGCCGTATCGTAAGGACCATATGTGAATGATGAACCCTGCTTTTCTGGATCGGTGGCTGATGTCAAGCCAGTCGTGGTGCTGTACTCGGGGACATCTGCAGAGGCGAACTTCACTTTTGTTTTTTGCTTGTGTGTCTTATAGACCGTGGGAACGTAGGCGGAGAAATTGTACATAAGATATTGCTTGTCTTCCTGCTTGATAGAGGCGGGCAAGGGCGTCAGAGCACCCAGCACATTCCATGATATCGAGAGAGTGATGGTGCTTTTAGATGGCAGCGGTTCGGAGAGGTGGATGATATAGTAATGAGTAGGTCTAGAAGAGTCAGCCAACGTTACCAGTGAGCCAGCATAGGTTCTGCATACTTTGTGGCTCTGCCCTGATTGTCTGATTTATTGTCTAGCTCAGCAAGGGCGACTTCCAATGGAATCTCTGGCTTCTTCTTGTCCCGGGCGTCAAACCCGCCAATCTTGCCCATCAAGTCATATTCCAAGGGGACATAGTAATGGTATTGTGGTGACTTGTCCGTGTTTGTGACCAGCACATTGGTGGTCTCCCTCACGTAGCCTTTCTCGAGGTTGATGGTCCGAACAAGGTTGGTGTTCTCGAATACTTGGGGAGGTTCAGAGTCGACAGTTAATATCTCTTTCGGGGACCAATGCGCTGTGAGATTTGAGTCTGCCCCAAATACTCCGGTGCATAGCGCGAGAACCGCGCCCACCACCGATGATAGCCTCATTCTCAAGCCTTGAAGAGACAGTAATCAAGGCCGCATCGGCATTGTCGACCCAATCTGGCCAGCGTGGAGAAGGGGAGAAGGCTGCGCCTGCGGAGTTTCAAATGACAATATTGACGACGTATTCTCAATACGGTGAAATATTGCCTCAATGAAGCGAAATAAACTGTACGGAGAATTATAGCACTTCATGAACACACTGACATTGACTCCTCTTTCATTGGTGGAAGCTCCTCTGTACGTCTCGCGCTCTCGACGTCGCTGTTTCATAGCAAGGTCCTGTGTCCTTGACTCAAGGTTGCGATCCATCGACAAGTCGCCCACCATGGCGTCAAAACTCGTGCCACAGCTGATACGTCAAGCCACAAGGACAGCTACCAGAGCTCCTCGAAGACAGCTGCTCCATCCTAGACAATTCTCAACCTCACCGTCGTCACGGAGTGAAACTCTCGCAGTGGTCAGTAGCACATACGTCAATGAGGTCTACGGGAGATCCTAACACAGAAAACCAGCATCGGAACACTCCCGAAAATAACCCCTCCATCCCCTTCAAATTCAACGACACAAACCTGCGCCTCATCGACGAGATCACCAAACGCTACCCACCACAGTACAAGAAAGCGGCCGTTATGCCTCTTCTGGATCTGGGCCAACGCCAACACGGCTACACCTCGATCAGCGTGATGAACGAAGTTGCCCGCATCCTCGAGATGCCGCCCATGCGTGTTTACGAGGTCGCAACCTTTTATACCATGTATAACCGCAATCCTGTCGGGAAATATTTCGTGCAGGTGTGCACCACCACGCCGTGCATGTTGGGAGGATGTGGCAGCGACGTGATCATGAAAGCATGCGAAGAGTTTCTGGGCATTCATTCGGGACAAATGACCGAAGACAAACTCTTCTCTCTCCTCGAAGTTGAATGTCTGGGTGCTTGTGTCAATGCACCCATGGTGCAGATCAATGATGATTACTACGAGGATCTCACGCCAGAGACGATTGTGCAATTGTTACAGGCGCTGAAGGACTCGGCCACTATTAGCGGATATGATGTGTCAAAGATCCCGAGGCCGGGACCACAAGTCTACGAAGGGAAACAGAGAATGACGTGCGAGCCGAGGGCCGGGCAGACCGCATTGCTGAGTGAGCCATATCATAGTAAAGACGTCCTGAGGGCAGATGGGGAGCTCTAAAGGGCCGGAGAAGGAGAAGACTGTGTGACCATGGGAAGATCCTGTAGATTTCGAATTCGCGAAAATCAAACCTCGGAGGAAGAAGGCACAAGAAAAATCAAAGACTACAGTCAGTCAGTCAGTCAGTCAGTCAGTCGTCTGGGCCACTCTGCAAGGCTGAGCCGTGTTGTACATATAAGGGAGAGAGGGGAGAGCAGCAGAACACCCGACCGAAGAGAGCTGGCAAATCACAACCATGTTCTTCTAACTGAGCCAGCTGACCAACTGACCAAGTATAGCCGGCCCATGGCCACTGATTGCTTAATATGGTCCTTTTGCCGTCGAGAGTTCTCGGAAAACGGAAAATGGACTTGACAAAGCTGCCCCGGTGGCCAAAGATGGGAGGACTTCTTTCTCGTTTTCTTTTCTTTCTTGCCCACCTTTCCTCACGTGTCAGGGGAAAGGGGAGATCCGGTTAGGACAGTTCATGATCACATTGCTAATCCCGCCGTCCCTCTCGTAGATGTCACCTGGCCATTGTAGCTCCCAAGCATTTCCTTGTATATACCCGGAATAATTAAATCAAATAAGACTTTGATAGCAGTGTGGTTTTCACTAGTTGTACAAGCGAGTCCTGGATAAGATTCCATTTTCACCCTTCATCATTTTGATGCATTCCCGTCGTCATGTCATGGGGCTCGTTATCCCAAAGTAAGAGAGCCTCACCTATCCCGAAGTTGACTCCCACGCCCATGACCAGCAAATGCGAAGTCCCTGAAATTCATAAATATGGAGTCGGGAATGTACATGACTTAGGCCACACCAAGCTTCTTCCCGTTGCTAGCTGCGTATCGTGGAGAATTCACAATGACCCAGCATTTTGAACAAAATATCAACAAGAAGTAAATGCAGCTGTCATCTGTGGCCATGCCATCTGAAGAAAGCTGCACCGTCGTCACAAAAGTAGGCAAATTCTTTGATGGTCCTATCAGTAATCGACAGGGGGGTTGGAATAGAATTCGGCAGTCGGTAAAGGCTTCCAAGTCGCTGGAGGCTGGCTAAATGTGTAGACTTTGACCGTTGATGTCGTGTGAGGTTCGAATTGGGAAGTGAAGGTACTCCCATTATGGACAGCCGTGATATCCATTGTCTCGAAAGGTGGGGGCGGCTCGACGTTCAGAGGCTGGTCTTGTTCCGAGTCGCCTAGTTGCTCACCAATATACCCCACCCAGCCATCAGAATTGGATTGCTCTAGCAAACTGGCATTGCCATATTCAGATGGTGCATGGGATACCTCGTTTGAATGAATGCCAAATGATGGCTGGGTCGGGTGCCAATCTATTTGATCCTCGGAGAGATTCGAGTAGACCATTGTCCACGTCAAATCACCCTCGAACTCTTCACCGTTTGCTGGTTGCTCGACGTCGCCTTGATTCGGTTGGATGGCGATCGACTCGAGGGGACATTCTCGGATATGTCGGTCAACAACGTAGGCTTCCACTTTAGCCTTCAACCGATCTATGCCCACGGTATCTTTTGTAACGAACCATTGTTGTCTTCCACCGTTGCTGAGCCACCCACTGAAAGAAACTGACGTCAGTTTTAGATCTTTCTTCAAGTGCTTGATCAGTCGGACCCAGCATTCCCGACGATCTTCATCACCGAGGAGCGTCACATTCGACAGTTGCAACCTTCGCAGTGTGGCGGCGTGGATCTTCAAGAAGTGAATGAGATCCTCGTCATGGCAGACGCAGGCATCAAGGATCAGCGTTTCTAACCTTGGAAGAAGTGGCACAGACGTCCATGTTCCGGCCGGTGTTTCCAGAAGTCCGCACAAATCCGAGGTCAAATCATCGTCGGCATACTCGTAACGGTTGCCACTGCAATCCGTCAGCCGCAGCTTCAGCGTTCTGATTCTCGGGGCCCCTTCTAAAAGGGAGCGGATTGCTTCAAGATGATGGGCGCCGGTGATCAATGTGTCGTTACGGAAGGAGAGCTCAAGGGTTAGGAGATCCTCGGTAACAGCCCGACAGATGCGAAGTTGTTGCAATGCGGCGGGTGATTTATTGGGCGCCACTCCGAACATAGCGCGGCCATCTATGTTATCTGCCTCGAAGCTTAGAAGGCGACAGCTAGCCGAGAAAGCGGCAGTCAGGAAACCTTTTGTGTATGACCTGCCGGAACTGCCCGCCATAGCACCCCATTCGACCGTTTCCGGGTCGATTCTGAGCCGGTTGCAAATCTTGACGTAGAACGAGGGAACTTCGGCCGCTGCAGTGGGATTGCAGCTACGTTCGGCGGCCGCCATAGTGGCTTCATCTTCATAGTCTCTCACGCGGACAGCTCGAAGGTTTGGCAGGATTCGCAAAGTCCTGGAGAGGATGGCAACTTCAATAGCCAGGTCCTCGTAGGGCTTGAAATGGCCCGAGCATGCGCGGTCGACCTGGGCCACTGTCTTGTGTTGTACCTCTATGGGGTATGGAAGAGCTGGGTCTGGCGGAATTCCCCTGATGCGTTGGAAGAAGGAACCAAAGCGGCCATCATACGTCAACTCGACGATGTGACGAGTGACTTTTGAGTGCCTCAATGCTCTGTAAAGGCCAAGGATGCAATGGTCGTTTGGAACCAGAACCACCCTGTTCCAGAGATAGGGTTCAGCCATCTGAGCCAGATTCTTACAAACCAACCGCAGTTGCTTCAAGATCGGTCGAGGGCATCTTTGAATGATAAGCAGGAAGATTTCATTAGGAAGATCTGGGACCTGGTTCAGGGTCACCTGCGTGGAAGAGGAGGTCATGGCGCGTGAAGGGTCAAATAATCACTGAGATGGAATTCTGGAAAAAGCGCATCGGACAAGGTTCGAAGAAGGTAGGTCATGGATGAAGAGCAATGAAACGAAGTCGACAGCGCAGAGGCACAGCGTTTGTTATGCTGTTGCGGATGAACGAGGTTACCACTGAGGCTTGGACACTTGGATGTGGCTGCCTTTCAGGCTAGCGGCGGTTGCCTGACGGATTATGAGTCGCAAGAGTGTAGAGAGGGAGAGAGGGAGAGAGGGAGAGCTGGAGAGACGGCAGCGATGGAGCAAATTCAAGGAGCCTGACAGATGGATAGATGGAATTGTTTGCTGCAGTTTGCCCAATGCCGAGCGAATTGAAGGATGGAGGTTGGGCGAAGAAAGCACAGAGCCAAGGTAAGTTTGTGGTGACGATGGTTGTGCTGTCTTGTGCTGGCCTGTGCTGTCTGGGTTCGAGTCCTAGTGCGAAAGTCGCAGACGAAGACAGCCTCAATCCCCCTCGTGCAACTCCTTTGTTCTGTAGAGAGCATTCGGTACCTGTCTCGATTCCTCGGGCAGCATGACACACTCTAGGACTAGGAGGAGCTGGAGGTTTCATTGAGCTCATATGTACGAGGTACATGCCCTTCAAACTTGATCCGAGTTGTACAGGCATGTGGGATTATTGAACAGGCTAGTGCCGCGGTGGAGGGGGCTTTGGGGGGGGGATGGGTTGGGGGGGGGTGCCTACGAGTATATACATACTTAGGTACAGGATACCGAGTACCTACCGTAGAGTAACATACCTAGGTACCCAGTAGTAGTTGATGCCCCACCAACGACCTAATATGTATCGAGGTACAGTATGTACCTTCTCGGTACTCGCTATCCACAAGTAGGTACTACATAGGCCCACCAGTCCCTCGTAGGCGCTTCCTAGTGGGCTACCTGTACCGGGTACTGGTTCTGCAAGTAAGCTACTGGGTACAGGTGCACGTTCCCTTAAACCAGGTTGCCATTGGGCAACAGCGGGGGTGCCGATCAAGCCCCCTAACAACGGCAAGCTCCAGCAAGCGAGGCCCTGATGCGCATCATTCGAGGGCGCTGGTGCCCGCCTCCACCCATGACCTTTACCTGCATGCAATTTTGGGAGCTTTGAGCTTTGCTTCTGCTCCATCACGCTCCGAAAGCATTGTCTCTCCTCTGCTTCATTCCCTGTTACAACCAATATTCATGTCCATTTTTGTCTCTTCTACTCGGTTTACCATAAGCTCACACATCTGTCCATTCAATGCGGTAGTCTTGCAGCCCTACTTCTACCTGTCGACATGAAGTCTGTCCTAACGAGCCTCCGTCCCGCTCCATTGTGTTCCTCGCTAACAGTCCACCTTTCTGTAGGTTTGGCCAGCAGCTCCGCCAGTCTCTTATCAAGGACTATTACTGGCATTATATTGCCTATGACGACCTGAAAGCCGCCCTCAAGAAACCTTTCATCAATGGCAAAAGTGGCCAGCGAGAACCCTGGACCGACGACGACGAGGCCAACTTCATTCGCCTGCTAGAGGCCGAGCTCGACAAGGTCTTCACTTTTCAGAAGCTCAAGAGCCAGGAGATCATATCGAGAATAAAGGCTGCTGAGGCTGAGGTGAAGCAGGTTGTGGAACGGCAAGATCGCCAAAACCACAATGGCTATGAGCCCGACGAGGAGCTCGAGAACGATTTCGATCTGTTGGAAGCCGACCTTTCCGACATCATCGCCGACGTCCATGACCTGGCCAAATTCACCCAGCTGAACTACACGGGTTTCCAGAAGATCATCAAGAAGCATGACAAGCAGACCCAGTTGATCCTGCGTCCTTCGTTTGCCACCCGTCTCAAGGCAAAACCCTTCTTCCAAGACAACTATGATGCCTTCATCGTCAAGCTTTCCAAGCTCTACGACCTTGTCCGGACGCGCGGCAACCCGGTAAAAGGAGATAGTGCCGCCGGTGGCTCCCAGCAGAACTTCGTCCGTCAAACAACCAAATACTGGGTCCACCCAGACAATATTACCGAGCTGAAGCTCATCATTCTCAAACATTTACCTGTCCTGGTCTTCAATCCAAACAAGGAGTTTGAAGAGAAGGATTCTGCCATCTCATCCATCTACTATGACAACTCGGAAACATGGGAGCTATACATGGGTCGTCTCAAAAAGACCGAGGGCGCAGAGGCCATCCGTCTTCGTTGGTACGGCGGCATGGAAAACGAGACTATCTTTGTTGAGAGAAAGACTCATCGGGAAGATTGGACGGGCGAAAAGTCTGTCAAGGCTCGTTTCACCCTGAAAGAGAAGAACGTCAATCCCTTTTTGGCTGGGACAATGACGGTTGAGGAAGTCTTCGCAAAAATGCGAAAAGAGGGAAAGAAGAGCATCAAGGAAATTGAAGACCTCGAACAACTCGCTCGAGAAATTCAGTACCGCGCCATCAGCCGGAAACTCGTCCCGGTGACCAGGTCGTTCTACCACCGCACAGCATTTCAGCTTCCAGGTGACGCCCGTGTGAGAATCTCGTTGGATACCGAGTTGACCATGGTCCGGGAAGATAACCTTGACGGCAGACAACGCGCCGGCAAGAACTGGCGTCGGATGGACATCGGCATTGACTGGCCCTTTCCCCAGCTGCCGCCGGAAGATGTTGAACGGTTCCCCTACGCCGTCCTAGAAGTCAAACTGCAGACCCAAGCTGGTCAAGAGCCACCTCAATGGATTCGTGACTTGACAGCGAGTCATCTTGTCGAAGCTGTTCCCAAGTTTTCAAAATTCATTCATGGCACCGCCACCCTTTTTCCAAGTCGCATCAATCTGCTGCCATTTTGGTTCCCTCAGATGGACGTCGACATTCGGAAACCGATCACCCATCGTTTCGGCATTGAACGACCCGCAAATACAGCGAGCTACTCCACCAGCGATATCGACGAGGACGAGTATGATTCAGATGACGCAGCAGTGGAGGCTCAGACGACCGGAAAGACAACGCCCATGTTCGACGGCTCACAGGACACCGAAGATGAAGGGACAAGGCGCTTGAAGGCTGCACGGCAAGCGCTCGACGAACATACTCGGGCCCAGGACCGAGACGCCATGGAAGAGGGCTACACGGCGCCGGGGAACTCATTAGACGTAGAAGAAAGGGTGGCTGCGATGCCTGTCTCTGCCGAGTATCTATATGATTCGGAAGAAGAAGACGCCGAAGACGAGCTAGAACAAGCTCGACAGTCCAAATCCTGGAAATACTACCCTTTGCTTTTGAAACACCACGCCCATCTGGTTGGGGACCGTGTTCTCAACCTCATTCACAAAATCCCCACGAGTACCCCCTTGCCACAGAACGGAGGCGTTGCTGGCGGCAGAAACCAACTTACGGGCCAAGTGCAAGTCAAACTCTTCAAGGCTCCCAGAGGCAAACGCATCCATGTGCCCGTCCGGGTGGAGCCCAAGGTCTACTTTGCCGCAGAACGCACATTCCTCTCGTGGCTAGAATTTAGCATCATCATCGGCTCCATTGCCGCCGCGCTTTTGAACTTTGGAGACAATGTGAGCCTGATTTCTGCCTGGGGGTTCACCATTGTCGCGTGCGCTGCGTTGATATATAGTGTCATCATTTATTATCTGCGGGTGCAGATGATTCGCAAGAGGAGGGCCAATGTCTCAAGGTACTATGATAAGTATGGGACGACGGCGTTGTGTTTGGGGTTATTGGCCGCAACAGCAGTCACATTTGTCTTTAGGATCAAGGAGAACGGATGGTTCCAGCTGCCAGGTGACCAGGGGTAATGGTGTGGTCCGTCGATCAGAACTGCTAGTCGATGCAAGTATGTGTAAGGTGGGAAAAGGAGTTCCAGATCCCCCGGGAAAAAGGGACAAAGGGAAACAAAACGGACGACATGTTGAGAGGAATGCGATCATTATAATAATGGCCTACATGAGTCGAGGGTCGCCCCGTATCGGCTACATCCTGCAAACATGGTTGATTAATGGGTGGGATAGGAACCAGTACTCTCCCTCCAGGTCGCTTCTACCTATCTCCACTGTCGTTGGACTAAGTCTGTTACATAGCTTATGGAGTACTTGCAGCACATACAGTTCATCATACCTAACTAGGTAGATACATGCCGAGATAGGTACCCCGGACGCAGTATATTCTAGGGACGTATCTATCAAGTCTGCGCCGGGTCACAGCGGACATCATACATAGAACTCCGTACATACGCCGCCCTTTCTACATGCATACATCCCTAGGTGGGTACGGAGTACACACATAAATACTAGGCAACCTAAACAATGCGCATCTGCCCGGCCAGAACGCCTTTGCATATGTTCTACAGGATATGCCTCTCCTGTACGCGCGTTCCATCTCTGACTCCGGGGCTCCGAAACGCCTTTCCAAGACACCGGTATGGCGGAGAAAGTAATAGTGCCGCTGCGCATCGTTTTCGTAAGGTCCATATGAGAAGTGGGAATAGTACTAACGTCAGGCAGGCAGCTTAATCGTCCTCGATGTCGTCGTCGGAGATGTACAGTTTCTCCACGCCCATCGCCGCCACGGCTGGCGCGTTATTCTTCAAGTCCCTAAGACTTTGCGTCGAGCCGAAACCTCCTCCGACGCGGGTATTGCTGACACCTGGTCCCGTTGCGCTTCCGGTGACTGGAGCTGGAGTCTGCATTTGCCCGATCCCTCCGCCAGATATGACATTCATAGCCATGTCGTCTTCCTCAAACCCTGCTTCATCCAGGGAAAGGTAGCTGGTAGGCTTGAACTTGGTGATCTTCTCCATGATAGTTGTATCTTGTCTCCTGGCCGCAAGGATGCGAGTCATGTACGGCAAAAGCTCGATTGTCAATGTATATCTGGAATGTACGACCGGAGGGGGTGGGTTGTTTTCGGTTCCTTCTTCGCCTTCAGGCCCGTCATGAGGGATGGATGTGTCTGGTGGTTCTAGTTCAACTCGTGTCGAGGAGGCACTGGTGGCCCTGTTCAGCACAAAATCTTTCGTTCGCCAATTCGCAACGCCACCATCACCGCCTGGGGCCAGGGTCTTCATCCCACTCCCAGTTGCAAAAACAGAAGATCCCCCGGCTCTTCCAGCCCAGACCCCCTCGCCATAGACAAACATCTCCAAGAGACCCTCCATCTCCTCGATTGGTTTCCACAGTCTCAGACTCGCGGGGTAGAACACTTTGAAAGAATCTCCTCTTTTACCACCCGGTATCGTGGCCGCCGCTCGATTGACTGGATATGGCAAGTTGAATAACAGGCCTCTGGTAGCAACGTGGAAGCTGATTTCGTCCTGCCGGAGCATGTCCGACGATCCTGCTTGAAGATTCGACTGCGTTATCCCGATATTGGGATTCGAGTTATTATGGCGCCGCCTAATTGGACGGCTCTCCGGATTTAGGACATCACTTGTGGAGAGGATGTCGGAGCAGCCATCGAAACACGCCTCAAACGCATCGCCGTTGCATGAGAGGATGTAATTTTCGTGTAGCGTGGAAATGAACGTCTGAATGTCCGTGCCAGTCTCGTTCAGCAATGCTTCGATATCCACTTGGGACGCCTTTGGAGTGTACAAATGCATAAGATGATCCGGTGGTTTTGGTGGTGGTTGAGCTCTAGTGTCTAATACGCGAGGATCTTCGCGTTTGTTGTAGACGATTTTGCCTGCTGCATGGAACATGTCGAGAGTTGTTTCACGCTGACAGACCAACTGCAGAGAATTCTTTTCCACCTCCGTCAATGCCAAGCTCTCCTTGTCTTTCGATGGCCGTTTTGCCTTCGCCGCAACGGTGCCGGACCACTCCGATCCATCTCCCCTTCTCAAGCACAGAAACTCGAGGGAGTTGACGGCACTGCGGACATCGCCCATTTCAGCCAGCCTCGTGATAATGGCTGGGCCAGGTACTCGACGTCGACGTGAGTCTCTCGCTTCCTTTTTCATCACTAGGTCCAGCGCTTTTGTGACGAACGTAGGGGCAACGGGGTTGAAGTCCATGGCAGTCACAAAGGGATGATTCAGGATCTCCGCACCTAGCAGTCGGTGGGCTGTGAAGCTATCCACCAGCGCTGTGGAAGAAGATAATAAAGTCTCTGATATGATGATGACCATAGGTGGGGATGTGTCCTTAGGACCCTGTTGACCACGAAATGCCATAGAGGGAGGCTTGCTCACTCGAGCGAGAAACTGCAGGATGACGGATCTGAATGAATGAAGGGCACTCGAAGATCTCGTGATCGTTGCTGGAAACTCTTCAATGACCAGAAGTCGGCCGCCTGGATCTCCTTTGGTTGCATTCCCCTCTGGAGAATCATCATTGAAAGCCAGACTACTGAATTGCCCGCCTCGATTCAAGAACTCGTCGAATTGTGCAGATAGTGAATTGTTCACACCCATATCTGACACAGCAGCGTTGTGCCATGAGACGAGCTGTAAGCCCAGTGCTTTGGCAAGCAGGCTGATGGTCGTGGTCTTGCCACTGCCCGCCGGACCCTTTAAGATTAGCAGTTTCTGGTTGTTGTGCCCATCCATCCTGCCCTGCAACCAATTCCGAACATCGGCCACCTTCTTCTTATGGACCACGAGCTCCTCGAGATTGGTAGGACCATAACGGTCGGCCCAGGGGCGATGGTCTTGATCATCAATTTGAGATGGATGTCCAAAGTTGTTGACATTCCGATCTGGTGCTGTAGGCTTGACAAATCTCTGGGTGGATGGCAAACTGCTACTATCAGCATGGCGCTTGAGGATTCCTGTCGCAGACACCACAGCTGGGAGTTGTCGGTCCGAGTTGATGTTGGGTCTGCCTCTATTAAATCCAAGTTCCTGCAAGGTTTCGTCGGAGAGCTCGTCGTCTTCGATGGCATCGCTCAACTCGCCATTATTCTCCACCTCCACGTTTGGTGTCTCAGACTTTCTCTTCCACCTCTGTTCCTCCGTCGCTTTACTGAAGAAGTTATGGAGTGACTTGTTCTTTTCCGCCTCGTCCTTGATTGTGGCATTCTTTCTCGCTTTCTCAGGTGATGATACCGGTGAGGGTTTGGCTGCGGCCTTTTTGGAGGCAGAATTGGTGGCTTTAGACTTCACCGGAGAAACCGTTGTAGAGGTCCTGCCATCGAGTGTGATCTCCCTTTGGAAATGCGTTCTTCCGGGTTTGGCCGCCCGGAGGTCCGACTCTTCATCGCTGTCGTCTGAAAGGACGATGGTAGATCTGCGCTGCCGTTTGGCAGGTCGAGGAGCCATTAGCAAGCATTCTGAAGCTATGGGCGTCACGCAACGACTTTCGTCGTGAATCGATAGGGGCTTGTCCTAGGATTGCTGCTCGCGACAAACGCGATCAAAACTTCAAATGTTGGAAGCAAAGAAGTCACCCCAAAGCGGCCAGTTCACGTGATGAGATGTCGTGCATCGTGACGGAGTTCCTCGTACAGCCTAATTGACGAGGTATTATTATGTACTTGGTTTGACTTGGTACACCAACCTCGGACACTCCTTGCCACACCTAGACGTCCTTATTGTTTGTCATTGAAAGTTACATCGAGTCTTTCGCTCTTGTCTATCTAGCTCGCTAGGTGCCTAGGTAGCTAGGAGAAGGAGCTCCTAGTTATACCCATACCTCAGAGGGCATCGACATGACTTAACAGACGAAATAGGGGCAACAGAGGGAGGGACCAGGACCGTCCATTCATAAACAAACCACAACCGTCTCCTGCCGCCATTCAAGACTTGCTTCTTTTTCCACACGTTCGACTTCCATCGGCACAGCCCGGCGGAAAAATCGAAACACTTGGTGCACGATTTTGGAGAAGCAAGTCTTCCCTCTGATCGTTGGACCGTCGCCTATGATTCTGGTCAACTCCTCACATCTCCTTTCCTTGCCCCGCGCGCTCATCGGCCTTCTCAAGCCAATTCTCTTCCAATAATGGACGCTGAATGCTCCCGTCGGAATCGGAATCCTCTTGCCGTGCGTTGAAATCTTGATTTCTTCCCCGCATTTCGCTCCATGTCCGAATCTGTGCCGATGCCCGCGGGAATCAATGTGCATTGGATTTCTAGATTGCTTCGTTCTATCCTCTTCGTTGGAACCGTTTTCCCTCTTTTCATCTTTCTTGTAGTCAGCAGGAAAGCCAAGGTGCGATATACTTTTGCTCGGCTCTCTCATTGAGCGGTACAAGATAATATATGCACATAGAGGCCGAAGTTACTTGCTTGCTCAACGGGACTCGATATCAACTTACATTCACTTCTCAATAGACTATTGATGAGCCTCTAATCTCAAATCGGCATTATAAACGACCTGGGTACATCAAGACACAGCACAACAAAAAGATACGAAGTAGCCATGGCGCCAGCCCTCGACGTGTACGACCACTCCTCCGCCGAAAACCGCTCCGTCGGCGCGTTGGGAGTGACGACTTCGGGCAAGAAGCTGAAGATCCGCTCGTATCCGAAATTTTCGTCGCTCGAGGAGGAGCGATTGTACCGCAAGCAGCATCTCGCTGCCGCGTTCAGAGTTTTCGCCGACAGAGGCTTCGATGAGGGTGTTGCGGGCCACATCTCAGTAAGGGACCCGATTTTGAGGGACCATTTCTGTGAGTCCCCAAGTCTTCCCTTTCGCAATCTGGGGTGATCGTGGATAGTGTTTTCAGGCGGAGCTTTGTATTGGGACTCAGGAGAGGGAGAGAAGTAAGCCAAAAGGAGGTTGGAGGACGCCTCTCTTAACAAGATATTGCCGGCGAAACCCATACTGACAATTACACGACCGGCAGGGTTGAACCCCCTCTCTCAGCATTTTTCCCAAATCTGCGTCTCCGACCTCATCCTTGTGAATGAAGATGGCGAGGTCGTGATCGGCGACGAACCCATCAATGCCGCTGCATTCGCCATTCACTCTGAAATCCACAAGGCTCGCCCGGACGTTGATGCGGCATGCCACGCTCACAGCGTTTACGGAAAGGCCTTCTCGGTTTTCGGGAGGGAGCTGGACATGATGACCCAGGATTCACTGAGGTTCTACAAAAGCCATGCCGTCTACGATAACTTTGGGGGCGTAGTGTTGGACCGGGAAGAAGGAAAGAGGATTGCCAAAGCGCTTGGGAACGGGAAGGCGGTTATTCTTCAAAATCACGGTTTGTTGACTTGCGCGAAGACGGTATGATCCTCCAAAATTCGTTGTTTCTTTCTCTTGCAAAGCCGCGCTGATACTTCGGCTTCTTTAGGTCGATGCTGCGGCGTTCTGGTTCATCAGCCTTGACAAGACCTGCCACGCCCAGTTGCTCGTGGACGCAGCGAGTGCCGGCAGTGGACATAAGAAGATCCTCATCTCAGAAGAAGAGGCCGAGTTTTCCTATCCCCAGGTCGGCACGGATGAGAAGGGTTGGCTCGCTTTCCAGGGCTACTATGATGAGCAGCTGGCCAAGACGAACGGCAATTTCTTGAAATGAAGTCGCGCATCTCTTAGTGAGCAAACAAGCGTTTGTAGATCACCTTTTCTTTTCCAGGGAGACGAGGTCACAAACCATCCAATCCCGAGCATCATATTTCCTTCTCTTTCAGGTTTAAAGCCATTGGTTCAGTCTTGTACTCGCGGTTCTGTCCTTCCTCAGGGTGAGGATTCTCTAAATAGAGCAGTTGGTGGGCATTCTTTTGAAATTGCTCTGAAGCAGGGAAGGCGCCGCGAAGACGGCGATGATTCCCTGTCTAGCCTCTGAATGATCGTTCGCGTTTACGAGACTCTCGGCTAATCGAGCACAACCCAAGGAGAGTCGAGAAGCAGATGATGAGCGACTCCACAATTTGCTGGCCAACCGCCTTGGAACTTGGATGCAGTTGGCATTCAGAAGCAGCAGAGTAGGGATCTAACTTCCCCAAGCCAATCGAAGTCTTTCCCTCGTCTTGCTGCGCGATGACATGGGCTAGTAATCGCGTCTGGGATTAGTGATGGAAACCAGTTGGTAGAGTTTGGAAATACAATAAGAGCCAGCTCCTCCCTGAAGGCCGGTTGGCCTCGTAGATGGTCCCGATAGGTCCCCTTTCTCCGTCTAGAGGTCCATAAGAGGTGGTTGACCCTCTAGTCCAGGACTGCTTCGGTCCACCAACAACTGGTCATAAGTTCGGGGTTGTAGACTAAATTGACGTTGACAGCATCTCAAATACCATCCAACAAGGAGCAAAATTTTGCCCTATGGTTGCAATACACTTGTACCTCACCTCCATCCCGGCCGGACGCAGCGTTGTGACGATGTGTTGGGACCCTGTAGCTCCAATAGCTCGGCATTCGAAATGGTATCACGTCCAAGTTGGCCACGTTGCCCAACTTCTGTGGCTTCTTTTGTCGCAAACTCCTTGGCCACAGTTTTTAAACCCTTACAATCTTGGGAGCAAGCACCACAACGCACTCTGACCTTTGCCCAACATGCCGACAGGAAGCTGCTTCTGGGAAACATTAAGATCGAGTACTCCGGGGAGCCTGCTATGGCAGTTAGTCCCTCTGCGTAGAAAGCCTTGTCTCGTCGATCAGCGTGGACTGATGATCTGTTAAACCAGGCGCTCTGCCACTGTACCGACTGTCGAAAGATTTCAGGCGGAAACTGAGCAAACCACTTTGTCGTGCCGAGCTCCGATTTCAAAGTCGCCCAAGGGACACTCAAGGAAATCACCAAAACGACTGACAGTGGAAAGCCGATCACTAATTGCTTTCGCCCTGGACTGTGGTATGTGATTGATTTCGTGGACTGCCAGCTTTAGTAGGGAAGGTCGGGAGGGTAAATCTGAATGAAGTTTGCCCGACAGGCACCAGACTGTTCCGATATGGCGACACCTTCGGCATTATCGATGGCGTGAGGATCATCAAAGCAGGTGTCTTGAACGACGTCAACATCCTCAACAACGTCAAACCCGGCGCCGAATTGTTTGCGCACGAGCGTACCAATTGGGTTCCGGCCTTGCAAGGTGCCATTTAGATTAACACAATGCCGCCACCGTCTTGAAAGAATGCATGAAGGAGATCGGGGTGGTACAAGAAGGAACAAGAAAAGAAAGAATGGAACAATGGATCTGATGGCTTGACTTCCGGATCAATGCTGGTTGAGGAATCTGGTGATTGATCTTCCCCACATTGCCAATGATACTTGATTAACGGTTGGCCCGCTATTAAATGCTCCTTGCCTTGGGGGAAATTGATATGATCAAAATGGTTACATCGAATGTTAAGCTGGGGGGATGATGTGAAGTGGTTTCCTGGGCCAACTCCTCCAGATCTCGTCGGAAGTGTAGGACGCCGCCAGCACAAACTCCTTCTCCAACGCCGGTCCAGCAATTATCGCTTGCTCCTTATAATGCGTGGGTATCGTAATGCATCTGGATCGCTTTCAAACAAACTTTGTCCAAAACAGATGGTCTTTTTCCGTTCCCTTGTCCAACCTTCAGAGTTCCCCACTGCAAGGCGTGGACGTTGGCTTCGGAGTTGGGCTTTCTGGGTCATCGGATGCTGCAGGATCTTTCGACAGGCTCCTCAGAGAACTTGGAGCAATCATTGTTTTCAACGGACTTGGGAGGGGTGGAGCAGGCGAATTCTTTCTCGAGGGGCTCGACAGCGGGCTCGCCATCGCGAGACTTCTTGCACGCGCATGTAGTTTGCGTTCCTCTTCCCCGTTCCAATCCTTCGTAAGCTCCGCTCGAACTCCTCGGCTCCACTGTCGTACGACATCCTCAAAAGACGACCAAGTGATGCTGTCGTCGACTTGATTTGCAACAGCCATCACATCGAGCTGAAGCTTGAGCTCCCATCTCAGCTCCGCTGCTTTCAGCCAATATCGAAGGTTGTCGGCACGCCTATACGGTTTCGCCACGTCCTCGTGGAAGGTTTTGATGTAGTCGAAATGCCTCTTGGATCGTTTGACGGCGGCGTTGTGCATGGTCACAAGATCTCTACCATCAGCGAGGTTGCGGAAAAACTCTGGGGTGGAATCGACCTTCTCAGTGGATGGGCTTTGACCAATTCCATGAAGCAGGAAGTTGAGAAAGTTGATGTCTCTTTCTTGCGCTCGATCAATCCACTTGGCATCGTCCATCCAGTGCCAGTCCTTCCTCTCGGTCTTGTCTGCTTCCTCCAATTTTGCTTCTTGATCAATCATCATGCCAACGTCACTAACCCAAACCAATACTGCAAGCCTTTCGTCCTCTCGAAAACCGCCTGCAAAGTTGCGAGAGGCACATTTCTTCAGGACATCCAGCACAGAGTAGAGATCCCTCCGCAATTCCTGGTCGGATCTTATAGAATTCAATCTCTGGGGATTGGGATGTAGCGTGTAATAGAGTCTTGCAGCTCGGATTGCTTGAGTCGTGGTATCGAGGACATGGAGTCCCTGAACCTCGTAGAATCCTGGTGTCTGATCTTCAGGGGTTTCCCCTGTTGCATGTTCACAGGACTCGACAGCCTGTAACGCGTTTTCTAGAGCTTCCACTAATTCTTTCTTCATGGTTTTCTGATCCGGAGGCGGGGCCACATATGTCGATCGATGACTGTACGTTGATACGGTCGGGGGTAGCATCACGTCCGTACCATCCTCGCGCACGGCATCCCACATGGCCTGGGACTCGTCCTCAATCGGAGATTCGACCAGATCTTGATTTGCCGTTAACGACAGTTTTGGAATGTCGTATTCTCCGTTCTGTTTCTTCTTTGCCATTTGGCCTCCCTTGCCATCTAACAGACCCGTTCGGGCGAAATAGTATTGCAGATGGGCGATGCTGCCGAGGCTCATGACACTCTCGCGGTTCTTGGCCGATTCGGCAAAGGAACCTCCTTGAGGACGGACATAGCCACGTCGGCGAGAGTTTGTACTGGTTCGAGAAGTAGTTGAGGCATTGGAGTATGAGGATCCGCTCGAGATTCTCGAGGCGCCGGAGCAGGATCGATTGGACAAGAGACTGGAGGTGTCAGGGGTGGCGAGGAGATTTGGGGAGGGCGAAGGCGATCGAGAAGGGATGCAGGATGATGACAGATCTAGATCTGTGCTCATGGCGACCGGATGGTTACTGAAGGCCTCGAACCGGGGAAACACAGGATGTTCTGAAAATAGAAAGAGAGCAATGACTGTAGCACTCTCCTGGAGGTAGGCGTGGACTAGGTAGCACAGACAGGTACGGTAAACGGCCGACCGGCGGTGACAGACAGATGGGCAAGTCCAAGTGATGTTGTAATGAACGAGGGAGGATCAGTCTCGATCAAAATGCACACAACAGTTGGAAAGGAAGATCGACCTTGCCATGGTGGTTGATGATTGAAGAGCAGGTTGGTGGTGGTGGTAGTGGTGGTGTTGGTGAAATTGCATCGAGACGCTAGTGCCAGATTCGAGGTCGAAAGGGGGAAATGAACGCAGTCTGGAGAAATCAACAACCGGCTGGGACACCTGCTCGGCTCCTTCAAGCCAGGCCACTGCCCCGTGATCCTGATCTCACAATGAATCTCCGTCGCAACGTTCTATGTACGCAGCTTCAATCACAGATTGCACGTTGGCAGCAAAGGTCCCAGTGTCGATATATACCGAGCATACCTACGCACCTATAGGAGGCCACCAGGGCCATTTGTTGACACGTCAGACGCGAACCGCGCGTTCCCTCCAAGGCCTCTTCACCTACTGTATGTACCTAAGGTTTGTCGGGATCGCCGGGCCAATCCGTCCAGATTCTTACCTATGTAGGTACGTAGCGAGGCTCTCCCAGAGTCTACCTGAGCCTGGTTGTCTTCCCTCTTCCTCTTCCATTCACAACACTAACTTTCGTCAACTTTAGACGATGGGGCCCGTTTGCGACGCTGGGGGACCCCAACCCGGCCTCCCCTCTGGTGTACTCTAACTCTTCAGTAGGGCGGCTATTGTGTTGCTCTCTTACCCGGCAATTATGCATCTCTGCCCACTTCGAAGACCTGGTGGAAGGTCGGTTTTGTGTTGGTCCTCTTGGACATAAATGCGCCGTCCCGCGCTCGCGACATGTTCCCTTTCTACTTAGTATTTGCGGGCTGGACTTTTTTCCAGGAAGATCTGCTCGCGGCTCACCTCGATTTCGAACTAAGGTGATGCCGCCCTGTACGGAACACTCACCCTCGCCTGACCTGGTGAGCGATCACCCTTGAACTCACCAGCCATAAGGGCGAAATCCTATCTAGCTCAATGCTGCCACCACACTATCGTGGTGACTTTTCACGATTTCATTGTGACTCTGGAAATGAATGTTCGGCTCAAATTGACAACTCCGAAGTCGGAGTTGTCGTCAACGTGATCCTGATTCAACAGTCCGCGTCCTCGGCATCTGAGTCATAGAACACAGTGGGCTCGTCGCAAACCGGGTAGTCCACATTTTCGGCACTAGTCCTTGAATCGGCATTGCCAGCATGCGCGTTCCTCTCGATCTCGATGGGATGGGCGCCGTACATATCGTCCATTTCGTATTCGGCATCGTTGTCGTCAGTATGCTCCATAGCATGATCAGCATCGACGGTTGGCTGTTCATTGTTGAGTCGGAGCATTTCGATAGTATTGGTCAGTCTCCATCTGGTCGAAATCGATGCTAGACTCGAGGACCTCCGCATCACTAGCAATGTCGTGTGGTATCAGTTCAACGCACGGGATGGTAGCAATGGGGTCCTGCTAGATATCGTCCGTCCCAGTGAAATCCCAGCGCGAAGCTAAGTGCCTTGAATAGGTCCCAATAGCAACGGAATCCCAGGTCGCGACGAGAATTTGAAGAGATAATCTCGCAGCGTTCTTTGTACGTGTATAGTGGATTCTATTTTCGACCGATCCTGATCGCAATGTTTGCATCTTGCAATTTCTGGTGGGAACGTCTGGCATGCGGTTATGTCACGTGTACTTTCTGGGGGTTCTAAGCGATGCAGAAGATCGATCTGTTCGGTATTTTCCCAATTGTCATTTTGAGACTTCGGTTCGATCCCGGTAGGATAGCAGACCTCCCAGAATGTCTCATCATTGCCCAATTTCGGCCACAGTCGAAGCCTGAGTACTTGGCGGTAATGGTACGAAAACTCGACTTGTTTGTCCGAGTAGATGTAAACCGATTGTCCATGCCTTCTTAGTGTGTCTCTGTATGCGGCAAGGACGTGTTCGCGAGCACTCATGAACCTGTCGTGAAAGCTTTTCTTGATAAGATCAAAAAGATCATCTTCTAAACTACATACCCCAAGCGCCGCCAATCCAATCAGGGTCACAAAAGAGGCCGCGAATGCGCCGACTCATCTGAAATTCATACTCTGAACACCAGAATTTGAACCGGTCACGCCGTAATTCCGCTGCTGATGGTCCGCGCATATCATCGAGAAGATAGTCGAGCCATACCTGTAGAGCATCCTCACATGCCTGGATATCTTCATCGTTCTATCCTATTTCCTTGGACCAATTGCAAAAGGCCCGTTCTGCACAGTCGTTCGAATGCTCGACAACAGTGATGCTCGATAGAATGACGCAATGATGGATATTCACGTGATTTCTTACGCTAGAAAATACTCCAATTATTGTTGGCTGACTTTAGTCAGCAGCCTTGGCGAAAAGGAGATTAAAGTTCTCTGGCAACAATAACCGTATTAGGGGGGACTGGATCTGGCCCTTCCTGAGCAATGCGAAACACTAAAAACTGGGAGCTGGGGGGCCAAGATACTGGTCCCCACAGGACTCAGGACTCACGGCTTTGCTCACCCTGGTCATAGCACGACTCAGGGCTCGCCATGCCGAGCTCCGGACGGCACAAGCCACAATTCAAGTTAGCTTACCTCCTAGTCATGGGTCAGGTTAAATGGCGGGATGCTCACGTCTAGAAACGGAAATGGAATCGGATATCGGTTGTGGGCCAAAAAAGAAACAGATCTCTACGGATAACTTTGGTAGGGCATTGATTGTAGGGGTTGACACTACTAGATGCAAACAGGTTCACCCATGCTGAACTTTCCCAAACATCCTCCGACAAGCGGATGAGCCTGACGTGTTGTATGACCGGGCTCAACTTCGGCTCAGTCTCTTTCTTGAGCTTGCTCAGGTTCACCACCTCTCTGCTCAGTCCCAAGTTTGGCCGCTAGCTCTCATTACTTAGCTATTCACGTCCTGTGCGCGAGTATCTCCCCTCGAGGATGTGGCAACTTTGCTCGCCCGTGTGCGAGGGACCAGTTTGAGGATTCCGAAGTTCCAAAACCCCCTCTTATACTTAATCGCGCTCTGTCCAAGGTAAAGAGGCCCTAGACAAACTACCAGGCAGGTTTCGCACTCTTTCATCATTTGTGATAGCGCTTATCAATGTTTATTTCACCTGATACAATTTCTGAATACTGCACCGGCACAACTTCTATTCAGACTCTCTGTCCAGAGAGTCATCATCCATTTTCTGAGCAATGTCAATTTTGAACCTACCTCACATACCTATACTATTGTTGAACTTGATTATTCGGTGCTAGCAACATTCCAATTTGTCAGTGGTAATGAGGCTCTCAGCCTTCTTGACGAAGTTCACAACTGTGCTGGGATTATAATTCCTCGCTCTGATTCACGGAGACTCTAGCTATTTAGGCGTGGTTACGAAGTCCTCAGACTAGGCTTACTTTCATTGTTATTGATAATGCGTAGATCTATACAGTGATCGCTTTGGCAGGACCATTTGCACGAGGACGGAGCCTTCAATCCGTTCCATATGCCAACAGTTCTTAGAACTCACTTGACCCAAGCCCGCATTCAACCACCGCATCGGCAAGGGGAGTCGAGAAGCTATAGCCAAAGCTTGAGAATGGCTCTTTCAGTTCTTTTCCAAGACGCTGGTCTTCTACCATATTATCCTCTCTTTCAACCTTCCCTTACTTCCTTTCGACGCATTTTGCTTTCAACTTCGCCTTGATCCCTCGCTATTCCTCTTCATTTTTGGACCTCTCCTCTTTAACACTCTTCTCTTATCCTTTCATTCTCTTTCGACTGACGTACCTAAAGAGTAAGCAGCTGAAATAGCATATAACCAAGTTAACCGCCATAGTATTTCACACTGGTGTAGCGCATTGTGTTTGGAAAGGCCACGGAGCTCCAGCGAGATTTTTCAGCCATTTTTGGTCTGTTGTTCTTGTCGCGTCCACGTCTAGTTGCCCTCGAAGATTCAGCAGGAACTCCCCATCCATGATGCCGTGGAGGTAGCGTTGGCCCTTAAACTCATACCTATCTATCCCGAGTTTTCGCAAGACCACGGGGTGCTCGTAACCCATGAGGATCTAGATTTAATCGTTCACTAGGCAGCTTTCGCCAACCATACCTATATAACCATTATCGGGGACGAGAAGCTTTTGATCTCTCGTTCGCAGCGTTATGAACACTCTGTCCCTGTCATCCCTTGGGAATTTTTGGGCGACTCGTAAATGGCGAGTACGTTGGCCTTCAGCAGGCCTGGCAACCAAATTCGTTCCTTGCAATCTCGCGCGACGCTTGCCTGCACTCTCCGATGGAAAGTTGTCACCAATGCAAATGCGTAGGAGGCGAGCTGGATTGGTTCCATAGTAGGCGTGTATTTGTCGCCCTATGCCCACCTTTGAGCTATTTGAGACCATGCCCCTCGCGGGAAGATCAAATTCTTGTCAGGATCGTTCATATTATGAAACCTTCCTGCTGATTCTGACAATTGAGCAATACTTCCAACCAGTAGACCCTGTAAGCAAAGCTGAAGATTATCTTCCTCAAGGATCTGGACAGAGGAGCTGCCAGTGACGTTATAGAGTCTTTCAAGACCATGCTTAGGAATATCAGCTTGGTCGAAATATTCTATGTCGTTAAAGCGATAGTCGGATAGTCGGACACCCATGATGGAAGCTCTGTACATCCGTGGCGTTGAATAAATCAACGAGTTACTGATGCATAGGCTTCACCAAAATGAAGGCCATAGTCTCTAGGGAGCTGATTGGTATCCACGTCGTCTGTAAGGCCTACTAGCCCATATATTTTGTCGTTTGGTTCTGTTGCCTGGCTCTCCTGACACACTTTCATTAACGATAGTAAATTGCGATCACTAAGAGGATGTCCGAACCAAAGGGCCGGAATCTTTGTCTCTCCCGGTTTCCATGAATGGGGTTCCTGGCCAGCAATCAGTCTCCTCACATCTGAGTGGTTGATCACAGAGTTCATTAAAAGGTGAAGCTTCCGCCAATCCATGGTGTAAAATCCGCATCGAAGGGTTGCTCTGCGGGCTAACATCACCTCCCGAAAGACCCATAATCGTGAAAACCATGAAGAACCCAGCAGGTGGCGGAGTGCAACCCATTCTGGATGATCCGGTGTCGTAAAGCCACGTTGGAGAACCTGCCACATCTTCTCTTTTTTGGTGCTTCGACACATTCACTTGGGTATTTAATCTGAGCATCTCACAAGCAATGTCTTCGAGAAGTTCGAATGCCAGACATATTTGTTCTTGTTCGTCACCGAGCCAGATTAGAACCTTTTCCGCACCGCTGAAAATTCGCCCCATCATCATGATCTGAGATGCCTTCTCCGGCTTATTACCGTCTACCCAGAGGTTTTGTCCTTCATCACAATTGCGAATCCAACTCAGAGCATTCCAAAGACTTTTCGTGATCGATGCATATCCAGCATCATCACAAATAATGGTATGATCCCTTTCTCCTTCACCCCATGCGTATGAAAGCGCAGTGTACCCGTTACGAGGGATTTCAGGTGGAATATGCGAGATTGTGCATCGGAGTTCCTCTTTGCAGTTTCTAGGCAAGAGAGGAAGGATCCATATCTCATTATTGGACTGTAATTCGTTGTAAGTGTAGGGTGGTAAGCTTCTCGATTCACCCTGTTTGACTTTGGGTAACCTCCTTGTTCAATGTACAGTTAGTGAGTCCAACTGGAATTTTTAGGGTCATAGCCCTACTGATAAGCTTAGATTCCACTTGCAGAAGTCGTGTGTGAGCATCCTTCAATGCCGCACCAGCGATATCTTCTTCTTTTCTTAGGTCTGGATCGAGATTATAATCCCTCTTTCTGGAATTATTCTCGAAAGCGAATAGCTAGGCAATTTAATCTCGAAATTGGCTGCTGTGTACCAAGTAGCCGTGGGTCATCCTTTAAAGAGTCTGAACTGTTGAGGTCGTTCGATATTCTTTCAAATAGCGCAAGCTGGAAAATCTCACTAAAAAGAACCGCGGCTTCAGCGCTTTTCCGTCTGTTCTCAGAGTTTCTCCCCGCAAACGTGGGAGACCTCTGGGAAAGGTCATCCATTCTAAGGCAGCACAGCAGTTCCCGTTCTTGTGTAGGACCTCAGAACTCCCGCAAAGTGCGAACAAAAGCCTTTGAATTTTTTTTTCACTGCTAGGGCGTCAAGAATTAGATGCGACTGCCTTGCCAACTAGCAAATGCCTAATGTATTGTTGCTGTCGTCAGAGGCGTCACTCACACCTCGCCCCTGCCCCGCATCTATGAGCATACCAACCTCATGGGCCATGGCATTCATCATTTCAAGACATATAAGCCTGTCGAGACGCAACGAACGACGTCCTGATTGACTTGGAGCCAAATAACTCTCTCAATCCCCACCAGCCTTCCATCATGGCCAAACGAATTGCATTCAAGGTCCACGGCAAAGTTCAGGGGGTGGCCTTTCGGTAAGTGTTTGTGTGATAGAGTTGACACAGTTCTCCTCTATACCAACCATCTAACTCCACACAGTGACTTCACCCAGAGAAGAGCTACGAGCTATGGGGTTACGGGCTTTGTTTTTAATACTTCAGATGGAAAGGTTAAACCTCCCCCGTGCATTGATGGATAATGTAACCAAGTCGCATCAGACAACCCGCTGACACATCCTCTCCACATGTAGGTAGCCGGAGAAGCGCAAGGTGATGAGGAAGCACTAAAGAAACTGAAGGCGGATTTGAAGGCGGGACCTAGAGCAGCCCATGTGGTGAAACTCGAGATTAAGGACATCGATGTCAAGGATGGAGAGGAATCGTTTGACGTCTCAGTATGAAGGACCGAAAGAAAAAGTCTGCTCGCCTCCAGCATGTGCCACAACAAACGCCGCAGCAACTCAAGCCTGAACTAAAAGGGATTAGTACCTATCAATATAGAGGAGCTCCGCGGATGGTCCCTTCTGCCCTTGGCTCTCACATCACATTGCATATCCGGATCTCCCAAGCGAGGACGCCGGCACGGGATATCAAAATAGAAACTTGAGCAAATAAGCACACAATGCTGTGCCACCAAATCGGTCAAAGATGCCTCATAGCGGAGAATTGTTAAACTTGGGAAAGGAGAGCCTCGAGCGTGTCAATAGAGAGATGCCGGTTTCTCCCGATATCCTACACTGTGAGCTGCAAGCAAGGGCCATGCAAGGCCATGTCATGACTCTCCAGCCTTGTGGTCGCAGTCTTCCAGCGTCCCGATCTTCGCCGTCCTTCTCCAAGTCAGGTGTACTGTAGATCTTTTGTTGTAGTCGCCGACAATCCAGATCTCTCGGAATTGATGGCCACAATGGCAAACTGGTGTTTTTGCGGCGGCTACTGTTACTCATCCACCCTCACCTTGAGCTCGAGGATGCCCCGTGCAAGTCACTGCATAACATACATCGGTGTCTCTAGATTGGGAAAGTATCTCTTGCCCGACGAGGTAAAGCTCGAAATGCATAAAGTACAAATGCCCTTGACGATGGGGTATTGTGCAAGCCGCCAGAGGAAGGGAAGTTGGAAACTTTGTGAGTCAGCAACTTAGAAAGACCTGGTGGCTTCAAGGTTAGCTGGAGCAAGCCCTGCACACGGGTCGTGTCCCGAGTAGTCTAACCAAAAAAGGTGGCAAACAGCCATCGAAATTTCAGCTACTACCCACAGCCTGGTGCTCGCCTGGTGGCCCAGACACGAATTCGAACCGCGTTGTTCCTCCACTCGTTCCATTTCTTTTTGTAACATGCTCAGTGTGCATGCGTAACACTGCATCTTTGAATGCCTGGGGTGCCTGAAGCGTGCTCCGAAATTGGCGCAAGTGGCGCATGACAACCAGCGCTTTCACACGCCTTCTCCTCGCTCCATGCTTGACTCCGATGATGCCTGTATCTGTTCGGGTCCTGATACAAGACTATAAAATGATAACCGTGTATTGCCATTGCGTGCCAGGCGCTCTCTGTCTCTCACCGTGCTGACCAAACTTTTCAAGACCGCCGGAGACTTGATCGGATCCCTTTTGCTTACCTTTACGATTGTCCGCTATCGTTCACACACAGATTCCTCTTCCCTCAATGGCCTCCTCGAAAGCCCTTTTCACGCCAACCGTTACGGCGAGTTTGTCGAGTGCAGCTAGGAAAGGACTGTTTTCTTCGACTACCACCGCTGCCGGTCTGAGGTGCAGCTATGCAGCTATTAGACCATTCGATGCGCAGTCGAGACGGAACTTCTCTGCGTCCCACAAGGCACAACTCGAGTTCTTCCCACCGGCCAAGAATCTTCCTCACATCAAAATGACGTACGCCAGCGAGGCTCTATTCCACGACGATCTTACTGACTATCGGCAGTCCTCCACCATGGCCCCATCCGACCGCAACAGAGGAACAGCTCAAGCACATTGAGATCGCTCATAGAGACGTGCGAAGTGCTTCGGATTGGGTTGCATACAATTCAGTGCGCTTTTTGCGCTGGGCGACTGATCTCGTCACGGGCTACCGCCATGATCCCAACAAGCCTTACATAATGAGCGAGAGGAAATGGCTAGTCCGATTCATCTTCCTCGAAACGGTGGCTGGTGTGCCGGGAATGGTGGCTGGCATGCTCCGTCACTTGCGGAGTCTACGGGCGATGAAGAGAGACAATGGGTGGTACGTTTCAATACAGCCTGATCATCGCGGCGGTTAATGCTGACACAGATGTGCTTAGGATTGAAACAATGCTTGAAGATGCCTACAACGAGCGGATGCACCTGCTGACGTTCCTGAAAATGGCCGAACCGGGACTGTTCATGAAATTGATGATCCTTGGTGCCCAGGGAGTGTTTTGCAACGGCTTCTTCGTCGCGTACCTGCTATCCCCGAAGACCTGCCACCGCTTCGTCGGTTACCTGGAAGAGGAGGCTACCAAGACATATACTTATGCCATTGAAGACCTCGAGAGTGGAAAATTGCCGGGTTGGGAGAAACTCGAAGCACCGGAGATTGCCGTCAAGTACTGGAACATGCCAGAAGGCAAGAGGTCCATGAGAGATCTTCTCTACTATGTCCGAGCAGACGAGGCAAAGCACCGAGAGATTCATCACACTTTGGGTAACCTCAACCAGGCTGAAGACCCCAATCCCTTCGCCTCCGAGTACAAAGACCCATCTAAGCCGCACCCCGGCAGAGGCATTGAGCACATCAAGTCGAAAGGCTGGGAGCGAGAAGAAATAATTTGAAGGGGCGCTTTGTATCATCACTGGCGGGCAATGGGACCAAATGCTATGGGTTAAACCGGGCGCGGAAGTTTGAGGCGTTTCTTAGCGGCATCTTTTGGTCCGGCGTCGCGTGTGCTCTTCTTGGAGGGCAGTTGATTCCCACGGTTTGACTGAGACTTGGATGCAGGTCAGTCTAGAATTCGGCTGGTTTGCCAACATTGATAGATATCGGGTGGACCGCGTTTTCAGGCCACACTGTGCGTCCTCGCGGGATATTAAAAGACAGCATTCCCCAATCCAAAAACAAAACTCATCATTATCTTGTGTTCCCGGGTCCAAGTCTGCCGTGTGGTTGTTTATACCTATGCACCCGATAGAGTTCCTGGGCCGGACGAAGGATTGATGTCAGAGTGCATTTCTCAGGCACAAGCCAAAGCCAGCTTGGTGAAGTCGATCCTAGTGGCCCTTCACGCCCGGCAGCCCAGTTTTTAAGCTCCGCAAGCGCGCCGTGGGAGGGACTGCGGTTTGCTGCGCTGGACAGTGTTCCCTAACCCTGGTTCGTCGCCTGCACTTGTTGGTGTAATCTTACCCAAACAAATCCCCGGGGCGTGCAGGGCGTGCCAGAGCGTGCACTGCCAACGCCAACAAACTCGCTACAGTCCAACCTCGTCCATCGACCACCGACTCACCGTCGCCCTTCACACTCGAAACACACTGCCACCCAACCTCACCGGTGTACCAACTGTGCCCGAACCACCCTTGCACAACATTTTTGCACACCATTCTCTTTGCCATACCCTTCATCCGGTCGAACCCTGAACACGCCGAGCTCCCGGTTGTGCGTCCTCAGCGATTCTTACGCATATGAACAACACTGCGACTGCAGCTGCACCCTGTGTCTGGGTCACCTGGCCTTAAACCTGGAGCAACCGATCGGGCTGGAAAGTCAGCGCTCGCTGTTTGTTATGACCTCTGCTCTCCGCCGCCCGTCCATGGTGGAAACCCCAAGCGATGTCGACCTACATCAACTCCTCGTCCCCTCTTCATCAAACGATGTCTCGTCTCAGCACCAGGCGAACTCTGCGTCCTCCGAACCCAGCAGTGATGCTGGTTCCTTCGTGATTCCTGACAACCTCTCCCGAAGCAACTCCGTCTTCTCCTTTTCAAGGGCCTCCTTCAGCAGTCAGATCGCGAGCCTGACCTCGATTAACATTCCCCAAGCAGAGTCGCTTGCTGCCACCGTCAGCTCCCTTCCGAGCGCCCGTAAGGCCATAAAAGCCATCTCTACCGCTGCCGAGCAAATACAATCATGGATCAAGAAAGCCTTGAAAGTTTTGGAAAATCTCGATGCCGAAGACGACGTGGAATGGGCTGCAGCGGCTGGAAGACTAGGATTGGATGAGACAGACAAAACTATTAACAAGTTTGAGTCTTTGATCAACATGTACGTTCTGTCGATCGAGGAGCTGCAATCGCGCCCCGATATTGGCGACGCAAATCCCGAAGATCTACAGGCCGTGGTTGAACAGATGGAGTCGACTCTGGGTGGCTGGGACGACGTTCGGAAAGACTTGAAAAATGTTCATGAACAAGTGGAGTTGGCCATGGAATGGGAGGAGTTGTGGGCAAAAGTACTCGGAGACGTGGGCGCAGAGATGGACGCCCTCAGCGCGATGGTTTTCGAAATGGAAGAGAAGAGACACACTGCCTATCAAACACAGACCCAGGTCGATTCAAGTCAAAACATCGACCTGAACGAACTTGAGAGCTTCATCGATGAGCCCTCTCAGAAAAGGACCACTCCAAATTCGCGGTTCAGCATCCCTTCTTTCGAATCCTCTCCCCTCGGATCTCCCATTATTGAAAACCCACAGGACGACTCGAACTTGCTGGCTCTCTTCGCTCGGATGCAGCCCCTCAGAGCTTCATTGGATTTCCTGCCTATGAGGCTGTCGATGTTCCAGTCTCGAGCAGAAAAGATCTTTCCCATTGCGTGCGGAGAGCTTGATGACAAGCGGGCGCGGTTAGAAAGAAATTGGACCGAGTTGTCAAAGGAGGCAGAAACCCTTCGACGAGAACTCAGCGAAGATCGATGGGTGATTGTCTTCCGCAATGCTGGCCGACAAGCTCAGAAAATGTGCGACTCTGTTGAAAGAAGTATCCTGAAGGTCCAGGAAGCTATCCACGAAAATTTTCAGGCCACAAATCCATCCGCTTTGGCCAAGAGGATCGAAAGTTTCGAGGCAAAAAAGCTCCATTACAGCCCAGCTATTCAACGGGTGCTTGGAATTATACAAAAAGGTCTCAAGGACCGCTTGACGGTAAATGGAGAAATCCTCCGTTTACACAAGGATTTATCATCTCGAATGCGAGATCTGACCGACACCATGGACGACCTTGAGAGCCTCCTTGAGCCCGTCACCTCGCGGCAGAACTCGAAATTGCGAGAATCGATCTCGAGCATCGTTTCTGCAGATCGCTCGTTTACCAGCACTACTTTTGCAGGTACCCCAGGCAGTTCTCCCCCCTCATCAGTCGACCTTCCTCCACAAAGACACGAAAAGCCTGCGTCCAAATACGGTCTGAATGGATACACAAAACAACGCACCCCGTCCACAAGCAGGCCACCTCCCCCTGCTTCGGGCAACAAGCGAATGTCGATGTTGCCCCAAACGCGACGTCCCACCACACCAATGTCACATTCGAGCAGTGGTGCAATTCGTCGAGGAACCTCACCTTTGCCAGGTCCTCCATCTGTCTATCGTCAAGGTGTCTATACTCCTCCTGTGGTGCCTGCACCTCGGCCAGAGCCGACACCCCTTTCGAATAAACCCAGATGGTCAGCGGTTGTGAAGTCTTACGACAGCACCATAGCACCATCGTATCGATCTTCTTCAACTACCACGCCAATGACAGCAAGGAGATATACTCCCCGATCCATTTCCTCCAACACTGCCTTGCCACTGCGGAGCCCCCTTAGTCGCGAAGCATCCGCATCACCTTCGTCGATGCTACCGACACTTGCAAAGAGAGACAGTCAGCAATTCAGATCCTTTGCTGAACGTGTCGCTGATCCTTTGCCAGCGAGAACTAGCAGTTTGTTGGATCCGGTTCCATACCACAAGACCAGAAATTCGAGTGCCCCGGCGCCGGGAACGATTCGATCGCCGTCTTCAGTTGTAGTCAACAACCAAAGTAAGCCTACAATGAGTGGAGGATCAATCCCGCGTCCGCCTTCCGCCCTGAGCAGGAGTTATGGTTCCTCACAGGTTCCATTGCGAGCAACGTCTCACAATCCTCGACTGGATAATAGGCTCGAAGGTAGTCCTGGGAAGAATGAAGATCGTTTGGATGAGAATGATAGGGTTAGTGAGAACGAGGAGGACCAGACGACGGAACCGAGTTCGAGTCCTTTGTCAAAACGCACGATTACCAGGCCCAGCAGCGTGCTGGCGATGAGTGGGAAGGCCAAACGGATGTCGTTGTTGCCTGTGCCTGTTGGAAGTGGCAGGCAAAGTTCATTGGGATCGCGGATTTCTTAAGGAGATGACAGCCTCGTACAGCCGGTCTGGGAAGAAGCTGCTTCCACGATCGTTTCTTTGGCATATATTGAGAGAGGCGAGCGCACACACCAGTGCCCGTTACCTAGTAGTTTCTTGTGTTTTGTCAGCGTTCCAAGCGTGTGTACTTTCCCCCCCCAAACAAGATTTTCCTAACAGAGACTTGGGCATTCAAATTTGTCCGGGTGTCATAGCGCAGAATGCTACATACATAGCCATCCATGCCAGAGAATTTTTCCGTTTTCCCCCCATCCAACCAGAGAGAGCGAGAGCGAGTTTTGGGGATCATTTCTGGATCGAAAGCGGCGCCGCTGTTTAGACGTATGGACAGCCATCGACGTGGGATCTGCAGGCGATTTGAAGTATGGTACTCGGTACGGTTACAAGCATGTCGCGTGTAATGGCGCGAATGAATGGGGTCTTGCCGTCTACCATTCTTGAGATTCCTCTACATACAGTGTCCCACGTCCCTCGCCCGCGAAAGCAAGCATACAAGGGGCTCTAGAACACTCGATATAATCCATGTGTACCACCCCCCTCTCGTTCACGCTGTGTGCTCCCGTCTTCATGTTGATCCGCGGATGTTATATATAAATATATGATGCTGCATCAGTTCGGGTCCTTTAATGCCCAAGTCCGTAGCCCTTGACGCGCGAGAAGTAAAAGGGCTTGTCATTCCTGAGATGGAACTCGGCCCAGTCGTTGGTGAGCACGTTGTAGCTCCAAAATCCCTTCCACACCAGCTTGTTGTTCTTGGTCGTGTGCCGCGAGCGGGCCGAGCCCGCGGATCGCAGGGACAGGTGCATCGTGTACATGTACCGTGGACCGGCGCCCTCGGTTTCGATGTGCAGGTCCCCTGGGGACATGGTGGGCGTAGGGCTAGCCGACTGGCTTGCGGCTTGACTGTGACTGGGCTTGGTAGATTCGGCGGTGGCTGGGGAGTCAAGGCTCGGGTGACAGAGGCGCCAGCGGCCTCGGAGTGCGTGTTTCATGACGTCTCGGGCAGACGGGGGAGGTGCGGCTGTGTTGGTGTTGGTGCCAGCTCCGCTGCCGCCCGGTGTGGCAGCGGAGGGGCCGGATTCTTTGAGCAGCGCGGGTGCCGAAGAGGTGAAGTTCAAAGGGTGTGCTGCTTCTTTTCTTCCCGAACGGACGAAGTTGAGGTTCTCCGGCGTCAGGTGGTGAACCACCTCAATGGGCTCGTTGGTGGTGAGAAGAGATATGCAGGTTCCGTCGCGGAAGAAACGCAGATACCTGTAGTATGTGACGATGTGGACGGGGTTAATCCAAGTACTTGCCGAGACAGAGGCACCACCCGGTCGAGTATAGTTCACCGTGGAGATGTACACCCCGGTGAAGCGGATGCGCGGATAGTTGTGGAAGATGTCCTGCCAGATGGTGTCTTTTGGGAATGGAAGTTCCGTCACGAGTAAATGGGACGACGAGTCCTCATCTACAAGATCTTCATCCAGGGCGCGGAAAATGATTTCACGGCCTTGCAAGTCGGTGTTGAAGTCGTACCGTTGACTAGTGAGGCCAAACTCAGGACCCAGAGCCACACGTTTCCAAACGGCATTGTCGGTCATGACGTGATATGCCAGCTTCTTGCAAACCAAAGACAGTCGAACATAAATAGCCGGATCGCGGATGGCTATGTGTTGTAGCAACTCCAACAGCACTTCTGCGGGGAGTTTCTTGATCCCGCACGGCGGAGGACGGTCGCCTTCAATCATGGGCGGGGCGCCTTGAATTTGAGAGTGAGCAAAGGAGTCAATCAGTTGAGAAAATGTCAGCTTCTCCGCGGCAGGTTCTTTGAGGGAGTGGTGGGCGGTTGAAGGGACCGTGACAGGGGCGTTGGAAGGGTTTGGGTTGGACGGCTTTGACTTTGGCTGAGGAAAGTGCTTGTTCTTGTATGACTGATCAACCTTAGCATCGAGCTTGTATGCTTTGCGGTAGTGAGAGAGGCTGTCGCCCAGATTTCCCTGACTCTCCTTTTCGACAGCACGCTCGAAATGTTCCAACGCGCCTGTGGGTTCTTTCTTGGACGAGGCACTCGCGGTGAAGTCGTCGTCGTCCACATTACGAACCATCAGTCCTTCCAAACGCTGTTGGATGGCGGTCGAGCTGCTACCGCCCGCCTGATCTGCATCGCTGTAGTGGTCGGAATCATCTTGTTTGATGTCTGCTGCGGGGTGGCGAGTCGGGGGCTTGTTGACGGGTCTGTCGGGTCGGCCATCGCTGGTCCTTCGCTGTCTGTGCTGAGACAACGGAGCAGATTTCTTTTCTGGCTTCCTGGTGCGGGCGCTGACTTCTTCTTTCCACCGTTGGCGAAATTGTTCCAGTTCTGACGTTGGTTCGGCCATTGTACCACCTTCACGTATGCAGGTGCTGAGAGGGACTAGTGGAGATCGAGTACCCGGCTATTCAATGGTCTCACCAAGGAACATGGGTTCCCTCAAGCGATACGCCCTCTAGGCCAATAGCCAGACACGAGGCTATGATCGGGAAGAGATGTCGTCGATGTCGTCGATGTCTGTTCGAGATATACGAGCCGTGATGCACTCGGGAGGTGAATGACGAGCGAGTCAGGGAGAGACCGATGATGTCGACATATCCTCGACATGTACATACATACATAGCAGGGATGCCAAGGATGCTTATCTAATGGCCGTGCTATCGCCGACACTAGCGAGACTGACTGGTCGGCTCGCTTACCCGTTTAGACTCGTCTTTTGAACCGCCCGATAACGGCCGAGCATTTCTCGCATTGTCTGCTGGGTTCCTCTGACGAAACTTTTTGGCTGCAGCTCAATTTCTCATCTACCAAGTACCCAGTACGCACTCTGGGTCATAATTGCCTCCCTCCCGCCCTCCGCCCTTCGCCCTTTGCCCTTTGCCCTTATATCTTCTCGTTGAACAGATGCTCCGACATTGAGGTTGATCCTGTAGGCAAAATCCTCTACCCAGTACTCTGGATCGGTCGTCGCTTTCCCAGGTTTCCCAGGCTTGAATGTCCTACTCATTCACCGCGGAACCTGCGCAGTCGCTTGACGAGCATCCCCTCTCGCAACCCGCGCTTGGTCACGATGCCCAACAGCAATTACAAACAGAGGGACAACGGCATGACAGAGTACCGCTCTCGCAACAGAATACTGCCAACATGTCAGGCTCCAACAACGTCGAGATAACCACCACTCAGCGCATGATCTCCGCCACCTGGGGCAGTATCTTGACTTCACTGCTCGGTACGTCATGATCTCACTCCGACACATCGCCTTCCCGTACTGACTTCTGCAAAGTGACGCCGCTCGATGTTGTGCGTGTGCGGTTACAATCCCAGCAAGCTCCTCCGCCCTCGAATCTCTCCCGGTTCCCCGCTTACTCTACCAACTTCAAACACCTTCCACCTGATCTAGGCGTCAACTCATGTTGTCGAGAAGTGTTTTTTGTTGGAAACAATGGTCAGTTCTGCCTCGCAGGAAATGGCTCCACACAGGGATCATCAGCACTCACAGCTGAATGTGCCGTGGAAGAAACCCAGCGGAGAACTTTCACCTCCACCCTCGACGGCCTGAAGAAGATTGCCAGGAACGAAGGCTACACAACGCTATGGCGAGGCCTTTCTCCCACCTTGTTGATGGCAATCCCCGCAAACGTCATATATTTTACAGGCTACGACTGGCTCCGATATCATCATAGCAGTCCGATCAGAAAGATCTCGTCCGACACATACGCCCCTCTGGTTGCTGGTTCCTTCGCACGGATAGCAGCTGCGATTGCAGTTTCGCCTATCGAGATGTTCCGAACTCGAATGCAAGCGGTCTCTGGCATTGACACCGGTGTATTCAAGGAAACTTTACTTGGCCTGCATCGCATGACCCAGACTCAGGGATACACATCCCTCTGGCGCGGGTTGACTCTGACCATGTGGCGAGATGTGCCCTTTTCCGGCATCTACTGGTGGGGATATGAAGCGATCCGAAACAAACTGACTGATGCTCGGCAATTGGCTAAAGGGCAACATCTCCAGTCTGGCAGCTCCTTGACGAGCGGACGCACGGCTCAAGCCCACGAAGACCACACAACCACCTTCATCGACAGTTTCCTAGCTGGCGCAGGTTCCGGCGCTGTTGCTGCTTTCGTCACCACGCCCTTCGACGTCGGCAAGACCCGTCAGCAAGTTTATCACCATGCTGGAGACGACGCCCCATCCGTGATAGCAGCACGGGAGGCCGCGAAGGTCGGCAAACACATTCCGGAGGAGCTGTCGATACCGCGCTTCCTCCACCATATTTTCACCGAGGAAGGTATCAGCGGGCTGTTCAAGGGATGGGCGGCGCGATGTTTGAAAGTCGCACCCGCGTGTGCGATCATGATTAGCAGTTACGAAATGGGCAAGAAGTGGGCGAAGACGGTGAATGAAAAGAAGGAGGAGAGGAAGGCTACGGCTTGATTTTTTCGAGGCCCAGCAAATCCCCATCTCAGTAAGAAGGAAAACGGCCAAATTATTGTTTTTTGTTTCCTGACGGCCACGACTTACTCGATGTACCAATACCCACCGGGCTGGTTTTCAAGCTTCTAATGTACAGCATCGGGCGCGCGGCGTTGGTGGAATCCGTCTTGTTACTTAGAGTATTACGAGCTTCTCCACTAAGGAAAGCAAAAGAGGCATGAAATGCTGAGGACGCATGGTCTCCTATAGTACGATTGTCTGTGCTTCCCAGGACCGTTCCGCCCACTGCAGCTGCAGCCGAGTCCTGCCTTGCTGGAGCCAATATCCGTCAATTGAGCGCTTCGGCCTCAACAAAACCAAAGCCAAAGGGCACCAAAGAATTGATCGGCTGCGTTCAACTCAATATCCCGAAGTCAATATTGTGATAAGTATGACCCTTTTGTCAACTATAACTAGGATTGGACGTGCTCGTAAGATACAGCATTACTACATCCTACTGCTACCGCTGCTGCTACCACTCCTGCCTAGGCTATCCTATGCTACGCTATGCTCTCCTAGTACACGGTATGTTAAAGAATGAGGTATCCGCTCCACTCGGTCAAATGGCACGCATACAGGGAGGGGATCCACATCCGCTCTCAACCCCGTTAGAGCTAGCCCACCACGGCAGCCTGGACGGCCGTCGAAGCAACCATGCCCACACCTTTCTTGACCAAATCCTGCGCGACATACTTCCTCACGAGGCGGTCACGTTCTTCCTTCTTGATCTTTGCGTACTCCCTGTCGTTCAGCGGGCAGCGGGGGTCGAAGTCCGGCCCCATGCAGGTATGTGGCATGTCTTTGTCGCGACACCGGTGCCTCCGCTGGTTTAGCCGGCACTTTGGATCTACGCATGTGCAGGGATACCGTGGGTCCTCGCACACGTGCGACGCGGACGCGATCGGGCATCTCTTGGTGTAGCAGGGGTGCTCTTGCGGGATGTGGTGGTGGTGGTTGTTCCCGTACGTCCTGGGCGGCATGGGTGGGTGAGGGTGAAGGTCATGCTCATCAGGGGGCTGATCGGGGTTCTGAGGATTGGATGGTGGCTGCTTTGGATCTGTTGGCTGATTGGGATTTGGCGGCTGATTTGGATACGATGGCTGATTGGTATTTGGCGGCTGATTTGGATACGATGGCTGATTGGGATTTGGCGGCTGACCAGGACAAGATGACTGATTGGGATATTGCGGTTGGTTGGGATAGGATGGCTGGCAGGGCGGGTTAGCATTGTGGTACGGAGGGGGTTTATTGTCCGGGTGGTATGGAGGATTAGAAATTTGCGATTGGTTGTCGTCATGGTCGTCGGTCGGAGCTTCTGAGCACGAATCTTCATCCATGTCATGGTCGTGGTCATCCGTAGTCGTACGGTGAGGTGGATGATGCTTCATAGGTGGTGGATGCTTGGGGAAGTGGAACCAAGGTGTGGAAGACGGGTTCGCGGCTGCTGTTTCTCGAACTGCGGGTTCCGGGCAGTGCTTCGAGTCGTGCGACCAGTCTGGAGAATGGTCTTTATGGTAATGGTGACGCCGTTTTCCATGACGCTTGTAGCAGTATTTGTAAATCAGATAGGCGATACCACCTAAGATGAGAAGTCCGACCACACTGCCGACAGTACCCTCAACAATTTGGGGTACGTTGTTGTCGTCCGCTGGGGGACCAACGCCAACCGTGCAGTTCTCTGGTGGCAAGTTCGACGTGACACCAACGACAAAGATAGATTTCTTCTTAGCGTTGTTCGCGGTGACCTTGACGTTGATCGTGTCGGTACTTGGGGCAATGACGGAAAATCCAGTAGAATAGTAGGAATATTCACTCAATTGGCCTTTCGCAAGGGTTTTGCTTCCAGAGACAATTTGAACTGACACAGTGCCGGCATCCACGCTTTGAACATTGAAGGTAAGCTGCTCCTTGGATCGTGCGCTGTAAGTCATGGTTTGTGTCTCTGAGCCTGAGATGAAGTGCGACGCATCGAGACCTGCCAACAATGTAGTAGTATCTCCGTCGGGGTTGTCATTCTTCGCAAGACCGTTGAGGATGATGCCGTCGATAAAGTTCTTTGAAGCGTTGTAGTTCTGTATCGTGAAATATCTTCCCCCCGAGTCCATAATCGCAGAAAGGACTTCCGGATCCTGAATACTAGAAGGGTCGGCCAAGAATCCAAATGCCACCCGAATACCGAGGCTGGTAGCACGATTAATTTGATCCACCAGATCTGAGGTACTTGAGTCCTAGGGAGATAGTCAGCGTCGTCGTCGCAGGAGTTCGTTCAGAAGCCTCGATGTAAGGGATGATTTATAAGAAGCACTTAAAAAAAAAAAAAATTGGCTAACGGGGCAAACCAAACAAAGGAAATAAAACACCGACACCAACATACCTGTCCGTCAGTAAAGACTAGGATGCCACTTCGACCGGCGGTGGTGCCAGTACCAGCTGCAGTGAGTTGTGTGATGGCCATTTCCACACCCCCAGCGATGTAGGTGCCGCCATCTGCTCCGATTTGTGCAAGCGCGCTAGCAGCCGCGCCGGGGTCTCCAAGAGGGTAGTCCAGGTAGGCTTCGTCGTCAAAGTTGATGACAGCAGCCTCGTCCTGCTTCTGGGTGCTGGTTACCTCGGTCTTGGAAATAAGCCAGTCAAGGACCATTTGTGCAGCGGTGAGGCGATATCGGTAAGGATCTGAGTCTTCCATAGAGCCGGAGCTGTCAATTACTAGGGCGATTTTTCGATCACCATTGTTTGAATTGACTCGCAAGTTCGTGCAGACTGATGTGGAGTCTCGCGGGAGAAGGTAAGCATCGGATATCCTCGTGAAAAGAATGTAAAACGACAAAGATAGAATAATGGGAAACATGGCGAATGCAACGAAGTTGGGGCATTGAACGAGGTAGCCTTCCCTTACCCAAGTTCACGAGGGTCGCTCGACTCTATATGTTCAAGGAGATTGCCATTGCCTCGCCATCAGTCACAAATCAGGCTGGAAGGAGCGACAATTCCAAGTCAATTGGCGGGCTCTGTAGAAGACCATTTTCGTCGACGCAACCTCCACATAGAAAAGCGATGAAGTACATTAGTCAGGAGAGAGGCTGAAGCGATGAAATTGACTCAACTGAGACGAGAAGCAGAGTCTCAACCAACAATCAATCAGGTGCTATTTGTTCACGGCTGAGAACTCGAGGGACGAAGTTCAATTTGCAAGCTCCGTGGCTGACACAGTCACAGACTAGTAAATTGTTAAGCATGGCGTTCGTATTGCTGTCTTGTTTCTCGTGTTGTCTCTGCGACCTTGTAGCGATTCTCAATCCAGAAGCATCGTTCAAAAAAAGGGGATGGCATTGTTGCAGAAATCGGATTTTCCGTTCACAAAGCCTCACACTCTTCGTCTCGCCTGGGCCAGATTTCATCAAGTGAGATAAAGTTTCCGCTATGGAGGTCCGGGAGTGAGTTCAGCTCTTTCCGTCGGGTTTATTTGCCATGTGCTGGCAGCAAGTTCACTTTAGTCAAAACGTGTGAGCCTCAGCCTTACAAAAGCCTTGGCTATGATCTCGCTAGGTGAATGCTTGGTGGCACAAACGAATCTGTAGCGCGTAAGATGCATCGACGTCAGGGGATTCACACTGGAGGCGGCGCATATCCCTGTATTTCTCGATGTGATGTTCGCCGTGTAGGACGTTGATATAGTGGCAGCCGGTGAGGATGGAGTTTTCGAAGTTGACCAGAATGTTGGCCTGGTGGAAATTACACAAGGCAGAGTTTCCCTTGGCGAGCATCTGGATTCGATGGAGCGTGTGTCGCGAGGGATGGTGAGGCCCGAGAGATGCGCCCGGAATGCGTGGAAAAAGATAGCTGCAGAAGCTTTGCCAAGAACCTTGGCATATTCGAGACAGAAGGCGGTCTTGGCGGGGAGGTACCCCTATTCTATATCTGGATACTATTGGTTCTTTTGCACTTCATCCCCTCGTGTTCAGCGCAGGAAACGACACATTCCAAATATGTCGGCCGTCTTCTTGACCTGCCATCCCAAGATGCGCGCTTTGCAAAGCTCGTATTTCTGCAGTCCTTTGGTGAGACAATTTCCCATTCCGTCCAGGGAAAGATTCACTCGTGTATGTTCAAGGACTTTGCAGGACTTGAGGCTTCTCCTAGCGCTGTATATATAGACTGCAAACCCAACGGACTCTTCTCAGGTGTTTTAAAGCCCTCAACCCATCATTTCTAGACAAAAAGCCCCAAGCCGCTCGTTGAAGTCACATTACATCATTCATTTCTGTCCAAATTGGCGCGAGCGCATTCGCATTGAAATCCTTCCAGAACTTCTCCTTTCCCAATCAAGTCACTATGTCTTCCGACGAAGGGTACTCTGTTGTCCCCGTGCAGCGAATCTTCTTCCCCCTTCGGATCATACAGATGGTCTTTACCGTTGGTGTCTTTGGGATTGCATGCTACCATCTTTCTCTGTACTCGGGTTACGATGTAAGATACTCACCCTCGAAAAGTCCAAAACACACCTCTGACTCATGGCAAGGCTGGCGCTCTTAGTCTCTTCACTTGCCTCGCGAGCATAATCTTTCTGATTTACTGGTTCGTGGCGAACAGCCCAACCAACTCCCACCTCTACAACTACTGGGCATTCTTCGCTGTCGAACTCTTCGTTCTCATCTTTTGGCTCTGCACCTTTGCCCTCGCCGCCGACAAGGTGGCAAAATACGTTCAGCTGTTAAGTTATGACACAAGCTACGATGGATACGACTATTCCAGCACCGGTGACACCACTGGTGGTACCACTGGCGGTAGCAGCTACTGCTATGATGGCGTCTGTGTCAGCTACAGCAAGCGCGACCTTGCCAAGCGCGATACTGTGACTGATCCTTTCTCCGCGACTCTATACACAGCCCTTGCACTCTCGGTGATCAATTTGTGAGTACCCCATCGCCAATGAACTCACGTGGTGGTGCCCTAACTGCATGCAGCATCTTGTTTGGTGTCACCTTCATCCTATACACTATCAACATGTTCCGGCATCGTGCTGCCCTGTCGAGTGCTAAAGGCAACAACATTGCCATGCACAACGGCCATGGGACGGCTAGCCGGATGGAGAAAGGGGTGGTGATGCATGGTCACCAGTGAGTAATCAGTCTTGTGGTTAGGTAACGGCATGGCCAATCCAACGCCCTGAAGAGCTTTCATTCGGTCGTCCATGGAATTCTGGAATGTGCTTGTTTACCTGTTTTTACCAAGAAATACTTGTTGAGAAAACTTAGAGAAATGAGGACGGACGTGAAGGTTATGTATGTAGTTAACGAAGGGAGTCGATCAACGGCCATTATCTGAACGAGTGGTGGAGTTTAAAGCGGCGTGGTTTGAATGCCAAGGCTGACATCGAGGCCGGTGCCGGGGAGCAGGCACCGACCGAGAGCCACCGGTCGCTTATCGTTCAGATGTACTACTTGTTACTCCGTTCTCTCTTGCTCCTTTTGGCTGCTCCTCGTGGACATGACTTTTAAATGCAATAATGGGTGTTATACGGACGATAGGGATCGTGGTGCTAAGTATATCATTTGTTGTCTTCGTTGCTCTCTTTGGTCGACTTCCCGTCTTTAGGTGAGTGACATCCCCCCCCCGGCCGCGGAAGATCTTCCAGCCTCAGCTTCTCACAGGCTGATTACTTTCAGGAGGACACCTATTGCCTTTCTCCACCGGCTCCTATGGAGACACATCCCAAATGCCTTCATCAGCGTCGATGAGCGACTCACTGGCCGTCGTGTCACGCGTAGCCTCGCGAGGACGGGCAATTATCTCATGAACGAGAAACATCCTCTTATTCTTGTATGTCTGAGGACTGAGTCTTGAAGAGGAAATGGGGCATGTGCTCACATACCCATCTAGATCTTCTTTGTCCTCTTGCAAGTTGTCGGCGAATTTCTGTTCATTCCAGCAGCATGGGATCGGCTTTCGATCAATCAAATAGCAGTGTTGCCACTCCTGATCATTGCTCCCTTGGCGTTTCTGTACCTTTGCAATACCACCTCCTCCAACATCACTTCTGACAATCACCGGTCGGCGATGCTGGCCTATCCCTACGACTTTGCTCTCTTCCACCCGGGCTACTTCTGCTCTACATGTCGATTTGCAAAGCCAGCCCGATCCAAGCACTGCTCCATATGTAAAGCCTGCATCCAAAAACAAGACCACCACTGCATCTGGGTCAACAACTGTGTGGGCAGGAACAACTATCTGTGGTTCAATCTCCTGCTAGTCAGCACAGCCGTACTGCTGTTCTATGGCTCTTATCTCGGTTACATCTTGCTCGACCAAAGACTGCAGGAACACCTGGTCCCGCGGGCACTGACGAGGGGTAGTTTTACGGCCAAGCGGTGGAGCACCCGGATGACATGGGGCGAGTATGCACACGCCTGGGCATGGGCCGTTGCCATGGAATGGCGCATCGGGGCGGTCATGATGTTGGCCATGATGTGCATCCCTCTGGCGCTGGGGTTTCTTGCCTACCACATCTATCTCATCTGGGCGGGCATGACCACCAACGAGAGCTCCAAGTGGAGTGATTGGAAAGAAGACATTGCGGACAAGGTAGTCTTCAGGGCGGAGATGGCTCAATTGAGAGAGACGTATCCACCCTTGCCCGAGGACGTCGAGCCCTTGGACAAGGACGTGAAATGGCCGGTTGGCGTGAGGGCGAAGTGGTGGCTCGTGAGGACGAGGGATGGGAAGCAGCCGATGAGAAAGGTCTCCAGAAAGGCCGGAAAGCGAGAAGGAGAGGGAGATGCGGACGGAGAGGTGCGGGACGAGCGATGGGAGCGTGTCTCTTCTATCGCACAGATCGAGAACCTGTATGATCTGGGTTTCTGGGATAACCTCTGGGACGGACTCTTCAATCGCGGATGAGACCACATATTTACAGCACCGGGAAAATGGAGGACCTGTGCGAGCGGCCATCACTGGTACATACCGATAGGTGCTTATGCTACAAGATGACCTGAGATATATATGGTATAGTTTCACCGAGGCACCACCCCTTAAGCTTTGTTCATTTCAGACACGGCCTGCTGACAGTGTACTCCATACTCAGATGTACACATCGTCAATATATTGGTTTACCCCCCAAACCTGGTAACCTGACTAGAGGATCTGTGTACTGTGTTCCTCGCTGCTCACTCCAACCTTTGCGATTCTGACAAGTCAATCAATTGTTCGGACCCGGAAATGCTTTTTAAATGTCATTTTTCAAACAATTCTTTTACATGCACATCACTGCGTTCATGTGTGGCGAGGCAGTCACAGCGCTGGTTCACTGACCTCTCTGCCACCTCATTGATCGTGTGCTGCATCAAAATCATCTTCCCATGAAAGAAATTGGAATCGAATCAGAATGTCCATGATCCCACCGGGCCGCCCTGGTCTTGATACCATCATCACCTCTCTTTGACCAACGCCGACCGATCCAGTCCTATTCAAACACCTTGGCCTCGTAAAAGCCCACCATCCAAGGCAACCCCATCGATAACGCCCATTATTACTCTCATTTCTCACGCATACATACTCTTCGTCTTTCGATGCCTCTCTTCGCGCCCGACCGTCGGCTTTACGGGACTGTTTGCCTGACTGCCAGCGTGGTAAGTCTCCGTTCGCTGGTGACCGACTTTGGGACGTTGTACTGCGCCCGCGGTCTTCATCTTCTTCTCCCGTCTGAGGACCATTTCCGTCCAGCCTTTGATCGGGGCCAAGCCGCTCTGCACGCCTTTGCCCACGACCTGCGAGAGCGCTTGCATCCACTGATCTTTCTCTGTGGTCGAATCGGCATAGAAGTCGATAACTTCTCCATTGGCGAAACGGATCCGGAAACCCTCTTCCACAAACATGTAGCCTTCTTCCTCTTCGGCAAATCCACTCTTTCGGCGCCCTCCACCCTTTGTCGAAGTCTCCTTCTGCATGAGGGCGGTCTTGTCGTCGATGAGACGCGTGGCTTTCGCAAGGTTGATGGTTGCTCGCGGTTGAAGAGTTGTTTCGTGAAAGGCCGTTAGCTTGGTTCCGGCGAGCTTGAAAAATCGTCGTCGCCAGTACTGAATTCGTCAGCCCGATTTCGTCTAAATTCATCGACTTGCATCTACTCACCGGGCAATCTCCTCCCTGCTGGCTCAGATAGCCCTCAAATTCCTTGATATTTGCTTGTTGCACCACACGTTCTTCAGCTTCTCGTAGTGCGCGCACCGCACCATTCATACTCTTTGGCATATCATCGTCCTTTGCTCCTCTCGGTTTCGGCACATACAACAATTGCAGTTCCAATTTGCCAATCTCATATGGTGGACGACGCTGAAGTTGAGTCACGCTCTTCTTGCTTCTCGAGCTACCCACGCTAACCTCTTCCATTGCCCACTCATTGAAGCAGGTGATGTCGACCGTATACGGCCTGCCATATGCTTGCTTTTCGTGCTCGCTCAGCGAAACGTAGGCTCGAGCAAAGGAACCGTCCTTTGCGACGAGACCTTGAACCAGCTCGTATGCTGAAGGTGGTGTCACTGGTCTTCTGACGACCTGAGCTTCTTGCTGGGCCCTGACTTCCGACTCTTTCTTCTTCTTGGGTGAACCGAACAACCTACCGAAAGCTCCTTGCTTCTTAGGCGATGCAGGCGGCTTTGAAGGAGATTGTGGTCGCTCAACTTTTGGTTCTTCCAATTTCATCTGCAAAGTGAGTTGAAATTCAAGCTCATTGAGAACAATCAGCTCAAATTCCTGGCCAATGGGTGCGCTTCGAGCAAAGTCGAGCCAAGCGGTCGTGACGCAGTGCATTCCGTTGTCCAGCGTCAGAGCGAAGTAAGTGCGTTCATCTGTTTGTGATCAGCCTGAGCTTACTGAAAGACCGGGAAATTCCTTACGTTGGGGAAATGGCATCTGCAAGTCCTTTACACCGACCACCTTGACAAAAAGTCGGCCACGTTCAGCACCATCCTCCCACTCCTCTTCTTCTCCAATCTCGTCTTCAGCAACAGCATCAAGGCCCTCTTGAGCGTTGCTTGCTTGTCCCGGTAGGGGCGGTACAGGACCCTCGACTGGCTTCCGTTTACTGACGGCTTTCTCTCCACCTACTCGAATGCTCTTCCGCCTGATCTTACCATTCCATGGTTCAGCAGTCCAAGTGGGCTGACTTGTCTTGCGGGGTGAGGTATGAACTTGGTTGGCCTCCGTTGGAACACCGAGCAGACCATGCTCAGTTGACGTCGGAAGCTCGGGGGATCTGCATTCATCTTGAGATCCATGTTCACTTGCGACGACAATTTTGGTGTTCTGTCGCATCAGGTAGCCTCTCTGTCGGCGGGCAGCTCGATTAGCAAATGACTCTTCATCAGTAGACTTATCTGGAGAAATAGCAAGATGTGCTCCTGGCAAGGGACGGACTCCACGAGGTTTGGGGAGAGCTGGGACGTTTTTCATGAGATTGCCTCCTGTCCACTCCTTCACCTCGGGGAGCTGACTGGAGGGAAATCGTCCGTTGAAAGGGTAATAAAGACGTTGCAATGAGAGTTCAAACTCTACCTTCTGGGCTTCCACGACACGGTCAAATTCCTTCTCGAGGCCCAATCCAAGGCCATCGTCCAAGCCAGTATGTGGAATATCCAAGGGTACCAAGCTGCTAACTCGCTTCTTTTCTCCTGCTTTGCTGTCGATCTCGGGTCTTTTCTCATCACTCGCTTCTGCGTCAGTGGAATTATCCTTCGCTACCTCCGCGCTCACATCGAACTCGGCGGAGATTGGAGAGACGGGCGAGGGTTCCTTCTCGTGAATCAAAACCGACCCGGTGTCGGAGGGACTAATTGAGCGGTCACTTTTCACTTGCGCTGCCAGCACATCCTCTTTTGCGTCACAGTCGACATTACTAGGAAGACTCGCACCTGAAACAGGATGTCTGACCACAGAATCAGGTGTGGGCGGCGTAGCTTGCTCCGGGATGAATGTCGATGGACTTTGAAATGGCTTCGCCTGGACCTCAGGAGTGTATGGGCGTTGAATTGACTGACGGAGGGCAGCGAGGTCAGGGAGTTCACTGGGCGGCGAACCACCGTTGGCTGATCTCATAGTCTCGTCCTTGTTGCTCAAGTAGGAGGCAAGGCCAATATCGAAACTGCTCGTCTTGCCAAAGTCGGCAAAATCTGGCAAAGATACACGCTCGGATATTGGCTTTGAGTTCAATTCTCGAACAGGACTCTGTGCTTTTGGGGTGTCTTCTCCTTCGTCCGTCATTTGCGGAGCAAAAGATGCAAGGGATGGCTGCGAATACTGGCTGGTGAGGTCGTCATCGTGGTTTGTGCTCACGTCTGAGTCTGAGACAGAACGTCGACTGTACATATCCGGTATGGAGTACAGATCAGGCTCTTCGTCATCCTCCATCTTGATACGGGGTTGTGTGGGATCTTCCAATGAGGGTATTGGAACGTCAGGGTCGAGAGTGGAGAGATCCCGCTGTCGAGAAGCATCTGAAATATCTTCGCTGCTGTCTCGACTGTCGGTATCAACACGACCGCGCAGGCCTTCAAGGATCGACGCCCTAGAAAGCTGTGGGGTTGAGTTTCTGGACTCAGACAGGACTGGTGGTGAAGAATCGCAACTCTCGACAAAGGAGTCTTCAACACTGCTGCTTCGAAGTGGACCAAGGTCTTTAGCACCCATTCGCCTCATCCGGCGTTCTCTTTCCTGTTCTTGAAGTGCCATCAATCTCAATCTATCCTCCGCTGACAGGGAGCTGCCAGTCCCGATTTTTTGGATGTCTGCTTTTGAAATGGTAGCAGCTAACGGGGGATTTGGGAGAGATCGCGACGCAACGCTCATACGCTCAAAGGCGCCAGACAGACTGTCAGACCTCGACTTCGCTTGTGACGCAATCATGGGCGGAAGTGGTGGGAGAGGACGAGACTGTCCGTTTGAATCGACTGAGCTTGCGCTGCTTTGATGAGGGCGGAAAGATGGCATGCTTGGTTGTGCGGTTGGAGCAGGACTGCCGCAATCGTCTTCAAAGACGTCCTCTTCATGACGAGATAGTTCGGTGTTGGCGCTCTCCGGGTTCATGAAGCGCCAGTCCTCGGGCAGGACGACCGGTGTCTTCTCGGTGTCCTCCAGGGATGCGTCAAAGCTGTCGTCATGGTCCATTGACGAACCTCTCTCAAAACTTGCCTCCTCGTCCTCGTCTTCTTCATCGTCTGTGGAGTCATAGCTACCGTCACGAGATCCAGACGCGATCGAAGAAGGAGCAGGGGTGGTCATCTCATACTCATTGATTTGTGGAGGGGCTTGGTCAAACGTGACGCTCTTTTGATGACGATGCAGCCCACGGCCAACGGGTAATTGTCTGTCTCTGAAATCTTCATCGTCTTCCCAAATGCCAGTCTCTGGGTTGAAGCCACTGCTTCTGAACGCCGCTCCCGTCTTCTTTGAGAGCGATGATTTGGCAGGCGAGCCATTCATTCGACTTAGTGAGAGGGGTGTAACGGAGTTTGTTGTGGCCTTGGAGTCATCCTCTTGGTGCTTCTCTTGTGATTGAGCCGACGATGTGTTGTCTAGTGGCGCAACATTTTCTTTCCGCCCGCCATCCGAACTACGGACTGGCGATGAGTGTCGTGGAAGCTGCACGCTCTGAGGGCGACCGTCAAGAATCGTCGGACGCGAAGGATCATAGTGACTACTTTGTTCGAGGGCAAACATGCTGCTGTTTTTGACCCTGGAAGCCTTTTTAAGGTTCTCAATGGACGACCGCTTCTTTGGGGAGGAGGCAGGAGGAGTCTCTGTGTTTTCTCTGGCAGGAGAATTGGGATCCCGGCCCTGCCAGAACAGACGTGGTGAACTCGTGGAAAAGGGCGAAGAACCGACTGGAGAGTTCTCGCTACCGAACAGCTTACCCTGCGAACATGTCAGTTTGGTGTTGGCGCGAGCGCTTGGAAGGCGCACCTTTGACTGAGGAAAACTTGGAGAGTTTCTGCGAATTGCCATAGGACTCAGCTCGGACAGAGGACGATGTGTTACCCGTGGCAGCTTGGATGGCGAGATGCTCGGTCCATTGCCACCGCCCTTCTGGATGCGCAAGGGTGGGATCTGCAATTAATGGTGAGCAAGTCGAGGTCAACATCAACAGTTGTGTCTTTACCTCGGAAGCCATAGCTTAGGACGAAGAAGCTGCACAATGGCTTTGTGTATGTAGCAGGCGTCGAGCTCAGACCATGAACTGCGGAGCGGTTGGCTGAAATATGGAATGAGGAATCGATGGGCAGCGCGCGAAGCCGGAAAGAATGACAGAGTGTCTGTGCTGAGTCTGATGAGGCAGACCAGCTGCGGGTGTGTAGAAATGAGAGCAACAAGTGCGGTAGCAATAGGAGTGTGAAATACAGTTGACTGCCCAACTGCGACCACAATCGAGGCCGCTCTTGAGGAAGGGTAGTCAGCAGAAAGAGGTCTCGTTGAGTGTTAATATTGATCAGTGAACACTGTTTGGCAGTACAAGTGAAACTTAAGTGGCCCCCGCGGTGCCTTTACTGGGGGAACAATAACAAAGCCCGCTACACTAAAGGTTGCCAGGCAACCGATGTAGTCGCTGAGGTCCACCCGAGGCAACCCCTGCAGCTCCCTGTTCAGTGGCCCCAGTGGCACCAGACTTGCCCGAGAACTCATCCAGTGAACCGCGAACACGCGAAGCGCAGGGGAAAAAAAAAAGTTCAATATCGCAACGACTTGTCCCGTGCATCGTCCCCTTCTGATTATCCATTCTCAACATAGCTGCTCATGCCGTCCTCTGCTGCCGTCTGCCCGGCTTGCCAATTTCGAGCTCTCATTTCCTCCCTAAGGCCGTCGACGCGACAATGGCAGCCCCAGAGAGCCATGGCTTCGGCCATGCGACAGCGCAGAAAACCTTCCAGACTGACCCTGACACAAGATGTTGGCAAAACAGACACGGGCAGAAGAGCAGCCAAGAGGGACACAGCAGGCCCTTTTGCAGGGATGAATCAAACAGTGGCACGCCTACCTGTTGCCAGGCCACCTCGAGCAATCCCCTCGCGGGTCAGAATGGCCCTTAGGTCCCGGATCAAGGAGCAGGCAACAGTAACTAAGTTGCAACCGAAGACTATACCGGCTGTTGGTGAACACGGCGATCGGGCTGTTGCGTCAATTTCGTCTAAGGATAAGGAGAAAAAGGACAAAGACGAACGACCACTGTTCCACGCATTGAAAATGCAGCAGATCCTTACTCCTCTGTCTTACGGACAACGGACCAAACTGAAGCAGCAAATGGAGAAGATCGTTTCTTTTGAAGAGCTCGGATTGATGCCGTCAGTTGTCGACTCCATCTATACCCAAGTCCTGCCACATCTGACAGAGTATACACCCACTCCGATACAGAAATTGGCCATTCTCGCACTCCTAAGCAGAAAGGGCGAATTTCAGAAACAGAAGCACGTAGATGCAGATGGCAATCCTGCCCCAAACAAATACAAGTCGTTCCTACTCGCCGCAGAGACCGGTTCGGGAAAGACACTGGCCTATCTGTTACCTGTCATCAACGCTGTCAAACAACAAGAAGAGGTCGACCGCAACGCCGAGCTAGAGCGGGAGGGCCGAGCTATCAAAGAAAGAGAAGAGCGAGAAGAAAACCGCGTTTTCGAAGCAGAACCCTCCAAAACCGATGAATCACCGCCGAACCAGTCAATGGGCCGACCCAGAGCTCTTATCCTCCTCCCCTCCTCCGAACTCGTCGCACAGGTCACAAAAGTTGTCAAAGTCATCGGCCACACAGTAAAATACCGCTCTGCGGGAATTTCTTCCTCGAACACACCAACGGTTATCCGTAACCGTCTCTTCAACCCCAATGGGATAGATATCCTGGTTTCCTCTCCTTATTTAATCGCTAGTATCGCGAAAAAGGAGCCAAATATCCTCTCGCGCGTTCAATATCTGGTCATGGACGAGGCCGACTCGCTCTTCGATCGATCCTTCAGCGAAACGACTTGCGAAATCATCGATCGTGCGGCTCCTTCGTTGAAGCAGCTGATCCTCTGCTCTGCCACCATCCCAAACAGTCTGGACAGGTTCATCGACAAGAGGTTTCCCGATTGTAGACGTATCGTTACACCAAAGCTACACACAATCCCGCGTCGAGTACAGTTGGGTGCTGTGGATATCGACAAGGATCCCTATCGTGGCAGTCGCGACTTGGCATGTGCGGACGTGATTTGGACATTAGGAAAGGCTGTACACGAAGACCTGAATCCCAAAAACACGGTGAAACATATCCTCGTCTTCGTCAACGAGCGTGAAAAGGCGGAAGAAGTTGCTCGGTTCCTAGTATCAAAGGGGATCGAAGCCGTCGCATTGACGAGAGATACAACGGAACAGCGTCAGGCTGAAATCCTCGCAACATTCACTTCAGTCGATCGTGTTGAAGGCTCTTCTAAACCGTCCCCTGCTCCATCCTCGGCTTCAAAGAAACTCTTCAAAGACTTTGTTCCCTTCGACCGTGCCTCCACTCCTTCTACCTCTGGGTCATCTCTCACCCAAACATCTCGTCCAACGAGGCATCTCCCGGATGTCAAGGTTCTCGTGACCACCGACCTCGGTTCCCGCGGCGTCGACACCCTCGCGGTAAGGCACGTGGTGTTGTACGACGTCCCGCATACGACAATAGACTTTGTCCATCGATTGGGACGCATGGGCAGAATGAATCGGCGAGGAAGGGGGATTGTACTGATGGGGGGCAAAGATCGAAAGGACGTGATTAGGGAGGTCAGGGAGGCTATGTTTAGGGGGCAAGCCCTGATCTGACATCGTCCGACCTATCTAGAGTGTGTGTGGGAGATTTCGAAATCCAATGTAAAATACACTGATCTCCTTGATGTCCTGAGAGAATGTTCGCACATGAAAGATATATACCGGAACTGTTCGATCATGCTGGCGGCCGATCAAGTGGAAAATTCTAGTCACGGCTTATATCCAGTCCAGGCAGAATCGAAAGAGACGCCCATACCATTTCGTGACGCGAACAGGCAGCAATGCTCATTGTGGACGCTGAGCAGTCGTGATCTACGTGCTTTTAGTTCCGATGTAATTACGGTGTACTGAGCTCACGTGGGTGGACGTTCCGAGAGCGAGTTCTAGCTTCAAGAATACTTCATTTGGGAAAACTCCAGGTACATTGGAAGTGTCCAACCACTCTCGAGTGGGAGATGACAGACTTCAAATGCGCCCTCTCTACACCGTCCATCCTGGATGATGCAAGAGACGCAATGATAGCATTGAATCTAGGAAATACACTATCCACCTCCATATGACTTACAGCTGGGACCCCTCGAACAATAGGAGGGGAAAAGAAGAATAAGAAAAAAATAAGGCAACGATATAGAAGATAGAAATCTCACAATGACAGACGGCACTTACCTTTAAATGCGCATTGTCCAACACGGTATTTTTCTCAACACAATAGCCAAGCCCAAGTAAATCACCCCTAATCACCCCTAAGTCTGCGCAGCAGGCACTCTGTGCCCTGTCTACATACTCATTCAAACCAACCGATGGTCTGCCAGGGCAATTCGCTGGCCCTTTGAGAATCGCAGTGGTGATTCCCGCAGTTCCGCGACTATCTTTGGAATCAGATCCTGTTTCTTGCTGTTAATTTTGCAGTACTTCAGGGCGAGCGCGCATCCTCAGTCTCCTGATGAAGGCATTGTCTTTGCTGAAACTGGTGCTGTATCATCATCTGTCGCTGCCATTCTCCTCGTCGATGCTGATATGGGAGGAAAGGTCCCTAGTGCCTAGAACTGCAAAACGGTACTCAGGGTTTACAATCAGGTGGTGATGGTGATTCAACTTTCGACGTCTTGGTCGACCATCTCAGCATAAGTTTTCTTAGGCACCCGGCTTGAGTACTGGCGCGTTTAGAGATCTGTTCGTGTGGACTTCAGACTAGCAAAGATACAGAATTCGCAATGGTGGAAACCCAATCTCTTCCCTTGTGCAAATCTCGGATCGCCTTATCTCAATTCTCAATTTAGATACGACACGGGCTCTTCGAAGAAAATTGTCAAACTTACAAGGAAGTCCGCTTTGACGTTAATGAAACTCAACGATGTACGCGCTGGTCTACCGTGGCATCGGGTATTGGGTAGTCCCTTACTGTCAAACCGAATGACGGCATCTTCACCGGGCAAAGGTAGTAAAGATATATTCAGTTTACAAACTTTTGTGTCTCGGCGGATACAACCCCGATCAGTCACGATGAGCTGCTGCTGCGAATCAGAAGGGGTGTAGAGGTGTAGGCTTGAATTTAGAATGAGACCTATCGTTTGAACTTGATGGTGGACGGTGTTTCCGAATGAGTGCGACTGCGAGGCTCATTAGGTGCTCAAGGAGCCTCAGGAAGCTTTTCAGGCGGGCGGTGGGTGAGCAGAGGATGAGCAGGACGATAGGGAGCAGCATCACCCTCGAGAGAAGTGGGAAACATGGGCGAAACTTCTTACCCTCCCCTGAGCCTTGCGAGTAACTACTAGTGTAGCCGGAATATAGCCTGGTCTCTCGCCAAGCCTTAGCCTTGGAAAGAACGTGACGAGGCTGTGAAGAAATTTTGTTTTTGCCATCGTTTGCAATATCATCTTTCCCAGCGATTGGGCTTGTTTTGGGGCTGTTCTCAGTTAGTGCTTTCTGATGCTTCTGTCACTACTCATGTGTAGCGAAAGTACAAATAAATCCCCGAATAAACATCCTGGAGTGCGAGCAGAAGTTGACAATGCTGATGAAAGGGACTAAGAGACCTGCAGATGAGGCTTTCCCGCCGAAGTCTGCATCTGTGGGAGACAAGTTGCAAAGTCATCGATCCACTGCCGCGCTGAATGGTGCAACAGGTAGAATCGTCAATTTCGAGGACCGTGCAGCGAAGCATGACAGTCGCAAGAGCGGCAGTAAACCCCCGAGTTTGAAGGAACGGGCGCGTCTTTTGCTACCCGCCAGAAGAAAATTACCCATTTATGGCAACGCCAACGAGATACGACAGAAAATCAGAGATCACGATGTTCTGCTACTGGTCGGAGAAACAGGATCGGGGAAGTCGACGCAGATTCCGCAGTTCCTGGTGAATGAACCCTGGTGCAAGAAGAAGCCCCGTGGAGGCGTCAATGTTGGAGGATGCATTGCTATCACGCAACCCCGAAGAGTTGCTGCGATTTCCCTCGCCCGTCGCGTGGCGGAGGAGATGGGCACGCCGCTCGGGAACTCCAGCCCTGCGTCTGAGGTCGGGTACTCTGTGCGGTTTGAGAACAGCACGAGTCCCTCGACGAGGATCAAGTTTTTGACAGAGGGTATGCTCCTCCAAGAAATGCTGCGGGACCCTTGGTTGAAAGAGTACTCTGCCGTCGTGGTGGATGAGGTCCACGAGCGAGGCGTCAATGTGGATTTGGTGTTGGGGTTTCTCAGGCGGATGCAGGATCTCAGGCATAAGAAGGATGGGAGGGGCGGTATTGCACTCAAGGTCGTGGTCATGAGTGCGACGGCAGACATGGAGAAGATTCTGCATTTCTTTGACATTAGCCACGGGACTCATGAAAACCGCTCGAATATCAATGGAGAGTCTCCTGAAGGAACAGAAGATTCGCCCGGCTTCTCTAACGATGAAAATAGCCCTGATGGAGAAAATGGGAGCACTCAGACCGACTGCAATGGTGTTGCCTCTTCAAAAGCAACATCACTTTGCATCAAAGGCCGTCAATATCCCGTGGCCGTCAACTATACGTCAACCTCAGTTCCGGACGTTATCGATGCTGCATATCAGCGAATACTGCAAATCCACACGCATACCCCTCTACCAGGCGACATACTCGTGTTTCTCACTGGTCAAGAGACCGTGGAATCTCTCCTCAGCCTTGTGAGTTCTTGGTCACAGTCGATCCAAAAGGACCCCAAGCAGTCTGCGACGCTTCCCAGACTTCTCATCCTTCCTCTCTACGCTGCTCTACCTTCGAATATGCAACAACGCGTCTTCCAGCCAACTCCCAGATTCACACGCAAGATCATCTTAGCCACAAATATCGCCGAGACCAGTATCACGGTTCCTGGGATACGATATGTAATCGACACAGGGAAAGCGAAACAGCGACTATTTCGCCCTTCTCTAAATCTAGATACTCTTCTCACTGTGCCCATCTCTCGTAGTTCCGCGAACCAGCGTTCTGGGCGAGCCGGGCGAGATGCACCAGGAACAGCGTACCGATTGTACACTGAGGCGGATTTCTACCAGTTGACCCAGGACACTGAGCCAGAAATCCTCCGCTGCGACCTCAGTCAGCTCGCTCTTACACTCAAAGCGCATTCGATCGACAATTTGAGCGAATTTCCATTTCTAACCACACCGCCACGCAGGGCCCTGGAGAGGGCCATGGTCCATCTCCTTCAGCTCTCGGCATTGGATAATTCGAGCGGGCAAATCACAAGTCTCGGCCTCGAGATGAGCAGGTTGCCTCTGCCTGCGAGCTTGGCAAGGGTGCTGCTTGCCAGCGCTGAGCCAGCGTACGACTGCGTCGAGCAGGTCGTTGACATTGTTTCGGCGTTGAGTGTTGAGAACATATTCCTGAACATCCACAACCGCCCATCATCTGCTTCGGCATCTGGCGACTTGTTGGAGGCTACCTCGAAGCCATCACCTAACCACAGTAACTCCGATCTTGAAGAAGACTCCTCCGAGGCTCGTGCACAGCAAGCACGACGCGAACTCTTTCGACGTGAAGGTGACCACCTCACCCTCTTAGCCACTATCCAGGCATATGTAGCAGAAAACACCGATCGCCGGCGATGGTGTGAAGAGCGGTACATCTCGCACCGGGCAATGAGCGGCGCGATGGATGTGAGGAAACAACTTACCGCGCTGATGGATCGATACCGACGCAAGAGCGAGAGCGAGAGCGAGACACGGAAAGTTGATCCGATGCGGGATCATGACAAAACCACTCTAGCCACTCGCATCCTCAAGTGCATTCTGACAGGCTTCCACCCCAACGTTGCGCGGCTTTGCCCCGACGGGAGCTATCGTACAGTACTCACGAACCAGCCTGTTTCAATTCACCCAAGTAGCGTGTTGTTTTCTGTCCCTTCATACAGCTCTGCAGATCAAGGCGGTAGTGGCAGGGCCCAGCAGAGGAAGTATGAAGGCATCATGTACAACGAATTTGTGTACACGGGCACAAAGGCCTATGCCCGTGGCGTGAGTGCGGTGGAGATGGGATGGATGCGAGAAGTTCTGACCCCGCCAATGTGACGACATTGGCACTAAGGTTGCTTGGTGACGTTTTGGATTTGTACTTGTTACTTGTAACCAAGTACTTGGCAGGTAGTCAATACAAGCGAGCTTTGACACCCACTTGTTAGGCCTTGGTCCTGGGTACCTGGTACCGAGGGCAGCCAAGAGAGCTTACCATGCTCATGCAGCTCGTGGTACAGTGATACGCTGGTGATGGTGTCACTCAACTTCGGGAATGGGCGGAACACGTGATTGCGCTAGATCCAATTCAGGAAGGCGGCAGCAGTCGAGGGGTTTTCCACCGCATGCACCACCTGCAACCACCGCAACACACTAATGCAATTCTCGACTCATCCCACACCCCCCTCAGATGAGAGTTCCCGGTCGAATGTGAACGTTACGAGCGATGCGGGCAGTCAAGATGAGCACAAACACAAGTCCCTTGCAATGCTGTCTCGAGTTCAATTCATTGCTCACCACTCTCTGAGCGAGGATTGCAGCATCAGCGTCAACCACCTACGAGTACAAGTACAGTGACAAGTACAAGTACGCACAAGTCCATCTAAGACGGCTCGGAATCACACCATGCGAAAGTTTAACGATCCCTATGAAGCTCATTCCCCGCCTTGCTAGATCGAATTGGTCCAGGACAGCTCCCGAAGGAGGCTTCATATGCACCATCTGATGCTTCATGTCTCAGATGCTACACCACTCTCGCAGGCGTCTCTGGAGTCTTCTCGTCATCGACTGATCTCAGTGGCACAATGTGTGGTGGGGGCTGCAAGCTCTCCTGCCGCCGTCTATCCTCCTCAGCATGAGGGCTGGCTGTGACCACAGAACCAAAGCTTTTTCTAACTGCGGAGGTGTCAAATATCGAGGCCTCCAGCGAAAGCTCCTTTGCGGCACGACGATCGCCAAGATGTGGACATCGAATAGGCGATCGAGCCGACCACACCATCTACGCATTAGGTGCGGGGTTGACAGAAAAAAGCTCGCTTTTCGGATGGAAGGTACAGCAGAATGTGGTGTGCTGGATAATGGTGGAGAGAAGATGCATTGACAGTCGACACTAACACCAACATCCATCCACTGACCGGCTGTCACGGACAAGCTCTTCGCGCACCATTGACACCATTGATGCTCATTCGACTGCCATGGAACCACTAGCATTGCTTCGAATGTCTTCTTCTGGCGAGCACCCGGCATCACAGAGCTCTCATAAAACCGTGCCGCTCAGTCGCCGCTCTCTTCTTCTTTCTCTTTCAAGAGTGCTGCTCATTGTATAGTCCCAGTCCTCCAGTAAGGCACTGATCATTCGCTTCAGCGTCTGCCCACCCTCGTTGAGATCGAGTTCTCGTATCAGCAACAAACACCCGCATCTTACACCTTACACCACTCCAACTATGCGTACATTCGCTCTCCTTACGGCTCTGGCCGTCTCCGCCCTGGCCTCACCCTTGCCTCAGGGGGTGACGTCTGCGATTGCTCCATCATCTCCAGCTCCCGGAGGTTGTCAACCCTCGTATAGTGGCAGCTTCGAGATTACCGTTGTAAATGTCTCGTCGTCGGCATCGAAGCGAGATCTGTCGGAGGTAGGTCAACTGCGTCGCTCACATACCCTTTGCGAAAAGTACCGACCGTTTGCAGCGTCAGACTTCTGGAATCCTGACCCTCACTCTTGCCGACTCCATCCTGAAAGACCAGGCCGGACGCACTGGCTACATCGCCTCAAACTATCAATTCCAGTTTGACAACCCTCCTCAAGCTGGTGCTATCTATACGAGCGGTTTCTCCCTCTGCTCCAACTCCAGCCTTGCGTTGGGTGGTTCTGCCATCTGGTATCAATGTTTGAGTGGATCATTCTATAACTTGTACGACCGAAAATGGGCACCCCACTGTGTTCCAATCTACATCTACGCCCTGATCGGATCCTCGGCTCCACCAGCAACACAAGCGACAGACGGTCAGCCAGCAGTGACGACCGCTGTCCCCTCGGTCACTCAGCTCACGGACGGCCAACCCCAGGTCACTTCTGTTGTCGTGACGCAGATCTCAGATGGGCAGTAAGTTATCCCTTCATTCTTACGCCATGAATTGTTTTTATGGCATATTTTAACCCGCCTCAATCCTTGACCTTGGTCTCGTGCGCTTATTGCGACATGTACTCGCTCTGAGCTGCAACACGGCCTGTCTTGATCTCTCAGTTGAAAGGGCCGCTCTTCTGTTCATTTATGCCTTGTTTTGCCGTATAATGCTACCTGTTTCTGCCTCCCATGTCTCACTAAGGGAGGGGACACCTCATTCGAGGCCGCATCGTCTTTTTTTTTTACTCCAGACTACTACTTGTTTTTCTTCCCACCACTGTCACAGCGTGAGTCCCGCTGACCTCTCCACAGACCTCAGGCCAACACAGCTCCTCCCGTCACGCAAATCAGCGACGGCCAGTAAGTCCAATAATCTTCACTCCACACTTCACAGCCCCCCGGTCAAGTCTTATTGACAATTCGCAGGCCGCAAGCAGCGACTGGAGTACCTGTCACCCAGATCTCAGATGGACAGCCGCAAGCCCCCAGCGGAACGCCGGTGAGCCAGATCAGCGATGGCCAGTAAGCCAAGCAGCTTCATCCACTCGTGCATTTTTGGCCGTACTCTTTGCTGATAAGCTCTATAGACCACAGGCTCCGACTGGCGCCCCTGTCACTCAGATCTCTGATGGCCAGTATGTGAAATATTAGTTTCCCTTTTATCTATATTCTTGCTAACAGAGTGAAGACCACAAGCCGCTACTGGCACACCAGTCACTCAGATCAGTGATGGACAACCCCAGGCTCCTACTGGCGCGCCGGTCAGCCAAATCAGTGACGGACAGCCTCAAGCACCTACTGGTACTCCAGTCACTCAGATTAGCGATGGACAGCCTCAAGCACCCACGGGCGCACCTGTGAGCCAAATCAGTGATGGACAGCCTCAAGCACCTACTGGCACACCAGTCACTCAGATCAGTGACGGTCAGCCCCAAGCGCCTACTGGCACACCAGTTACCCAGATCAGCGACGGTCAGCCGCAGGCACCTACTGGCGCACCTGTGAGCCAAATCAGTGACGGACAACCCCAAGCACCAACGGGCGTCCCTGTCACTCAGATCAGCGACGGACAGCCTCAGGCACCCACATCTGTTGCAGCCGCCTCGACCACCAGCTCAATTGCTCCTGCGACGTTCAGCGGCGCGGCATACCGTGCTGAGTTCCCTGGCGGGATTGCTGTTATTGCGGGTATTGCAGGGTAAGAACTCCTTCTCTTGTCCAAGCACCCTTTCCCTTCGCTGTAACTTGAGCCTCCTAGTTTTCGTTTTATGCTAACAGAATTGGCAGAGCTGTGGCTCTTCTATAGGGTTAAGAAGGAAACTCAGCTCACGATCGCTCTTCCCTCTCCGTATCTCGCGCATGTGTTGACCTCAACTGATTGCACGAATCCTACCATCGCAAACAAACAAACACACACACACACACACACACACACACACACACACACACACACACACACACACACACACACACTATCTCTCTCACGACTGAGAACTCGCATGTACGTTAATACTGTCACCCCGCACACATCATTGGATTGCATATGGTTGGAAAAACAAACATGAAGAAACAAAATTATCAGACAAGCCTGGACACAGAAATGTGCCTCTTGCCTCTGGGAAGATGGTTACCGAAGCTGCCTGTTGGTCGGACATTTTACACAGAACGAGTGGACGAAAATAATTAATGGTAATAATATTTTACATGCTGTTTCGCTCCCCGTCAAGCATGCCCGCTACCTAGTTGTGCATATTATGAGAGAAGCTTTCCTGACTCCCTTCTCTGACCGGACCATTTGCTTCGGCTTGGCCGTTTTGTCTGGGTATCTTCTTTTTACGCTCTTGCATGCTGTCTAGGATGCGCGGGCTACATATTCGTAATTGCCCCGGGGAGAATGGGAGAACTCATTCCCTCCATATCCTGACAATCTCCAACTTCTCCCAGCCTGCCGTCTTCCCACTGGTGCCCACGGTCTCTGCGCGCCACTGCCACTGCCACTGCCACTGCGCCTCTTCTTCACCTTCACCCGGGACGTCGCCAGGCGGTGGTGGTCGCTGCTGCCACGCGCGGACCCAGCTCTTGACCTCCTCGGGCCGGTTGCCGCGGCAGAACAGCACGTACGCCACACCCCGATGGCTCAAGACGTCTGGGACCTGAAGCAGCAGGCGGCGGGTGACTTCCATGCCGTCGACGCCGCCTGCGTAGGAGAGGGCCAGGAGCTTGGACTGTTCCTCGAAGCTTGGGACGGCTAGGTTACGAGAAGAAGATGAATGCGGCGGCGGCGGCGACGATGATGATAGCGGGACTGCACCGGTGGTGATGGCGGAGGCAGTGGTGATTGTGGCAGCAACAGGGACCGATTCTGTAGGGACATAGGGCGGATTGAAGATTAAGACGTCGACTTCGCTCGGCCGGAGCGGGCTGGCCAGGTCGCCGTTCAGGGAGGAGAGGTAGACACTGCTCGTCCCGTCTTGACATTGCCCAGTAGCAGGAGCAGGAGCAGGAGCAGGAGCAGGAGCATTCGTAACTTGCCCCTCTGCCGTGGTCGTGGTCGTCGTGGTCGTCGTCTCCACTGTCCTGGCCTTGGTCTGGGCGAGCGCCTTCTCGACGGTCGTCCGCGTCGCGAGACATGCGTGTGGATTGACGTCGACGCTCATGCTGAGCACGTGGCTCCCGAAGATGGTCTCGGCGTGCGCGGTCAGGAAGGCGACGACGACGCCGGACCCGGGCCCGATCTCGACGAGGAGCGGCGCTCCCTTTCTTCTTCCCCTTCTTCGCCTGGTCCTGGGCCCGGTCTCATCGGTCCTTTGTTGCTGCGACGAGAACCGTGAACGCAGCCACGCCGTCTCCGAGGCCGAGGACAGCGTGTCAAGGAACAGGTACGAGTCCTCTGCTGGCTCGTAGATCAGGTCGTACGAGACGTGCGAGGTCGACGGCGTCGGGAGCATAATGCTGCTTCTGTGTGGTCTCTCTCTCTCTGTCAATCACACACACTCCCCTTCCCTCTTCTCTCTGTGTCTGTGTCCGTGTCTGTGTGGCCTTCTGTTCCTCTTACACTCTCACGCACAGAACGGTCAGGCCGCCTTCTGGGGCCTTGCTCTGAAGTGTCTCGCAGCGATGGCGGGCAGTCCTTCGTTGCCTGCTCTCTTTCCTCAAGATCCACGATGAACAACTCCTCATTCAGTCAGACACATATGCGATCGTCCACGGAGTATCATCATCAGACGAAACATTCCATGTTTTCCCCCCCTTTCACCGATAGAGATGTGCTACTTACATACAACTCTGTAACGTCCAAGGAGAGTCGAAAATTTGGCCGCACGGCATATCCTCGGGTCTTCTTGAACCGTTCTACATACCAAGGACGAGGTACATACTCTACTGTCTTGGTGCTTGACAACGAACAGATACTAAAGTATTATATAACAGATAGTGATTTTCCTCATTCTCCAGCCTGTCTCATGATATCGTGTGCACCGGTAGCGATTTCATAGCTTATCGTTGCACTGGGATCTAGTTGAGGGCATCCACTATGGTATGCACCAAAAAAAAAACAACCAAATTCCCACCTATTGCGTGGTCAACAGTCGCCAGAATGCCAGCTTCAAAGAACTGCATTCTCCCGCCTTATTCGTAGTCTAGTTTTACACACTGTTTGCTGTAAGTTCTTATCCTGACACGTGTTTGCCTTCGTCGACGTCGTGATCAAATGGTCATCATTGTCATCGCTCCAGTTCTCAACCAGCGACGACCTTATAAACACCCGATTTCCCAACTTCCAACACGTCTTCTTTCACCATGGACGCCAGAAACTCTTTCAATTCCTCGTTACTAAATGGGAATCCGCCAGGGACCACAATGGACAACATCATCGAAATCCTCGCCAGTGGCATAGCGCCCTGATTCGTGAGCATGGATACAATAAATCGATGATACATCGCCATCTTCTGTCTGCGCTCCGCTTCTTCGGCCTCCCTGGTCGCGGCAGCTAAGGCGGCAGCTTCTGCGGCGGCCAAACTACTGTCCGTGGGTTGATTAGCAGATAGACCGCCTTCGCTCATCAATGTGTCGTTGTCATCATGTGTTCCACTAGGGAGTCGCTCGATGACGGAGAATGTGTTGGGAGAGGTTTCGGCGAGGATGCGTCTTGAGGCCCAGAATATGCAGGCGGAGCGAACGAGGGTTGGGGACATTGCAAGATCAGATGCAAGTTCCGCAACGGTCTTTTTGATAGGTTGCTCAGCTATTCCGGCAGGATCCTCCCGGAAGGCGTAAATGACGGTCGCTTGCCATGGGAGGACCTCATCACGGTAAGTGCGGTCCTCCAGCTCCAATTCAACTTCCACTTGACCGATGGTATTGATCCAAGTCAACTTCCGCGACTGCTTGAGGGCTCCAAATCCCTGTTCATAGTTTCGTTGCTGCTCCATCACCACTGATGGCAGATTAAATGACTGCTCCGGCATGGGCGGCCAAAACAAGCGTGAGAGGATCTTTGCGTGAATCTGGACACTGTCGTCCCTTTGCCTGACGGGCCGTCCCTTCTTTCCTTGTTGAGTTTCCAAATCTTTCCTAATGACTTTATCCACTTTCTTCGAATCCAGAACGTCCCTTAACATGACTTCGCACCCTTGCAGCGCAGAGTCTCCAAAACGTATTTTCAAGTGCTCCAGCATACCAATCTCCTGATTGAAGTCGGCTTTATTCTTGAGCAACCTCTCCGCCACGGTGGATTGGAGTTCCTTGACAAACACGTCCTTCGTTTCGAATAGCTCAACGAGACTGCTGATTACGTCTGTTATTTTGTTGGATTTCATATAGTCCGGGGCCGCGTCGATGGGGTCAGGCATCCAGTCCATATTGTTCCAATCAAATTCACCGTCGTCTATAGTATTCTCCCGCGTGGTATGACGGGTCAGTTCATGAGCGAGTTCCGTAAGTACGTCTGGATCGGACGGTGGAAGCTGCCCAGTCTCGTCCGGTGTGATGTCAGCCAGCAGTCCACCCACGATCACCTTTACCGTATCATCTCGCTCTCGGAGGTAGCGTCGGACTCTCCTGACGACGCGATCCAGGAGGACTCCCCTTGGATCGAGGATCCGAAATGACCGGATGATCGAAATGTAAAATTGTAGGATCTCAATGGTCGACGCGCCAGGGTGGAGAAGACGTGCTTGTAGGACATTTACGAAATTGAGCGTCAAATACCCTCTTGTTGTAGGGTTTGTCGTGAAATACCGGAGATCTTCAATTGCTGGTGCGGTGGCGTCCCAGTCGACTATTATCTCAAAGAGTTCATCAACCCGGAGAGCGCCCAAACGGGCGGTAGCCATGTCCATCCATTTCTTCACCTCTGTCTCCGGCAGAGGTTGTGTTTCCAACTTTTCGTCGATACAACAGAGAACCTTGCGTGCGATCCTGGAAAACAAATGATCTACCCAGAACTCAAGGTGGAGATGAAGCCCTTCACGGTAGACTCCGGTGTAGGACCAGGTCACGAACTCAGTCATCAGATCATTGAGTACTGATGCCAGTAACTTTGTCATTGTTTCAGAGCCGACTGCCGTACGCCATGCGGCTAGCATGCCCCAGATCGGAGCCTCTGCCTCCCTTGCAATCTGCACAGCATGATCGGTTGCTGTCGGCGGCCTGAGCCGGTCGGGGGGGGGACAAGATCCGAGGTGGCTGTGGAAGGGAGCGCCAGCAGTAGACACCCAGCGATTCTGCCCATAGACGAAAGACTCGTCACCCACTCCGAGAAGCACTCTCAGATGTTTGTGTAAAGCGGTTTGGATTTCCGGGATCGTTGCAAGGGTTTGGAGAGCGAAATGTCGACGATATTTGGGTGGCTTGACGACCGAAGGTGAGAAGACTGATGCAAATACTCCGTCTGTCAAGGGAGCAGATGCGGCAGGTTTCGACGTGGACATTAAAGATGTGGCCATTGTATCTCCATGGCAGGAGAGTCAGGGTGGTCCTTACTCCGAGAGGAACGAATGCACCTCTTGCGGAGTGATGGCAGTTCAGATGTTGACCAGGATTTTAGGAGTACGAAATAGCACGAGAAGTGTGGCGCGAGCGTAGCTTCATACCAAGATACACAGAGACATGGAGACATGGAGACACGGAACGCCTTTGATCGTGTGTTGAGGATCGGAGGATGTCGCAAATGCCAAGACTGTGATTACATAAGGCCTGGCAGACGCGTAGCTTAAAAAGGAAAATTGTTTGTCTCACCGACCGACGCGTATTTTCCAACGAGCGACAACAAGCACGGTTTTGCTGCTTTCATTATTTCTCGCTCGCCATCATTCGGTCGACCATCTGAAACTTCTCGCAGATAAATCCTATCCAATGGCCAAACTCTCTGTCAAGAAGTGAAAGATTGCGTTCCATCTCAGTGTGCCGCATACCAGTGGTCGCAACCTCGAGAATTCGCATAGTCATAACATCATAACAATTTGGATTTATGGCCCTTTGCATATGAGCTTGTCGGCTGAAAAGTTATTCCGAGACCAGTGGTCCCTGTATGTGAGTAGCTCAGGTAAGAGGGTATCGTCGAATGAGTGGATGTTGCAATGCCATTTTGCCCTTTTCCAACGTATCAGTCACTCCCATATCGTCAACTGGTGTCGTTCCGTCGGAGCTTCAGACCTTCCAAGCGGCGAATGCTTCGGACTTCTACCGTATCAGCGATGACCCTGGCGTTCTGTTCCTCTGAGATAACCGAGCTTCGAGGCCAATCTCAATGAAAGGCCATCATTCCAGAAATAATCTTCGGAAATCCTGACGTTTGCCTGCCAGTCTCGCAGTGTCGGGCGCGCTCGCAGGATTGATAGGCCCAGAAACCAAGGCTGTGCTGCTGGCTCGAATGTTGCAAGAAGCATGGTTGCGACCCAGGTCATAAACGCCTCATTTCTGCCCGTCACCTCAATATACAGCGTCCTCATGTGCTTGCAACGAATTTGCAGATAAGCATTTGTCAGGTAAAACATGGATCGTGTCGTATCCGTGGAATAGCAAAATGCAGTCAGGGCAAGAACGAGAAGTTGCTCGACCATTGTCAGCCCTGGCTTGTGCAGGAACTCGCCGCATAAGGTGACATTGCGCGAACTCTGGGACAGGTCATGCAAGTTGTACACATCCAACTCTCGGAGAGAGGCGTTCACTTCTTGCACCCAGTTGTTGACATGTGCGATCAGGTTGATGATCTGATGACTCAGCAAGCCCGACAAGGCTATGTCAGTCAGGCCCGGTCGAAACCTGGCAATGATGTCGCACAGGTCCGGATCGAAGGGATGTTCTGGGTAGGTAAATTTTCCGTCTTCAGGAAAGAAGCGCTGGTCGGTCAGGGAGATGGAATGTCGGGCTGCATAAAAGTTCTGCCACCTGGAGACAAAGGAACAATCCGTGGCCGATTAGTCATGCGTTTCAGATCCAACGTCAAGTCAGAACCAAAATACGACTTACGCCGTTGCCACCGTCTTCAGGAATCCCTCGAAACCTGCTCCCTGTCAGATTGATTCGTGCAGAGACCGGGTGAGCAGTCAGGAAAGGTACCTAGTTGGCTGGTGCCGCCTCGAAGAGCGACGACTTGTTTGATGCCCAGCGTGTGCATGTCTACTGCATCATAGTTTCCCGAAAAGGCCTGCAGGCCCAGACCCAGACAACGCAGATCAGTGGGCTGATTACACATGCGGGAACCCTAGAACCCCTGGAGAGCGTATTCTCACCTCAAACGCGCACAAATTCGCTAGAGTCACAATGATTGCATCACTGGACCGTTGCGACTCATTGGTCAACCTCTCCCGTAACAACGAAACGGCAGACTGATAGAACCTGAGAGATTCTGATGGAGCGTCGCGACTACCAGTAGCAGCAATGTTGGCGCTGAAGGAGGACATAGCAACAAGCGCCGAAAAGGTCATGCGATCGTTCATGAGGAACGGTATGTAGTCGCGCAGAAGGGCAAGATCCGGGCCCTGGCCAACGAAATGTGGACGCTGAACCGTTGCCGGAGAATATTGCTTCACCCCTAGGAAGGAAGGGAAAAAACATTAGCCCGTGCTCATGCGACGGGAAATGGAATGCATACAGTACTGAATCGCACGCTGGACGAAACTGTTTCCTGGGAGGGGAAAAGGCGAATGCGACAAGTCCCGCGCCCCCGGATTCCCTAGTCGAATAACTTCACTGTCAGCTGGCTGGGAGATACTGCGGCGATGGAGCGGTAGTCGATGTTGTTCTGCAGCCTGTCCGTGAAAGTCCTGCCGCTGGTGGTGCGGCCGCTGTTCCTCATCTTCTTGCTGCTGGTGTGCGGGAAATAATGGGTTTACTCTTCGACTTTGCCTTCTGTCAAGGTCGCCAGGACGATCCATCCTTCAATGAACCCGGGCCATGATTATCCACGCTCCCTTCCAACTTAGACGGATGTTTACAACAATATATGCGAGTCTGAGAAGTAAAGGTGCGGGAGACCCGCGCTGATTGTCCGCTAATCATGGCGGTTCCTCCACTGCCGAGTGTCTTGGGACCTTCGACTTCTTGCGGCAGGGATATTGCAAAAAGTATGCACAAGAAAGAGGTAGGCCTACCACGCAATCGGCCAACACCTCCCAAAAGAGTACAATCAGAAAAGGTTGATCTGTTTGCGTCAATCCATCGCGATTCTATCCAGCGCCAGCTCCGGAATAAGATAATCCGTCCGGAAAAATATGCAGGGTTTCTCGGTCGAAACAGTCTTGCGCAGCCACGACGGACGTCTCTTAGTGCGTCCCCTAAACCATTGCCAATGAGCATGCATGTCATAAGCCGACGAAATCGGACGAAGGAGGAGCGGAATATCCAGAGTGCCTTTGAATAAGCGAAGCGTCCTCGAATGGGATGCATGCTGCAAGGGGTGGTTATGGCACTGCTCACGGGAGTACAGCCAGGGCTGCAGAGTGCCAAATTCATCAAGACTGGCAAGCCTCAAATGAGCCTGAAGAAGCAAGGCCACACTGGTCGCGAACTCCGAAATCGATTCGCCCAACCCCAGTGCCGTTGTCCAGAGCCCCAATGGGAAGTGGACGGCCCTTTGTGCGTTTTGGGTAGGAGTATGCGGCACGGCCATATGCGGACCTCGGGCAAGATATGCTCAATTATGATTAACCCAAGGCCACATGATCTCCGGTTGTGGTCTCGGTCAAGCGTCGATGCTTCCTGCACAACTGGCGATCCCCGACAACATGGGAATAGACGTTGGTCAAGACCTGGGTTGCCCAGACGCAGTATAGCGGGCGCGGCAACCCATTCCTCGGTCTAGACGATACCCTCCTCTGCCACTTCTGCCGCAGTGGCGCCCCCGTCTGTGTCTCCTGGGCATCTTCATTTGGCCGCCTAGACAGTCAGGGACCCAATCAATCTTCTTTCGACCTCAGTCCTACTCTGACACCTTTGTCATCGCGCATTCTAAGCTACCAGAACCAGCAAGCTGCAACATCTGCTTGTTTTGTCCAAGATGTCCACGAGTCGCCGCTTCAGACTCCTCAGGCGGCAATAAGCTTGCTCGCTCGCTGGGAGCCCGCCCCGATCTCCTGCGGCTTGGTGATAGAGGTGCGGTGCGGTGAGGGGACTGCACCTCTAGCGGCCCCCTGGAGTCTGCCTAGAATTCTTTCTCGAGTGCATTCACGGGCGTGCGGCACAGATTTATAAAGTGGCGGGAACTCAGGCTTCCTCTTCTCTCGCGAGGGGTAGTCAGAGCTATGGCACCTGAATAATGTCCCTACAGCCGTGCTAACGAATTTCCGCAGTGGCAACTCAAGCAGATATGGGAGATGGTAGAAACTAACCTGGGCAGGATCGGCCATGCGCTCAACGCGTAGAAGGCCATGCATGGAGGTGAGTAGCACCAGATGGTGGTTGCTGGTATGCAGGCATACATCGACCAACAGGCATTGACACGGAGAAGAGAAGCCGGACGCAAGCTTCCTCCCCAGTACATTCGGTAACGCTTGGCTCAGGGGGAGCTTGCCGGCGTCGGATTCATAATGTTAACATGGAGCTTCGGTCTCCATACATTGCTCAGCCCTTTAAGGAAATCGCACGTAGGGCCGGATTCCACAATGGCGGGTTTGTTTGATTCCATGCTTTTGGCAACACAAGTATTCTCCCCGAAATGGTCTCTGCTCACAGGTGGCAGGATATCGTGTCCCTTTTAAAGCTATCCAAACTCGTTCCGGCCACTCGGGAGCTCTTCCTCAATCCTGGCCCTGCCATATGCCGACCTGTCCCTGTCACACGGAAAGACCCAGCGGAAGCCTCAAATTCGCTTAATCTTTGAACTCAACCCTGTCTCCTACGTCGAGGGAGGAAAAGCCGGCCGGCCGGCCGGATAGGAGCGGCTGTTTAACTCATATCACCCTTAGAGCTTGTGGGACATGATGTACCTGCCGTCGTCACCAAAATCTGCGCGTATTGAATTAGCCGTTTGAGCAGCGCACCACCGCGCCTGCAAAGGGTCTCATCTAACCAAAAAGAAAGGCCCGGGCATGTCTGAGTTGGGAAAGCTACAGTAGCTTCTCGAAAGGGTTCCAGCGCTGGGCGGGTGGCGACAGGTTCCCTTCGCAAAAGTGGAAACGATGGGATTGCCCTTGAATCACCCACAAGTGTTGTCTGTATTGATCGCCTTGGCCAGTCCATGCTTGCATGCGTTGGAAATCTATACATTCTTCTCTACCCGCGAAACCAGGGCTACATATTACTTGAGAAGGACGCCGGGCCCGCTCTCACGGAGATATGTTCGGGATATCATTGAGGGAGGCCGAGTCGGAACGCGAGCGGCGCTTCTCGAGAACCTAAAGTCTATATCAAGGAACGTGGGTGTCTTTACACACGCGGGCATCTTCAGTCGGTGAAGATACGAGCCAAGACTATAAGTGTGTGTGTGAGAGAGGGCGGTCGAACGAGAGTCGGGAAATGAATGTATCTTATCCTAGTTTGTCTATCCAGTCTTTTCCCGCAAGCATCTCTCCTCCCACCTCAAAACTCGTCCTCTTGCGCACACTCAGATCGGGACAGAGTTCAATCGGCATCCAGTCTCGCCACCGGCCTCGTGTCGTCCACCTGAATGCCTCCCCTCTTCCTCTCGTCCACGTCGTGGAACGGAAGCCGCCACCCTCCCTCACTGACGGGGGTACTCAACCACAATCGCATGAGATGCCTGCGCGGCATGCCGCTGTCCGGGCCGTAGTCCCTGTAGGCGGTGCGGGCATGCAAGATGTGGCAGTTTGAGAGGAACTGGATGTCGCCGACCTCGAGGATCATGTGCAGCTTGACGCGCTGGCACACGTCCTCGAGCGTCTCGAGCGCGCGCACCTGGGCCGCCGACAAGGCCGGGATGATGCCCTTGTCTGAGAACCGGGTCAGGCTGCGGACGTAGTACGGGTCCCATTTGCAGTAGACCCTCTGCTCCCTCCCATCCTCAGGCGTCTCCAGGTAGAAGACGCTGGTGCGGATATAGGGCTCCTCGCCCTGCGACACCTCGCCCTTGCGGTCAAAGTACCACACCGGCTGGGTCAACAGCTCCGCCACGTCCGGGTACTCGGCCTGCAGGATGTTCCACACGTGGTGGACGCACGCCACGTCCGACTCGCCGCCTTCCTCGGCGCGGGCGATGCAGAGCAGGCCAACCACGTCCGAGTCGTCGGCATGAAAGAACTGGCGCGCGTTGGTCCTGTAGATCCGCACCTTGTCGATCTGCGTGCTGTCCTCGCCCAGGTCCTTGACGTGGCCCAGTATGTGGCCCCGGCCGTTCTGGGAGACCGGGTAGCCGATGTACGTGCCCAGACCCATGTACGCGACCGCGGACTTGTGCGAGCCCCATTCCTGGACGGGGAAGCCCTTGTAGAGGATGAAGCCCTTGCCGTTGAGGAGTTCGTTGCGCATCGACTTCAGCGCGGACGACATGGTCGGGAGTGGGAAGTTGGACGGGTTGATCCCCGTCAAGGGGAGGCCTTGGGCCATGAAGCTGTCCGCCGCGGCCGAGAGTTCATGAATCTCAGAGTCTGAGAAGACATGAATCCATGTTTCGGGGTGCGAGGCATAGTCTTCGTTGGACCAGACCGTGGGACCGGAGATGGACTTTGGAAATGCAGAGTATGGGTACAGCCTGCCGTAGAGCGGAGGGTGTTGGCCGGATGTTTTGAAACCATCGGGAAAGACAGATAAGTCGACCGGCTTGGACTTGGAGGGCAATGTTGGAGGAGCGTGAGACGATTCAACGGCGATGGGAGCCATCGTGGACCGACTATACCTCGCAAAAACTTTCCTTATGGACTGTTGTTCCCAAGCTGGGAAAAAGGAAATGAGAATAGAAAGAGCCAGGGAAAGAAAACATCTCGGTGGCTTCGAATCTCTTGGCCTCTTGTCGTGATTGCCCCCCTGTTGACCTCATGCCGTCCAAGTATAGCGAATTCCCATGCCGTGATTGTACCACAACGCACAGGGCATCTCCGAGTGCACGAGCGCTATCGGGGCTTTGGATGCGCAAAGGGTCGCGTGCGAGGGGTTCACGTTGATCCAATCGAGAGGGGCAATTGCGTGATCAGAAGTCGTTGAAAACGATGGAGTTGGTCATGTCCGCTACAACCACCTCAGGCGGAAAGTGTTCCGTGGATCTTTTGGCTCAGTGGATAGAAAGGGGTTCAGGGTGCCTCGTAGGCGATGGAGAATCTGCAGATGTTGTAGGGGAATCCCGTGTGATAGCACGGCCTCAAGAGCTCATTCTACCTGTATAAACTCCCATTGCACTCTTTACGCTGGTCACCGCAAAAGTGAAAACTGTATGAGACAGGTCAGGAAAGAGTGACGACGCTGAAGCATCGCCCTCTCTCCGTAAGCAACGCCGCTCACATCACGACGCAACATCCAGCCTGCTGCCACTGTCCATCCGGAGGAGCCATTGAGACCCTCGTAGGCCCTGACGAAGGATAGGTTGACGACGGTAAATGTCCTCGGTAGTGATACACGGGCAACACCCTCCCGTGTCCATCAGTCATGTTGTATCCATTGCCCAGATTGCCTGCCTCCCATGGTTTCTTTAGAATGATCCGCGTCTTGTCCGCGTCGTAGTCTCCTTTCAGATCGCAGTTCGGACAGCTGTCGGCCGGCGCAGAAATGTACTCTGGTTGCACCATTCTTTTCCACGCACTTCTCGCAGGTTTGTATTGGTGCGTCTGGTTCTTGAAAGATGCTTCCGGCCCACATGGTTTGACGATGCTCATCCAGTGATGAGGGCAGGTATGAGATTTGAAGGCTTCGGTTTTGCACATCTTGCGGTTCTGTGTGTCTTGCAGGTAGGCAAGGTAGGAACATGTGGGTTTGACGAAGTCGTGTCTCGTCCCCCGAGAGACCGAGGGCAGCAAGAATTCTCGTCTCGGTAGTAGGATGAGTTCCTAGGAGCCGGATCAAATAGAAACTAATACTGACGCGACATCACCTTCTGTAACAATGCTGTTTGTTCATGGAGTTTGAGTTGGCCGGGATTGAGTAGTGACAAGAGATGCCACCTGCGGTCAGAGCCACTCGTTCGCAATGGCGTCCTCCTTGTTTGGCAACCATGCTAGTGATAGCAATGTGCAGTGGCACCGAGTCCTCACCTGGCCCTTGCCAAACACACGTCCAAAGTCGGCCAGACTCATCATGATGCCTTAAGTCGTTCCTGAGCCTTTAGCCTCGTCAATCGCCCTCAAAATCTCTCCCTCCTCTTCCTCATCCACACTCTCTCTCCCTCTCCTCTGAATCGCCAACATGAGTTCATACATCTGTCCAACTTGTTGGTCGCTCAATTTATCCAACAATGCAGGGTCAATTTTTTGATCTTTCCAGTCATCCCCTTCAATCTGTTGGCCATATTGCTGCCATTCCGTCAGAAATCCGACAATGTGCAATGGATTTTCAATGTCTTTGTGTCTCCGGAACTCTGCCTTGAGGTAGGTGTCGCCAAACAGGCGTTCTTCGGGGTTGAGCCTCTTGCGATGAATGCGCAGGAGACGACGATATAGCGGGATGGGAGGGAGCAAAGCCAGAGCTTGTGCTCGTTGGCCTGGCCGAAAAGATGGAGGAACAGGGGCCGCAAATAAACGGAGACTTGCCCGCATGGTAGAAAAGGGATTGTAGGATCTGGGCTCCTTTTTCCTCGGGGCTGTGAGAGCTATGTAACAAAACGAGACTTTCGTCTAGTGGACGCAGCATGCGCAGAAGAATACTTGGGCGAGCAGGACGCTCAAGAACCGATGATTAGCCGATGCTTCAGACAATGAAACCCACAAGGCTGGACCCCTGGTTGTAAAATATTGGTGATTACTCCGTACAGAGTGTGCGTTTCTAATTACAAGCTCTTCAAGTCCTTCCAGGGGCCTGGAAGTCTCGCAGCAACATCCGTTACTGCTCTCACTAGGGATACATATGGAATAGCCGGTTCAACACCACTTTGTTCTGTCCGTCCCACAAAAGCCACAACCTGCTTCCCCAATCAAAGCGTAATAATAAAACGTGTGGCCTCTAGCCTGAACAGTAAAAGTCTTTGGAACCGGAAAATGATTGGACAAGGGAAGCTCACGGGGGTATCTGCGGTCGACCGTCTCTCTCGTAAAATGCAGTTCTGAATATTGTACACGTGGTTGTGAAGAGGTCGTAAGCTCGTAATCATGCACGAAAATGGGTCAAGAAGGAGCGGGCTGCTCGTCTCGCCTAGTCACTGCAGTCCATATCCGATGGGTCGTCGTCATCGGCAAATGGACCGTATTCCTCCCGCAAAGTCTCTTCATCGTTGAAATCGTCGTCGAGCAATGGATGGTAATCCTCCTCTTCGGGAATGCCGAATTCGTCGGTGACGTAGAGCGCAAGAGCGTCGCTCAATGTGAAATGGTGGTGATCTTCCACGTAGGCTTCGGTATCAAGAAGATGCATCGGGTACATCTGGTCTGGATCCTCGAGAATACCACATGCCATGAAGATGTTCAAATTCAAATCCTTTCGCATCCGCCTCGTGGCCTCCGGCCACGAACCTTCTTCGAGAGTCATGAAGCCCATTCGCAAATCACGGAGAGACGGCTGGCCTTCCAGAGTGCGCAAAAAATAGTCCTCAGTCGTCGTCATGCAATCCACATTCAAAACACTGAGATGTGGCCAAGTGTTTGAGCCGAGAATGGTCTCGAGGCTAGTCACCGGCCCATAGTAGCCGTAATCATCAAAGTTGATTGTGAGTTGTTCCAAATCACGCGCAGCCGAGAGTGCAGCCCGAAGACATCCATTTTTGGTAAAATCTTCGTAACAGCGCCTCGCAGTCATAATATCCAAACTGATCCGGTCGTCTTTCTCCAGACGGAAGTTCAGGTCGATGACTTTGAGGTTCTGGAAGGCGCAACAGATCAGGTCAGCCGGCACGAAACCAGTGAAGAATTTGGGGCTCAAGACGTGGACTTCTAGCGTGCCGAGGTGGGTGAGCGGTTGACCTCGCGGGAAGAGTAGATGACTCAGCTGGTCTTTGGTGAAACTGGTATCTTGTTCGATTGGCATAGCACAGTCGGCTGTAAACGACTCGAGGAATCTTCCCGAGAGAACATGCTTGCAGCGGCCGACAGTGGAAAGGACAAGCTTGTTCAGTTTCGGGAAAGAGGTCATGCTCGACGAAATGAAGTCGGCATAGGCGGTGGACTGGAGGACTTTCTGTTGTTTGTTGTATAGATCTAGATAGCGCTTGAACTTTTTCTCAATCTCGCGGTTGAACTTGGCCATGTTTCGCTCGTAGAGTCTCCTCTCGCGGTCGGTTGCACCTTTGCGAGGCTGGGCGGGTCGCTCCATTTGGTGATGCTCGAGCTCATAGTGGTTTTGGTAGGTATGAACACAGTGGACACTGGCTAAGAGATTGCCTTCGAAAACGACAGTGTCGACGTATTTGGCGAAGACATGGTGACGGGATATGGCATGTAGACGTCTAAGGGAGTCCTCGGTGCAGTGAAAGCGCACTCTCTTGACCAACGCTTCGGCTCCGACTTCGGCCAACCGCTTGTTGAGCAGTCGCAGATTTGCCAGACTCGGAAAGTCCATATGAGCACAGATTTTGACGAGCACCTCGTCTGGGCACTTGTCCATCTTGATGTAATGTAATGTGATGTAATGGATGAGATGTTACACAAGAGAATGGTCGAGGAGGAGCCGGAGGAGGAGGAGGAGGAGGAGGAGGAGGAGTTGAGAGGATGGTGAGGGGCAGTTGGGCACCGGCCTTTGGCGGTCGCAGATGCCAAATTGCTGCGTTAGATGAGGGTTGAGCTAGGTTGACAAGCAGCTATCGAGCTGAAGTACTCTCTGGCTAGCACGAAGAGAACGAATGTGGGGTGATTTGAGCTGATTGAATGACTGAGAAAAGAGGGAGAGACAATGGAGATTGGAGATGGGAGAATTGGAAGCGGAAGTGAAAACCAAAAAGTGACGTTTTACTGGAGGGGGGTTGTTATCGGAAAATAAATATCATTACGGACGACGGAGTGACAAGCAATCGAAAACAAAATTCACTCGGGGGTCAAACGGGGAAGGAAGGGGACAAGGCAGCCAAAGACGAGAAGGAGAGCAGTCTTGACTATTGCCCTGTAGAATCGTGTCCAGTAGCCTGTCCGGCCTGTCATTGTGCCTAGAGCACTCCGTACATGTAGGTACCCCCTGTCACCCACCAGCTATATGGACTCCTTAGCGAGCCACCTATGGTGCCTATTACAGTACTAGACACGGAGAGGTTGGCCTTGGTAGGCTTGCCCGTGGGAAATCAAAATGCGGGACGACGAGGCGAGGAAATGCAGACCCGGGCCACCTGCCTCCCAAGTGCCGACGCGAGCCAGCTATGTATGTGGCCTGGTGCTTCACGCGACCGCGTAAAGTGGTTTGCTGGGGCGGCTAACCTCAGTTGGCACTAGTCCACCATCCTCTCCCCAGCCAACCCATTTGGAGTCCCCTGCAGTAACCGTCTCGCCATGCAATTGGCATTGGCGCATCTCAAATCGCTGCGGCGCTTCAGCATTGTCCAACCCACCATCACCACCGCGACCATCATCGCAACCTCAGCCTGCGCCTGAAAACCTCTTCAGACCACGACCTGTCGACTGTCACTGTGCAACCTGGCACCTTTCTTCACTCGCTTGCCGTCGCTTCACCTGTCATCCCCTCCTCCACTCAATGTCCCGCCAGCAGTGACACCTCCATGGTCAGCTAATAAAGGATTCTGTCCGGCTCAGGGCTTATGCTCTGAGCCTGTTCGCATACTTCACATACCACCCTCTCAGGCCCACCACGCAGTCCTTTGAACCTCCAGATTCCATTGCGTGTCAAAGATCACTTCAAAATGGAAGCACCTGTGGAGATCGAGGAGATGCCTACCAAGTCAAGGGCGAAAGGCGCAGAGACTCTTTTGGCGAAGCATCTTCAGGGAAAGAAGCAAGAGTGGGATGCCATTACAGCGCAAAAAGAGCCTTTACGTCTGCTAGATTTGCCTGTCGATATCTTGCAAGCCATTCTCCGAGAGCTTACGCACACAAACGACCTGACGTCCCTCGCGTTGACCCATTCAGCCCTCCACGCACTGGTCATCCCTCATATATATGCCCGCTTTGATATTGTCTGGCCGGATGCAAATGCCACATTTGAGAATCGCATGGGCGTTGATGCCCTGACCTACGGGTTGGCAACTCTAGTCATGGCGCAAGACGTTTTTGGCGAAGCTCCGTACCAGCAGCAAACTCAGCATCATTGTCACAATTGCGGTCACCAAAATCAGATGGTCCCAACTATACTGGATCGACCCAAAAGGATTCGGCGCGGCAACCATTTTGCTCAGTATACCCGGAAATTCAGTTTGGGAAATGGGCCTGCTGATTGGGTTCAGGAATACCTCATCACGAAAGAGGGAGGGAAGATGCTGGGAACTTTGGTCGCACTGGCGGTGGGCAGGATGCGAAATCTCGAGGCTTTCATTTGGGACATGCCCACAGGTGTGCTTCGAGATGTGTGGATGGCTCTAGCTTCGCTCGGCAACCGCGATGACGGACAAGAATGTCGCCTCGAACGAGTCTGGGTTCGCTGGCATGACAATCAAGACCAGGGGCCTTTGGCTTCTCCTCCGCCGCCTGGGTCCATTCCAGGGCCACAGACTTCCAATTTACCTTCAATTCTGGCGGGTTCTGCCAGCTCTCTCTTTCAGATCCCGCCATATCCTCGGGTCGAGTTTCCAACATTTTCAATTCTGCCGCCTCTCAAGAGTTTAAGCGTGCTCGATATTGACGAACTACCCTATGCAGAGGAAATGAGCGTTCTCATCGAGAGATCTTTAGGGAAACTCCAGGAGCTTCGCGTAGGCATAGCTTCTCACGCCCAGTTCGACATATGGGCAAGGCCCTCAGAAGATCGAGCAGCTCTGCCTCCTCTTATGCCTGGGATGAGTGAGCAGACTCCACGGCCCGGAGGTCTTCTTGGTATCCTAGTACACCGATTCTGCGATGCTTTCTCTCATTATGCACAGAATCAATTGTCTTCGATACTTGACCCTCAACGGGATCCAGTCCAAGACGTTGCGATTGCTGATGTGTCTCGAGAACAAGAGAGGGAGGAAGATCTCGAAGGCCCAGTCAGCACTTCAGAGTTGAATCATTTGGGTACTCTGCTGTCTGCTCACAGTATCCAGGATGACGATTCGGAGGCGGTTCCTGCATCGATCACGAAGCAACGACCACAAGACGACCAGTCTCCCGTCCCGAACCAAAACAAGATTCGCAATGCCAACGACACGTTTCAAGATTCTCATAAGGAAGGTCGTCCAGCGCGAAAACTGCAACTGGAAACGCTCGAATTGGAACGGGTTTCCCTGTCAATAGCGGTGCTTTCGAAAGCCATTGACTGGTCACGACTGACAACTTTAACTCTCCTAGGTTGTCGAAACCACGATCAATTGTGGAAAGCGCTTCGAAAACGGTTTACTCCCACAAGCCGCAGGAGGGTGTCATCAACACCGTTCAGGATTTCATCAAATGGAATGTCAAGCATGTTGCTTCGGTCGCAAACGAGCACACCGCCGACTCCTGCATCGGCCTCGTCCGATTATCCGCTGCGGCTGAGGCGATTACACACTGACATGGTGTCTTCCTCGTTGATTGCGTTCATCAAAGACACTCTTGCGCCGGACAGCCTCGAGTGGCTTTTTCTGCAGGAGAACACGGCCTACAAATCCCCAGTGTCTATCGACATGATTTACAAAAACGCAATTCGACGGCATCGTTCTAGCCTGACTAAGCTACTCATCGACAGCACACTCAGGACCGACGACCCAGACCGCCCCAGCACCAACTGGAGGAGATGGGTGTGCAACCGTGAGCTCATCACTTGCATCACGAGCGGGAAAATGAAACTGCGAGAGCTCAGCATGTCAATTGATTACAAGGACTGGCACTATTTCCTTAGGCGGTTGCCGAACGCGACGACTCTGCGTTCTTTGCACATCCCACATATCGCCGAACATGTTAATGGCACAGTCCATTCTCGCGAAGCGGCATTGCAAGTTCTTGATATCGTTGCCCTGAGGCCAGAGCTTGAACTGTGCTATCTCGGAATCCAGAGCCAGTGTTTCGAGATATTAGAGTATGCGAGCGCCCGGAAGGGATCCCACTCGGGAACTAGCAGCGGGGATCATTCGGGAGACGACATTGGACCAGATGGCGAAACCACGGCTCCTGATCCCAATCACCCCCAGAATCATCACGACCACGACTCTCACGATGACGAAGCAGGTGACAATGGTGAAGGTGGAGGCGTGAACGACGACAGCGACTTCGATGCCGTTTCAGACGATGGGAATGACATGACGGATGATGAGGACGGCAGCGAAGACGGAGGAGAAGCCGGTGGTTCTGGTGGACCGAAACCGACCTGGAGGTTGAGAGAGATCCTATTCTATGATGACAAGATTTCGATTTTTAAGGCGAGGCACGGACGGTTATAATACGAATGAAACGAAATTCAGAGAATGCGAAGAGACGGTCCGTGAATCTGTAATTGGCAAAAAAGGAGGGAACGGAAGGAGGCGTGTTGGGTGGAACTACGATGGATGAATAGGACGGGGGATTTCGACTTCTACGCTGATCTGCGACCTCGTGCCGACAACAGCGTCACACAATTAAAACCCAGAACCCCATGTGGACAAGCACAATATTTATTATATAGTACGTAGTACTGAGTACAACCAAAACAAATGACAGCACTTTCAATTCTACTTTCGCACAGTGGCCACAACAACTATAAATATGTCAAGTATTGTGCAGTTGGAACGCACTAGGTAAGGACGGAGTATGTACCCGTTAGACTGATCGACCTCTGTACTCGACACCAGCCACGACAATGACACCTAACCAGCACGAGCAGCAAAGACCGGGATCACGAACTATTAGGGTTATAACTCCATCTATCTATCTGTATGCTCGTCGTGTATGTCCCCGTCCGAGCACAATAGCTGTTCCCCGCGGAGTTAAGAGATGAGGACTGGGACGAGGTTCTCGTGTGGCTCGTTCGTCCGTTTATTGTCAACCGGAGTCTCTCGTACAGATGACGCACTATAACGGTTAGGTACGCAGCACAAAGCAGCACAAGCTAATCGGCAACAAGGGAGCTTTTGACTGTAAGAAGCGAGCACGAACGACCGGTGCTAGTACGGACACGAGGATGGGCACGGAGCCCGAAATCGCGCATGCACGGGGGGCCCGCGAGGAGGAACCAAGTACGGAGATACAGAGGTAGAAGAAGAAGAAGAAGAAGAAGAAGAAGAAGGACATACAAGTACTTACAAGTCAAAGCGACGAGGCTGGCGACGATTCCGTAGACATTCAGACTGAGCGAGAGTCTCCTGCGTATTGCATGCCTAGGCAATAGTTGAACAAATTGAGTGCGTCCATGAATGAGGTGGCCAGACAGTTTTGGTTTTTGGGGAGGAGGGGACCATCCTTTTCTCTCGACGATACAAAGTAGTTGCGCGTATATTTGCGCACAGGCATGGCCATAGATAGGTGGACATGTATCCAAAATATCCTTCGGACCACCACCGCCGCAAATGAGCATGTCCGTGGTATTTACGTATTTATTCATGTGCGCATTCCGTGCATATGATATATACAGTCGGCACCTACGTACACAATAATACCCAAGTATACGCGGTTCAAGGATCTGCGGAACTATGTACTTAATCGCACGACGCCCCTGGTCCCAAGAGGGCCCCCAGGGCACCGCGGCGCACAATGACCGCCCACTCGGCCGATTCAGGGGAGCCGGGGCTGTAGATGTATGCACATGCTACTCGGGTCCTGCACACAGCACGTCGTACATGCAAACGAGCTGTTAGCTACTTAGTCAGTGCGTCAGCTACATCGTACTTGCAAGGGCCAAAGGGCCAGGGGGGCGGTTGTCGGTAGATACACAGGGGTTTGGCCGGCAAGGCTGAGAGGAGCCACAGCCACGACCTCTTTGAGCAAATGCCAAAAACTAGAAGAAAAAAAAATACGAGGCTCCTAAGCTTGGGGCTCCTTGCATGCCGTGTCCCTAACTGGATCGAGATGGCCCTAACTGCTATACTAATAGTACCAGTAATAGTCTGTACTCGTAAGAAACAAACGATCAACACCTACCAACGCTACCTACACGCACGGACGCGCTCTACGTACGGACTTCTGTGTACCGCCGGATCCCCGTTGGGATATGGAGACTTTCTTATCTCAGCCATTCCTCGATGACTACGTAAGTCTCGAATGCCCGGGGAACAAAAAATATGCCTAGTTCACATACAAACCGGTACGCATTCGGAGCGGAAATCAATCTCGGTCATTTGTCCGGTGGTGCCGCCTATGCGAGACATCAACCAGCCAGCCATTTGCGACGACAGCGAGCCGTGGTCCACCCCAAAATCCAAATACTTGGGCAAAGCAACCATGCCTCGAATCATTTGGAATTCTTCTTCCGCAAAATATCTTTTGGGATGTTGTTGATCCGGGTCCCGATTTCCTGGGCGGTTGCAGCGGCAGCCTTGATTGTCGTCGTCGTCATCATTGTCGCTGTTCCTTCTCTTATGAATCGTTCATGCGTGGTATCCATCCTGGCAGGCGGGGCGAAGAAGCGGCAGTTATGAAAAGACAAATAGGCAGGGCCGAGTACGGCATATGGCCGGCCCAGGGGATACTGGCCGGTATCGAAAACAAGAAAGTCTAAACATGCCCAAAGGGACAATGTCGTGGATATTCCGATCTTGATGAAGTTAGAGATGTAATATAGGACGAAAAAGGTAGATCTTGGGAACTGCACCGTGGAGCACAGTTGAAATCCCAGGTATTTCGGCTGATGCTGGTACATTCCCGTGTCCCATGTAACTGCCAGGCTATGCAATTAAGGGGTTTCTTTGCAATATCCGTGGAGGGCCCTTCTTCATCGCCTCCGAGTTGCGGATTAACTGGAATCGTGGGGACCGAATCTCATCAAGTTGTTGGGACGGCGGCGTGCTTGCCGAAGCGGTCGTTAGACGACGAGTTGGAAAAAGCTATGTGTTCAAGACTACGTGGCCTGGGCTCTTTGACAAGCTGTCGCTCCCTTTTTTCTTCTCTCTCTTTCCCATCTCCGCTCCCGCTGTTGAAGACTCGACGTTATGTTTCCAGTTTCCTGATATCGTGGTTGCGATGCGTTGTCCATTTAATTGAAGCTTCCGCAACGGTGCAACAATCGAAGATCCGAAGTTAGAGAGAACTGTGACAGGGGGAACTTCTGTTGACATGTATATGGAGGGAACACATGCTGCGGAGAGGAGGGAGCAGGAATTAGAGGTCGATCCTCTTTTCCTCTCCAAAGTGACTTCTGTCCTTCCCAAAGACATCCGTTCTCCAAACTGTTGAATTATCCGCGACACCAGATTCGAAGGTCCTACAACTGAGCGAAGCTTCACCAAGCCACGCTGCAGCGCAACAGAACAATTTCTGGACCGGATTTTGTCGTTTCGAGAGACTTCGATATTGGCCGGATATACGTGTTCGAGTCCGTCTGTTCTCTGCAGATTGAATCAAAGGGAGCCGCTGGGCTGATCGCCATCCCAGTGACGGAAAGAGCACGACCCTGTGCAAGAAAATTCGTTCTCATAATGGAACGCAAATTCTTCTCCCACTGGCCACCGCAATGTTTGCCGTTGCCGCCCGTCAATTCTGGCGGTCATACGTGAATGGAATAGCCCCATCAGGTCGTTTCAGAAATCGAAAAGCCTGAAGGCCATGCCACCGTCTATTCTGGTGGCCGGTTCTGATGTAATGCCTGACTAATTGCGAGAAGCTCCACCCTTGGAATGCACTCGATCTAAAAGGGAGGAGTCGTGATACTCGACAGTGAGATTTTGGAAGACATTGAACATATGATAGTTGACGAAACTTCCTGAGCATACTGCTCTAGCGTGTGGAGCACCTGGACATTGTATACCACCCAGTGGTCATGGCTTCCCCTGACAATGACGGGATTCTATCGAGCTCGTTGCAAGTGAAGGTCAGATTTTCAGCTGTCCTCAAGATGTAGTCTCCTGCTCCACTACCATTCAAAACGTCCCGTGGACATAGCAGTCTTGTTTGACTTCACGAATAGGAATGCATCCTAGCAGAACTTGAAAGGGAAATCGTTTGGCCCCTTGTGGAGACATGCTTTGATCAGTTGTCCAGCGTGAAGTGATGAACCAAGACATCTCCGATGGGATTGTCCCCAGCTCCTCCTGAAAACTTGATAGTCGGAACGAGAACGACGGACAAGATGATCGTCCTTCGGTGCGTCCGGAAGTCCAGGCACAACTCAGACGGCTGGTAGAGGGATTGAGGCCGCCCTTTTAAGGAAGCAGGTCTCAGGGGTTCAAGGACTGGTTCTTTTGACATGTTGGTTAGAACTCCTGCCAACAGGGGATTGGACCCAAAGGCACGTACTTCAAATTGAACTAGTCAAGAGCGGGGATGGCGGAATACTGGCACCCAAAGGCGGTGGGCGTCTCAGTCATAACAGCTCTAATGCATCGCGTCCTTACGAGCACTAATCTGGTAATTTTTTGCCGATTCGTGCTAGTCCGTCGGTATATTCTGAACCGAGAATAGCCCTATTGACCGTCCATTATGTACGAAATACAGATGGTCCTTGCCGCCAATGTGGAAACATTTCCACTCAACAAAGTCTGTGGAGCGCAGTTTGTGAGGGCCTCGTGATTTAGGCCGTGGGCGCCCATCTCGTAAGCACTTCGCAATATGGTGGGCACGGTGGTGACGGTGGTGGGTGATGGAGATGCAGACCAACGCATTGCATGTTCATCCATTGAAGATATTCACTTCAATTCGCTCCACAGATTGCTCCAGCATGGTCGTAATACAACTTGTAATGTCGAGCTGTTCGCTACACGCTCGGCGGATGGTGATTCGAATGATCCCAACCCCGGTGGTCGAAACCCACTTCAACGACAGGTCCGCGGATGCTTTGAGTCGCTTGACTTGGGGCGAAATCACGAAAAGTCGAGAAATGAGTCGGCGGAGAAGATGAGAGATGGGACAGGCGCCCAAAAATTGGGTTCAGACCTGAAGCGAAGGATCGAGTTGAGACAGGGATCGACTCTGCCCTAGTGGAGCTGGATGGAGTTGAACGGAACCACATGTGCAAGTCAAAATCGTTCCAGAAATGACTAAACATATCGGCTCACTATTCAGGAGGAGCGAGACTCTCACTTTCCGTAGCTTAATCTTGACACCTGAGATTGATAATACCGCAACCTGTGGCACCAGGAGCGCGCCAAGCCTGAAGGATGAGGTCGGATTCTTGGACGTGTCCCGGCAGCCCCCATTGTATGTCCTTGATACTCCGTACGGACGTCCTGACGCGATCCTTTGTGGCTGTTTCCCCTTTCTCCATGGTTAACAGCCACCACGTTGTGGCGCAGACTCTACAGGATCAGGAAGGGGCGCCCAGCTTTGCGCATGAAGGACCGTAGGTGCGGGACAGGGCTGAAAGTAGTGCAGTTTTGCCGAGATCAGAAGACGATCCATTGCTCTGGTTGCATGGTTGGCAGTCCATTGAGCGTGACCTCCTCTTGCTGGTCGGAAAGAGCAGTGACTTGGGCACAGTTGCTGGAAGGGGTAAAAGTTGTAATATGCAATTGTCTCCACACCGGGTATGAGGTGGCCATCGATTACACGAGTGAAAGGCTTTTCTCAAGATACGGGGTACATCTGGCTGATCTGGAAAAACACACGTTCCCAGTGAGCAAGCCGATGTCGGTCGGGGTGGGTGTTGAGCTGACGGTCGAACACGAGTGGCAAGTTGAATTGTGTTCGTGGTATTCACTCAAGTAGGTATGGAAATGCGTTTGGGAACTAATCCTTGGTCTCGGGCATCTTGTCGCGCCACAACAATGATGGCGCGGCGGACTCGATGGCTGACGTCGCTGATGGCGTCTTTTGCACTTTGGAAGGAGGTAGTGGAGGTAGTGGTGGTAGTGCACAGTGCACACAATGGCACTGGCACGATCTTCAAAAGGCTGAGGCACGGAGTTTGGATACCCAGTACAGTATTGGCGTGATCTGGCCGCGTGTAGAGTCCGCCGGCCTAGTGAATTCCATCACCCTAGACCACAGAAGGGAAAAATATCGCCGGCATTATTATTTCTCCCGGAGAAGGGGCAACAGTATCGCTCGCCACTGGCGCGGTGAGGAGTGGTGGATAGTAGTGATAGGGAAGTAGGCTTCCCACGGTGCTGGAACGCACGGCAAAGACGACGTCCTGTGACAAAAGCAGCAGCAGCAGCAGCAGCAGCAGAAGAGAATCAGGGTCGAAACGACCGTATCAATTAAGCTTCAGGAGCATTCACCCCAAAGGGAACCGCGAACGACACTTGTTTAGCAAGGTAGTGGATCAGGCTGAGCTGTGAGGCTGTACCGAGTACTGTACGAGTAGACGCCATCAACCCTCGAGGCCAAGGAATCCATGGCAGCTTTGGGCGTTAGCAGAGCGCTTGGTGCGAAAGGGCTGAAGGAAGACGGCGCCGCGACTGAGATGGAGATAAGGCCAGGAAAACAAGAATAGGGAACGGGAGCAGGGGCGATGCGAGTGTTAGCGAAGAGTGGCAGCATCGACATGACAATTGATGACAAGAAGCATGAAGCGAGCGGCGAGGGAAGCGCGGCAGGCAGGTGACAGGGATGGTACTTTACGATGGGTAGAGCGGCAAGCGGCCATCGGTCATGCCACTCATCAGTGATCACGACTTACTTGGGCAGGTACTTACCTGGATGGAGGACTGCTCTAGGGGGTGCTTGCAGGTGCCTGTGGTGCTTCGGGGGAAGGGGGACTCAGGACTCATGGCTTCACCCACTCACACTGGAGACGTGCCTAGGTAGGTGACCCTCCATCTGGTACCTGGTCCCTGGCCCTGTGTGGACGCCCCCCCTGGTTCCCTGACCTGGTAGCCTCCCTGGTCGATCTCTGGGTGGGTGGGTGCCTGTGGGTGCCTGGGGCCGAGAGACCAGCTTACCAAGCCAAGATTTGAGAAAAGAAACAAATGGAAAAGAGGCGCCCAGAGGCGCCCGCGGACACTAACACGGTACTGGGTAGTACTTCGTAAGTATGTACTTGTATTAGAGGGTGCCCATGATGTCCAAAACAGTGTCAGCCTCGCCTCTCCTTGTCCCCCCCTTCCACACTCCCCCCCCCCCTGGTGTTCCCCCATTGCTATTTTCCTGGTTGAATGGCCGAGGTGTGATGGTGCTTGGTGACGACCCCAACTTTACAAACTCCCAACTCGGGCTCATGCCATCTGCCGTCTGTTGTGGTAACACAGTAGGTGCAGCTGACAAACTTCAAATCACCAACCCACCGCAAGTCGCATATCGTATCGACCTTTGACATATGTATGTAGCACCTCCAGCACTCTGCATCCTACCCACCTGCGCAGGATGCCTGCAGCTAAGCTACACCCTTCTCTCCTTACACCCACTCCCTCCCAAACACCTGAGCACCAAACACATTTGTCCCTTTTCATGTCCATGACAGGTGCTGCTACATACATTTCTTCATTCTAACCCAATGTGGATGCCGCCAGCCAAGCGACTTGTTTCCCTTCGGGCAAGTCGTCGGTCGAGTCGCCATGATCTGCTGCTCAAGCGGGCTGCACGTTGCTTCCTAGATCAAGCCTCAACCCACGGGCCATGCCGGCTAATTACAGCATTGGTCCAGTCCTCTCTCGTCGGTAGTCGCTCGGTTGGTCCCTCGCATCCTGCATTTCGAGCCTCGTCCTACCGTCGTATCAGGACCTCCTGCCATACAAAAAATCGTCCCCTTCGATCCCTGTCTCCCCATCCGCTTGCTTTGCCCTGGACGCGTCTTCGAGACTCCCCTACACAACCCCCCTCATACAATGTTGGTACCTTGGAGAATAGAACGCCGCTTCCACAAGGCAAAAAAACCTCTTGAAATGCTGCCGCCGCCTAAACCAAGAGACGGGTCCCGCTTTCTAAGTTATACGACGTAGCATTGCAGCAGCCGCCCCCAAGACCAAACACCGCTGCAAAGCATAATCGAAATCTCCCACTTTGAGGGGTCAACTCTTCTCATGCTTTTGCCAGACAAAACAATCCGAATCACATCCAGATCTTGCACTGCTGTGGGTCAACATTGTCCACCCCTCCAATTCCCCCAGGTAAGCAGTGTCCCAGACGCTGTCCGTGGCCGAGCATGCGCCCAATTTCTTTGTCGTTGCTATCTCCGTCGCCTTCCTCGAACAAGTGATTTTCGGGTCGTGACTTGGCGTGTAAAGGATTTGGTATTCCCAATCTAGTCCTTCCTGCTCCACTTTGCTCGTCTGATGCTTCAAATCATATCGTCGTCATCGCAATGCAGTCCTAAAAATCAAAAAACAAAAAAATCAAGATTCTTTTTTTGCCCGGTTCGAAGTCTCCCCTTCAGGCCTCCCTTTGCACTTGCCGCCCGACATGTGGCCATTTCTAGCCGTTGTTCTCGTGAATTCCGTACCACAGTGTGGGCAGATAGCTTTGACCGCGCTGCCACTCTTCTCTCTCTGGTGACGTAGCAAGTTCGAGAAGGTCGAGAACTGACGTCCGTTGCATCCGTGATCCCAGCACTGTGGTTTGGGTCTCGATGGCATGATCTCGATTTCCGCGGGAGAGGACTCCAATGTTAGTGGCACTGGTGGGAAGGGTTGCATCGCCATCCCAATTGAGGGCAATGGCTGTTGGCTATGTTGTGGCTGGCCGTGCAAGTACAAAGCATTGGGCGAATCGGGCGCAGGTAGGCTCATTGCTGAACCATGAGAAGGGGTGCGCCCCACTGGATAGAATGCGTGGGCTTCCGTTTCATTGTGGTGAAGCGGAAAATCGGTGGTCGTGTCTTGTTGCGCCGTCGGTGGCGGAACTGGCGATCCAAAATACCCCCCTTGGTGCGGGAAACTGCTAATGGGGGGCGACATGCTGTACGAAGGCATATTGTACATTTGTGGCATTGTCGACCCACCTTGTGACGGCATAGCAGCCATTGACGGTAGTGATTGCGTCTGGTGCAATTGGTTTTGTTCGGTGGCGTACGCCAGCAGCATATCGCTCCGACTGTGACTGCGATCTCGAGAAAGGCTGGGCCTATGGTGCCGGATGGGAGTTCGGTCACGAATTGCGGGCGCGCTCATGGCTGCCTGCGGCGAATGGGATGAACGTCTGCGATATGGCACCTCGGAGTTGATTGAAGGTTGAGATACCATCAGAAGCGACTGTGGTGGGGGTCCGGAGGTGTAGGCAGCATTCCCAGGCGGTAAATTGTCAAAATCTGGCCATAGATCAGCGGACAGCAAAGCAAAGAGTGAGGTCGGCATTCTTACTGGGGAAAGAATTGATCATGTCGTTCCCGTAAGGCAAGTGGTTGGGGAATTGCGATGACGGTGTAGGAAGAACCTGAGCAGCCATTCTAGAAGGCATCCATGTCAGTCATCCCACTACCCTGATCACTTCAATGAATTTCACCAACCCTTGCCGTTGGAGTGTATACTGTGGCAGCCCTGGGGACTGCAGTTCTGCTGGAGGCGCTTGTGGTTGATTTGACGTCCAAGAATATTGATGGCCAGGATAGGAAAAGGGCTCTAGACGCTGACCCTCCTGCTGATGCGACTGTAAAACCGTGTTGGGCGGTATTCGCGATCTGGCTTGGTCTTGTCCTCCCTGAAAAGTGCCGACTCGGCCACTACCTTGACCACTGGCGGTCGAGACTCGACTCTCGCTATACGTCGCGCTCTGAGTTTGACCGGATAAACGCTCTGAGGCCGAGGGCGAAGCCGTCAAGATGGAAGGAGTAGACTGGCACGAGTTAAGGTACGCAATATTGACTGAGGCTACAGCCGAGCCTGCAAAAGCAAGCTCGAGATCTCTTGAATGCTCTTTTTATGGTCGGATTTCGATCGACGAAGTTCTGGCTGAGAGGGGAGCGGAGAGTTGGCGGTCACTGACTGTCCCAAAACCACCGGGCCCGCTCCGATAAATAATATCTCGAAATAGGTGCGCTGCTTTATCCCCGCGGTGGGAAAGGGTCCGCACAGATTTTCTGTTGGAGGCAAGTCTGCGTAATGACGATATTCAATGATTGGCCGGTAAGGGAATCCAAATTGCCTTTAGGCACGGCACGTTGAAGGCATAGACGAGAGATGCTGATGACCGGATCTTTTGAGGTCGAGGTGGGTTTGCTGATGGCCACGAGTCCACGACACGGGGATATCCTCGACGGATAAACGCTTTGAAAGAGTCACGCCTCTCCCCTTTAGCGCAGCCCTACAGTCCCTTGTAGGCTACTCATATGGCCAAAGAACGTTTTGATCCTGTTTTGGGGGCCTGAGCGATCCCAAGGGCGGGAAATGGAGATGTGGCTCGAGAGGGGGGATTGGGAGCGTGCTGCCCTCGCCACGTTTGAATAGATGGAGACGGGGTGAACTGTAATGGACCAAGCCCAAGCCGAAGATGACGGATGGCCGTTTGAAGACAATGTCGAAAAAGGGGGGGCCAGGCAGATGTTCACATTGGGTAGCCAGCAATCGGGGGTGATCTGTAAGAGTACCTATGTAGCTTGGTGGTTGAAGAGGTCGTGCCAGGTCAGGTCGGGCGGAGTCTGACCCGCGATCAGAGGTCCAAGAAATCAGGTATCATAAAGCCTAGCTTTGGAGATCCAGGGGAGGTGCTTGTTGCAGATGGTCAGCGAGGACTGTGCGTTCAAGCCGCTGAGTCTGGTAACAAAAGAGTTCAGGTACGTGATGTGATGGGGGAGGTGGGAACGACAGTCCATGGACCCAGAGCCATTGCCGGTTCACACCAGCATAGCCCACTCTCCAAAGCCCATGGAGAGCGGAGCGACCTCAGCCACGGTCAGCACTGCTTACTTACATAACTCACCAAAAACTTCGTCTCCAGTGGGGCCAGTTCAGTAGTCTTGTGGAAACCTGGGAGCGCGCAAGAATGCTCTTTTGTTCGAAAGCAACACGCACCTTGGGAGGGAATAAGATGCGGCGGCGTACAGCCTTGAAATGACAGAAACCAAAATATACGGGGGGTTCGTGTCACCATGGAGAGCAAGCCTGACTGCATGTCGTCAGAGCAGAGTCTCGCAAAGCCGCCAACCCATTTAGCACCGAGCGGGTGAGAGGTGAGCCATAAGCAGGTAAGCAGAGGTGGTGGCAACCACGATCACCAACGCCCTGGTGGGATGGGTGCTGGGAAACAAACAAATTTGCAGAGGGTATCTCTCCATCGCGGGCGTCTGACCCCCGGCGTCGGCCGCCTATGCCTGTGCCTGTGCCTGTGGCCTATCAGCCTTGAGCGCTCGAGACCACGAAAAACCTTCAAGAGGCCACAGCACGACAACTGCTTCATCAGGCAGGTGGCATGAATTTGTCTGGTTGGAGATCATTTCATCAACTCTACGCTGTGTCTTTTTAGTAATAGAGAGTTAGCTCGCTCTGTTGGGAAGAAGGTTGAGCGTTTTCTCATTTTCTCTTCTCTCCTCCTCCTCCTCCTCCTTCTCCTTCTCCTTCTCCTCTTCTTCATGCACCCTTCTGATGAACCAGTTAGGTGACTAGTGTCTGGCGACCACCGGCGAGAAATGTTTCGCCAGACGCCCAGCGGCTCAGCAGCTTCCAGCTGGCGATTCTTGGATCGCCAACTAATCTAGCTCAACGGCGCAGGGATCCCGAAGTCGACTCGTCCGAAGTCATAATACGTCCAAGGTATGGAGTACTTACTCGTACGTACTGGGTGGTGATTTCAAAAAGGTCTGACACGCCCCAGCGCCGCCAACTGGCCCGATGGGGACTGAGCTGTGTGTGGTGCAGTGGTGAGGCTAAATTACGGGAGTCGAGCCTGGAAAGACGGCCTCGACGGATCGACTGTTAGTGGTGGATAGGGGAAACGGGGTGGTTGGTGGACGGGCGCAGATGGCGAGATCAGTGGTGAGCACCAAGCACTACCCGACCGAGGGAGAGAAAAGGGAAGCAGGGAAGCAGGGGAGCAAGGTGCAAGAGTCCGTAATAAATTCGCCCCCAAGATGCCCAGCAAAGGCCAGAGATGGAAGAGAAAATGAATCAGTAATGCACAAAAGCCGGCGGCATTAATCTTGGAGGCGCTTGTGCTGCACCCGATAGGCCACCTCGTCTCGTCTCGTCTTGTCCTCTCGTTTCTCTTTCCGCTTCCTCTCCTAGCGACACCAGCAAAACACCCCGGCTGCGTGCACCTTTCGCCTTTTGGGCTTGTCGTTAAACCCAAACTACCGGCAGTTGGGAGACTGACGAATGCAACCAAACCCTCACCTCGGCCCAGGGCTCCAGGGCAGAAGCTGTAACCTCCCCTCTTGGTTCTCGCGCTAACCATTTCGCCTTCATACACGACATGATACTGACCTTGAAGATTGCGACAGGGCCAATCCGCGACTGCCACCGACGCCACCTTGTTTACTGCTTTCAGCAACACGGAGCGTCCGTGGTTAACCAAGCCTAATTTCTCCTCCTAACAATTGCTTCCATCCTCCGTCCTCTGCTCAGGTTTTGGCCACTGTTCGGGAAAAAAAGAGATAGAGAAAAAAACACACTGGGACAAGAGCAGGGAACCGAGAGCTCCGGACCAGTCTGTACATTCCTGGGGCCTCGCGGAGTGGATAGCCACTTGCCTTGCAAAGATTGGGGGTTATCCCCTCGTACGAGATACTAATCCCTTGACAAAAGGCCCGTTTGCCTTCGAACATCAACCCTGGGCATTATTTTGTCCCCCAAGCTGTCGAGTCCTGGACACAAGCCATTGACATCACCCCTTCGATGGTATGTAGTGGGTAGAATCCACAAAATCCACATTCCTCGCGGAGAGTCGGAGCCTACACCATCACCAGCCACACGCTGGCCCCCAGCGCCACGCTCTGGAAGAAGCCTCCGAAAGCCTCAACGATCAACGCCTTCGCCTGGAGTCCTTCTCAAGGTTACCATGGGCAGCAATTGGCTGATGGTTCAGCCTCACCCCGATGTGGTCAGAGGGATCTGTGGCTTGGAATCCTTTCGCTTGCACTTGTGGCTGCTGGTCAACACGAAGGATTGCACCAGCCACTTACCCCGTGCTTTGGCGATTTGTGCTTCATGCGGACAGAGTGCTCTAGTTACTAACTAGTTGACCTCGGGCATTCTTGTTCGGCCTGCTGTGGACACTCAGGCATACCGTCCATTGTTTGCTATGTTCAGCTCCTGTCGTCAGCTCGACATAGTATTATTCAATGGGGGCGAACACGATGGAGAAGAGGTGGCTGGAAGGAGTACCAGCGCGGAACTCTTACAAGTACACGGATGAATCGGATTTACAACGCAGTTGGCCCCCATTGGCCTGTTGAAATTGGACATGACAGGAATGAAAGTGGTAAAATCCCCGATCGCTTCTACGGCATGCAACACTCAACATTCAGCCGCACGATGCTTCCATGCTCCTTTGCGAGACGTAGAGAGAGCGGCGTTCACAAGGATTGAAGTTGCTAAGGGGACCCCACGAAACGCAGGAAGAACAATGCGATAACCACATTATCGTAATGACGGTGGAACTTCTTCTGCTAGCAAGACTGCTGCTCTACGAGACTACATGAGGGCAAGGTATTGTAATGGTGCTGCCACGTCTCACGTTTTATTTGTGGTCTGGCTGTTGAATACACAACGAGCGTTGAGCTCGAGCGCAAGCTTCAACGTGGATGGGCATTACCAAGATCTTTCCACCCCTTTGCGTATCATCTGGTTGACAGGTTGTCAGTTGCAGCTCCACAGATCAGCAATGGACATTGAAGCAATTAGATGTTGAGTCTCATTGCCCCCCGATAGATATACTTTTCTGCAACGCAACAAGAAAGGTTGGCAGACGTTGATAGAAAACGATCTGAAAGATCCTGAGCGCGGCTCGTTTTACCGAGCTTGTCACCAGTCAAGCATGCTTTTTGTCTCAGAAGTCATCATTTTGTATGCGGTCGGGGAGATGTCGTGAAGATTTTAGGTGATCAGGAGTCGACCTGAACAGGAAGGGTTTGAGTGGTCAAAGGCGGAAGTCGTGTGAAGAAAAGGTCAAATCTGCCTAGGTACGAGGTAAATCGGAGGCTATTCTCGTATTCTCAGCCATTCGAGACTCTAGCGGAGGATAGAACATTGCAGGTGCAGCGCAAACACATAAGCTGGGACTTCGAAGCCATTAGTAACTCGCAGTTCTTCGTGCAAAGTTGAAAAAGTCACGATGACAACGTGACAAGGTGAAGTGGGCGGATGATGCTTCTGACTCTCACTACTTGCCAGCCGCGGTGCCCGATTGCGGTCATGGCCATGGTCATCGGTCGCTTGACTGACTGTCACTGCTGGCCTTGGGTGCAAACCCTCAGTCACCAGTGGTCCTTCATCAATGCCACGTTTGCACTTTTCTCAACACCCGCGCCCGCAGCCACTCACATACCACAGACTGTCCTTATAGAGCGGTCGCCTGCCTCTACAGCAATCACAAGGGGGTCCAAGGCGCCAGCAGGGGGTTTGGATCTACGTTAAAGCTCTCTAAACCCTCGTGGAGGCGGGGCAGACTTCATCGCTTTCTTCCAAGTTCCAACCCTCGCACTCGCACTCGCATTTGCACGCTGCCTGCCTCCTCGTCCTCGCTTACTGCTCACCTCTTACAATACAGCGTCGCGCAGTACCACTCAGTATAGACCATGGCCTCGTTCCTCGAAGAGCTGTGGAATTCCATTTTTACGCCCGGCCCGACACCCACGCTCCTGGTCGCTACCAATGCCGCATTCGCCGCCCTGCAGCTCCTCCTTCTGATCCTTCTCATCGCAACGTATTCTCTACACTTCCTGGTATTGTCCGTTCTATGCGGCGGTCTGTGGTACGCCATCAACTGGTTCGCTACTGAAATCGCAAAGGAACAGCAAGCGCAAAAGGCGAAAGAAAAGAAAGAGAAGAGCCCTGAGCCAGATAATGCGAGTGATACTGAAACTGAAGGCCCGCCGCCGCACGCGCCCGGTGGCGACTCTGTGAAAGCCACCACAACACCGTCCGCGCGGAGTCAGAGTCCGAGACACGAGAGGCCGAACGACAGTTCGACCACACTCCTTGAACCAAAGGGGGTAGAGAGCACGGAGGCTCTGAGGCGTCGGCGCAGCCTGGGCGAGAGTTCAGGCTACGTCAGCACTGATAGCGAATGGGAGAAAGTATCTGAGGGAGAAGAGAAAAGCAAGTGAAGGAGAGGATTTTATCGCTTCCTTCCGGCACCACAACAGGAAGAACCTCGCAACTCCCACGTACGGAATAGAAGGGGTAAGAAGGAGGACCGGGCCCTTTCCGCCAGACCACCGTTATCGTCCACGCACCATCTACTGAGTTCCCACGTCGACAGCATCCCTAGCTTGCTACACCTGGACAGAACAGGAGACACACTCAAGATACCCAGATGAAGGAAAATGAAATGACTTATATATGCATTCATACATGGTCCAATCGCGGGGATACTATGGCCTCATAAATTGCCCCGCACTCGATAGAGCGTGCACGAAGGCAGCTGAGTACTCGGTACGTACTGCCCATGTAAAGGGAGCTGCGTTCTCCTCATAGGCAGCTCATATCTTCACCTTTCCGAGGTCCGTGCACCTGGAGTTGTGGCTCCATACATAGGGTATATACTCGGTACAGCGCGTTGTATTATCACAAAGAGCCGAGATCAGAAGGGCTCTGCTCGTACATGGCATGCGACAGGGCCGCATGGAAGCCATCTCGGCATGACCCGTTGTTAAGGTGAGTTTTGCCGCCAAAAACCGAAAGCCGATCAGCCTTCTCGACTCCCCTCATGTGTCCTGGTCCGCCAGGCTCAAGATTGTGTGACTCGATAACCTATTACAGAGTGACTCGAAAGTTGTCATCCACCCGATACCACAGAGCCTGACTCTCGCATCTGCCATGACCATCGCCCTCTGCTCGAAACTGCCATCATAAGAACCTCCCTTGTACAGCTCAGAATCCTGCCGCGCAGTTTGATCCCACCGCAACAATGGTTGTTCGCCTGTCCCAGCTCCTGTACTACTCCCACACTGTCACTCGATCGTTATTACGACCTTTCTTACGTTTATCGTTGATACGGCGCACCATATGAGCATTGAAGAGGAGGAATAGGGTACAGACAAAACCACCATGGCTTCCATCTTCACCTACCAGGATGAGCCTCCTCGAATACATTCTCCCTGGTCGACACCGGGATCCTCGACCCCTCAGCCCCTTCACTTACTGGATCGTCCTCCTCACACAAGGCAACAGGTCATCCAGGGTCTCGTGAAGCTAGAGCCAGAGCGCCAGGATGGTCCTACTGAGTACAAGCTCCACCTTCTCCTTCGTCCCAGGCGCAAATTCCTCTCCACAACCACGACCTGTTCCGTCTCTGGGTCGCAGCACTTTGCATCCCCAGTCCAATCCGTTGTTGTAACAGCTCGCTCCCCGGGTGACTCGTTGCTGGACCGTCCACTATCCCAGCCATCTGCACAGGCTCGTCAAACCAGGCTACAACAGTTGACCACACAACTATTATGGAGACTGCAGCAGTCTTCGCCCTTCCATTCTTCGTCGAACGCAGATTTAGTCTTGCCGGTACTTCCTGAGGCGACCCCGAGGTTAGGAGTTCCGGAACGTCCAGCGAAGCTGCTACCAGGTCTCGAAGAAAGTCAAGGTGCCCTCTACGAAATCGGTGTGGCTGACGATGGCACGCTGGCGGGGTTGGTCGAAGATGAGCTCCAAGAGAGTTTGACCAATCTGAAGGCCATGGCCGCAAGTCTCGGCTGTACCACGAGTGTTCTGCGGAAAGTCCCCGTAGGAACGTGCGAATGGGCAGAAAGCAACAGCGACAGCGGACACACCAAGACGCGCAAAGACGCGCTCTGGGTTGCTGAAGTACTGGTCTACCCCGACTCACGAGGCTCAGCAGACGCAGACATACCAAAAACAATACTCGATATGCCAGCCAGCGCCTCTGGACCAAAAGATGGGTCAGATTTGGCCGACCACGCTTCGACGGAACAGATGCGAGTGACCCTGGTAGGCGCCACTTCTGCTGGAAAGTCTTCTTTGCTAGGGACGTTGTCCACCTCAACGCTAGACAATGGACGGGGCAAAAGCCGACTGTCGTTGCTCAAACATCGACACGAGATCGCCTCGGGAATTACAAGTTCCGTTGCGCACGAACTCGTTGGTTACCGAGAGGACCGTAACTCTCCGAATGCTGTCATCAACTATGCGTCAGGTCATGTTTCCTCGTGGATAGACATCCACAACCTCGCCAAGCGTCTTGTCTTGCTCTCTGACTCCCCTGGCCTACCAAAATTTGCCAAATCTGCTATCCGAAGTCTAATATCGTGGAGACCTTCATGGACCCTCCTATGCGTTGCAGCAGATGACAGCAGCGAGACCACAGGCCAAGTCGGTGCGATGGGTCCGACAGTGGAGGTGTATGCTGACAGCGGAACCGGTGAGAGTGTGGATCTTTCACTCTCGTATCTGCATTTGTGTCTGCGACTACACGTGCCATTCATGGTAATCATCACCAAAATGGATCTGGCAACCAAGGCCGGGTTGCGCCTGGTGCTTGCAAGAATTCTCTCCGCTCTCAAGGCGGTTGGTAGGAAACCTGTCATGCTCAGTAATGTGCCCGGCCCACCCTCTCTTTCGGAACAGGGGGCTGCTCTCTCGGAGCTCCAGGTCATCAACGAAAGAGATCAGGCTGAAGTTGACCGACTTGTTGGATCGATGCAGAGTGACACTGAGCAGGACATTGTCCCGATTTTAATGACATCCGCAGTCACAGGGCTCGGCATAAGTAAACTGCACGCACTGTTCCGAACTGCACCCGTTACCTGTAAGCCTAGGCTTTATCAACCTCCGCGGCGTGGATCTGTGACGAGTTCACTTTTTCACGTCGATGAGGTCTTCAGCATCCCTCCATCGCGCGTTTATACATTGGATACGGAAAGCCAAATCACAAAACAAGGCATTGTGCTTTGTGGGTATGTCTCTCACGGCCTGCTGTCCGTTGGGGACACGATGCTACTGGGGCCGTTTAACCCGGACTCAGACAGCGTATTGACCCCGACCTCTCAGTCCGTCGTGAGAGCAAGTTCCTATGCTGCTATTGAGTCGTCATACACAGAGAGATCATCGAGCACCCTCGCGCGATCTTACCAAGGGGAGACCCCGAAGAACTCGAGTCGAGGATATCGGCCTGCGGCCGCATTTCTCCGAGTGCGCATCGTATCCCTACGGACTCTACGCCTTCCAGTGTTGCGGATGCAGAACGAAGAAACAGGTACCATTGGTGTTGAACCTCTTGACAGCGAACCGGATACCATCGCATTGGGCAGGGCTCGCAAGGGTATGGTGCTTGTCGACGTCGACCAAAATCTCCCTGGGTATCATTCATTTTCTGCGAGGTTTCCGGCCTCGGATTTCGCGCAGGCAAGTTCACCAGTTTTGATACTAGGAGGTCATGCTATTGTGTACATCAACAGTATGCGCGCAGCGGTCAAAGTGACGGCAGTGGCGCTTGACGAGGACGAGCATTGTAGGGGATACGTGCGCGCAGCATCTGCTCGGGAAGACGCGGAACTTTTCCGCTTTGACGACATTGATGATGAGGCTGAGGTGTTCGGTGAGGAGGAACAACATGACGGTAAAAGCGGGTCCACAAAAGAGAGGAGGGAAATTAGAGTGTCTTTTCGGTTTGGCAGTACAATGGAGTGGATGGAAGTGGGCGATCAGGTATTTGTCGCCCCTACTTTGACGACGACGGGGCCGGCGACTGGTCCAGCACCTGTCGCCAATATGGTCGGCCTGGCTGGATTTGTCGGGAGAGTTTGTGAGGTATTTGGTTGATTATAGGCACACTGTTTTGGGGACGGGCCATAAAGGATTCTCTCGAGGAGGAAAAGGAAAGCAAGCGGTGGCCAAGATACCGACCAGATATGCTAGATTTTGGTTTGAACAATTTGTCACTTAGCCCCCCCCCTCATCCGCGACGTGCGTTGTCGACCACGCGCTCCAAGCCTAGTCCCGACTTGTCCTATTTCAAAGTCTTGCTTGCAGCGTTGTCACAGGAGATCTTGCCACCGCCGCTGACCCGAGAAATATCCTTCTGTCCATCTCAATCTCCCCGGCCGGATCGCGTGGGCGACCCTCATTCGGTATCTTTATCCTGTCGGCAGGCAAGGCGATCATGCTCACCCAGCGCCTGGCGACCTCGGTGGCGATCTCGTCGCCGTCCACAGTGGCATCGAACATAAGCAGGCAGGCGCAGGCGACGGCCTCGATGTGCTCCAGAATGGCCCTGCCGCACCGTTGCAGGGCAAGGAGGTCGCTCGAGCGGACCAGATCGCGCAGGACCTGGTAGCGGTTTGCGGTGATCTCGCGTTCCCTGGTGAAAAAAACACCGGCTCCTCGTCCTCCGTGGCCATTGTTTGCCTTTTCGATTGCACTCAGCACGCCCCGCACCCAGTCTCCGAAGGACTCGTCGAGTATGTCCACCCGGCCGGTAAGACTATTCTGAGTCTTGGGATTCTTGACCACCCTCAACACGTCCTCTGCCATGACGCTCGTCGTGCCCTCCCAGATCGTGCCCACCACGCTGTCCCGGAACAGGCGGGCAATGTTCATCACCCCGCCATCCTCGTTGTTCTCGCAGTAACCCACGCCGCCGAGTGATTCCATACAAGCTCTCAATCCAGAGACGCTATTCAGAGTGACTTGTGCCTTCATCACGGGCGTGAGCAGGCGGAGGAGCATCTCTTGTTTTCCCCTTGAGCGCGGGATGAGGACCGATGCTCCGCGGGTGCCCTGGGTGACAGCATCGTGGTCTTGTTCAGTTGCCCCCAAGAGCGCAGCGCCAAGGAAGACCAAGTGTGTGTTGGCACGATACTTGACACTTTCCGCAGCCATCCAGGCCAGATGCTGCGGGTTGTCCCTCAGAAGTTGTCCGTCTTTCACTTTTCGAACCAGCGTGTATGCGCGACTCACAGCCAATCCCCTCGCCAAGTAACCCGCACCAGAACTCGCGGTTTGTACTCGCGTGATGTTCAATATGGCGCTAATTTCCTTGATACCTTGGCCCTCCTGGCCGACGAGGTAAGCGCGCATGCCTTTGAGTTCGAGCTCGGCGGTTGGGACGCCCTTGGTGCCAAGTTTGTTTTTGAGGCGTTGGATGCGGATGCCGTTTGTTTCGGTGGTGTGGGAGACTGCTTCCGCGGTGGAAGTCGGGACATGGCCTGTTCTTCGCCGAAGAGGAGCATAGAATGCACTGAGCCCCTGGCCTGTCTGTGCAAGGAGAACGGCCATGTCGGCATCGGTGGCGGAAGAGAACCATTTGAACCCATCCACGATCCAAGGTCCCAGAGGGAGACCGTGTGCATCTTTATCTCGCCCGTGGTTGATATCGGTTTGCATTTCTTGAGTGGTCATTCGGCGTGCAACCGTCTCAGTGCCTCGCACGTCACTTCCCCCACTTCGTTCGGTCATCCATTGTCCACTGGTCCAGGAGTATGTCGGGTCCAAAGACACAAGACGACGATAGCTTTCACGGAACACGGCTCCGCGACCAGGCTGGTCTCCATCTGGGTCATCGAAATGTCGACGTAATAGTACAGCTGCCCCGTCAGTCATGCCCATTGGGCAAGTGGCTACTGCGCAAGTACCGTGCCAAAGGTGCAGGGTGCCAAACTGATGGATTCGTCGATTGAAGTCTTGCTTCAGGCTGGGCTGAGGATAAGCATACCCTACCACGCCGGCGCGAGTTTGAATTTGTTTCAGAGCACGCCATCCTTCGCTCGTGCGGAGGGGAGTGATTTTGTTCTCTTCGCCGAAGGTGGTCAGGGGGTGGATTGTGGGCAGGTCGGTGTCACAGTCAATCGTGTGTTGAAGGGTGGATGGTTCGAGGACGAGACGTGCGAAGTCATGGAAATGGCTCTGGAGAGGCGTCGGCAGTGGGTCGGGAAGGTAGAGGGACAAGACCCTCGAGAAAACTGGATCGTCTGATGATTCGTGCCGTGAAGAAGCCTTGTCCTGGGAAGAAGCTGTGTATTGCTGCGGTACACTGGGAGCGGCTTGGAAAAACCCAGAGGTCGACGATGACGGCTTTCTCGACCCCATCATGCCCCTTTATGGCGGGTATTGAATAGACGGATGGACAAATATGTGTGAGCAAGTAGTCACCCAAATCAGAATTCGCTCAAGGGATTCCAGAACCGATAGAAGTCCGGCCTTTTTGCACCCGGCAATGGTGGCGTGCAACCTGTAAGCTCTCCAGGAGTCACCCTCTGTAGTCTTAGGCCTTGCTGACTGGGGTTGTCAGCGCAAAACAAATTATAGGGCTCGATGACGATCCAACCTTTGAGTATAGTAAAGCAGTATAAATCACAGCGTCTTTCTCGTCAAAGAGGCTTTTATGCCCTTTCCAAGACTGCTCCAGAAATTGTCGTCGAGGACCGGGGGGGAGCAGAGGGAAGAAAGGTGGTAAAAGTACCTCGGCTGAGGGAAACAGTCCTGGATGCACATGGCGGACTGTGGAGTGATAGTCCACTACTACTAGGTAATCCAAAGCTCGCCAATTCGGTGTCCTTATTCATGCAGGTACCTTTTGCTCTTGGTAACTTTATTCTGTCAGGGCATAATTTCAAGGTTGCAATTCTATTCTGATCGCAAGTTCAAGGGACAGGAAACTGCACTATGACGCGCCTGTGTTCTGCCGTAAGACTCTTACCCACTACGGTAGAGCACATAACCAGACTGAACTGCAAGTTTCATAGTCCAAATAGTCTCAATGGTATTGGTACCACGTTCATCACCCTGAACGAGCGGGGACGCGTTAATTCGCATGCGGCCCATGGGTCGTCTGCTGTCACCGGTATGTACAGGCTATGTCGATCATTCCTTCACAATCTTCGTGCCAAACAGTAAGAGAGGAAAACTCAGAAATGAACCAAGAGTCAGCATTCTGGCTCAACCTGCTCCCTGCATCCAGCTTAAGGAGGCATATCACAGGACCATGCGGAACCTTTGGAAAATTGGTCTGCTCAACCGGCGGGTACGGATCTTTCGGAGTCGAGCAGCTTGTCTTGACGGACATTCCAATCTGAGAAAACAAGGGCGGAGAAAAGCTGCTGGTCGGCATCTACACAGCACGCGTTCCACCGTGTGCAAGGGATGCCGTTCCCAACAATGAGCTGGAACAATAACCCGTAAGAATTTGTGCCACGCACTAGATCCTCGACCGCTATCTATTCACTTCATGAAGTCGAGCTTTGCTGTCTATTCCAAATCTCGCAGTCCTCGGGTCTTACAATGGCGTTTGCACCTTGGCCCGTGAGAGGCTCTGAAAGAATCTATGTTGCTCTTTTATTTGTCTGCCTCTTTTACATCCTAGTGTCTAGCCCAATACTGAAGCACGCCGAGTCCATTATCAAGCCTGCCTGGAAGGGCCCTACGACCGGCGACGTTAGCGAATCTTCAGACCTTGCAGTTGACGAGACCGTCCCAGCGGAAGCAGAATCGTTCGTTCCTTTCGACGATGACATACAGGGAAAAGCATCTACTACTTTTAACCTGGGCTTTGGAGAAGAGAAAGTTGATGTGGTATCATCCCCTACATTGGCAGATGTGGATGAATCGAGAATGGCTATGATAGGGCCGTACATCACTGCTATCATGGACCCAAGGAATACGCATTTCGATCGGCTTCAATGCCCACGGCCTCTCAAAAGCCGTTACAAGATGCTCCGGCCGAAAGGGAGTCTCCCTGACAGGACCCAGCAACCACGGAGACGGTACTTTTTTGCACTCAATCTGTATCAATGTGCTTATGTGCTCCCACGTCTTCTTGGCTCGGTTGTCGAAGCAATGCGCTTTCTCGGCCCCGAAGACTGCGTCTTATCGATCGTCGGCGGCCGCTCCGATGATGGTACTACCGAGATACTGGTCGCATTAAAGGATGAGGTCGAAGCATTGAATGCAACCTACTATTTTGGCACGAGCGATATCGACCCTTTGCAAAATGGTAATGACCGAGTTACCGAGCTCGCAAAGCTTCGCAATCTGGCACTGGGCCCGCTCATCGCTCAACACGACACGTATGCAAAAGATACCTCCGTGATTTTCTTGAACGACGTGTCGATCTGCACAGACGACATCTTGGAACTCATTTATCAGAAGCAACATCAGCGAGCGGATATGGTGTGTTCCATGGACTGGAACAACCACGGAGCCACATTTTACGACTCCTGGATAGGTCGCAGCATGAATGGTGACTTGTTTGTGGAGGTTCCCCAGAGTGGATCATTCGAATTCTCCCATAATCTGTTCTGGAATGATCAGAAGGCTCGGTCTCGTATTGATGAAAAGTTACCTCTGCAAGTCTTTGCCTGCTGGAACGGAGCCGCGGTTTTCAAAGCCGAGCCTCTACTGTTACATAACATCAGGTTTCGGGCTGCATATAAAGGCGAATGCTATGCGGGGGAGCCGACGTTATTCTGCAAAGATCTGTGGACTCTTGGATACAGCCGGATTGCGGTGATTCCCAGCGTCAATGTTGGATACAACGATGAACAATCGCGAGCAGTAAAGGAAAAGCACGGCTACGCCTCGGGAAATATCCAACAGACGGAACATGATCTGGGGCTATCGACCGAAATCGAATGGGAGAAATCACCTCCTCAGCTCGTCAAGTGTCAGCCAGATTGGACTCATTCTTCGTGGGCACCGTGGGATGAAGCGGTGGGAGAACACGTCCCCTTTGACTGGTCTAGGTCCGGATATTTCAACGCCAAGAAGCCTTTTGATAAGGAGCTTGAGTTCGAGAATGACGGAAAAGATGAGACTGAGGGCATTGGGCAGTGGAAACGATGGCGACAGCGTCGCCAACGTTACAGCGACGGAAGCGAAGGGTAGCATTTGGGAGTCCAACGCGAAGAAAATAAAACACAAGTGTTGATTGTCCACATTGCCCATTCTTAGATCTATATAGTGACTAGAAGGATGAAACCCTACGATTGTGAAGCATGACAATCAATGATATTAACAATAGTCTTCTTCAGACCCGAATCTGGCCAGGGTCACGTTTCGACGAGCAATTTTCGCGGAACGTCACTGTCCGCCACTTTACGCGACTTTCGCGTTTGCAACCAAGATACCTCGTACGGAGTACTTCAACCTTCCCCACCTACTGGCACTCTTTCCACGGCCGTTCGTGCGCCCTTCTTGGATCATCGCAATGCCCCTTAACACTCTGCGGCTTAATCACCAGAAATCCTCCCATCCTAATGACAGAATCGTCTTCATCAAACCACTTCCACGGCCGTCATCGGATCGGGCATCCTACGACCTTGCCGATACATTCCTGCGAGCCATCGCCGCACAATGCCTTCCTCTCATGAAGAACCACTATCTCTCTGTCACCACATTAGAAGAGTACGAGCCAAACCCAGAATTCATCGGTCGCAATTTCAACAACGGCGAGATCATACAGTTGGTGCTTCAGAGCAAGAGTGGCGGCTGGGTGCCTTTCAACATGGTTCAAATGGTCATGATGCACGAGTTGGCCCATAACACCCATATGAATCACGGGCGAGATTTCTGGAAGACAAGGAATCTCTACGCGGCAGAAATGAAAGGCTTATGGGAAAGAGGCTATACAGGTGAAGGGTTCTGGGGCAGTGGCCGGATGTTGAGAGACATGGGCACTGTCATGGGTAACAACATTTTACGCAGTGAGGAGTTGGAAGGGTTGCCACTTTGCGGAGGTACATATCGAAGTCGCAACAGAAAACGCAAGGCCCGACAAGACAAGCCAGAATTAACGTGGAAGGAGAAGAGAGACCGGCGGATCGAAAAGAAGTTCGGCAAAAATGGCGTGGCGCTCGGCGAGGATGAGAACGCGCGATTGAGCCTTGAGATCAACCGCAAGGGCCCTGTCGGCAACAAGCCCCGAGTCGCTCAGAGCAAACGAGGCCGGGAATTGAGAGCCGCCGCAGCATTGGCCCGGTTTGAGACCAACAAGAAGGAGGTCGAAGATCTTCAACTCGCCGGAGTAGAGGGTACCGAGGAAATCGAGGACGGTGACAACTACGAAGATGCGGATGCCGACCAAGAAGACGCCAGGGACGTCAATGGCCGGAAAATGCTAGACAGCGAAGGCCGTGGTATGATCCGAGTGTGCAGCAATGAAGACACAGAAGACGTCAATGTTCAACGCGAGCTACGAGACCTGAGTACACTCGATCGTTATTTCAAATCATTTCAAATCGACAAGGAATCTAATGATACCCAGGCCAACAGGTCGGACTCTGCGAACAAAACCGCCGCACAACCGAAGTCCAGGCAGACTACAACGTCCGCGCCTCTGGGTTCGAAAACTAGCCAGTCCGCCCTAGGCCCCGGATCAGCAAAAGAACCGTCATTCACCTCAGGCACAGGCTCATCCTCATCCTTGTCACGGCCCCCCACAGTACCCTGCCCGATCTGCTCACTTGAGAATCCTCGCCTCAATGCGACTTGCATGGCTTGTTCTCATGTCTTGGATATAAGAAAAGACCCACGACACTGGTCGTGTCAGAGCGAGGCATGCAAGGAGAGTCAGAGCGCGTATTTGAACGCTGGAGACACGGTTGTTTGTGGGATATGTGGAACGAAGAAGGGTGGATGAGTGACTGTGATATGAGCGAACACATCCAAGAATTGGGGGGCGGATGGGTTCACCTCTGGTGTACAGGAAGGCTCACGGACAGACGAAAGGAGAACGGGATCCACGGCCAACCAGTGTGCTAATATGTTACGGGGGTAAGCGTTTTCTAAAAGAACGTGTCAGCCGTGAGAAAGCTACTTCAGCCTGAACGGAATTCGACCGACCATGCAAGCAGACGAATGATTATGCTGTGCATGTCGAACGATATCTCCCGATGAGTGGCTGCCTGACCGAGGGGAAATTTGGTTGTGACGAGAAAAGAGTATTGTACGAGTATGAATGGATGATAGCCCCTGATGATATCGAGGGAGAGGAGAGATCAGGCCCGACCTCTACGTAAAAGCTGCAGCAGGGAGGGACAGCGAGACAAGCAGAACAGGAATGTTTTTGCAGCGACTCGCTATACGAAGATACGACGACGACGACGACGGATAGGTGGGAAATATCACATGAGGTCCTCCGTACCTCCTCAATAAGATATGTGAAATGGCAGCATTAATTGTGTTGGGCTAGAAATCAATTTGCCAGTTTCGGCCCTCAGGATGTTCCAAGTCGAAAGTCTGTTGTTACTTGGTACGTAATTCAAGGGCAGTTTCGGTCTGCCTTCAGCAGTAGCTGCATGAGTCGACATGTGTACCTCTTTACACAACCAACCTGCGCCTGAGGCTCCTTGTGCGCGCTCTTTGCACCCTGCACCCAGAGCAGATCGCGAGACTGGCCTGGGTTTTGCCAGCCTCGCCCGATCGTTCCGGCGTCGGACATGTCAGTCGAATCCCAACGGACACCGGATAATCGTTGAGGATCTTTAGCGATGTAGCTTGCTACATAGCTGATACCTCTGCTTCACCCAGGCTCTTCGCACCAGCTGGAATATGGCGAGAGGGTTTATGGGCTTCGAGCTGCCCGTGCTCTAGGAACAGGCTTCCAAGGGTATTGACGGTGTCCACGAACAAGTCGGCATCATGGCATATCGCGTGATGGTGATTCGTTATTTGCTGCAGTAAACAAGCTGCTGGTGTGGCTGCAAAGGCCCCTCGTCACGCGAGCCTGGAGATCCTTGCCCCATATAGAGGGGATACCAATTATACAGATGCCGCATTGCTACCAGCTATAGTGAGCAAGGGTAGAAACCTGGTGAATGCTTGAGAGCAAAGGTGCTCGTTGTCCGAGGTACACGGATGCTTGCGGAGATGGATGCGCTGTCTAGCACCTACCTCAACAGATGGGTGGTTCGCACGCAAACACCTTCAGATCAGTAGCCTGTCGCCGCCAGCGTACAAACCGCTTCATGACCCTTCCAACAATCCAACAGCCCACATATTCTCTCTCCACAACCATACTTACACCTCACTTTGCCCCAGTAGCCGCACACGGAGCAGAACCAGCGCTGCGGTTTGGCCATAAGCGCGCTGTTTCCCGTACGCATGGCGAACCGGCCATTGCTGTCGATGTTGTCGTCAAGTGGTTTTGCCCGTGCCGCAACGTAACTGAGCGGTGGCTCTGAGAGGAGAGCTTGCATAACGCGCTCCGATGGCATTTTGGGGACACCAAGTGTACGTAGCAGTGGGTGGCGGTCGAGAGCTGGGTCATAGGCTGGAGGAGGCAGTTGCCTCGCTGATGGGGACGAAGAAAGTTGTTGTTTGTCCCGGGATGAACTGGGCGATTTGTGAAGTGTTGTGGGTGAAGCCGGTTCCGAGGGTTTCGTAGGCGGGGGAGCATCAGGCATCTCAACGTCAGCATCGTTGGCGCTTTCCGCTCCCACGGTCTTCACAGGCGCGGTTTTGGAATGTTTCAACGAGCTCAAATGTCTCAAAGCTCTTCTCTGGGCCGCTGTGGGCGGAGTCTCGAGGGCAGCAGCACCCCGCCTCCTGGAATCTGTGGCTGTCTTCTGCGTCTGCTCATGTCTCGCTTGACCTCGTGTACTTGTGGCAGGGGGAATAATGGCAGCACTTCCATAGACATTCACCCCGGCCTCCTCGTCCGCTAGATAATGCTGGAAGGTCCTATTGTACGCGAAAATCCGCCTCACGTTTGGTGTGGCCTTCTTCTCTTTCGCCCTTGCGCCTTCTCGCTTCGGGATCGGGATATTGGCTTCGCGGTAGTTTTCCTTGTTCAAGTCATTCAGTCGCTGTTGGATGGCCTTTTCTTGCTTCGCCGAGAGTTTATGTGCAGATGCGGGTGCTGTCGTCCCGTCGCGGCCACGTTTGCGGGAGCCCAGTTGCACGGCGGGGACGGGTGCTCCAGTGTCGGGAACGTAGGTCCAGCCATGCGAGGCACGGGCAGCGGCTGTGATCGGTAGTTCTTCGATTAAAGGCATGTTACTTTGGGGATGAGGGAGCTGTTCGAGTTGGCGGAGATCCGAGGGATTCAACTTGGGATCAATTTCGTCTGACAAATGACATTATTCTTGGCCAGGCTGCGGCAGGTAGGAAATACCTGACTCGCTGCTTAGCCAGAGAGCCCGCCTACTAAAATATCCCGCCGTCAGGCAGAAAATGTATTCGCGTGTGTCACGGGCACAGTTTCATTTGCACTATATACGCGACTTGCACCCGCAATTGCAACTCCCAGGAGACTTCTCAACTGCTTAAACTTCTACAGCATCCTCAGAGAGGACTGCAGAATGCATACGTCGATATGACAATCCTCTCATTCTTCCGCGACCTGTACTCTCTTGACACTCTAGATACACGCTTTACGAATTCCTTCTCCACCCCCTTGAAGTCCGTGAATGAGGGTTCATCCAAGCCAACAGTAAGAGATGGAAAGACACAACCTGCAGATGCGCCGCGGCCACGATGGGGGACCACCGAGTTCTATGTCTATCTAGTGGTCTTCTTGTTCTGCGTCCCGCAGATGTATTGGGCAGTAGTCAGTGTCTCGCAGCGTAAGAAAACCCCGACGCCCGCATCGCACCAGAAAGACGGTGGATTTGACAGGAATGAACCATAGCTGATTCCCCGAACTACTCCAAATACGAACATTTACTCTCGCCAGGTTGGCTGTTTGGGCGGAAAGTGGTACGTCGTCGAGAGAGACCTACCCCCGTGTGTGTGATCCGAGGGGCTAATGTACACCACAGGACAATTCTGACGGCCAATATGCTGGATTTCGAGACAACATCCCATATTTGGCGGCTCTGGTTGTTTTGCATCCTCTGCTCCGCCTGGCCTATGAACGATTAACCCTTCCTCATCCCACAAGTTCCAATGGCAGTGTCAATTCGCAACCTTCTCCTGGCCAAGCGACGGCCGAAACCAGGCTTCGAAACCGTCTCGCGTTCGACTTTGGCTCTGCATTGGTCTACACCCTTGCGCTGAACGGCTTTTCAATCTTTAAAATCCTACTCATTCTTTTCATCAACTTCAAGATTGCCACAGCCCTTCCACGAGACGCAATCCCGACAGCGACGTGGATATTTAATATTGCCATTCTCTTCGCCAATGAGCTTGCTCAAGGCTACCGATACTCAGTCATGGCCGAGGCTATCGTGCCCTTCTTCCCCGGCGCCGCCGATTGGGGCAAATTCTTGGATTCTTACGGCGGGTTAAATCCACGTTGGGAAGTCCTTTTCAACATTACTGTGTTAAGAATGATTTCCTTCAACTTTGATTATTACTGGTCGTTGGATCGTTCAAGAGCAGGGAGTCCTATCGAGGTATGTTACTACCGGCTGATGGATGCTCTGACGTTTGAATGGGGTTGCTGACAGTGTTAAGAAGAAGCAACTCGATTCTTCTGCCCTCTCAGAAAGAGATCGAGTCAACATGCCGGCTCCAGCATCAACCTATACCTCATTCCACACATACGTGGCCTATGTACTATATCCGCCTCTATATCTGGCTGGCCCGATTCTGACTTTCAATGACTACATCTCGCAATCCACCTACCGACCACCATCCGTGACGACAAAAAGAACGGCTCTCTACGGCATTAGATTCCTGACCACATTGTTTTGTATGGAGTTTCTCATCCACACCGCCTACATGGTTGCAATTTCCAAAGCGTCGCCGAATTGGTCTGCGTATTCCCCCTTTCAACTCAGCATGCTCGCTTACTTTAACCTGCACCACATTTGGCTGAAGTTAATGATCCCATGGCGATTTTTCAGATTCTGGGCTCTGGTGGATGGGATTGATCCGCCAGAAAACATGGTACGGTGCATGAGCGACAATTATTCGGCTTTTGGCTTCTGGCGCTCGTGGCACCGGAGCTTCAACAGATGGACGGTTCGCTACGTCTACGTCCCACTTGGAGGCGGGCCAGGTGGAGGATCAGGCAAAGTCCGTGGCATACTCAACATGCTCGCAGTCTTCACTTTTGTGGCCTTGTGGCACGATATCCAACTACGACTCTTGTTGTGGGGCTGGTTAGTCGTGCTTTTCGTGTTACCCGAAGTTCTAGCGACGATGGCATTCCCGGCATCAAAATGGAAGAATCGACCGAATGCATATCGTGTCATTTGTGGGATCGGAGCGGTCATCAACATTCTGATGATGATGGCAGCGAATCTAGTGGGGTTTGCTGTGGGCTTGGATGGACTTATGGGTCTTGTACATGGTATTGCTGGCAGCTGGCAAGGCGCCGTCTTCATGCTCGGAGCTTGTAGTGCGTTATTCGTCGGGGTCCAAGTGATGTTTGAACATCGAGAAGCGGAAAAGAGAAAAGGAATCAGGCTGAAATGCTAAGGCTGGTGTCGACTTGGCACAATCGACGGCCAGTCTATTATGAATAACCAGCTTTCAATCCTCTCCACAACGGGACCCACGGCACGATCCATCCATTCTTCCGTCTTTGTGACTGACTGTTTCCCTGGATCGCCCTGACCTTCTTCGTACACGTGACAACCTGGCTCTTTCGGGCGAGAGCGTTTGCGGAGAAACTCTGGGCGATTAACAATGGCTGACCAAGATGTGAACCCAAGCAGTCACCCTGGGCTGACGCTTCAGCCGATTTCAGCAGGGCTGCTGATGGCCTTCGCTACACAGGGATCCTGACGTGGGATTGTCGCTCAGCCGGTGGGATTTGCGGGCGACTTTGCCGCTTACAACCTCGATATAGACATTGCTGTACGTAGGTGGCACGATGCAGGGCAAGTGATTACATATTCTGGCCTCAATCACGAACAGGTATAACCGGGAGAAATTTCCCCCGTTGTTTCCCTTGCTTACCTGGTGAGTAGTCTTCGATACTGAAATTGTCCTAGGTAGAGATCCCCTTTGGCTGTATCTCACGATCCAGCGTGTTGCCTGTGCGAGCTAGCTTTAGCCATGTCTATCCAGGTATGTCAGACTTGGTTCATGAAGTGACGGAGAGAATTCTGTAGACAGAAGCTAACGGTGGTTCCTGGCTCAACAGAGTACCAAGGAGAATCCTATGCCGGCCAAGCTGTTCAATGAGAAGGGCGAATTGCAAAGACCAGTTTCTCAGTTTCGACACCGGATCTCCAGCGAACCGGACGCCAGGTTTTCTCCTGAAAAGGGGAGATATCATCTTTATGTCTCGTACGCATGTCCATGGGCCCATAGGACCTTAATCGTCCGCAGACTCAAAGGCCTGGAGTCCATCATTTCCGTCACGTCTGTCCATTACCACACGTCCATCGTCGACAGCTGGCGCTTCGTTGCCGCTGATGAATCCTTGCCAATGGAGGACGTGACTCCGGATCCCCTGCATCCGGACTTCAAACGCGTGAAAGAGCTCTACTACCTTGCCGAACCTAACTACACGGGCCGGTTCACCGTCCCCGTGCTGTGGGATAAGAAGACGGAGTCGATCGTGAGCAACGAGAGTAGCGAGATTATCCGCATGTTGTATACAGAGTTTGATCAGCTTCTGCCCGAAGAGAAAAGGAAGGTCGACCTCTATCCTGAACAGTTGAGGGGGAAGATTGACGAGGTCAACGGGTGGACTTACGATAACATTAACAATGGCGTCTAGTGAGTTCACTGTTGCTTACCCCCTTGTCTTCCCCTGCTTTGTCCTATGAGTCGCCGTCTGCCTTCCCCTCTGTCTCTGCGACGGAAGATGCAAGACCAGAGACTGATGTAGACTCCTGAGCAGCAAATGCGGCTTTGCCCAGACCCAATCGGCGTACCACACCGCCGTGACTTCCCTGTTCGCCTCCCTGGACCGAGTCGAGCAGCATCTCTCGGCCATGTCCAAAGACGGGCCATACTACTTCGGTGGATCCATCACCGAGGCAGACATCCGCCTCTACGTGACTATCATCCGCTTCGACCCGGTCTATGTCTCGCTCTTCAAGACGAACCGTGCCATGATCCGCACCCACTACCCGCACATCCACCACTGGGTGAGGAATCTGTACTGGAACGTCAGGGCGTTCAGGGACACTACGAGCTTTGACCATATCAAGGGCCACTACTTCATGAGTCTGACCATGCTGAATCCGAGCGGCATCGTGCCCGAGGGGCCCGTGCCGGATATTGAGGGACTGGTTGATCAGATGGGATAAGGGTTTGATGACGCTCAAAATGAAATTGAAAAGAAAGAACGAAAAAAAGAAGAGGCCGCGTTTTGTACCATTCACCTTTCTTACTTTGGTCAACGAGAAGAGAGAATCGTACGAAGTTTTGACACGTTCTTTTTCCATCGATCCGCGCAAGTCTCGGAGCCTCGGTCCTTGCCTTTTCGCGAATTATGCAGACAATTGAAGGGGGGCGAAGTAAACCAGGCATATTATTTCCGACCAAAAAAGTATTATTTCGTGACCAAGAGGGGCCAGATATGTAGCGGTGATCTATTGTTTTCGGGGAGTCGGGTATACATGAAACCGCAATCTTGTTTTTACAGCCCACAAAAGAAAGGGCAAATCGAGTCTTCAGCCCTTGGTACTAATGCAACCGAGTGACCCAACTGACATGAAACCTCGGATTTATGCAAGTAATATGACGGAGCTAATCTGGGAGCTAAACTCCGGTTCTGAAGACAGCGCAATAGTTCCCAGCCTCGTCGATCCGGTTTGATCGGTGCGGCAGTACAACGTATATGGGTTATCATATATAAAAGTCACGGATCTGAACTGGAGGGTCAAGACACATTTCTCCTACAGCGGTAATTTCAAAAGCCTGCATCGACGTGAGATTCAGTCAGTTCTTGGAGGCCAAGCTTTTGCCCAAAACCCAAATACACCCAAAGTACCAGGGAAGACCGTACTATCCATCCATCCAGCTCCAACAGAGAATACGCAGAGTTACCAGCATGGGGCGCTCCTTTGACATGTCAACGACGGGGACATCCGTGGCAGAGATGTTTGCTCCAGCAATCAAGGGCAAGACCATTCTGATCACGGGTGTCAACAAGGGCGGGCTTGGAGGCAAGATGGTCGAGATCCTCAGCGCCCATTCGCCCAAGACTCTCATCCTGGCGAGCCGCACGCCGTCCAAGATCCAAGATATCATCGACGAGGCGCGCTCAAAGGCGCCGGACACGACGTACATCGCCGTCCCGCTGGACCTCTCGTCCCAAGCGTCGTGCCGTAGTGCAGCCTCTTCCATCATGTCGAACGCACAGGTGGAGCAAATCGACCTCGTGTTCAACAACGCCGCCGTCATGTCCCTTCCAGATCGACAACTCAGCCCCGAGGGGATCGAAATGCAATTCGCAACCAACCACATCGGCCACTTCCTCTTCACGAATCTGATCATGCCGAAGATTCTTGCTGCTGCAAAGGCCAATCCCAGAGGCAGCACTCGCATTATCAACGTCTCGTCCCGCGGCGTTGCGTACAGCCCTGTTCGCTTCTCAGACATCAACTTTGACAAAGCGATCGGAAGCTTGCCCAAGTCCGAGCAGCCTGATTATGCTGCCCTTGAACAGACGGGCCGACCCGTCGACACCAACAAAAGCTACGATCCAAATGTAGCTTATGCACAATCCAAGAGCGCCAACGTGCTGTTTGCTCTCGCACTCACCTCGCGCCTCTACGAAAAGTACGGCATTCTGAGCTTTGCTCTGCACCCCGGCGCGATCATGACGGAGCTAGGCCGTCACCACGACCCCGAAAAACTCGCAGCGATCACAGAGAAGATGAAATTCCTATTCAAGAACGTTGATCAGGGGTGCGCCACGTCGTTGGTCGCGGGTTTGGATGACAGTCTCGGTCCAGCCAACCTGGAGGATGGGACGGGGATTTACTTGAGTGATGGACAGATCGCACAGGCTCCTGCGTGGGCACAGGATCCGAAAAAGGCAGAGCAACTGTGGGAGCTGAGTGAAAAATTGGTGGGGCAGAAATTCGAGTATTGAGCTTTCACAAATGCTTTTGTTGCAAGATGACGGGCTCAGTTGACTAGGAGAGCATGCTGAAAGAGGAGCATGTAAGATGATGAAAATTGCATGTGAGCAATTCGCTGTGCCAAGGCGCTATCCATATGAGGTAAGCTCCCCATTAGTGGAGCTGCTTACTTACCCAATACAGAGTAGTCACCACTTACACATTACCCAGTAGTACTTAGTATATCTACTGGGTACAAATATAAGCATGCCGATTGGCCGCCCAGCAATCTCGGAACGCAAGGTCTATCAGAGGGCTCCCATTCCTCGACGAACGTAGACATTTCGCTTTTGGGCTTCGTCATTATTCATGTCATTGTGAATCGATCGAAGCTAGAAAGATACCAGACTCGTGCCAGAATCGTCGTGCAATTCAGACTCCCCATCTCACACCCCGTGCAATACTTCCCTAACTGCCCTCCAATTTGGGATTTCACCAAAGCCGCTCGGTTGGGTAATGACTTTGGCGCGACACCACTCCTTCAGCGTGTCAATGCAGTGTTCGCGCCCATATCCTGTCTCTTTAGCACCTCCGAATGGTATCCCAAGAATGTTCCGGAAGTAGTTGTTGACGTACACCAGCCCGACATCCACCTTTTTCGAGAAGCGCCAACATCTCTCGTTGTTCTGGCTGAAGATGACACTGGTCAGGCCGTACCTGGACTCGTTGACGATCTCAATGGCTTCCTCTTCCGTCTCGAATGGTGTGACCGTCACGAGCACGCCGAACATTTCCTCCTGTGCGATGACCATGTCTCTGGTCACGTCGGCGATGAGAGTGGGCTGCACGAAGAAGCCATTCTTGCACGCCGGGTCATCTGGCAGCTGGCCCTGGGCCGCAATCTTGACTTTTCCTTCTTTCTCTAGATCCTTCGCTTTCTGCAAGTAGCCCAATACCCTCTCCTGCTGTGCCTTGCTGACTTGTGGGCCTAGGTGGGTGGTCGGATTCATGCCATTTCCCGACTTGAGCTTCTTCACCCCGGCAGCAAGTTTGTCGCAGAATTTCTCGTACACGCCTTTCTGGACGAGGATCCTTGACGACGCGGTGCACGCCTCGCCTTTGTTGAAGAATGCTCCCTCCAGTGCGTACCCGACTGCGCGATCAAGGTTCTCAACGTCGTCAAACACGACGAACGCATTCTTGCCCCCCAATTCAAGAACCACAGGCGTCACGGTCTTCGCGGCTGCCTCGGCCGCCTTTGAGCCAGCAACGGTCGAGCCTGTAAAGGACACCATCTTTACAAGATCGTGCTTGATCAATGCGGAGGGCACTTCAGGCCCCAGGCCAGGCACAACCTGAACCACGTCAGGTGGCAGCACTTGCGAGATAATTTCGCACATCCTGATCACTGTCAAAGGGGCCTGCTCTCCAGGCTTAACGATCATGACGTTACCCGCCGCAAGGGCTGGGGCCGTCTTACCACCAAAATGAATTGGTGGCCAGTTGAATGGCAGGATACCAGCGCACACGCCGAATGGCTCGTAGATGACTGTCGCACTAACACTTCCTCGCTGGTGGAACTCGCCGGGTAGTTTATCACAGATACTGCCAAAGAACCGAAAGATGCTCATTAGGAAATTGATGTCGAAGGATAGAGCATCCTGCTTCGGCTTGCCGTTCTCCAAGCAAAGCAACTCGGCCAGCTCGTCCCTGTGAGGCTCCAGAGCGTCCGCACACTTTAAGAGGAGGGCACTTCTTTCCGCCGGGGAGCGCCATCGCCAGTCGCTGTCGTATGCCCTCTGGGCGGCGCGGACGGCGGCGTCGACTTGAGCGGGTGTCCCTGCTTGGAGACGTGTGATTACTTCACCTGTCGCCGGGTTGTGGATGGGGAATTGGAGCGATGAGTCGTCGGAGGAGTACCGGACTTTCAGGACCTCGGGGTATGTGGGAGGCATGGTTCTTGCAAAAATGAACCGGAGACCTTGATCTTGTAAGATTCGAAGAAGGCCTCAGAAACGATGCCTCGTTTCTCTTTTCAATCTGACGGTCTTGACAAAAGGTGCGAATGGAGGGCGCGGCAGCCACGAGCCATTGCATACAAAGTACATCAGAATATTCGCATGACGCCTCCGACTGCGACAACGTGATCTGACATTGGCCCCGGAGTTAGTGGGAGTTGCTGGTCCAGTGTTCCTACACTCGCAGTCCTGACTTTGGGTTCTGCTTTCGCCCAAAGACAGCGAATTCTCCAATCACACACCTGTGCTCCGCACTTTTGGGATTACATGTGCATCACGGCATGTACCCGGAGACCCTGGTCTTCCTATCTAATCCCGCGGGGGGAGGATGAGGGCATGGGGGATGGCCTGACCCGCAAAAGGCGGTTGATATTGTGTGCATCTCCCCGCTCAGGGGTTGCTCTATTAGACTACATAGAATAGAGGGCCAGTCAAAGCTGGGGAGACGCAAGAAGCCCTTGCCCGGTATATATCACCACGGGTCTGGCCTTGACTTATAAAGGCTCCGAACTACCTCGGCAGACACTGGGATTTTGCTATGGAAATACCCCCTGAGCCACTGTGGAGGGGTGTGCGGCGTGTGCCCAAAGGGTGCAGTTCTTCCCCTTCGGCCGGAGCTCCCAGATTCGGGCTTAGTCCTTTTCCAACCCCTCTATCGACCGCCTAGGTCAATTCAGCTACGCGATTGTCCTCTCGGGGCCTACAGTGTGAACACGGTCTGCACAGTTGTGTACTTCTGTCGCAACTTATTCCATTCAGCATTGCTTTGCCCGGTTGGGGCTGCTCCGACTCTTGAGAGCCGCTGCGACTGCCTTTAGACCGCTGATGATCCAGTGTGTTGTGGTGTGTCTCTTGCTCGCCGCTCTGACACCCACATACCACACACATAATGTTGAAGAACCCCCACAACGAATCTCTTCACGACAAGATGGCAGGTGTTATTAAGCAGAGGGCGAATCTAGCTAGCCAAACGCCGGCTCCTGCTTCGCTTCGGGGACGTCTTTCAAGTATTCCACCCGGTCTTTGGTGTAAAACTCGACGTCGATTTTGTTTCCCAGCCCGGCCTTGTTGCCATCGAGGCCTCCTGCCTTCACGCACGTCATGTCTGGCATGACCTCCAACTCAGTGTACAGGCTAGAACCGCACGTTGGACAGAAGAAATGCTTGTTAATCTTTCCTGAATCGCCGACGCCGTCCCAAGACGAGGGTTTTCCTAGATAGGTCGTAAAAAGTCCTCTTTAGCCTCGCTATCATCTATACAATGGGGGAGTGTCGTGAATATTCGAAAGAGAAGTAGACTGGACTAACCTGAAGTAACTCGGAACGACGTTCGAGGGACCACGGCGTTGGAAGTGAAAGCTCCTCCGGTCCACTATTCCTTTTAGCAAGATGCAATGAGATGCGCTAATAATGAAAGCAACTTCCCCTCCCTCTTTTCCTCTAACGGTACATATATCACTTATCACGGAGAACATTGAGTTCGAAATAGATGAGCTGCGGAACGAACCTTTTGGCAGTCGGTGCAGTGGCACAGGGCCGTGACTTTTGGCTCCCCCGTGAACTCGTACTTCACAGCGCCGCACATACAGCTTCCGGTGGTGGTAGTCATCTTGTCTTTGCCGCTTGTCAGATGTTGTCCCACTGCGTCGAGTCTTGTCTTTGGCGAACTCATACAACTAGACGATGACAGCTGGTAAGAAAACGTTCCCGGGTCAACTCAACCTCGTCAGATCACAAAAGTCAAAAGAGAAGAAGAGGAGGGGTTGCACAAGACCAGAACGATGTAATTAAGTTACTTGATGGTGGGACCTCTGTTTCATTGCCTCGTAAAATGTCAAAACTCCGACCTCCAAGACATGAGGGGCAAGGGGAAGAGTGTTGCACTCCCCTCGCATCCCTCCTTGTTCTTTCCAGGTGGCCGCTGCCTAGTCCCCGAAAGCCCGCCTTTTCCACACACTCCACCCTTGGGCTCGTGTGCTCCACTTAAGTAGCTAAACATGTACTTGCTGTTCCGTATGAGTATACCTACGGACAGTACGAGGTACGACAGAGTGGGATCTAGCCCCCAGCTGTGGATACTCTTCTCCGCAAATGACGTAATGCGGGTTGCTCGCCTGGCGCCGCATTGTGCCGTAGGGTAGAGCAAGGGAAGAAGTAGGGCGTCGAGGGGACTCATAAGTTCTCCTTTCGCGCGACGCGATAGAAGTCCGCGGCGAGGGCGATCAACTACCGGCAAAACTACCGAGACCCTGCATTCTGGACTGATCCTTGGCGGGGGGGCACTGCCGTTCCTGTAGATCAGTTCTGACATTATGTACAGAAGGTCGTAGCAAGCTCGTAGCAAGCTCGTAGCAAGCTCGTAGCAAGCTCGTAGCAAGCTCGTAGCAAGCTCGTAGTTACGTTTTATCACGCTCTATAGCTGCCTCAGTGCCAAGCGCAACATACCTCGCGGAGTGTAAAAGTGTGAAAACCGAAGGCAGTGTATCTCTTAGCCCATGAAGCAGCTCAAATCATCAATCAAAGCCTTCGTGAATCTGATTTCTGTAGCTCACTTCACACAAGCACCAGCCTTGGCCACCAATACACCCCCATAGCAGTGCCGACTGGTGTCGTCAACACCATGACTACCTGCCGCCGTGCAAAGTGCTACTAATGGTCCATGAGTCTCCCCTCTGTCCTTGGCTGCGCGATGCGGTTCTGTGCCGTTGACCGACTTTGGCCGTATCAGACGTACCATTCGTTGCTGCTTGTGCAGCCACTTGGCAGTCTCCCAGCACCCATTCTGGCCGCACTGACTCCTCCAAAATGAGACGTCGTTCACGTCAAAATCATACACGAGCCATATCGCTTACAGACCTTTTGCTGTGATCAACCCTTCTTCCCTTCCTTCGCCATCGAACGAGAGAAATCGCGGCCCGGGAAGTTCTCTAGCTGCGGTGTTTGGTTGACGGACAGACGGACTCCAATAATCTCACGTCCGAGACGCCCTTGATGACATCGATGCTCATAAGATCCTTGTCGCACACACGGGTGATCTTGGCATCAGAGAAAGTGGTGTCGATATAGCTTATCGCCTCTTTTCGTAGTTCATGGGCCTCTGGAATACAGACAGTGTCGATCCAAAGTCGAGGCGGGTCTGCATCACCCATGCCATATTACGTGCTGATCGGCGTGAAATGACGATGTGTATGCCCTGGATAATGACAGCTGTGCTCATCAAAGAAACAACACTCAGTTCCTGCCAAGGTCTTGCAACCTTTCTTGAAGAATTGTAGCCTCAATTTTCTCCCTATCCGAGTCCCATCGGAAATCGTCACAAGAAAGAAGGAGATCTGGGAGGGAAGCCACCACGTTCCTGCTTGCATTCTCTCAAGACCTGGCGGACTATCGCTTTGAGATCATGACCCTGAACAGATGCGCTGGGTAAGGCATCGCGGAAATCGAGACCAAGGCCGCGTGAATCTTCCGAATCTCACGGCCTGGAAGCATCCCACTAACAGCTTGGAGTTCAGTCGTGATAGATAATCCATTCTGGAGTCGAGATGCGGCTCGCATGGGGGAGACGGTCTCCACAGCTCACGCGACAGCATTATCAAGATTGTTGCAGTATGCTGGGAGCCATGGGGTGCTTGAGAGCGCGTGCAAGTACTTTGTCACTTCAACAAAGTAGTGAATCAGCTTCGTTCTCACCCACGTTCGACTTCGCACCAGATTTAATGCAACCCCAATTCTCTAGATGGTCTACTCTGTCTGTACTGATGAAGAACCGCGGGTGAGGGCACGCCAACTACGCGCGCAATGGGCCGGCGGGTGTAGTCAAACCAATGCACCTCGCACAGTCTTCTAATACAGACCTTCTGCAACGTGGACTTTCTTCTGCTTAACAAGAGTGTGCATGAGATGAAGCAGGCGGATGAGGCTGATGTTCAGATGCTGAATCCGCAGCTCGGCACGTGGGGAGACGTAGCGGAAGAACAGTTGCTGATGATACCAACGCTCCTCCGTCTGTCAAACAAGGCAACAAGTCGTTATGTTGGCCCTGTGAATTTGGCACACCGTTTGGGGCTCTGTGAAGAAATAAATATCAGGGTGAGGATGGGCGAAGGGATGAGGCTAGTAGGCTGAGGTTGGATGTACTTGTTAGGAACCGCGAGACAGGCAACGGGATAACGATCCGCGACACGGCCACGCCATGACGTCAGAGGACCTTGCAGTCACCGGCATCATTGATCTGCGCACAAGGGCATCAACTGCTTGTGAGATGACGAGGGCTGTGACCAAAAGGTACCCGAATTGAGTTAAAGGTGAGTGGAATACTGTAATGGCGATGATGTGCTCTCCTTCTCCTTCATGACTTCTCTCGTGCAACTTTCCACCCACTACTCAAAGCCTACCAAAGAACTCCGAACGAAGCAGTGCGGTTGAATAACTCCAAGACACTGCTCGTGGGACGATACGTACCGAGGAAGTCGACGACTAGCTATTCTACTCGGATTTCTAGCGACTATCAGCAGCTTCGAAATGCCGCCTCGTTTTCCCCGAAACCTCCAATCCCTTGCACGTCCGCTGGTCTCATCTACCTCTCCTTTTCGAACCCTCTCCACGACCCCTCGCACCTTAGCAGCAAACCAAGACCCTGACCGTCACCCTCACCCTCAGCGAGATGCACAATTAGACCGCGAGAAGATGAACCCTGAGGCGACGGAATACTCGAAATCTGGCACCGACGATACCTCCGCCGCCAACGAAGAAGCTGCCTTTGACCCCAACATCACGGATCCGCAAGAAGCAAAGAAGAAAGCTGGAGAAGGAAATCAAGTCAACCCACTGGATGCATCCCCAGCCAATCCGGATATCAGCCAAGGCACAGCAGAGGAAGAAGGAGGAGCCAAGAAGAAGATGTCAGAAGGCGGAGGTGGGAGAAAAGGTGAAGAGAGCACTTGATATGGCCGAAGCACATGTTGGTTCGATACTGGCGGAAGAGCTACAGGAGCTAGGTGGTGATGTACATAACTGAGAGGGCATGTTCCTTGACCAAAAGACGGAGTCGATCGTATTATCCTTCAACACAGACTACGGGTATCAATATAACCTTCCACTTTATCCTACATTTCAACCTTTGGTCTCGACAGATCCGGTTAGGAATCTGCCTTCCATTCCTTAGACCCAAGCTGGAGAATTTCTTTTTGGCCAATCACCCATACTTTATCCTTGACCTCTCCTTTTTCGGCCTTGATCGCTGCAGCAACAGCTGCCTTTGCGATGATATCTGCATCTTGAGCCCACACATCCTTCAGTGACCGATGGAGTCTGCCCAATCCAGAAGCAAACCCCTGCAAGATGAATTCCACAAGCCGGCTGTCTTGACGCTTGCCAATAATAAGGCCTGGTCGAAGAATAATCGTATGATCGAATTCGAGGGCCTTCACGTCTTCTTCAATCTCGCCTTTCATTTTGGTGTACCCAAACAATGAGTGAGGGTCGGCGCCGCCGGAGGAAATTAAGACATAGGTCTTTGTTCCTGCCTCTTTGGCAGCTTTGGCAAGCTCAATGTTCAAGTCGTGCTCAAGCTTGTACTGTTTGTCGAAGCCGCCCGCTGCAGCTCGCGTCGTGGCGAGACCACAGAAGAGGACAGAGGCTGGTGGAGACAAGGACGAGAGATGAGCGGCCCATTTGGACGTATCCTTCTCAACGAACTCATTGACTGGGATGGATGGACCTGCCGCGGCTGGAGGAGATCGTCGAGCAATGATCTCAATGCTGGAGAACTGAGAAGACGGATTGGTTCTCAGGGTTGACAGAATGAAAGACCCCTGTTCCAGATATCAGTAAGGAGGCATGTTTCGAAGCATGAATGGATTGGGGCCATACCACTAGGCCAGTGCTGCCGAGAATGAGAGCTTTCGCCATTGTTGGTTTGAGAGCTGATCAAGAGCAAAACACGGTGTATGTGCTAGCGGTTAGTGACTGTGTGACGATATATGAAGTCCTGTAATTAATAGGGAGAGACTTTAGGCGCACCAATTCGGACGTAACTGGTCGCCGGCAGCATCCGTATGGCGAGTGGTAATGACCATGATACTGACCAACCTGGACGCGGCTCCGGATGGAAACCGAGGCAGCAACGAAAGAGGTGGCAAGCGATGCCTGACACAGTTAGAAACTCTTGCTCAAATCTTGCCCTTCGTTTACGCGCTCCAACCGGGCTACAGTCGTTACAAAGTTACTCCGGAGCAGTTCCGGACGAACCGGAATAACTCTTCTTCCATTTCCGGGAGGGCGCCAAGGACTTTTCCCAGATCAGGAAAAGCGGGCTCGGCGAGCATTGGAAAATGCGAGCCTCAGCCTTGCGCCACGTGACCGTGATACAGATCTGCTATTTCTGCGCTAGTGGAATTGCGTGATCAATCCTCCACCAATTTTTTCCTCAGACGGCCTCTTCTCTGGCTGCCGATCGATAACGCAATTCAAAAAATGGATGAGGTGGATGGAACTCGGTCGGCAGTCGGCCCTGAAGGGTCTATTCATTGTAAATGCGTCCTCGAACGGTAGGTATTCGTCTTCTCATTCCTCATCACTATCTCCTCTGCAAATCCTGCGATCATGCGTCTTGAAATACCCTCTTCCAACGGACCAGCGCCGGAGAGAGACTCCAAGATGGCCTCCCGTGCCTCGAGGAACCTCTCCTGTGGTCAAGCGCCCTCCCTGTCCTCAGTCGCTGGCCCTACCTATGTGACTGCTCAGATACTCGTCCAGCAGGTCGCCTATGCTCTGTCAGACAAGATCTTCTCCTACTCCCCGGAGACATTTGATCTTGATGTTGCCGCAAAATCTTGGGCAGAGGCACAAGAGGTGAACATCAATGGATACACGACTGGGATCCAACCTATGCAGATACGAAATGGAGCAGGATCAATTGCCCTCGGCTACATGTTCTCTAAGGACTTCGATCTGAAGAAGAGGCATATTCCCCAAGGTCTCCTTGCGCCGACGTCGGCGCTGAAGTTCTTGAGACCCGTCCTTGATCAGCTCTCCCTCCTCTATTCCGTCAGCAACCCGTTTGTGGCTCATGTGGCGGCACTCGACTATGAAGGCGACAAGGATGGAGGTCTGGTTTCGGACTACGTCTCTGCCTTGTCTACTGCCGAAGATCTAGGTCTGGCTTTGGTTGCTAGTCAATCCGCATACGAGACACAGCATATGTCGCTGCTTGCCACTCTGCTTGCCCACGATGTGCCGACGCTACACGTCTACGATGGTCTGAGAATCGGGAGGGAAACCACACGGGTCATTGACATCCTAGACAGATCTGGTCTCAGCAGTGCGTACAGCTCGATCCTGTCCTCGATTTCGGATGAGGGTAGGAAGCATTTGAACACTGAAGGTAAGGCATTAAGAACACTCCGTGCCCTGAACGACGAGCTCGGAACGGACTACAGGCCATTTGAGTATTTCGGACACGAACAACCTGAGGTTGTGCTAGTCGCGTTTGGCTCGGTTGAGTCTTCGCTAGCTGCACAGGCCGCAACGGTACTGGCCCAAACTGGTAGCAGGGTTGGAACCATCAATGTCCGGCTCTATCGACCATTCGCCGAGGAACAGTTCTTGAAACTCATCCCTAAGGGCGTGAGAGTGGTTGGTGTTCTAGGTCAGGTTGTCGATTCGCAGGCGGTGCAGGAGGCTGGTGTTCACTCCCGCCTTTATGAGGATGTACTTGCCGCCATCTCTTATGGAGTGTCAACCCATGACCGCCCTGAAATTCAAGAGCTAAAGTACGCCCGGGCTGAACGATGGACACCGTCGTCAATCTCCTCTCTTTTCCAGATGCTCCTCGGCAAGGCTGCCGACAACCAGGGCATCACTACGTTCTTGGATAACTCTGTCCATCGGTACACTTTCTGGAATGTTGATCACGCACCGTCTGCATCTGCGGCTACTTCCCTGGCGGAAGCTCTGGCTGCTGAATCGGCTCAGAATGTTACGGTGAATACCACCCACGACAACTCCATACATGGGGGTGTCCACAGAGTCGATATTCGACAATCTCCCAGAAGCCTTGACGCTGCGTATCCCATCACTTACGCCAACACGGCTGTGGCCACAGATGCCATGCTGTTAGAGAAGATCAATGTGGTGGAATCTGTCCAGCAAGGCGGCAGCATTATTCTCCTATTGCCAGGTGTCAAGGACGAAGACGTCGAGAAGAAACTTCCTGCAGCATTCAAGAAATCGATCCTTGAAAAGGGAATTAGTCTTTACCTGATCAATCCAGTCAATACTGCTCTCTCCGTTGAGAACCCTGAGCTTGAATCGCTCATGCTCCAAGTCGCCTTTGTCAGGGTTGCATTGCGCAACTCCGAGGAGCTTAGTTTACAAAAGCTGGCAACGATCAACAACAACCTCGAGACCCTCAAACAGGTGGCGGCTGATCTCGAGAAGACTCTGCGCAAGGTCGAGGTGCCTAAGGAATGGGCAGAGGTGGAAGACGCAAATACAGCATTACCAACCAACATCTCGCCCAACAGCCTTACCTCCTTCGACAAGACAGAAGAGGAGCCGCCATCTCTCCTTCGTACCTGGCAAAAGGCGGCCAAAGGCCTCCTCTTCAAAGAAGCTTATAATGCGTCAAGCGCCCTTCGACCCGACCTGCCCGTGAGGACTTACACTGTCCACGTCAAAGAGAACCGTCGCCTGACGCCCCTGACCTATGACCGGAACATTTTCCACATTGAATTCGACCTCGGCGCCTCTGGACTCAAGTACGACATAGGCGAGGCCCTCGGCATCCACGCCGAAAATGACCATGATCAAGTCATGGAGTTCATCCAATGGTACGGCCTCAATGCCGAGGACGTTGTGGAAGTCGCTTCGCGCGATGATTCAAATGTTTTTGAGAATCGTACCATTTACCAAGCGCTTCTGCAAAACGTCGACATATTCGGTCGCCCACCTAAGAAGTTCTACGAGGCACTTGCGGAATTCGCGGACGATGAGAACGAGAAGAAGAATCTCTTGACACTGGCCGGTCCGGAGGGATACAAGGAATTCCAGAGGCGAGCCGAGGTCGACACCGTCACGTTTGCGGATGTCCTGCTCGAGTTCCCGTCGGCACATCCGTCCTTCCACGACATTGCGAGGATTGTCTCTCCGATGAAGCGTCGCGAGTACTCGATCGCTTCATGCCAAGCCGTGACGCCGACCTCGGTCGCCCTCATGGTCGTCGTTGTGAACTGGGTTGATCCCAAGGGCCGCGACCGCTTCGGTCAAGCCACGAAATACCTATCCGGTCTCAAAGTCGGAGCTCCAGTGACCGTCAGCGTCAAACCATCGGTGATGAAACTGCCTCCCAAGTCGACCCAGCCGATCATCATGGCCGGTCTCGGCACCGGGTTGGCGCCGTTCCGGGCATTCGTCCAACATCGCGCCATGGAGAAGGCGCAGGGCAAAGAGATCGGATCGGTGCTGTTGTACATGGGCTCCCGCCACCAGCGGGAGGAATACTGCTACGGTGAAGAGTGGGAGGCATACCAGGCCGCCGGCGTCATCACCCTGCTCGGCCGGGCCTTCAGCAGAGATCAACCGCACAAGATCTACATCCAGGATCGCATGAGGCAGACGCTGGACGACATCGTCGAGGCTTACATCAAGGATCAAGGAGCTTTTTACCTGTGTGGGCCGACCTGGCCCGTGCCTGATGTCACGAATGTCCTTGAGGAGGCGATCGCGCGAGATGCAAAGGCAAATGGAGTCAAAAAGATCGATACGGCTAGGGAGATCATGAAGTTGAAGGACGAGGGGCGATATGTGTTGGAGGTGTACTGAAGCCACTGAAAAAAGTTCTGATGCAGATTTGACGGCGTTTTGATGTTAACGATTAGACAACAGCTAGAGTCAGCTTGATGCAATCATAAGCTGCAGACCTCATGAACAATTCAGATCTCCTGAAGTTGAATCTTTCCATTTTGGATAATGGACTCGGCTCTGTAGTTCACACGCAAGCTTGGAAGCTTGCAAGGTGCTTTTGACGAGAAGACACGGCGGCGTGGAAGGGGATCTACGAAGGGGAACTCCAGTACGAAGTGGCCGACTGGAGTGTGCGGAAACTGCACGAGTACAAGACCTCCAACGAGGGCGGTGCTACATACATACCTCTGTCTCCGTGAAAGTTGTAATATGTAAGCAGTAGTTAGACAGAGGTATAGAGCAATGACAGCCTACTCCGAGTCGCCTGAACTAGACAGCGTGTCTTCGCCTGCCGTCGACGGCTCGTTCACGCGCTCCTCAATCAAGGCCCGGATTTCCTCGAGGACATAATCCCCCGCGTGCGGATCTGCCTTGGTGTCGTCGAACTTGCCGCCGCCCGCGGACGACGTGTCCATGTTGTAGCCGTTGGCCAGCAACAAGGCCACCAGTTCAGGATCGTCGTGGACGTATGATAACGGGGTTGATCCCCAGTCGCTCCTCACGTTCACATCCGCCCCGTTCTCGATGAGCAGTTTCATGGTCGACGCCCCTCGTGTCGCCGCGGCCCAAAGTAAGGCGGTCATTCCCGCTTCGTCTCTCGCATTGATGTCTGCGCCGCGCTCGAGGAGTTGGCGGATTCTCACGTCGCGGCCCGCAGAGGCGGCGATGCGCAGGCCGGTGATTGTGGCGCTTTGGTTTTCAATGCCCAGCTCCCAGGCGATCCTGGCAACCTCGCCAGTCTGATGCAAGAGAAGGAGGTCGAGCGCTGTCTGGCCGTCGTCGTTTCGAGCCATAACATCGGCGTCATACTCCAGCAGAAGCTCGACAAAGTCTATATTCTTCCGCAGCACCGCAACGTGTAGCGGCGTCATGCCGCCCTTGCCACGGCTCATGTCGGCTCCGTAATCCAACAGCAATGCCCCAACAATGACATGCCCGACATACGCCGCCATGTGCAGCGCGCTCCACCCCGACTCGTCGATAATGTCGACATCTGCTCCGTACTGAAGAAACAACCGAACGGTGTCTTCGTGTCCGGAGCTTACAGCCTGAAACAGAGCCGTGCGGCCGTACTGATTCTGCGCGTCGACTTCCATGCCGCTCTCAAGTAAGATACGCACAGTCGATTCATGGCGTTGTCCTGCAGTGTGGTGCAAAGCGGTGAAGCCTGTAGTATCCTGACAATAGATAATAGGCCGGTGATGGTTGATTAGCATTTGCACGATCTCATCAAACCCAGGCGGAGCACATTCGTCCAAAGCTGTCCAGCCGCTTTCATCTCGGATCATGCAATCAGATCCGTGATCAAGAAGCAGCCTCACTGTCTCGGTGTGTCCCTCGCTAGCTGCCCAGCTGAGCGGCGTTTTGTGCTGGTCGTCCAATGCGTCGATCTCAGCTCCGTTCTCAATTAGCATTGCTACTACTTGATCATATCCGTTGAATGCCGCTGCCTGTAGGGCCGTGCCATGTTCGCCACCTCGAGCATTGATATCAGCGCCATGGTCGAGGACCAGTCTTGCGCAGCTCGTGTGACCATAGGCGCACGCACCCTGTAGGGCATTTCCGTAGTCTCCACTCTCCTGGTTGACGTTTGCACCATTCGCCAGGAGTACCTTGACAACGTCTGTATGGCCTTTGCTGGCTGCTGCTTGCAAAGCGGTCCCGTAGCGCCCGCCTACTGCGTTGACGTCAATGCCCTTGGCTAACAATAATCTGACTGACCCGACCAGACCGGCGTGTGCAGCATAGTATAATGCAGACGGGAGAGTGTGCAGTGTCCTCGCAATATCTGGTTGGTCCATCCACGGCGTATCCGGGTCATAGAAAAGAATCTGGCTGTGCAGTTGGGCATCTTGAGCACCGAGAAGCTCGGTACACAAGTAGTTCAGGTCAATCGGAAGGTCCTTCACTTGCGGACTCGTGGACGAAAGCTTGAGTACCTTCAGGATCAACAAGAGAAATTCAACAATGAGCGCTATGACGGGAGCGTTCTGGTCCATGTTGGTCAGCTTTGGGAGCTGGCCGGTGGTCACTGAAATAGCCCTCTCGGCCGCGGCGGCCACTGCTTGGACATGATGAGGCCAATGTTTGGCAGCATAGCGGGCGAGACAATAGCTCTCGGGACTTCTCGACGAAAGGGTAAGCGGCGTATCAAATTGTCGAAGGTAAGTTAAGCAAGTCTCCGCAATGCTCTTGTGCGCTGATAAGGGGTCGATCGCATAATAAGACGCCTTGCCGTCGCGGATCCTGGAGGAGACTAAAAAGTCCCTGACGGAAAGGTGAGCTAAACGTAATTCTTTATAAGTAAGAGTCTTGGTCTTGACCGTCAATACTCGAACCAAAGTGCTGTATGTATGAAAGAACCTTTGAGGATCGATCAGTCGCCTCCGAGCATCGTAGACTGGTCGTGGCGTCGCGGCCAAATCGACAGCCATAACTTCAGCAATCTCTTCCAAACGGATTGGTCTTGCCGAGAAAGACAGCCAGCGCAGAACATTCCTGATCGCCTCTTTTCTCGCATCACTGATTGCTGAGAGCGCACATTCGTAAGTTTCTTCCAAGGTTGCGGGCAGGCTGTTGAGAGCATCTTCAAGCTCGGCCAGGGTATGACATTCCCGCAGAGCTCCAATTTGACATGCCACCCACCTAAAATTCCCATTTGCGCCTTTGATGAGCGATGTCGCGATCACTTGCTGCTGGATTGCGTCCCATCTGTTCAGGACGTCGTCATCCTCAAGGGTTGCAAGGACGTGCTTTTCCACATCTGCGTCCACCACAAGCTCTTCAACCACAACAGTGGCACACTTCCATTTGCGATTCCGAATCTCGGTATCTATATCGGTACGGCTGGTTGCAAGGACGTGGATTTGAGGTAGTGTCCATTGCATGATGGTGTTGAGAAAGTTCAAGAACTCCTGCTTCTCCTTGCATTCGTCCACGGCATCAATAACCAGATAGAATGGTGAAAAATCGCCGATGATCATTTGTAATGTCTTTACAAGATCAACCGTCGTAGGTTGCACAGTACCATTGCGACAGCGTTGATACAGCGATGCGAGGGGTTTTGGAAGGTGGCCACTTTGTGATGATAGCTGTTCAACCAGTGATCGAAGAAGTCGATTATGATCTTGAGCAATGGATTGATTGTTGAAGTCGAAATAGAAGTATGCGATTCCGGCATTTGCTTGGCTCTCACAGTCCTCCATCAATGAGTTAATGATGGCAGAGCAAAGAACAGTTTTACCGCAGCCAGCATTTCCCTGGATCCACAAAACAGCACGAGGTGAGCTCTTCCATTGTGCGAACTCTGGGCCGTCGAGGAGCCAGGATCCCGTTTGTTGCCTATGCTTCGCAGAAGCGTCCAGGTGGCTAGATCTTGGACTTGGTGGATCCAGCCAGCGGATAATCTCCTTCGAGTCTTCCCTGGTGTAGAATTGGTCGATAGTGTCTTGAATGGTGTTGCTCTGGCTAATCAGAATCGATGTACCAGCCTGCTGCAGGATCTCATTGAGTTTGGATATCCTTTCTCGAAGTCTGCGCACCGTGTCGGCAGTGAAGGGATACAACACCCGGATCGTGCGCGACATGGTTTTGCGTATGGACCGACGCTCGTCTTTCCGGTATTTCAAGAGTGTCCTCAGTTCCGTGTCCAACTCTGCAATGCGGCCGCTGCATGATTCGATCAATGCAGCGACCTGGATTTCTTGATCCGTGTCGATGCGGCTGTCATTGATTGATCTTTGGAAGAGCCTCAAGGTCTGTGTGAGGTGGTTGGTCTCGTCGCAAAGGCATTCAACATCATTTTCCGCCTCGCGGTATGCATTGTAGTAATTGACCAAGCCGGTACAGACTTGGAGTCCTAGAGATACAAGGCCAGCTAGACTGGCAGCCACACCAACTTCGGCCATTACCTAGGAGTGGGTGCTTGAAAGAGCGTCCTCCGGAGTGTGGAATTCCAGACGTGTAACTAGGTCGACCAGCAAACGTCGAGGCCACGGGCTCTTTCTTTGTGGAAACACATTCGATGCAGCACCCAGGAGGAAAGCAGGGAGCATACTAGGGCCTGGAGCAGCACCCACAACGGAGTGTCTGGTAAGGTGGCAAGAGGACAGGAAGGATTGCGGCCGCCAGTATTGATCGAAGGCAGCCTGGCCGCATTGAACAACAAGTGACACAGTCTGGGCCCAGAATACACGCCGCATTCAATGTAGCCAAAGAGAGCTCAAGAACGGCGGCGGTAGTTGCTATATCGAACACAGCTGACGATGTAGACGAAGGATGTGGTTCTTCTATTTCCAAAGGTCAACCGAATGCTCATGATCAACGAAGGCTATCGTCCTTCTGACAGCGAAACACTTCGAGCGTGCCACTTGTTTTTCAGCTGGACTTACCGATCGCGTGGACTCAGGCTATTGGGCGGCTGCATTGCAAGCTCAAAAAGCACTTCGGTTAGGGGCCGACGGCGGCGGGACGACCAAGGGGTGGCAGGGATAGTACCGGGTAGCACGAGCACAGAGGCTGCACAGCCCTCATCCCACTTGACAGCGTGACACCTGATTCATTGGGTGGTGTCGAGGCGTAGCGTATTCACTCGAGCAAACCGGGGTAGGAGGGAATCAAGCAAGATGCCCGTCATAGCCGCCTCTTTTCAACAGATCAGTAGATGATACTCTCCGTAGGGCTAGCTAGATAGGTCTCTTTGCTCGAGTGGATTCATCCTACTCTCAGAGAATCAGTCCTTGCTCTAAGCTCTAGCTTTGCGCTACTTTTCAACCCAAATTATTCAACTGCGTCCTCGGTACTTTTTCTTTTCTCCAGAGCCTTGCGTCCGTCCCTCACTAGGCCCAACCAAACAGCGTCTTTTCGGTACTCTTACAAACCTCTTAACGGGCGGAAGTCCACTGATCTGCCAGAATCAACCGCCTAATGTCGCTGCATGACTCTCTAAGCACGACCAGCACCCCTTGGCGAGTTTCGGCCAGCCTCGGCCTTCTTGATCTCCTCGAGAATCATATCCCGAGCAGACAGCACACCATCTTCCTTGCCCAGAATCGTGATAGCTTCTCCTTCCTCGCCTTTGCCAGAATTTCTGTTTGGAACTTGAATGTCACAACCAGACTGTCTCCTGATAGCATTGATGGTCGAACCACCCTGTCCGATGATGTGGCGGTGCAGTCTGGGATCGGGAAGGATCAGGAAGCCTGTGTGTTGAGGTTCGGCAGCCTTCTCCAGCAGGGACTGTATCTTGTCTTTCGCCTTGGCGACTGTGTCCTCCGAGGAGTCCCTGCCGGCCATGATCACCCAAGGAATCTCTCCCGAATCACCATCAAGTCCCTGCTGATTGGAGACGATATCCCATGAGTAGGACTCCTCCCCAGGTTGATCAGTGATCAGTGGCATATCACCATTTGTGGTCCGTGTCCGTGGTCCGCGGTTTGCGGCAGGTTTCGGTGGTGGTTTATGCCCATTGTGATCGATGCGAATGCCATCGCGGGAAAGCTCCCGAAACAGAGCTCCATTCTTTGAAACAATGTGATGCAGAGACCGTGGGACCATGATTGTTTCGCCCTGGGGCTGGGAAATCATTCCTTGGATGCGCTCCTTGGCCTTGGAGACATTTTCCGGACGACCAATGATCTTCACCCCCGTGAGTCCAGTGCCCTGACTAGGCACATTGAGGGTCACGCTGAACTCTTCTTCAAGTTTCTTTCGAATGCTGCCGTTCGGCCCGATCAATTTACGGTGCTGGTTTACGGGAACATCAAGGGTTTCTGTCGTTTGGTGCTCTCGCTCGTCCACGAAGGATTGAATGGCTGCCACGATCTTCTCAACAACGTCAGCTGTGCCCCTAACAGTAAGCTCATCAGACTCGTCCCCTTGACGAGGGAATCGGACGTGCTCCGCACTAGAGCCGGTGCCGCCTGCTTTGGCGACAAGGTTTTGGATATGAGAGCCTGGAAAAGTCAGCGTGTCTCCTTGTGTAATTCGGGGCAGAACATACCGCCAGCTCCGATCAGAGCACGGTGATGCTTCCTGTCCACCGTCACAGTGCGCGCAAGAATGTTATCAAAGGCCTTGGATCGCTTCTCCAGCTCCTTTTTGGCGTTCTCGACTTGCTGCTTGGTGCCTTTGATCTGGATTGTCACACGGTCAGAGCCATCGGCTTTTGGGATATCAATTTGAGCTCCTGTATCGGCTCTGAGCTTCTCCATCTCCTGACCACGCCTGCCGATGAGAGAGGCAATCTGTCCTTGTGCTACCGACACAGTTGCAGTGTGAGAGTTATCAACCAAGTATTGGTGGAGACTCAACAGTTCGTCGCGAACCTTCTCGGCTTTGGCTCGGGGTCCTCGTATTCTGATCTCATCCTGAGGCTGACCCCTGCCAGCGCCAGCTTCGCTCACTGTGTCGGCGACAGAGGCATCGTCGCTAAATTTCTGCACTCTCGGAAAGTCTATCCGCACCGCGTTATCAACCTTGCTTTGGATTTTCTGCAGATTCTCTCCGTTCCGGCCCACGAGCATGCCATGGTACTTCGGGTCAATTTTGATTGCGAAGTTGACTTCATCTTCCCATTGTTTCGCTAGCCGCTGAATTTCCGCTTTGCAAGCTTCAGCCTTCTTTGCCGGTCCTTTGATGGAGATTTGGCCGTCCTCGCGAGTGTCGATCTCTACGTCGTGCTTTTCACGCAGGGCTTTGATGTTGGCACCTTGTTTTCCGATTAAATTCTTGTTGAATTTGGTGGGAAACGCAAAAGTGGTTGTATATCCACGCTCTTTCTCGTCTTCTTCGGCCTCTTGTAAGAACTGTTCGATCTTCTGGCGGAGTTCCGCGATATCTACCTCGCTTGGCCCACGTAGATAGACTCTTTCGGATGGTGAACCTCTTGAAACACCATTGGGTTGTCCTGGACCGCCTCTAGCGCTGCCAAAGTCTACTTGAACCGGGAAAGCCTGCGGAGGCATTGGCCTAGGCTCATTGTTCACAAATCTCTTGACCTTGTCTTGAAACTTCTTCGGGACGTGAATATCCTGAACAGAGATACCTTGATGAGGAATGTTACTGAGCAGCAAGGCTTGTGCCTCTTGAAGAGCTTTCTCAAAGCTGGCCATTTCAGCCTTGCTGGGCTTGGTGCGAGGAATTGCGAAAGGCTCCTCCTGTGAAGGACCCTCGTAGACTAGCACGACGGGATCGGAGCCGTCCTCAGGCACGATCATATGGACACCCAAATCATCCCTCAGATTGGCTGCATGCATCTGTTCGAGATGAGGATGGAAGAAGGGATCAACTTCGACCAACTGAATTCTCGCCGAAGGATAGGCTTGAGTGATTTTCGAGAGCTCGTTGCGCGCAGACAGTGCCTTCTGGGGATCGTTGCTAATGACAGTCCAGCTCGGGGAGGCACTATTGCTTGGTGGGAAGATGATTTCTGCACCATGAGACTTCATGAATTCTCGTTCAATAGCCTTCTGTTGAAGGTACTGGGCAAGCGCTCTTGAGTGGCGCTCCGGACCTTGAGGGGCATCGTTGAAATGCTTGTGCATATCGACGACTCGATTGTGCTTTCGGGACATCAATTCTTCAGCAAGATTCCGACCCGCTTCGAGCCTGTCTCTGGGGCCGATGATGTGGATATCCTCTGTCTCATGATCGGGTGGTGGTAGAACAACAGCACAGCCTGTCTCCTCCAAGAACTTCAGAGGGTCCATGCCGCGCTCGCCGACAATGTATGGATGTAGAATCTGTTCGGCGGCAAGCTCTTCCAGCATTAGCTCCTTCTGGAGCTCTTCGGCCAATTGCTCGATGAATAGCCGTGCTTCTAATGTAGCGGCTTGGTCCCCAGAAATGACGATGTGATTGTCTCCATGAGGAACGAAGGTAGGGGGTTGGTCCACCTCGGCAGGCCGTGGTGGCGGTTGTTGCTGCCATGTGTGGTACTGTGGCACATTGATTCGAACATCACGGTCCTGCTCCAACTGTTGAATACGATCTGCGTGCCGGCCAGCAATGAACGGATAGAATTCTGGAGGAATGTTGCGAACGGGTAGATCGACTTTCGGCTGCAGAGATTTGACCTGATTTGAGATCTGCTCGTAGACTTGCCGGACTTGAGCAGCATTCCCACGAATCTCGACCACATCAGTCCTGACATCTTCAGGGCTCGTGACGGGTTTCGTATCACGGTCAATATGTATGCGAACATTGAACTGGTTTTCAAGCTTCTTGATGTTCGCGCCAGCTTTGCCAATGATCTGGGCGGAGACGGTGGAAGGAATTTCCAACTTAACTTGTTTCTCCAGCGTCAGTTCCTTAGAGACGTACATCAGAGCCTCTGTGACTCTGGCTTTGGGACCCTCAGCAATGAATTCGGTTCGAGTCGCAAAATTGGTAGACTTGGGAGTAACGATAACATTGAATTTCTTTTTGACATCGTTCAAGATGCGTGACAAAGGTTTGCTCTTGTCCAGATCCGCGTTGTCGATTTCAAAGGAGTCGCGGTATCTTCCAGGAAGAACGACGTTGCTGCGTGGGCCGGCTGCGGTGACAGGAGTCCGCGCACCGGGCGTCGAGGTCGGCGTTAGAGCACCGGAAGAGGTCGGGCGGGATCCCAGTGCGGGAGAACCATTTGTTGGCGCAGCTTTGGCAGAAGCACTGGCTATCCAACCGGGCTGTCTCGCGGGGGCAGCGGTGGCAGGCTTCGTGGCAGCTCCCAAAGATGGAAAAGCCTCCTCAGACTGAGTGTCAAGAACCGGAGGCTTGTCAGTTGCCTTTTGCTTTCCCGCGGCCTTTGCCGACATTGGAACGTTGCTGGTCCCGTTGGTGTTGGTTGTGGTTGTGGTATCTTCCGCCTCTTCTGCAGGATGATGGGCAGGGGGAGGATGTTGAAGGTCGTCTTCGTCGACGACATCTTCGACCGTCACATGATGCGCCTCTGCAGCCTCGTGCTTCTCCTGCATGAGTTGAGCAGGAGTCTTGGTCATGCTAGAGCTGGCATTTGCGGTAGGATCTGCCGTTGCAGTGGCCATGGTGGTGTTGGCTCCAAAGAAAGCCTCGAGAGAACCGGTAGGGGAGAAACCGAAAGAGCAGGACGGGGAAACCGAAAACGCCTGGAAAGGTTAGAGTGTGGCAAGCATGAAAATGTCACCACAAGTCGATTCAAATGTAAGGTAAGCCAAGTGAATAGCGACGTCTGTCACTGTATCAGGGGAAAAGGGTAAGAATAATTAGGTGACAGGTGTTGTGATAGACCAACACAAGGCAAGGCACAGGAAGATGCGATGCGGAAAAAGGACGTTGGCGTCTGGTTATATTACGGGATGTGGAGAAAGAGACAGGAGGTCTTGGAGACTTCAAGTCTTCCACTTACTCGGGAGTACCCAGTAGGTCTTCCGGGACGGAAAAACAAGACCTCCGTACCACCGGATCGTCGTCCCTTCTGTCTTCTAACCGATGCGGTGAGTGGAAAAATAAAGTGGCACCGTCTGACAGAATAAACGGACACCGTATTGCGTAAACCAGGCTCGCAGCGCAGTGCCTGATGTAGCCGAAGAGTACTTGATCCCGACCAAGTGGCCGCGCTATATCAATGTAGCTAATAGTATAGACAAAAGATAGGGTATCGCTATCTCAAGAGATAAATGATATGCTACTTATAGAAGAAGGTCAACTTGGGACTAACAGTGGAGGAATTGATGTTTGCCCAGGTTTGCTGCCAAGACGGTCCTGTCTGACCAGGGCCATTTTTTTTCGTATACTACCCTCGCCTGCTTCCATGCACCTCTCAACTTCACTCTTCGGCAGGCAATTCATCAACTCAATTCTCGCCCAGAAAGACCCCGATGATTGCTTTGCCACCAGTTGTCTGTAATGTTGCCACAACATCTACTCATCCTGGTGTCCATCGCGCCTTGCCTTGCTATTTGGCCCCAACCTGCTGAGATCCGAACCGGTCACCGAGTATTGTGGCTTGATCCAGCCCTTCATGCAACTCTTCGCTGCGAAGAGAAAACAATTGATGTCTATGGCACTGCAAACTCTCAGGGGAGTCATCTGGCAGGCGTGCTCAACGGCGCTTTCGGATTCACACAGGGCCTGATGGATAAGCTCCAATTCGCTTTTGTGACCAGAAACAGTAGTGACCAGCCTTGTTTCTCTGAGAGATCAATTGTGCAGAATGCCGTACGCGAGGCCATTCAATCAATCCAACAGTCCAACTTCGTCCCTTGGAAGCTTTACAAACGACATTCGACTTTTGAGCCTGATCCACATGCTGCTCGTCGTTACATTTCCACGTTGCATATTCAGCAAAAGTCATGTCCGGCATCAGAGCCACTCTCCCCGGAAAGCTATTTTGGAGGTGATGAATCATATCTAATTGATATCGACGACGACGGTATCACTTCTATCAAGGCAAACGGCAGCATTGGGACGATCAGAGGCCTACAGACTCTTGAACAGCTGTTTTTTGCCCACTCAACAAAGTCGGGTTCATACACACCATTTGCACCTTTGAGAATAGCCGATAGAGCCAGATGGCGTCATCGCGGGTTGAGCATTGACATAGCGAGAAATCCCTTTGAGTCACAAGACCTCCTACGCACAATCGATGCAATGGCAATGGCTAAGTTGAATAGATTGCACATCCATGCGACTGATTCGCAAAGTTGGCCTCTCGAGATACCCTCCCTCCCGGACTTGGCTCGGAAAGGGGCGTATCAACCCCATCTCGTATGGAGCGCCAACAACCTCCGTGAGATCCAGATGCATGGTGCTGCCAAGGGCGTTTCGGTCTTCATTGAAATCGACATGCCGGGGCACACGGCGTCGGTGACCTATGCATATCCCGACCTGGTTGCGGCATTCAATGAATTAGATTGGTCAACATTTGCCGCAGAACCTTTGAGTGGCCAGCTTAAGCTCAATTCATCGGACGTGCACAGATTTGTTGCCACTGTCCTTGACGACCTTTTGTCGCGAACGAGTCCTTACACGTCATTGTACCACGTCGGTGGCGATGAGTTGAATCGAGCGGCCTATCTCCTCGACGAAACTGTGCAGAGTGACGACCCGGGAGTGCTGCAGCCACTGCTACAGAAATTCATCGACAGTGTCATCGAAGCAAGCATCCGGCATGGCATGCAGCCAGTTGTCTGGGAGGAGAGTAAGCTTCCCTAGAGCATGACTCGGGTGTTGCGGCAGCCTTTTAAAGCCCCGACCTTCTGCTTGTTGCTAACGACAAACTAGTGCTCCTTGACTGGAATTTGACACTGCCTTCTGCTATGGATAGTGCTCCGTCGAGACAGACCTTGGTCCAAGTTTGGCGGAATAGTGAGCGAATCGAAGAAGTATTGAAAAGAGGCCACCGAGCAATATTTGGAGACTACCACTTTTGGTATCTCGACTGTAAGTACCGTCCGCTCGAGTGCTGGACTTTGCTCATCGTGAGAAGGTGGTTTTGGAGTCTTTCTCAACCCCTATCCATCTGGCAAGTCGCCTCCTGGAGTCCCTTACAACACATCGGGCGGATACTCGAGCAAATTAGAAAAGCCATATCTTGACTATTGCAACCCTTATCACAACTGGAGGCAGATGTATACTTACAATCCACTGGCGAATATTAGCGCTGATCTCCAAGAGGGCATTGAGGGAGGCGAAGTATTAATGTGGTCTGAGCAGACTGACTCGAGCGACCTTGATTCAAAGCTTTGGCCTCGAGCTGCGGCTGCGGCAGAAGTGCTGTGGGCGGGAGTAAGGCAAGAAGCGATGCTAGAGGACGCCACTAGACGACTGGGGGAATGGAGAGAAAGAGGGGTCATGGATCTGAGGATGCGCATGTCGCCAGTGACCATGACATGGTGTTTGATGGAAGGTGGGTGCAACTTGTAGAGATTGGTAGACAGGGTTGAAGCAAACTGTTACTCGGTATATGGGCGACCATCTGGTGGCCTGAGACAGAGTTTCCCCCAGCACTCCAGGGCTCAAGCAACCACTTGAAAGGGGATTCCCTTGCGAGATGGTCTAGCTTTCATTGGTTCGCGAGCAAATGGAAGCCGTACTTCGTAAATTTCCAAACGGAATACGAAAGCATTCTGGACGACTCTGTTGTTGGAGAAATCCTGAAACATGCCAATCACCCTACCATGGATACATTAAGCTTTAGCATAAGAGGCAATAGGCAGCATTGATCACCTAAGACCTTATTAACTCAGGTGGAGTGGCATGAGCTAGATAAGCAGGAATGTTTGATTTGAGGTACGAGTTCAGTACCAGTACCACCTCTCACGAGGCCTGGTGAGCCTCGCTAGCCCTTTATCCACCGCAACCCTTGACCCCGGTCGCACCGCATGGGCCCAACTGCTGCTCTAGATCCCACTCGGCCATAAGAGCTTCCAGTTTCCAGCCCCAGGCGGCCTTTCCTGATAAAACCTGGCTTTCGTTGCTCTTCCCCACCAACTGTGTTGTATGTGTGGTAAATTGAACAACAAACGACATCTACTTGACACTGTCTGTGAATATGATCTTGCAAGTCCGTCTATGGCAGTATTTCACCCTTGCGGCGCTCCTTGCGTATGTCGCCTCAGTGTACCTTAGGAGATACATAAATTGGAAGAAGGTCGTGGCCCTCGGTGCTCACTCGCCTCGGGTCACGACACGCTTCATATTTGGTCGGCTTATCATCCAGGCAACAGGGGGTCATCGCGCTTGCTAACTCCTGATGCTCAGGACTCGACTTTCCTGTCCACTCAACATCGGCGATCCTCAGGAATCAGGCTCTGGAATTCTGGGAATGGATTTACGAACACACCGGGACCGACAGCAAAGGGACGGGTTCGTATACGGCAGAGCTCCATATCTTGGTGGATGTCCGTGTCCTGTTCACAGCCGATCCAGAGAACACCAAGGCTATTTTGACCACGCAATTCCAGGACTTTGGCAAAGGTAGGCGCCATCAACTTATGAGAGAATACCGTGGATTCTCCGTGTTGCTCGAGGCTAAACCTTGCACAAAATACAACAGGTGAAGAATTCCACAAAGAATGGCATGACTTCCTCGGCGACAGCATTTTTACCACCGACGGACAACAATGGCATAACTCGCGCCAGCTCATTCGCCCAATGTTTATCCGTGAAAAGGTCGCCGATCTGCCCTTGATCGAGACTCATGTTCGCAATTTGATATCGCTGATGGGGGCAGGGGACGGATCCCCGATCATGTTGAATAAGCTTCTCTTCAGATTCAGCCTCGATGCTTCCACCCACTTCCTGTTTGGGCACAGCGTTGGCAGCTTGGACAAAGAACAGTCAGAATTCGCCGCTGCCTTTGACGAAGTCCAACGCATCCAGTCCCTAGAAGGTCGCTTAGGGTATGTATCGCCCAACACCTGTCCATGCGTATTCAGCTTAAAATTTGCGTAGACCTTTAAGACACTTCCGCAGCAAGAGGTCCTTCTATGAAGGCTTAAAAACGATAAACCATTTCATCGAGCCATTCATCAGCGAGGCACTTTCAATGTCTCCGGAAGAGCTGGAGACAAAGTTGTCTCGCTCAGACACCTTTATCCACGCGCTAGCCCGATATACAAGAGACAGAAAAGTGATGCGCGACCAACTTGCGGCATTGTTGCTGGCTGGCCGCGACACCACAGCCGGGACATTGTCGTGGGTCTTTCTTGAATTGGCGAAGAATCCTCGAGTTGTCGAGAAATTGCGCACGGAAATCAAGGAATTCTTAGGTGACGATGGTCGACCACCAACCTATCAGGAGATTAAGGACATGAAGTATTTGACATACACTATCAACGAAACCTTGCGCCTTTATCCGGTAGTCCCGTTCAATGTCCGATCGGCACTCACCGACACCACGTTGCCTCGAGGCGGGGGCAAAGACGGCAGTGCACCAGTGGGCTGTCCAAAGGGTACGGTGATAGGATACAGTACTTTGCTGATGCAGCGAAGAAGAGACCTATACCCGCCGATCTCACCGTCCTTTCCCTATGATCCGCTCGAATGGTGGCCCGAGCGCTGGGCGACATGGACCCCCAAGGCATGGAACTTCATCCCATTCAACGGCGGACCCAGAATATGTATTGGACAGCAATTTGCGATGGTAGAAATGGGATACACGATAGTCAGGATTCTGCAGGAATTCGACCAAATCATTGATTATGGGAGCAAACGCATCCTGCATGCACAGATTATCCTGACTCCGGCAGAGGGTGTGAAAGTGGGATTTGTCAAGAGTACGAAGAAGAGAGAGAAGGCTTGAATCATGGGCAGAGAAAGGGAGAGTGCCTAGGGAGGTGGTTATGCGATGAGTATGATGTCTTGGATGGACTTGGAATGAGCAGCATCAAACGGGGCTCCGAAAGCAGCGGGAAGGGATGAGAAATATTCCTCGGTTCATCACTAGTAAATCCGCGAAAATGTCGAAAATATCTGGCTGCTCTAAAGGGCACCGAACAGTCACGTGCTCGTAGCAAACAGTGTGTCGCCTCCCGTACTTTCTCTCAGCCATCAATACTTTACATTAACTATCTACTTGACTTCATCCTAGGACCTCGCGCGCATTTGCCATTCTATCCAGAATAACGAGAGGCGTGAGCAGATAGTCTCCGAATATTCAATAACCGCTGGATAAGGTGCAACAAAGGACTCTTTTGTCATCGTGCCGCAGACACCACAAAGCCGCGATTCCTCTACTCGACCTCCTCAGTGAGGCGAATTCCTTCTTCCGGCCCCCGTACACACATCTCTCATACTCGCCTTCTTATACGATGTCAACCATCGCCCTCGAGACGCCGCTGGCGGAAGCGCTGAGCGGTGCTGTGCACTCCAAGATTGTGGAAGAAGGCTGGACACAAGATGATGACACCTCATTAGCGGAATACATCGTCCTCATGCTTGCCAATGGAAAGACTCAGAATCAGATCGCATCAGAGCTTGCTGGCGAGTTGCTGCAGGATGCGAAAGGAACAACCGAGTTCGCGCAGTGGTTGTTCGATCAGGTCAATCTTTTGTCTGGCGGCGCTGCCGCTTCCGATCCTGCAGTAATATCACAATCCTCAGAACAAGCTGAACAGGTCGCTGCGCCTACTTCACTGCCTTCAGGCTCTACTGAGAACGGAAGCTCTTCAATACCTGCAGCGTATGACATGGACATGGTTGATAATGCACCAGAAAATGCGTATGTTGTGTCCCACTCGAGGCAATTTCTGAAAATCTCTTCTGACATACTTCACAGACCTCGAGGCCCTAAAGGTTTACACGGTGGCCGACCTGCAGGCAGAGGGGGACGAGGCAGCGCAATAAACAAAACCGGCGATTTAGCTTTACACCGCGTCCGCGGCAACGACAGGATAAACACTCACGCCAACATGCGCGGCGCGCCGAAAGGCCCCCGCAATATCCAGAATCGAGAAGTGCGCCCTGGTATGCAGAAAGCGCTGAATATGGGCATGACGGGTTCCGCTCCAGGCATGCAGAATCCGATGATGATGAATGGCGGACAACAAGGTCAAGGGATGATGCAGATGACTCCTCAGCAACAGATGGAATTTATGGCTATGATGGAACAACAGACTCGCATGCTGGCACAATTTACTGGAATGATGCCAGGAGCAACGAACCCCGCGTTCTCACAAGGTGGCAACCTGCCTAGCAATCAAGGTCGATCATTGTTCGATAGAGTCGAGCCCGGGCGTGGCCGCGGAGGTGGTCGAGGCCGGGGCCGAGGGGGTAGCAGTCAGAACGGCCACATCAAGTCTCCTGCGAGAGCAAGCGATCAAGACACAGCTATGGAAGGTGATGGTCAGACGCCAGGACCCGAACCATCTACCACGGATGCCCAGCCAACCACCGAGGGCGAACGAAAGCCACAAGATCCGTCCAATACGATGTGTCACTTCAACCTTCGCTGTACCAACAAAGACTGTCCTTATGTCCACCAATCGCCCGCTGCTCCCGAGGGAACAGTTGTTGATATGTCCGACACTTGTCAATTTGGTCCTGCCTGCAAGAATTCGAAGTGCGTCGGGAAACATCCTTCCCCAGCACAAGTCAGGGCGTTCCAGGCACAAGAGCTGTGCAAGTTTTTTCCCAACTGCACCAAGCCCAACTGTCCATTCAAGCACCCAACAATGCCCTTGTGCAAGTTTGGTGCCAACTGCAAGACTCCGAATTGCCCGTTCACACACTTGCAGGTTCCCTGCCGTTTCAACCCGTGTACAAACTTGAGATGTCCATACAAACACGAACCGGGACAGCAGAAGACGACCAATTTTGCCGATTACACTTGGACACCGGATAAGCAGACCGAACAAGATGCCGCGAAGCAACATGTTAGCGACAGGAAATTTGTGGATGATCAGGCGGGCGAGGAGGAACTGATCAAGCCAGAGACGGGTACAGAGACGCAGATACGCGAGGAGGTGATTACTTAACGAGAGGTAACCAGCTCAATGAGGGATATTGGGAAGGATAGAGCATGGTTGTGAAGGCAAGCTGATGCTTTGTCATTGGCCGAATGTATTTGTACATTACGAACTGAAAGCATACAAACCGGCGCCAAGTGCTAGGTTGACCAGGCTTCTGATAATGATGGATCGGTGACGGCCTTGACATCAACGGGTTTGGAATCAAAAATGACCATTCCGGGGCCACGCAAACATTGGATTTGACTTGATTTTTATATGCTGTCTGTCTCCTCGTCCTCGTATTTGTTGTTATCATACACTGGTAGGCGTCTCGCACATCACAGGGATCTAGATATACGGAGTGTCCTGGCACCTAACCATTACACACACTCCTGTTTGAACACGGCCATGACACAGCCATTAGAATCACGTGTCTGTCACGTGATATAACCGAGGCCCGCTTCTCGACTTAATTGCTCTTTGAAACTCGCTCTTTATTATCTTTGTAGACACCGTGAAATCTCGCAGTATATCTTACCTCTGATCTTTTCGCGAAGTGAACGGCTTGGCGGGTACTCTGTCAGCCTGAAGCGGCGTATCTCGGACATGCCACCTCAAGAGATCCACGACCACACACCCATCGTCTCCGTTGTATTGCTATGCCATGGATAGAGGACGCAAACGTGCCGCGCTCGCATGTAACTTTTGCAGAAAAAGGTCGGCTCTGTGTTTAGAATTCGTAACGGTCAGCTGATCTAGGTGCAGGAAACGACGGTGTGATGGCCAACTTCCGAAATGCAGACTCTGCAGGGATTCAAATGCCGAATGTATCTATGCCGTGGCGCAGTTGCCCCAGCCAGAACCCTCTTTCCAATCTGGTGAGGGAAATGTTCAAGAGCTGTGGCGGCTCTCCGGCGTCAGCTCTTCGGAAGTGCTGGGTCGAATGGCCAGCATCGAAGCGATGCTGACACAGCAAAGTGCGACGCTCGAGGATTTACACGATCGCATCAACTCAGGTGCAGTGCCCCAAGCTACAATTCATGGTGTGCAAGATACTGTATCCACACTAGCTGAGAATTTGCCGTCCACATCGCATTCTTCGGCACCTTGGACAATGCATTCTCAGACATTGGGTCATCTGCCCAGTGCTGTGGATGTTGCAGTGTCCCCTTCTACCTCCAGAGACGATATTCCAGCAATGACAATACCCAGACAACATTCTACCACGACGGAAAACCTGCTCAGTACTGGACCAGTGCGAGCTCTGCTAGGAGACTTTCCCCGCGGCATGTTTTTAAAGACGGAATCGGCTCGGATCCTCCCCCAAAATATTCGCCTCGGGAATCTGCACGTCACAGCGTTTCCAGAGATAGACCGCGCCGAGACGGACTGCTTGGTTGATTGCTTCTTCAGATTGGCCCATCGAGAAATACCCATCCTGGACCAGAACCACTTCTTGAGTTGCTACAGGCAATTTCTAGAGCGAGACACTTGGGGCGACATCGATTCTGCTCTCTGCCTCATGGTCCTTGCTGTTGGCGCTGTCGTACAGAACCCCCCCTCGACGTCGGTTCAAGGCGCAGATATTTCTAGCCCTGGGGGTGAGTACCTCTCTGCGGCCATGAAGATTTTGGTCCCAGACATTATGCAAAGCTTTTGGAGTACAATAACTCTTCCGCAAGCGACGCTTCTTGCCGCAAAATATTTTGGTTATCTGCTGCGTCCCTTACAGTCTTGGAGATTTGTTCACCTCGCGTCCACGAATGTTCAGATTCTGTTGAATTGGTAAGCGAACTCCCAGCAGGCCTCCTTGAAGAACAATCTTTCAGTGCAGTTGACGCCTACGACAGGCCGCAGACACTGGATGAAGACGATGCTACAGCAGCCGCCCTCTCGCGACTGGTATGGGCTATCTTCGATAGCGAATGGCATGTAGACCGATTTGTGGCTCAAAGCGAGTCAGCCCCTGGCTAATTTTTGACAGCGACCTTATCGCAGAACATCATCTACCACGTAGTGGAATTGAGCATGTTGTTGAAAACATGCCTCTACCCACTTTCCACACCTGGACACCCGAGGCGTCGATGTTTTTAGCCGAGATATCTGCACGACGACTCTTTAATCGAGTCCACCATACCATGTACGCAGATTCGTCGGGGAGATTTGGGATGGTTGACCATACAATGCCTACGCAAGATCACTTCCAAAGGCAGGAACTCAGACCCGCCATTACAAATCTGGCCACTGAATTAGATCATCAACTGGAGACATGGTTTGATCTTCTGCCCCAGCATATCAAACCTGATCTGGAGAGCGCATCATCATGGACATTCGAGCATTTGAACATTTTACACAGATATCATACTGCCAAGGACATCATCTTTCGGCCGTTTGTCATGTACACGTGCAATCTCCCTACGAAGGGAACCATTTCGACCGCAATTCTCGAGCGGTGCAGCACATGTGTGCAACACTGTTGTGCGTATCTTTCCGTCTCAGAGATGCTGCTTGCGCAAACATCATCAGTCAAGGAGATCATCTGCCACTCGTGAGTCTGACACTTGTCGCGTGGAACACGACCGACGCAACATCATACCGCAATTGCTAATCTGTGCCAGCAGTGTCTTTGCTGCGACAGTGGTCTTAACGTTAAGCTCGCTTAACCAGAACCTGAGCTCGTTGGTATCGGACGTCGATGCTCTTCAAACAAGGGCCGTTTCTATGCTACAGCGGGTGGCATCAAAAGGTTCAGTGATCGACCAACTGGTGGGGATATTGAAAGTCCTCCAAATGAAAACACGATTGTTGAAGGGGCAGGTCCATATGCAAACCCCATAAATACGCATCTCTATCCAGATTTATCCCTACCAACCATCTTAGTCTGGTCTCAGCACACAATGCCCGCGCAATGGCAGCAGAGAGAATCAGTACGTGAATTTGAAGCCTCCATTGGCACAGACTACACTTCCGGTACACCAACCTGCCTCTTGGCCGCAGAGCATTCCCACCACTCCAGCAATTTCAGTCCAATATCCCGGCCGTCGTGCCCCCATTTTCTCCCTGCTCAACTTGACGAGTGCGGGATCGTCTACCCCGTCTCGGATAGCGGACAATGGGCAGTTCAGTTGAAATGGTTCGAGCTGTTTCCAGAGCTTTTCGCCAGCCGCTAGGTACATATCGCCCTCGACTGGTCCAGGATTGACGGCGTTAACCGTTGCACGTTCAGACAGCTCTCTGGCCCAAGTTCTTGTCATGGCCTCTAGGGCTGCTTTTGTTCCGCCATACAAGGTATGAGTGACAAATCCCAATGATGACGCCACCGAAGAAATGTTGACAATCCTCCCTGACCGATCGTGTGGCAAGTAAGGTAGCACGGCCTGTGTCACCATGAGTGGAGCCAGCACGTTCACCGCATACATGCGATGGAATTCTGAGACGGGCACATCTTCAAGCCTATAATCGCCCCCAACGCCTGCATTGTTGATCAAGATGTCGACAAGTAAGTCACCGTTTGGTAGCGCAAAGGTTGCTCTGGCGACATCCACAATCTTAGGAGCTGCATGCTCTGGCTGACTGAGGTCCACCTGGACCATGGTTGCCTTGACTTTGTGCGTATCAATAAGCTCTTTGACGAGCTCATTGGCGGGTTGCGTTGATGAATTGCTGGTATAGACGCCCAGTACGTTGCAACCTTTGGCACCTAGATGCCGTGCGATGGCAGCCCCGATACCTGGCTCCAGTTAGCAAAAACAAAGAGTTCCCTGTGGTTGATGGCGATCTTACCACGTGAGGCGCCAGTCACGATTGCTAATTTGTCCTCCAATGGACGACGAACGGGAGCCATGTCGAAAGCAGGACCAAGAAATTTAGAGATCGCTTCCAACTGGGCTAAAACAGAGTATATATAGAAGTCTCTCCCATGCGGACAGTCGCTGTTAGAGGAAGACCATCCATCCTCTCATCCACGACAGGACCTCGGCTGCTCACGATGATCGTTCTCTGTACGCCTCGAGGCCCGGCCAATCTTGCGGAGAGACGTAATTTCATTCAGCTTCTAGCGGTCGTCATAGGCAGCGCCTGGTAGGGATTCTCGCTAAAAGCTGGGCCCATTGAGGATTAGGTAAATGCTGAGGCCGGCACAGCGTCGGAGAAACTTTCCTGAGAAGATCCCCGTTCCATTCCAGCGGGACGTGGTGGAAACACATCCGCTCATGGGCTAGCGAATTTCACCAAGATCGGCTGTCCAGCCAGCATGGCGGTATTGGGTGGCCAGTGCCGCCTCAGCCTTGCAAGCTCACTCTGAAAGAGAAGTCGGCCCGTTCGCAGCGAAACTATCGCCAGCTCAAGACTTTCGCTGTCCATGGGATCACATCCGCAGGCCCATGCTCCGAAGTGCACCGAGTACTATTGCTTGTTGGTTCATCTAGGCCTATGCAATACTTCGAACGGTAAAATACTGGCAAAGGTCTTCTTATGTTTGCTTCGGCACACAGACCTCAACCGCGGTCGCGATTTCATGGTAGGAAGAGGTCTTTACAGGCGTTGAGCGACAGATTTGTATGATTGCTCGCACATAGCTGCTTCCCCTGCATGGTGAATCCAGGCCCGAGTTGCCCGGTATCTATTTCCACCATCGTGAAGATGGCGCAGATCTCCCTGTCGAACCCCTCTTTCGTCCTCGAGGCTGTCCAGCAGGTGACTTTTGAGGACATTCCGGTCCCAGTTATCACTGATCCCTACGATGTAATTGTCCACATTGGACAAACCGGAATCTGCGGGTGAGCGCCTTTGGGTCTTTGCCGTCGTGGGGGCTTCGGGGAGAAGCTAACCAGTTTTCCAATAGATCCGATATCCATTATTGGCAACGAGGCAGGATTGGCGATTTCATTCTCGACTCTCCCATCGTTCTCGGTCATGAATCTGCTGGCAGGATAGTCTCGGTAGGAGAGGCCGTCAAGAATTTGAAAGCCGGTGACATGGTGGCAATCGAGCCTGGAGTTCCGTGCCGCCACTGCAATTATTGTCGCTCAGGTTCATACAATCTTTGTCCAGACACCGTTTTCGCTGCGACCCCTCCGCACAACGGGACTCTATCTAGGTTCTACAAGACATCCGGGGACTTCTGCTACCGTCTACCGGATCATCTGAACCTTGAAGACGGCGCTCTGTGCGAACCAGTCGCTTGCGCTGTTCAAATCTGTCGAGTCGGTCTCGTGCGTGGGGGACAGAGTGTCGTTGTCTTCGGCTGCGGCCCCATCGGTCTCCTCGTCCAAAGTGTCGCTAAAGCTTTCGGTGCAAGATTCGTTCTCGGAGTCGACATCAACAAAGGCCGATTGGACATGGCCAAGAACGTGATGAAGAGCGCAGACGACGTTTTTGAGCCGCCTCGACCCCCATCTGGTCTAAGTTCAGATCAAGAGATGGAGTATCATGCCAAGGTAGCTGCGCTCATCAAGCGGGAGTTCAAATTAGGCGACGGACCAGATGTGGTGATTGATGCAACAGGAGCTCAAAGTTGTCTGCAGATCGGTGTTCAGCTCTGCAAGAAGGGAGGCGTGTACGTTCAAGCCGGCATGGGCAAAGAGGTAAGCTAATGAGCAAGCTTGGAGTATTATCAGTCATTGTGCACTTGATTTAACGCCATATCTTTCAGAACGTCGTTTTCCCAATCATGACCGCCTGCATCCGGGATTTGACAATCCGGGGCTCAATCAGATACGTTGCTGGCATATACCCGACAGCAATCGACCTGGTAGCTAGTGGGAAGGTTCAGCCGCAAAAGTTAGTCAGTCACCGGTTTCCGTTCGAAGAGGCCAAGGAAGCGTTCGAGACTGTGAGGAAAGGTGGCGGAGGTGTCATGAAAGTCATGATAGAAGGTGTCCAGAGCTAATTAGAGTTGTGTCGATGGGCCAAGGATACCTGGGCACCAATAGTCCCAAACGGGTCTGATACAAAACAGGCTTTTGCTACTTGAAGCCGTCTTATTCCTTTACTGAGATCTTTTAGTTTGTCTTCGCTCAAAGCCTATGTGAAAGCGAAGCTGAGAATGCAGAACATGAACCCATGAATTGTGCCTGCTATTAATCAACACATGACCAATCTCGAAACATCAGAGCCCTACCTCTCGCCACAACCTCATGGCAAATGCGTTATTCCTCGACGTCGGCCCTAAGCCATTCCACCATCCCAGAAGCCAAATTAGCACACCCTGCCGTTACCATCTCTCTTGCGCCATTACAACACGTTCGGCACACTTATTGTATTCAACCATTTTTCGTTCTCACAAAAACAAAAAAAAAAAAAAAAAATAACAATCCATGACAACACAATATGGGCTGCGCTATGCTCTCAACTCCCACCTAGCCCCAGGAAACCGCCCGTGCGCTCGCTGGCAAACAAACAAGACAAAAAAAAAAAAAAAAAAAAAAAAACAACCAACGCATGGTTCCGACTGTCGTCATCCTCGCTCATATCTTCGCAATGTGTTCGGTATTGGGGGCTTTCTCCGCCGTGCTGGCGGTTTCGTGCGCGAGCACAGACTCGGCGTCGGCTCGCACGTTGACGCCGTCAAAGATCTCAGCCACCTCTTCCAACGTAAAGCCTTTGGTTTCGGGGAAGAATAGCCAGGACACCACATTGCCGACGACGAGGATGCTGACGAACACCAAGTAGTACTTCCAGCCGATAGCGTCCAGGGCGATCGAGTTGCAGAACGCCAGAACGATGAGCGAGCCGTAGATGGCAAACATTTCCAAGATCAGCCCTTTTGCCCGGATCGAGTATGGGAGGATCTCGGTCGTGTATCCGTACAGCAATGGCGTGTAGCATATATCATAATGAAAGAACTTTTTTTTTTCCAAGATTAAGGTGTCAGCGAGTGCCAGTGGATACAGGTGAAAAAAGCAAGGGGATAGGAACTGTAGCTCACGAAGATAAAAATAAAAGCCACGACAGCGATGCCGGCGGAGTTGTCGCCTTTAATGTCAAACACGGCGGAACAAGCCGTCCAGGACGAGAAGGACAGGAGCATTCCAATCCCAGACCATTTGAACAAGCTTCGTCGCCCAAGTCGGTCCACCAAAAATGCAGCGGATGCGGCGGCCCAGAAATTCCAGATTTGCAAGAGCCTGTCGCGAATGGTTGGTTAGTGTCAGTCTATAAACACATTGGAGAAGGCCCAACTCCGGGACAGGGCATACCCATTGATGAGCGTCTGGGTGTCAGAGTCCTTGATGCCAACAGTGTCGAGGACCAACGTCAGGTAGTAGCTCACAACACTCACGCCGTTCCACTGTGCAAACGCGCCGATGAAGGTGACGATGAACATGCGCCGACGATTGCCGGGAGTCTTGAAGAGTGTCGACCACCCAGTTCCAACGGTTTCTTTCTCTGTCTCGATGGCGCGGGAGATTTCTGTCATCTCGAATTCGATCAACGGGTGCTCCTCGTCGCCATCGGTGTGGAATCTGGCCAACGTTCGTCGCGCTTCTTCGTGTCGTCCCTTGGCGACAAGCCATCGAGGTGATTCGGGCACCCACCAGAAGAAGCACAGTTGCACCAACGGGTAAGCTCCTTGGAGAAGTGACGGAGTCCTCCAGGCCCAGTTACTGTCACCGATGTGCTTCTGCGTACCGTACGTACTCCAAGATGCGAGGATAGACCCAAAATAATACAGAGTCCAGAAAAGAGAGGTGTATTTGCCTCTGTGGGTGGGGTAACAAAGTTCCGATATCAAGATGGGCGACGGCTGAGTGACGATGATACTCCCCGCGCCCGCGAGAATCCGGGAGAAGGTGAACATGCCGTAGTTGACGGAAGCGGCTTGGATGATGGAGGCGACGATGATGGCGATGACCCCAATGAGAAGGGTCCATCGGCGACCCAGCCAGTCCGACAGCGGCCAGGCAATAGGGAGCACGGCCACCGAGCCGATCGACTGGGCTGCGTTGACAACCCCGAGATGCGTGCCGCTGGGGTGATTGAAGAAGGCCTTCCAGGAACTTGTTGCTTGCAGTCCGTTCATCATCGAGCCATCGTATCCAGCGGTTGCAGAGGACAGGAGTGGAACGAGGAGGATCAGGTTGAGCTCCAAAAGATGAGCAACTCTGTACCAAGGCTTGTCATGCTTGGGGAGCACCTTGGCCAGGGCATCCCCCACGATATCTTGGTCTTTGACCATGTCGAAGCTCCGAGGAGCAGGGTACAGTACAACTGTCTGGGAATGGAACTGAAGCAGTGGCAGGCACACACAATTCCCTAGCAGAATCCCTCAGACATTCCTGTCCTGAGCTGCGCTGGGTTAAGTGGAGTCGAATCGTGGTATGTGAGGAGGAAACGAAGCATATAAAACCTTTCCAGACGGTGAGGATGCTCAGCAAGACGGCACAGGTGGCGTTCAAACCTCTACCTGACTAACCCGTGCTAGCCTCATCTGGGGCCCCGGTCTGGAGAGACGAAGCCCAGGAAAGTTGCCGAACTCCTTGTTCGCCCGCCACATGGATTGTTCCTGTATGTATCTGCATTGTTGCCTGTTCCAGGGAAAATGACCTTTTCTGACTAGCCGAACCCCCCGCAACCCCAACAGACGCGGGGTCAATGGCATTTTCCCGAGTACTGTGTATACAGGGTATACCCCATACTTTTGGGTGGCGGCTTTGCCGCCCTTACTCCGCCACTAGGGCGAAAGTGGGTCACATAGATAACACAGACCCCAATTACCGAGTACCCAGTATGTAGGTGCAGATTGCGGAGTTTGATTCTTGAGTAATCCACCTGTCGACCCCATGTCACCTAGCATGTCACCAGCACAAAAGTTCCGAAACGTCGATCAAAGGTCAACTGCAAACGGCCAATGCAACATCAGCCCAGTCTCGAGCCCAAGGCCTTAGTGTGATTACCCGGGCAAAGAACAGTACGAGAGCAAGGAGGAAACTGCCAGGATGGAGTTCCGGACCATTGAACACGGGACGGCCTTCCGAGTCACACCACCTTGATCTTTGATCGCTAGCTATGCACTATGCAGAGAGCGCTCGATAGCCTGGTCGGTTACAGATGCGGGAGGTAATGGCGGCATAGCCGCGGGATTCAGCATCTATACACTTCAACTTGTGGCAAGAGAGGTAATACTCTATCCCACTATTGCAATTCGACTAGAAAGAAGGTTGGGAGTTGATGAATACTAACGGACATCACTCGCCGGGGTATTCACAAGGTACATAAAGGGAATTAGACGAAGAATTCAGACTCCGGATATCTTTAACATTGACACTTTGGATACATGTAGTATTACGTCCAACCTTCATCAGACAGCCATCATGAGCAGTGTTCAGAGCACAACTACACAGACAATCACATCGATCCCGTAAGGAAAACCAGCCCGGGCGAGATTGTGAACAGGCCTTCCATTGACGTCGTGTGTTTAGGTTGTCGACGCACTATGGCGATTGGCGTGACGACCTCGTTAAAAATGGCTACACCGTCATCAAAGCAGCCATCTCTCCCGACCGAGCAAAGAATTACCAGCAACGAGCATTCGACTGGCTGAAATCCTTCAACACCCCGCTCGACTTCGAGAATCCCGACACCTGGGTAAGGGAGAATCTACCGGTTCTGACAGATATCAACACTTTTGAAAACTACTCGGTCGTGCACGAGAAATTCATGTGGGACGCCCGCTTGGAGCCTGGAGTCTTTGACGCTTTTGCAAAGCTCTGGGGAACGGAAGACCTTCTGGTGTCTTTCGACTCTCTCAACGTCACGTTTCCCAACCGCAAGGACAAACCGAGGAAACCCTCCTGGCCGCATATCGATCAGTCTCCCCTGAGAAGGGGTCTCCAGTGTGTCCAAGGCATCATCGCCCTGAGTAAGGCAGGTCCAGAAGATGGGTCTCTGATGGTGCTCCCACGATCCAATAATCACGTGGAAGAATACTTTGACACCAAGACAGACCCGATGTCATGGGACAAGATAGATTGGCGTGTATTCGATGAGGAAGAAATGGAGTTCTTTCACAGCCAAGGCTTGAAGCCCATTAAAGTCGAGGTCGAGCCCGGCGACCTGATCCTCTGGGACTCGCGCACCATCCACTGGGGGGCGGAGCCGGAGGCCGAGAGCAACGCCATTCGCACGGTGATTTACGTGTCGTACTCGCCAGCAGCCCTGGCGAGTGCCGAGTCCATCAAGATGAAGCAGCAAATCTTCCGCGACCACGGCGCCACGACGCACTGGGCGCACGACAACATCTTCCCGCGAGACTTGCTGGCCTATCTTCCGGACGGCTCGGTCGATCCACGGAACAGGAGCGAGCCTCTCGAGCCACCAGAGTTGACTGATCGCCTTCTGAAAGTGGCAGGGATGAAGCCTTAACTGATGATGTACTTGTATCCTGGTTTGATTTTCGTTCTCGAAAATCTCCACGGGTTCAAGAAAACCGGGGAACAGACACATAGCCGGGCAATCAAGTAAGTTTTAGGCCTGCTCGCCCTGTAAGCGTAAACTAATTCTCCTCCCCTACAGCCTGTTTATAACGTTCGTGCTCTATCCACGTCGCTAGCTGATGTTTTAGTCGGGGTAGTTGAATTGCTATACGTTCAGAGGTGAGCTCTTCGGGTTGCTGATTGGATATGCCGAGGACAGATCAGCACGACTCACTACATCTCGGACTTCTACCTTCGTCGGCTTAAACTCACACAGACTTCGATCATCCAGATTGCCTGTGATCGTTTGGGCGAAAAAGAAGAATTAAACTTCGCAGGAAAGGTTCTCTATATGGCTCTATGGCCCTTTGAGGGGATTTGAGAAATCTTCTGGTTTTATTTGGAGCAGCAAATTTATCCACAGCAAGCTTGTGTCCGTTTGACATTTCATAAATGGTATCGACGAAGCTGAAATGGCAACATTCTTGCCGAAGGACCAAGGTATAGTATGCGTTTGCTCTATTTTGCCAAACCTTTTTTTCCCTCTTGCAAATAGGGATCATCGACAAGTATAACCGCCGTCCACAACGAGGTCTGCACCGGTGGTATACGTGCTCGCGTCACTTATCAAGAACACGTAGGCGCCCTTGAGCTCTTTTGCATCGGCGGTGCGGCCGAGGGGGATCATGGAAACCCACGATTTCTGGATCGCGGGATCCACAAAATCGGAGATCCCGGTGTCGAAATAGCCTGGGGATATACTGTTCACGCGGGCGAAGTCGCGCCATTCGTTGGCCAGTGATTTTGCTAAATGGATGCATCCAGCCTTCGCGACGTTGTAAGAAGTCTGTTCTTGTGGATAATTGGCGATGTGGCCAGAGATTGACGACGTGATGACCAGACTCCCGCGTCCTCGCTCTTTAAAATGGGGGCCGATGGCTTTTGCACAGTGAAAGGTCCCCGTCAGATCGGCGTGGACGACATCCTCCCAGTCCTGCACGGATCCGTCGAGAACACCACTACTTGCAGTGCGACCTGCATTGGCGATGAATCCATCAATTTTGCCAAAGTCGGTGATAACGTCGCGGACAAGTCTCTGCACATCGTCCCAGTTGTTGACATCGCACCGGTATGCTTTCGCCCTTATGTTGTACACCTCTCTGAGCTCCTTTGCATTTTGTTCTCCACCCTCTGGCCGACTGAGATAGGTGATGGCCACATCAGCACCCATCTCGGCGCATCCTCGTGCTGCCTCTAAACCAATACCTTTGGGGCCAGAAGCACCGGTGACAAGAACCACTTTCCCCTTTAAACTCAAGAGGTCTCTCAATAGACTGGCTTCGGGGATTGGTACGGGCATATTGGTCGGCGTCGAGGTTTGCTCGCGATATTTCGTTGGTTGAAAGATTCAGAGGTGTGGAAGGGCTGTGAACTTGGGTCGTTGATGATTCAAAGGCGTTTGATTTATGGCAGACGGACCAGAATTTATGACCGGCATGAGACTCATAGGTCCTTGTGCTTAGAAAGGCAATGCGCCCGCAGGTGCAGGTCTGACCATGGGATTCGGTGTGCAGCCCAGCGTGCTAGGGAAACTTGCACGATCTGTCGCCATCGGACTCGTATCGTTTCCTAGGGTTCCTGTCTGTCGGTCAGAGCGTGCTTGAGACGCGTCATACGCTACGTGGAGCACGAAGTTGTCCGGAAGAACGAGTCGAAGGTCTAGAAAGCGAATGAGAAGTCCTGGTCCCTTCACTAAACAAGACAGGAGGTGAGTTTCTTGTGCCTAATTCGGCGGGACTGAAGTATCGAAATGGACGGGCGGGAATGCCGCCGTCACCCACCTCTTATTGCTCCACCCGACTAGGTCACATGGATATCTAAGAGCTTCCTCCCGTGTAGGTACAGTCTGGTGCCTGTCCTTCGCAGGTGCATACAGAGTACACCTTGCTTAAACAGACCTTTGGAACCCCAGGTGGGGGACGAGCTTCTGCAATGTTCCAAAGATTAGAAGCCGAACTGGATCGGGAGCCTTCTTGGGATAGCCTCGGCCGTGGAGGCTGTTAGACTGCGCTTGCCCATACCGGCGGCAATTGGAACAAGTTACCCAGTACCAAGAGGCAGGATTCCTATCGAACTCTTTTATGTCTCCTTCCCATTTCACAAGGAGTCTTCATCCTGTAGAAATCTCAATGTAGGGTGGGCTTTTGCAGTGATCATCGAGATAAGGTTGGCCAGGTGGGCGCCCCACGCAGAGGGGCTTCTGTGTTTCGGCACATAGAGGATAGTATGGTCATCTCGAGACAAGGTAACCGTTGCAAGGCGACAGAAGCGAGCCGAAAGCCATCATCCATACTGTTGGCTATGAAGTGTGCAAAAGTTGCCGGGCTGGCACTCAACGCTTCTTGTTCTTCAACTAAGATTGCTTCTTTCTGAGAGATTGACTTTTGGGGACTGATTCAAACACCCTTTATCCCACACCGGATCACGAGAAGCAATAGACGAATCAAGGTGCCACAGAATTTGTGCTTGACTGTTTTCATCCAGCCGTAGACTCCGGCGCTCGGCCATGATCACTGTTCAGGTGCTAGGAGTTGAAGCACCGATTGCATCACATTGCAGCATAGTCCCACTGCCAGCCCATCCAGAGCTTGGAAAAGTCCACTCCCATATTTTTGTACCTTGAAGGGTACAGCCAGTATTTGACGAGAGCTCCTTGTAGACGATGGCGGTATGATAGGTAGACGATGAATGCTTTGGGGAAAATAGAGGTAACTTGGAGGAGAAGTAGTCGCAGAAGTTCATCTGCAAGGCTGGTTCGAAATTATAGACGATGCTGGTGGGGATCTTCGTGATTGCGTTACCCGACCCGAGTACAGTCGTACAGCTCGTACTGTATGAGCGAGGGTGGAGTCCAATTGAGCTAGTCCTAATATGTAGATTTAACGACGCTACTTTTAGTAAAGCCCACTTTTTAAATGGACCGGCTCAGAGCCTTCTCCACTACTGGGTAGAATGAGTAGCTACCTAGGTAGGTAGGTAGATCCGGTAAGGTAACATCTCACTCGTCGTGGGCCAAGGCCTCCATTAAGGATTGACTCATGCAGTCTCATGAAATCGAGAATTTCAACAATCAATTGTCCGCGCCCGTGATCCAGAGGCCGGAAGACACACGACTTGTGCCTTGGGAGACCATGGATTCGCACACGGGTCTCGCAGAAGTCTTGAGAACTCTGCAACATATCGTGTCTTCACCTGACCTCGCCGTCTCTCGACACCTGGTTCCCTCGGATGGGAATGGGCCGACAGACAGGTTTCCAGTTTTGCCTCGAAACATCCCGACGCTACCACTTCCCAAACTCAGTCAAACACTCGCGTCTTCATCCTCTGGCGATCAGCAGCGACGAGCGGATGATGACGACACGCTCGAGAGGCTAACAAAGCACCTCACGACCACCATCCTTCCGTACCTCAATCTCTCTTCGCTCTCCCCAAACTACTACGGCTTTGTGACTGGCGGCGCCACCCCGGCGGCCCTACTAGGCGACTTCCTCAGCTCCATCTACGACCAAAATGTCCAAGTTCACTTACCGCGAGAGACCGTCGCGACAACCCTGGAAGTCGCGACCTTGAATCTGCTCCTACAACTGTTTCGGCTGCCGGAGGCTGAGTGGGGGATTGGCAGACGCGGCTCGGGGGGCGGGGGAACGTTCACCACAGGCGCGACGGCGAGCAATGTCCTCGGCCTGGCGTTGGGGAGGGAATTCGTGCTTCGAAAGGCCCTGCAAAGGCGAGGAGGCTTCTCGGAGGCTGATTGGAGCTGTGGCGAGCATGGCATCCCGGAACTCATGTATCAAGCCGGTCTGCGAAAGATCCAAGTGCTCAGCACGTTGCCTCATTCGAGCATCGCCAAAGCCGCGAGCATCGTTGGAATAGGAAGGACGAATGTCATTTCCATTTCCACCTCGCAGGCCGACCCACTGCAGATCGACCTCGCCCGCCTGAGAGAGGAGGCGGCAAAACCGGGCGTCGTCAACATCCTCGCCATCTCGGCGGGAGAAGTCAACACGGGCCGCTTCGCCACGGATTCGCTCGACCAAATGACCCGCATCCGCAGCATATGTGACGAGTTCGGGGTCTGGATCCACGTGGACGGCGCCTTCGGGCTCTTTGGCCGTGTCTTCTCCCCGGACGATCCTGGCCACGAAGAATTTGGCGCGGTAATACGTGGAGTCGACGGCATCGAGCTCGCCGACTCTATCACGGGAGACTGTCACAAACTCCTCAACGTCCCTTACGATTGCGGCGTCTTCTTTACCCGCCACAAGACTCTCTGTGAAGACGTCTTCCGGAACGGCAACGCGGCGTATCTTACCGGCGCCGCCACCACCAATACCACCGCCGCCGCCATTACGTCCTCAACGAGCAACGGCAATGGGGTTGGGGATGTCTACGACGCGATCCAAAGTCCATTGAATATCGGCATTGAGAACTCGCGCAGATTCCGCGCGTTGCCCGCCTACGCGACCCTCATGGCCTACGGGAGGACGGGATATTTGGAAATGTTGAGACGGCAGATCAGACTGGCGAGGAGGGTGAGCAGCTGGCTCCTCAGAGAGGAAAGGTTCGACCTCTTGCCGGCGCGTAGTGGCGGGGAGACCGAGCAGGATGCTCTGGCTAAGACGTTCGTTGTGGTCCTGTTCAGAGTTAAGGATGAGGGACTGATGAGAGATTTTGTGACGAGGGTGAATGAAACTGGGAAGATCTATATGACGGGGACGGTGTGGGACGGGAAGCCCGCAGCAAGGATTGCGATAAGTAATTGGCAGGTGGATCTGGAGAGAGATGCCAAGTTGATTGAAGAGGTCTTGGACCAAGTGGCTGGAACACGACAGTGAAACATCGGTCCTGAAAGGTAACGATCAAGGCGATTGAGAGTTGACAGGCAGAATCATCCTTGCGAAGGGCAAGCTCGTCCTGCTTGCGTGGACCGGTGTAAATATGCAGCTCAAAATACCGCACCGCCAATAATAAAAATCCGCTCCTCCTCTCTCTGGACCCACTGCACCACTTTATTCGCACTCTGTGCCAACGCATTCCTCGACGCCGTTGGTCCGGCCACACAATATAGTTCAAACATAGGTGTGACCCAAGCGAGCGCCGTTGCCGACACTCCCACGCTGTGATAGACCTTCACTGCGGCATGTTTGGCATGCACACTGGCATGCAGATTGTGATACAGAGACATCAATCGCCGACGCTGTTTCAATGTCTCAAAGTTCGGCGAGAAGGATGGCATAAAGAACTGTACGTTGCCTTTTGATTTGTATAGGAAATGTCTCAGGACGGTGCCCGCGATGATGTCTGTAGGTGCAGGTCGGCCGGCTTGTACAGCGGCATGGATGATGTGCATACTCTTGTTACGGTGAAACTCGTGGACGAGGTAATTCTTCATACTTTGCAAATCCTCGAAGCTCTCCTTATTGGCGCTCAAGAGGATGATGGCCACTGAGTCCTCTTTGGCAATACGTTCGTTCTGGGCCATTTCTCGGACCTGCTCCCCGCCCATGTCGAGGAAACTGACGTACATGTACAGATAGCCGGTATTGTTGAAGCCGGGAAGACAGATAGGGATCCAAGAGTCTCCTCCACCAGCCTTGATTCCTTCAGCTTCAAAGAGCATGTTGAAAATCAACTGGAGGTCACTTGGGTGCAAAGAGTGTTTCTTCGGCCGGATGACGCTGACGAGTCTTCCTCCAGCAACCACCAGCCCATACAGCAGGTCGTCTACTCGGGCTTTAATCATGGTGCTGTTGATAATGTTGCGGTGCGACTTTCTGATCTTTAAACATTCAAGTGCAGACAAGAGCGCAGAAGGCGAGCCTCGCGTGAAGCTGTCCGCCAGTGAGGACAGCAGGACTTCGGTGCCTTGCAAAGGTCGCCTCAAGTCGGTCGACGGGCGAAGCGAAAAAAGATGAGTCAAAGTCGGCAATGTCAGAGTCGACAGAATCTGCATATACAGGGCTTCAAGCTGGACTCGAACTTGCGCCTCGCTCTCCGGAAGACTCGTAATCCCAACCAGAAACAAATTTGTTTGTGAGAGGACGACAAACAATACGCCATCTGCCTGGAAACTTCCCAGCTGGTCACCTGTCTCTGAGTATGAGGAGATAATGGTCTGAATGATGCCAACATAGCTCGAGATGACCGCATCCGATCCATGCCTAGTATAAATAGGCTTACCGGCTGCAGATAGTATGATGAAATGCTTGCGCTTGGAGGTCCAAAGCTTTTGGGCCATCTCTTCGTCAACAATCTTCTCGTCCACCTCTTCAAACTCCTTGTCGAAATCGACGTCACCTTCATCGTACAGACGGTCTGAATCTGCTTCGAACAATCCTCTGGAGCTGCTGACTGATTCAGAAAGATGTTGTTCCTCTTGAAGATTTCCATCGAATATGCTTTCTGTATCTTGGATATACCGGCCAATTGGTGCGTAGCTCCTGATGCTGGAGTTGTCCTCCCCACCATCACTGGTTCTGTTGCTGGTAGTGGGACGAATTGAGTGGCTGGAAGGTGTACGAGAAGCATTCACACGCAGCTCTTTGGAGCCGTCGGGTCGGCTGTAGGCACTGACATCGGTCATGGACACGGCCGTCGTTGCACCCCCAACGAGACCTCGAGTAGGAGGACGGGAAGAGTGACCTGTGGAAGACATGGCTTGCATGAGGCTTAATTCGCTTGGTCTCGGAGGAAGAGGTGGTCGGTCTCCTTCCGAGGCGGTCGAAGTCCGGTGACTCCTGGTTGTCCCGGGACTGCTATTGTCTGTAGCATCCATCCTGGCGGCTGATGCGCGGGGAGCTGTCTGTCAGTTGGTCAATCTGGACACGGTTGAAGCTGTCCGGTGTCCAATTTTGGGGTTAGCCTCCATCATAGGCGCTCTTTCCCGCATTTGGGTCGTTGATCATGGCACTCATGATCGTGGGGAAGGAATGTTGGCATCACTTCGGGGCATAGGTCGACGACCTGGATGTGAAGGAGCAAGAGACCAAAGTCAATGGGTTGCAGATGGACGATTGTTGATGGCGCAGGCGGAGGCTTGGCACGGGCCCGAGGCTGTGATGCAGCCTTGTGGAACATGCCTCCAGATTCTCCTTTCCCAAGTCAATCCATCCTGAAGCACATTATTAGAGGGCATCATGGGCTGTCTGGAGAGTCCGGTAAGCTGTCGACAGATCTATTATAGCAAGGCTCTGACAAAAAAGCAAGTCACAGGCGATTGCCAGAAAGCTGCGCACAGGGCGGCATCACCATCGTCCCGATCCGGCATTGATCTTGGTGGCGGCCGAATGAGTACAAAGTGCCCCAAGTTCACGGACGACTCACGCAGGCCGTGCTGCTTATAACCTCTCAACCCCTCCCACTCGCCGTTGCACTGAACCTTTTGTCCTAAACTCCTTGGTACTTTACCCCGTACAGCGCGAACGTAAGACTACCAGCCTATTAACCGTACCCTCTTTTACGCCCTTTTCAACTTATCTCTATCCTCCACGGTCTCGGTGGCAGCACCAAGCATAGTTTGGCGACACGATCCAGCTTGTCCGAGTCCAGCCTACCTGAGGGCTACGACCCTTCCCACAACCTTAAATTCAGGTGCGAGTTAGGCTGGACCGGAGTATATTGCTTTCAAGATACTGCCGCCTCTAAAAACTGCTCCTATGTGTCACTCACCGTCGTAATTCATTCATATAGGGGGATTCCGGCATTAGGGAGAAGCTCCATCACCTTCGTATTACCATGCCTCAACACAGTCCTCAGTGGCGGAAGACGTTCCTCCTTTTCCTTCCCAGTCATTAACAATCCAGATGCTTGATCACCATGCTTCAGGAGAACCAAAAACACCTCCAAATGTTGCCCATTCACCGCATGATGCAATGGTCTCCATCCCTTCGCGTCCACCGCAGTGACGTCGCATCCCAGCCTAATCAGCGGCTCGACCATGTCGACATGACCCTTCTTCGCGGCAACGTGGAGAACTGTCCGACGTTGAGCTCCTTGTCGTGAATGGAAGCGCCCGCTTCGAGCAGCGGCTTCACGAGCTGCAGGTTCCGCCGCCGGACGGCACAATGGATAGCTGTCTCCGTTGCGTAAGCGGAGGGAATGATCCGCGGCGTTAGGGGGTAGAAGGTCTGCATTGGCTGCGGCGATGTCTTGCTTGACGCCTTGATTGGTATGCAGGGAGTGCAGTGGGGTAGGTCCGGCGTGATCGTGTGCCTAAATTATAAGAATTATATTAAGTATTCGCTATGATGCAGGCAGTTTTATCAGTGTGAGGAATTCAGCGTGATTCACGATTCTACTAATTAAATCCCGCGCATTCGGCTTAGCGCCGAGCATCTGAGCGGATGTGATAATTTAGGACTATAAGGAATAATTATTAGGACCCACGCTACACGGTCTCTAAAAGACTTATACAAGGACAGAATACATTGCGATTTCAATTAAAATGTTGTACCCATATGGCTAACCATCGCATATAGGTATTAGCGGGTAACTAGCGCGATGCTTACTCACCATTGACTAATTTGCCCCACGTGCTAGCCTGCACCATTGGTGCCTCTCGAACCATAATTAGTAGGTGACCATCGCAGAGGATTACATAACTTGTTAATGGACAGTGTTACATAGGTCTAGGCCCTAAACTTATCTTCCAATGGAAACTAATCTCGCCCAACCTTGCGCCAAACATACTCGGTACCTTTCCCTCAATTGATTTCAGACGAATACCCAGTACGACGCCTCGTCCTACTTGTCTACTAAGTACACACTGAGATGGGCATCAGTCAACGAAGTCTGGCGTTTCGGCCAGTGATATGCGGGCACGTCATCGCGAGCGATGAGCTAGCCTTCCTTTTTGCCGACACTTCCTCCCACAAAATACCCCAGTATCCCCACCGCGGTCGCACCAGCAGGTGTCACTCTCCCTTCGCTTAAATCACCTTTAATACGGACTCGAAGCATTAAGCTTATCAACCCTCCCAAAATTCCTTACGCTGATCAAAAGCTTGATTGAAAGGCAACCTCATACGCCCGCCTTGCTGAACCCGAAGCCAATGTACCGGTCTACCTGAATCGATCTCATGACGCTGCACTTATCGTTCATACCCTATCTTCCGGACAAGACTCGTTCTCAGTACGAGTACGAGATCCTCCAGTCGAAAGCCCGATCCCACGCAGCAAAATGTTCGCATCGCAACAAGCCTAATCCGGTCGTGGACCGACACTGCGCAGCCCCTTGCGGAGATCAGAACTTCTTGAGATACCGCGTTCACGAGTCATTCCAGGGTCTAGATAAACCAAATCCCTCATCCACCCAAGCGAGACCTCGTTCTACTCCAAGAGGGATCACTGTCGAGCAGCATGCCCCAGCGGATGATTCGAAGCCGGAGTCGGAAGCCAAACACTCTCGAGGCAGTTCATTAAATGCACCAAGCAAGCTTGAGTGTTCATCCCGGCCACCAAGTCCTTGGCATTGGACAAAAGGTGCACGCGTTGACCCATTCGACTGCGTCACTGGCAGTAACCGATATGGGGCGGCGTTCGCCATTGACTTCCGTAAGGGATCAGTCTTGTGTCCAGTCCCTTGACTTGAAAAATAATACTAAACCTAGCTCCAGTTGTACATCAGGTTATGCCAGCAGGTAAGCACCGCTTCGTCAAATACTAGTGTTAGTTTTTGTAAAGAAGTATCCAAGTCTTTGGCTTGCTCCGACATAGAGGCTGACCAAAGTGTTTACAGTTGCATCAATCAACGAAGTCTTCAATGTCGTCAACGTCTACGGGCGATGGGTTCTGGAAAATATGGCCAAATACGAGGACTACTTCCATGTAATGCTCGCATTGGCGAGCTTAGCTCACTATGCAGTGGTCGCATCCCCAGGAACACCACTACCTGGCCTAGCTTTCCTCCATATAGGACGAGCCATGTCTAAACTCAGACATAGACTGGCCAGTCCAGACGCTCGGCCTGACGATGGCGTTATACTCACCATACTTCAGCTGGCTATGTTCGAAAGGGGTCTCGGAAACGATGTCGCCTCCAAGGCTCACAAAGTGCAAGTCAATCAAATGGTGGCTTCTCGGGGCGGTATTGACCACTTGGGACTCAAGAGCTCCGTGCGAGCGACGTTAACAATGTGAGACTGCCTCCCTGAATCTCAAATCGAGTACTACATAATCTCTAACCGACTGTGGCTGATGTGTTTTCAATTTTCTGTCACTTGATGGAGAGCAGACGCCCGCCGCCACTCCTCTGCCCGACCAGCCTCTTTCCGTCAATTTAAATCGGCGAACAGCATTCCGTTTTACGATGGTCGATATGGAAAAGATCAAGACACTCCCTATTGGCTTTCAGAATCTTGCAAGAGCTGGTGCGCTATCGTCCGAAATCGTACACATTATCTGCAGAGTCAGTGTCAAGCGGCACTGGACCCCGTCTGATGTATTGTGCAAATTGCAAGACGAAAATAGATCAGAGATCTACTGGCCCCAGGATGGCCAAGCCTGGAACTTCTGGGATGCTTGTACAGCACTCAGAATCACCGAAGGTCCCGATGGTCCTTTACTGGAAAAATTAATCTGTCTAGCACTGTTTCGCTATTGCGCTAATCGCGCCATCCGCTTAAGATCCAAGGCATGTATATACCATACGGCCACGATACAGCTAACAGCTCGATTACCGGCGTTTCCAGTGCCAAAATCTCGGTCAGAGCGGGATTGTTTGATTTGGGGTTGGCTCGTTGCGGTTGACTCCTGGGCCATGGAGTTCAATTGCAGCGGGTTGTCTAGTGAAGGGCTGCAACTGCTGTCTCAACTTCGCGAGGCCCTACCGGAGCTTCGTGACTGGGAGTGGTGGGATCTGGAGTCCCTAGGGCAGAAGTTCTTCTGGAGAGATGAGCTCGGTGTCTTGCTAAGATCGACCTGGGTCCCGCTAGATCGGTAAGAGACGGTAAGGGGCTCACCAATGCCCGGGCCAGGATCACACCTCCACGGCTTAAAATGAGTTGCGTCATGAATCGGATTAAATGGCGGGTGCTGAGACTGAAGATCAAATTAGAAGCTACGGTGCACCATCACATTACAGGACAAACGATCTCACCTCGAGGCTTTGTCGACTCCGCAACAAACTATGAGGCATTTTCTCAAGTCGTTCGTCATCTTCAGTCAACTTTTGCGCAGGCCGATTGTTGAAGACTGACGATGATGGGCGTCTATTCATTAATCTCCACAGCAATCTAATCCTTGAAGAAGGAGATCGTGCCCCGAACAAAATAATGAGCTCGCGAATGGCCAAGCTCAATATATTCAATAATTAGCGCGATTTGAAGAAGCTTTTACAGGAACTCCATGCCGTCGCAAACCTTCTGGTCTTCGACAGCTGGTCCATATCACCTTACACTTCCTGCTTTTACATGCCCTCATAGCCTACGGGCCTCATTTACCCATTAAGAGGCTCGATTCGAGTGCGCCGAACAGCGGACTATTTGCTCGGCCTACGCAGTTCTGTCGTTCTGCTCGGATGATACAGATCCTCGGGCTTTTTCCTAAGATGAAGGTGTAAACCTCCTTTGTCGAGGATAGTTGTGCCCTCACTGGATAAGGCCCAGGGCAAAATGGAAGAGTGGGAACCGGGTTGGTGTCGGGAAGGAGGTGAATAGGATGATAATGGTCGCTCAGCTATGTCCGAATCGCGGACCGCCATCTACTAGTATTTGAGCAGTTGAATAGATGGAATTTATTCGTTGCGGAAACAGGAAGGAACCAGCGTGCCCCGAGACCCGCCGCTCGAAAAGAGACCTAGCCGATTGCCTTCAGGCAACGTGAGAGTGTCTCGGTCACGGGTAGTAAAAGTCGTCGACCTCGAGAGCAGGATGAGCGGCAGTTAGCCATTCTTGCAAATCACCAAGCACAGGTAGACAGAATGAGTGGTGGGAGGATTGGTTCTCTTCATACTCCGTACATTCCCCCACATGTTTGGTTGGGGATGTTAAGGTATTTACTCTCTTGATGCCCATACCTTGGAGTAATTAATGAGCAGAGAGAACCGAGCTCAGGAAGATGCGTCTACGAGAGAGACTCTTCGCCCTCATCCCGAGCAAGAGGCGTGATCGAGCTGCGAACACCTGAGGATAGCTGTCAACGGTGATACAAAACACCCAGCAAGCCTTACTTGTTTGGCAGTAACGACGGATTCGTTGAATCGCGACGGAAGAGCTATCGCAGCTGCTATATGACAAGGCGACTCTCTGCATTAATAATTGGCTTAACGCCGTACATACTAGCCTGTTGCTACCATGGAAGGATGCGCTGCTCAGGATGCGAAACAGAATAGTGGGACAGCAGACGTATAGGCATGAGGCATCGATAGAGAGGTCTCCACCGAGACGGCTGCCTTCATTAATGCAACTTTAGTATATACCAACCTCGCTACCCTCGAAGCCTATCTTATATCAACTACCTATACGAACGCCCAATCGACCTCGACCTCGTCGCGATTTATCGCCTAAACCCTCTCCTAAACTAGTTCGCAACCTTTAACTACCGCCGCCAACAGCGCCGCCTGAACTTGGAAGAGGTAAACGAGTCCGCAACGGACAGCTAAACTAGTGGAGTCACGGCAATAGGGGTTTTCTACCTAAGTCACAAAAGGCGGAAACGGAAGATCTGCATGGGCCGTGAGAGATGTGTTAAAACACCATGGAGTGCTATACAAAGAGGCGGCGGCGAGGTCTAGCATAGAGAGCGCTGAGAATAGATATGACTTTGCAAGATTATGTGGCATGAAAACCGACGTCTCCTAATTTTGGTGCCGCTAGACTCTACCAGTCACATTAAGCGAAATCGCTGCTGTACGAAATCGCTGGCGCTGTCGCTGTCCGGAGTCATTCTCTGCTCTTTTTGTCCGCCATCTTATAGCAGAGACGTGCAAACCATACCTCCAAAGAAAGCTCATCCAATCAACGCTAAGCGAGAAAGGACAGTCTATGTCTGCGATGGGTTTGGATCGCACCTTGTCCTCGGAAAAGAAAAACCGCAATTCCGTCTCGACGCAACCAGTTATGTTTGCCGACTGGTTCCTTCTTTCGAATCAGCTTGGCCAGCCTGCTCAGCCTACAGTACTGTTTCTTGTCGAACACGCGTTGAATTCGGCCAAGAAAACTCCGTATTGATGGGGCCGAGTTTTCTGTATCTGGTTAAGTAGCTCCGACTCTCCTCGCGAATCATCAAAGAGTGATGTCCAGTCTTGTCTTGGTGTTTTCCATATTTATCCAAACGGCAGTTCTTGCTGCTTGGCGCGGACCCTCTTCCCCAGAACCAAGGGACACAAAACCGGTAGGCGTTCGTGCCTGACCTCTGGGAGAGAAATGCCTGTCTTTGAAGGGTCACTTTATGAATCATCATCACTTGTTTGTGAAGTTCAACTATTCACATGCCATCGCTATGTTCTGATAAGCCTCGAGCTTACCTCGTATGGATGAACACACATACTCTCACGGCGTCTGGAACATTTGGAACGGCAACCGTTTCACAATGCCTCAGTCGTGTTGATCGGTCAGGAAACGCCAACTCCAAACGCTCCAGCAAGATCAGCCCTTTTCTCCCGCTCGGACTGCGATCTGGGGGCTATTTCTAACTTCGAAACTGTTTACGAAAGCGGCTTGCGTATTACGAGCTTCTCCGCTTTTTGCGTAGGCCACAGCCCTTTCTTCCGCCCAAGGCCGTCAGTCTCGACCGATAGGATCCACAGCAAGGCCAGCTGGATACGAGAAATGCTGGGCTTTGTGAGGCTGGGCTGCTCGGCCTTTGGACCCCGACACGACCATTCGAATGAATCGGTGGCATGGCAAAACCTGACCATTAGAAAACATGACTGCTAAAAGAGGGGCCAAATGGAAACAGCCACTTATAGGATACTGCGGGGGAAGCAGAAAGCTGTCATCGACACAGCCGACGCTGGGAGACTATTCCGTCGATACCTCAGAAGCCTTGACCTCGCCTCGACCAGGCTGTCGACGCCTTTTGTCATTCCATTCATTAACAAGCTCATCCTCACCGACCGAAATCCGAGCAGACAAGACTCACTAGTCAGCCAGCTGCGCATTGGCACGTCGTACATTTCCCAAAGCCGCGCAGCCCAGCTATACTGATCGTCCTCCATCCCTCGTGTCCCGCTGATGGCCTGTGCCTCCTTCACCCCTTTCGCCTCTACTCAACCCCTCAGCCAAGGAACAGAACAGGCAATCGGCACGAGAATCATACAAGCCTCCTTCAACTTCCGGAGTCTAGGGTGTCCAAACCCCAGCCATCAAGCAGTCTGATGAGCTCACAGAGTCTCCATCCTAGAGGTATATAGAGCGCCTGGCGAGGCATCCAAATCCTCTTTCTCTTCTTCTCCCTCCGTCAGCTTTACGGAGCACAATTATGAGAAAAACTTGCCTTCGTTCTGCGAATCTCCATATCTCTCGCTATCCCTACAACAGCACCAGTCAATATCCCTTATTGGAAACATCCAAGCAATCCCTCACTACACAACAACCAAGATGAAGCTCCTGTCTCTCGCTCTCCTTGTCGCCTCCACCAGCGCCGCTGCCCTCGAAGCCCGTGGCGGCGGCTATGACTACAAATGCCCTACTGTTACCACCACGGCCTATAGCTACTACACCAACTATGTCACTGTCACCAAGACCGAGGTCTCCTATGTGACTACCACTGCCACAGCTTATGTCACCGGTACGTGTTCTCACCCTCTCAAACTACCGACAGCACTGGTAGTATTCCTACATACCAGATCATGGTGGTTCAATGGAATGATATGTTCGATGACATGACATGACACATTCATTTACATATACTGACTCCATATGAATATGTATAGAGAAGTGCAAGACATACGACAAGGGATGGTAGATGATCAACCACCCAGTCAACCTCCCACTTACCCAACCGACCAACTACTCATTCACTCGCTGTTAAGGTAGGAAGGGAGAGACAGTGCAACGCAGGAAACAAATGCACAGATAGCTGGCTTTTCGAAATGAATAATGGTTAATGGTTAATGCACATGGGATACACGAGTAACGTCTTCAAGAAAACAAAAACTTTGTTCAGGTACGATGATTTCAAACAACAATGATGATGAAATGGTTTCTACACTGCATGATGCAAATCCTGACGCCCTCCGGCGGGTTTAAATGGCATAAGAGCGAGTTGAAAGGAGGGGAAGGGCCGTAATCAACGAGGACAAATTAAGTAGACCGGCGTCTCTTCGTATATACGACCCAGGTAAATTGTAATCGCCGGGGCAATATGTGCATATGCTTCGGACGGTTAATCTGAACCCACATCCACCGGAACAGCCCTCCACCAACACGTCCTTCTGTCTTCCAGAAATACAAGCAATTGAACTCATCAACCACGCCTCAGGGGCCGATGTTGGCCTCTTCAACCCCTTATCGGTCTCTGTACCTATGCTGGCGGCTCGTGGGCCCTGCACAAATGGTCTCTCGTCCTGGATTCCTAATGGTATGGGTCCAAATAGCCATCCACCAAAAGACACTTTGAGCGAGTACATCTCGTAGACTCCCGCAAACGGTCGACCATCTTCCGTTCTCATGACTCTCCTGTTTGGCGACTCAACTGGTCGCAGCTTCTTCAAGCCTTCCCTCTCTTGTCATGAGCGGTAGAGCGCTTCCCTCTTCGATAGGCACATTTGAACCAAACCCAACTTAGGTCCCGAGACCGGCCCCTTTCCTGTGATTCTGAATTCTAAGACGGAAAGAGTCTAACTGACAGCGAAGGCTGTGGACGCAGTAGAAGTATGCGCTAGCCTCGTGCGGGGTGCCCAGCCTTATGCGGGGCCACCTGGCTCACATGTGACTAGCCAAGGACTTAGCCCATGGACCGTGATATTCGTGGTATACTTGTTAGTTGTTACAAATAGACTGTCACAGAAAACAATCAATAAATGGGTAGAGAAAATGCCTGGGAGGCTTGAGAGTGTGTTCGAACTAGAAGGCCAGATGACGGCCTACTAGACGATATCGCTATTTCCTGATTATAACTCTGTATTCTCTGCGGGTACTCCTAGTAACAACAACCAAGGGAACACCGGAACTCAGGGGTCAAGTTGCGGGACACCGCTTAAGAGACTCGGGTTGTACAGTACTCACGCTGCTCAGGGTACCCCCCAGGACGCGCCAAGTCTTGATCAGGATTACAGATTACATAGCCACAGCTCAGAATAGCTTAGTTATAACTCAGGTCAAAAGACGGGATGCTCACCCCTGGAAAGGGAAATGGACGTACGAATACTTCAGAAATCGATATATATATATCATTCTAGAGCTTGCAGGGGGGTTCCTTTCGCTGCTTTAGGGTTGACTGCTTAAACAACGATGCGCTGTCGCAGTTTCTGCGGCATAAAATAGCCTGTTACTGCAGCGTCTCAAAGCTTACTTTCCAGAATCGTAGCAATATGGAGCTACCTAATTTGACCACAAAGATACAGTACTTGATCTTCTGGCATAGACTGAATTCATGGGAAGGTTGTTTTTACCTCATTTACGCCACTGCGAGATCTCCGACATATCTGTGTCTGATGACCTGACCACAGTAGCGAATATGCTGAACTCAGCCCAGAAGCGATGACAAGAGGTATGTGATATCATGTCTACTGGTATGGTGTACATGATGAGATGGCTTGACGACAGATTCTCTTTAGACATTTGCAGAAGAGCCATTCCGCAAACCAACGCTTCTTCGGTTGTGGACTCAAGGAGCTCATGGTCCCTACGGCGATAACCTTGGATTTACTTGTTCTGATGGGGCATCATGCAAACATGAAGCATGCTTCAAAGATTTGCTGGAGGGACAAGTCCTCACAACAAAGAGTCTTCGAAATCACTGCGAGAAAACATCTCGACCCTCCGTACCAACGGAGCACATAGAGCATCCTCCTTCGTGAAGCCGCTTAAGCCCAACGGGTTTGCCTGTCACTCGAATGGAACACTATCTGCTTAAACTGATGCCAGAGGTGGGATTTGGAGGTCAACGAAATACTGGTCTTGGCGCCGCATTTCTAAGCGTTGGGGCGCGAGCAGAATTTGAAAGGTGTTCTTGACGCCTAATTCAACTATTTAGGGTTTAGCAATCTGAGCAGCAGTCTGAGCAACAGTTTAGGCACCAGCGTAACGGCGGAGGGTCTAACAGGCTCCCTGATGGATGATCTGAAATAGGTGCCCGGTTGAAAGGCAAGTGTAGCCGATTGCTCGGGGGCCAGCTTTGGTCTTTCTTGACGAATCAGTTTCTTGCTCAGGGGAGTACTCAGTGAGGCTCAGTAAAATGGCTCAGGTCAAAACAGTCTTCGCTCACCATCTAAGATCAAATGGGACATTGCCATTCGGTCTTTCCTTCGCGAGAGTACTTACCTCGAAAGCACGGGTTGTCGTTCCGCCTGAACCACCATCAGAAAGCACCATCAGACTCCTGGGAAAGCAGAGGTTTGAAATGGTGGTTCGATAGGAATAAATGAACACGGCGTCGATCCAGAGCACTGGGCATGTATTATTGGTTCGATAAGAACTCAGGAAGTTTCTGAGATTGCCCGTAACTTTCAAGGGGCAGCCGTCGACTTGGATGAAACTGGAACCTTGCGTATCTCCCCAAGAGCGCTCGGTAGGGTTCGGCCTGGTTGACGGAATAGTGCTCCAAGAAGCATTCAATCGAGTCGTCCGGCAATCCAGGATTGAGGATCAGTAGCCGGATTTCGTTCAATTTGATTGGTCTGTATTCGTGTTTTCGCTCTCTCGTGCAATGTTGAGAAGACGTACCATCTTCTGAGTCTGTGTCACCGTCAGATTTGCAGTCTGTCTGAACGTCAGGCCCATGAACCACGAAGGAGATCGCTCCAGGAGGTATGCTAGCCATCAAGCTTGTGCTGATGGCCTGAGTTCGACGGCCTAGAAAAAGTCAGGTCCAAAATGTTGCGAAAAATTACGAACAATTATTACATAAGAACCACAGTGAGGTGTAAACAAGGAAGGCATGAACTGAGCCCGATTGAGGTTCAACTCACAATGCCAAGCGAAGCAGGAGCCGCATACACGGGGTCGAGGGTCTAGAACCCAACCGAGGCCTTGTATCGTCTATCGGCAGAGTGTAGCACCTCGTCGCTTGAGAACGGTATTCGATCCACAAAGTCATTGCCTGTGTCAGGGCATCGCCCGATGAGACGCGTCTTTAGCCTTTGCCGATGTCAACTTCGGGCATCTCGCCCGGCATCGGGCGCCCAATGGCCGGCAGATCAAGAACGTATTACGGAGTACGCACTCGCCCGCGCACAATGAAGGGGAGTGGCGGGCCAAGCCTTGTCAGATCAAGGGTTTGGGAGCTGTAGAGGCGTATGAGCAAGATTGGAAAAGCGTGAGGGTATAGACGGATGCAAGGAGATTTATCCCTTGTGGGAGTAAACAGGTCTGTAAGGAGTGAGTACAAACGACGAGGTAAGATTATTACGAGTGTTGTCCCTCGTAGAAAATATCCGGACGTAATAGGTTTAGCCTCTAAGCCTCACCAGCCGGAAGCAGGGTGAGCCACAAGCACACCTTTTTACTCATCTTGGCGGCTGCCTCGTCAGAACCACCGTGTCTTGTGTCATTTGGTAACATCCAAAGTCTCTCACAGACATACATCCATGAAATCAAGTCGAGATTGATTGCATCGTCCTCCGCATGCCGTCCTGGCTCACTGTTGAAATTCTAGTCGATATCTCGAACGGATCATGACACCTTTGGACACTCCTCGATAGCACCGCCTTCTCAGGTTGTCAAAGCACCGACCTCGTGCAACCCCTTAGTGCAAATCCTTCATGGCCGTCAATTGGACCTGCCGGTAACTGAAACTGGCATTGCCAGGAAGTGCGCCACCGACGGTCTCGTGATGGCCACTGAGGCCAAAGCAATTCGCCGCTATCATGCGGGCGTCGAGAGAGCGCTGGGCTTATGGGATGCCACGAATGAATGGGCCGACTATATTGCCTTTCTGAGTCGGTTGGCCAAGGCTCTGCAAGCATCTCCCCAAGATGCAGAAGTTCCATTCAAGTCGGCTCTGGCCAAGTATCTGGCACTCTGTTTGAAGCCATCTCTGCCCTCGGGCGTGCACCAGAAAGCGCTGGAGGTCTACAATCTCATCTTTACTCTGCTTGGGAAAGACGGACTGTCTCGAGACCTACCCATTTGGTTTCCCGGAGTATCTCACACCCTTACATTTGCCACACTAACAACGAGGCCTCTGTTCCTCTCACTCTACGATGATCATCTCCTGCAATTGTCCAGTCATGCGCTGAGGCCCGCGTTAAGGGCCATCATCTTGTCTCTGCTCCCAGGAATTGAAGAGGAGAATAGTGAAGACTTTGACCGGACCCTGAGCACAGTGAACCGCCTGCGACAAATCTTTGCGGACGACGGCAATGAGGAATTCTTCTGGCAAAGCCTGTTTCTGGCCTCCATTACAAGCACATCCAAGCGTCCGGGTGCATTGGTCTACTTGACGCGGCAGCTCCCTAAATTAGGCCCGGTGGCCAGTCATTTGCCTGGAAACGTCAATAAAGCCGGGGAAGCAGCTGAAGCACTGCAAGAGGCCATCAAAGCCGTGACAACTCCTGAGCCTGGTTTGCTCGTTCGATGCTTTGCCACGGGACTCCAAGACGAACAGCCCCTGGTACAGCGCGGTTTTCTCGATCTCTTAGTGTCCCACCTGCCTCTGAATGCTCCAATGCTCCAATCTCTCGTCGTCCCTACAGATTTAGACATCCTTGTCATGTCCGCCATGTCGGTCGTACTCAGGAGGGACATGAGTCTCAACCGCCGCCTGTGGACCTGGTTTATTGGCAGAGAGGATAAGCGAGAGGGATCCACAGACATGGTTCCTGGCGCATTTATCGAGGCCTCGATGCCCACGACTCCAAAAACCAAGGACAGGGTACATGCGAGGCATGATTACTTTGCTGCTTACGGTCTTAAGCCAGTAATCCGATCTCTAGAGAAAATGCTTCACAGGGAATCATTGTCTCCCGCCGACAGAGCCCGTCCTTTCCGAATCATGCTTTCATTGATGGACCGTTCGATCATCGGAAAGCCGCCTGTCGAAGAACTGTTCGTACCAGCAATGCGAGATCTGCAGAAGTATCAGACGGCTGCTCCATCACAGTCGTCATTTGACGAGGTGTTCCGAAGTGCCAACGTGTTCTTTGACGCGATTGAGCCCCAACTGATCACCAATCAGCTCCTTCGACTTCTCATGCAGGGGGATTTGAATCTTATTGAATTTATCTTCTCAAATTTCAATCTGCAAGAGGAGGAAATGACGACTATTCATTTGCCCATGCTGTGCCTAGCAATTTCGGAAATGCTTCTTGAAAAGATAGACTCTGAGCCGCACGAAGTCAATGACCGAGATGATTCCCACCAAGCGCGATTATCAAGGCTCATGGATGCTCTACTGAGCTTATTGCCACCTCATCCGGGAGGCGCTTCTCCCGATGCATCTGCTCAAATTTCGAAGCAAGGCTGGCTGAAGAAGCTCCAGACCCTTTACGAAGAGTCTTCTTATGTGAAAAAGGCAATTTTTGACTTGATCCCTCCGACCTCCGCTGCTCAAATTCTGCTTCGAAACATTGCACTCATCATCTTGGACTGCCTGAACCACCCATCCAGCAAGACAATGATTGGACTTCTCACCAATAGTCTCATCAAAGCTATTGCCAGAACCAGCAACTTCCAGCCACTGCGTGAGCTAGGATTCGGAGACCAATTGTATGGGTTACTGAAAAATCCAGCAGCGGACATTAATGTCAGATACGAAACTGTCAGAACAATTGCAAGGATTGTGGATAGTTTGCATGCATTTGATCCTAGCAGGGCAACTCTGACAGAGCCTTACCTTCTCCGGCTGATACCAGAGCTGATCGCGCAACTCTGGGAAGTTCTTCTACCCTCTACCCCACAATTCCATGTCGAAGCCGTGGAACAGATTTGGAACCTTCGCATGATATCGCGACAGCTCCTTCTCGTGGACAGTAAGATAGCGGATTTGATGTGCCAACAAGATCAGGAGGTGGCGTGTCTTGAAGACCAGCTGGCGCGATTCTCGACCCTATGGATGCATACACGCTTCCCGGAGGTCAATGTCGAACTCTTCTCTTCCAAGCATGGTGTCGATGAAGACGAAGTGCCGTGGGCTCTGCTACGGCAGCCGATCCTAAATATAATTGACGGACTCGATCCCTCCCTACCAGACGACCGGCGGCGGACGTGGTTGAACAATCTTCCGTCAATTCGGCCCATCTTCAGAATCATCCACGTCGAGTCGACGAGTGCGTCGGATGCTCAACTCTCATTGCTCGCGTTGCATAGACTTCGAAAAGTCTTGACTCTCGCGCGGCAGTCGAACATGCAGCGGAGTGAGCTCTTCGGGCGCGAGGGTTTTTCGGAAGTGGTGCTAGACATGTGCGTTGGGCACATTGCAGATGGGAAAGAGGGAGAAGAAATATTCACCACGACATTGTCAATTTTGCGCTTGATTATTGAAGAAACAGACGTTCGAGAACACCATGCTCTGATAACTTTGCTGTTGAAGCAACTAACTGAGATACCCCAGGACAGCCCGTCACAGGAAGAAATACTAGACCTGTTGCAGACAATGTTCGCAAGACCCAACTTTGGCAGTCCACCCAATGAACTCATCCCGATCTTGATTGCTGGTATCTCGTCCAAAGCTATTGATTCAACGATCGACAAATGGATCACATTACTGTGTAACACAATCCCGTTGTACTCGACTCAAAATCTGTTCGCCAACATGCTCAAGCTGACAGCATGCTTCTGCGATCGGATCAAAGAATACTTTACGCTGATGCAGCAGCTCTACGAAAGGCCGGCACCAACTGTCCGAGCCAATGGAGATAAATCTATCGCAGCGGTGAAGCATCCAGAAAGATCGGTCAATAACCTACTTGCGGGACTCGAGTACATATTAGCAAGAGCGCACACACACCTTGTAGAGCACGCGTCGGGGGTCGAAGCAAATGCCAACAGTTCGGAAAAATCTCAGTCGCGCTCGATCGCAAACCATCGATTGACCGTGATTCTCTGCATGCAGGACACGATCAAGCTATGCGGTGAGATTTGGGCTTGGAGAATGCTCAAAAGGCCATCAAATTCTGCTCCAGACAACAAATCCTTTGCGTATATCTCCACCCGGCTGCGGACGAGAACCCGAAGGATCCTGGAACATCTTGCGGATGCCGAACCGCAAGAATGCCTTGAAACACTGATGGGAATGTGGGTTGATGCGGCTCGTCGAGATTCTCAGCAAGACATCACTTTGAACTTGATGCAAAGCCTCGACGGAGCGCGACCGAAATTCATGATGCCGGCCACGTTCAATGCGATCTACAACCGAACGAACCCTTCGGCGCTGGATCAGTCTCAGAAATCAAGCTTATCAGTGGACGTTAGTGCACTGGAGTTGATGGCGTTTCTGATAGCCTACACGACCGCGCTTGAGGACGACTTGCTCGAAGAGATCTGGACCGATTGCACTGCGTTCCTGCGGGAAATTCTTGCAAACCCTATGCCGCACCGTCAAATCCTGCTTAAGCTTCTGGAATTTGTGGCTGTTCTGTGCCAGAAGATGGAAAACACCAATTTTGGAGAAGTTCTAAAAATGCGTCGAGAATTGAGCGATCTGTGTGCGAGACTGCTCACGGCCGTTTTTACGATCAGGCCTGCTGGACTTGACTCAACTTCTCAGCCATTGCCGGATAATCAGGCTCCACCGGGGACGACTGCCATGCGGCGGAAGAGCGCGTTGCAAATTGGCAATGCCATTGGGGTCTTACGTGAAGCTCTGCCTATCATCGGTAATGCCCTTGGAGATCAAGACAGGCTAAGTGTCACGCTTCCCGGCGTGGCCACCTATGTTACCGGACCAGCTCTACGGTCCAAGCAGTTTCCTCAAACAGTGAACATGGACATTTTGCAACTTGTCCTTCTTATGGCCAAATCCCAACCGACCAACAAGGTCTGGAAGAAAGATATCCAGGATGCCATCAACGACAATAAATTCTTCCAGTCGGCCCCTTGGTTGGCTGAGACAGGATGGCTTCCGGTATTGAAGCAGCTTTGGCTTTCTGACAAAGGGTTGATGTCTGAGTTCGTGTCCCGATTGACGCCTCCAACGACGGCAGGGTTGATGTTTGGCGTTGGAGCTGCTGCCGCCCGAACGGAAGCCGACAGGAAGACACAGCTCAACTTGCGGCGGATTGCTCTGCTGCTGTTGGCCGGCGAAATCGACGCTTTCGTGTCGGATCTTGGCCAGATCATCAACAGACTCGAGGAACTATTGACAGCCACACCATCCTCGTCTCCATCGTCTGGGACGCGCGGGGATGTCTATCTTGTTCTTCGCGCCGTGACATTGGCCTTTACCCAGGTGCATCTAGTCTCGATATGGCCGATAGTGGATGTGGAGCTCCGAGAACTCTTCACCAGCGTGCAGAAGGGAGGAGAACCGACCTTTACAAGCTATGCACAATTGCAGGGAGCCAAGTTGTTGGACCTACTCCTGCTTTTGAAGCCAGAGGAGTTCCAGCTGCACGAATGGTTGTTTGTGACCGATACGGTTGATGCAGTGTATCCTCCGCACGACTTCAAGTCAACCGCAATCGCGGACCTGATGGTCAGCAAGGGAAGCAATGAGGCTGAGCTTCCTACGGCGTCGGATACTGGAACCAGGAGGCCATGGCTCTGCACAGACATGACGCGAACCACCGAAGACGCCGTTACCCTTCTGCGGCCGTTCTTCCGGCAATTGAGTATTCATGCTTTTGAAGACACGTACAGTCTTCAACCGCCGGATCTTGGGGCGTGCAGGAAAGATCTGGTGGCGGACTTGTTTGTGGACTGAGTGATATAGTTCAGGGCTCAGTTGATAGTGTCGTTAGGGACGATGAAGAATGACGTACCCAGTACCGGGTGACTAAGTACCTTGGACTTTGTACCGTTGGTGCCGTTGGTGCCGTTGGTGGTGCTGTGAAGGGTGATGCTGGGTACTCGGCGAGTTGGTACCTAAAGTAGTTGGTCGTGGTGGTTGCCCCCCAAAATGTGGAGAAATCTACGCTGCATCAGCTTCGTGCTCCGTTCTGTGTTCTCGCACCCCTTCCGAGCCTCCTTACGGAATATATTGCTCGTGCTTAGCGATCCCTCCCGAACGACAATCCCTCCCATAAACCACCGCAGTCCCGATTCCCTGAATTTCGCCCAGCTCGACGTCCTCTTCTCACGCGCCTTTAACTGCGCCCTCCGCTGTAATCCAGCTCGAAGCTATGGCGTCTCGACTGCTTGTCCCGCGCCTCTCCCTCGCGTCCCGAACAATCAGAGCTCTCCCCCAATTCCAATCGAGATCATTCCAGTCAACGAGCCGGAGATTTCAAGAAGCTGGCGCCACGACGTCGGTACCTGTGAAAAAGCCCATGGGAGCTTTCCGAGGAGGGTGAGCTTGCCCCTGTGCCCCGTCCCCCGTCCCCCGCCGTGCACGAACGAAATATCACAGAGCTCCCAGGAAGCTGCGGGCACGAGCAGTCTAGATTTCAAGACGAAAAGGAGGATCGAACCGCTAATGTTCTGCGCGACCTAGGCTGTTTGGGTTCTTACTCGGTTCGACCCTGGCAGGCGCGTCCGTCTACTATTACATCCTTGAGGAGTACAAGGTTTCCAATGAGCTGTTGACGGAAGATATCTATGTATGTGATTCCTATTCCCTGCGGCCTTTCGCTGCCCGAGCTCTTCGCGACATCAGGTTTGAGCAAGCCCTCCAGCGAGAAGTGGCAACACATCTGCTCTTCTCGTAGAAACTCTGACATGTTGCACGGAATACTGACGCCGCGACCTTAGGCACTACAAGCCGCCGTACAACGAATCCACTCGTACGTAACGGAACTGGAAAACAGGATGAACCAGACGAAGAAATGAACGACGCCCACAAGGGGACAAAAAAAGGAAGGAAGATGAGCGCGGGTGTTGCTGAAAGCAAGAAGACGCAACCAGGTGACAATTCAACCCAAATTTGTGGCATTTGATTTAAGCGGAACTACACGGAGCCTTTTTCTCTCGGGCCAGCCAAAGCAAGCACATAATTTCAGTCAAGGGCCAGGACCGCCGCGGAGGGTGCTTTTCGAGCAAAATGTAAAAACAAAATCAATCCCCTTCTGAAAACCCCCTGTCTCTGAGTTGTTGTCTTCTCTCCCCTTGCGCACAAGGATCGCCGACATAACCAGCTAGCTGTCTAGGGTCCACTTGCTATATCTTCACAGCTCACTTGCCATGGCAGGAAGGAAACGAGATGGGAGGCCTGTGCAGCACGACGACGCGTGAGAGTGCTACGACTGGCCGTTTCCGCAAACGCTCTCGCGGGCTTCTGGCGAGGCTGGTATCAGGGAGCGAGCCATTGGGCCACACACAGCACAGTATCGCATTCTCCCGTTCTGCACATTGACGACGATACGACATCACAATCTCTTGATATGAAACACTTTTGCTGCACGATCACACCTCTGACTTCGCCTACCCTGATACATTTGGACTCAACGAGCTGAGGCAGATACGGCATGCTCCATCAAGCGACATTGAGCATGAATCCGTTCCCCTTAAAAACGAGATGTTTACTTCCTCCCCGGGCCCCGGGTGTTAGCATCAATTCTGCAAACCCGCGCTTCTGCCATCAGCAGCCTCGATGGCCCTTCTGAACGTGTCGACCAAATTCCCCGTCTCCTCCAGCCCCACCGAAATCCGCACCTGCGCCTGTCTAACATTGTACTCGCTCGCCCAGTCGGCCTCGTTGCCGTACACGCCCAGCGCATAAGGCAGTGCCAGGGTCAGATGCGCGCCGAGATGCGGGCCCTTGTGGACGTGGAGATGGTCGTAAAACGCGGTCGCGGTCTCGACATCGCGGAACTCCACGCTCAGGAGGCACCCGTATCCCGGCCGGGGGAACTCCGGTGTTGTTGATCGCATGTACGCCGTGTAGTTTGCGAGAGTGTCGGCGTTGACGGTCGGGTAGAAGACCTGTTTCACGCCGCTTGTAGGGTTCAGCGCTTCGCTGTGCAAGTACTCGACCAGTCTCTCTGCGTTGTTGTTCAGCACGGCAGAACGAGCAAGGTAATCTCGACTGTTGCGCTCCAGGGTTTCCGCATCGCGCGTGTACAAGTTGTCGCGGTGCTCCGTCTCGAACAGCGCCTTCAGCTCCGCGTATCGCGACGACAGGGGGCTGAGGACGGCGCTGCCGGCCATGACGTCGGCGTACCCGCTGAACGATTTGGTCAGGGACGTGACGACGATGTCGGCGACGTCCAGGACGTCGACGTTGCAGAAACTGCCCACGGTGTCGTCCACGACGACCAGCGCCCCGTGCGCGTCGGCCAGCTCTCTCAGCCGGCGCAGGTCCGGTGTGCTCAACAGCGGATTTGAGGGAAACTCGGCCCAGATGGCCTGCACTCCTCCTCCTCTCTTGCCCCGTTCCCGCTCCCGCTGCGAGGCAAGGAGTAGGTGCTTCTCGAGCGCTTCGAGATCCTGTACCGAACCCAGGCCCAGGAAGTCGACGCCCGGGCCGAAATCTTCGAGCACATGGATTGTCGAGTGGAAGGAGAAGCCGAACAGGACAGAGGGCGCGCTGTACTTGGTCAGCAGGTAGCGGTGGACCCAGTAGATAGACGCCATGCCGGTAGAGAAGAAATAGACATCGTTGGGTGACACTCGCGCCGTGCGATGCGGGTCAGTCGGGGCACGGTTCAGCAGTCCTGCTATCCTTTCTTTGATCTGTCGATGAGCGAGTCCGTCTGGCGATCCGCGTTCTTCCTCCTCCTCGTCGTCGTGCTTGACTTCTCGCAGCGAGCCGATATGTCGGAGGCAGTCTTCCGCCAGTCGAGAGGAGATGCCGACGCCCGCGTTGACCCAGAAGCCATGCACCGTGGGCGTGGACTCGACGGGGAACATGACAGCGTACAACAACGGGACATGACCATGTGTCTTGAAGATCCGGATGGAGACCCTGTCGCGCGGGACTGTCTTCCCTGGGCCTCGACGGGGAGATGTGGCGAAGTCCTTGCAATCGCGAGCGGCGCGCCAGGAAGGGAACACGAAGCAGCCCTGTTGTCCTTGTCCCTCCTCGACGCCAGCAACCTCGATGATCTTTTGGGTGAGCTGGGTTTTTCCTCCCCGTCAGTCACACGCTGGGACGATAATGGCGGGGACAAAAACATTACCGCCAACACATCCTTGTGCAGGATAAAGCGCGGGTACATGCTCTTGAGCGCCGTGAGCAGCTCCGGGTCATGGTCCTTGAAGCGCACAATCGACCGCCATTCTGGAAGATGGACTGTAATCGCATGCCTTGGTGCCGGCGGCAGCGCTGTACCGAAAGGTGTCTGGATTTCCAGCGCCATGCTGTGGCCGGGACTTCCTTACTTTCTGGCAAGGCTGCTGGTTCTGGCGCTGGTGCTGGTGCCGATCTTCCAACAAGCTCAGGGTCTGCGTCCACAAATGTAGCCCAGAGAGCCAGCCATATAGGTTGCGTGGCGCATAGTCGGTATATACATATGTTATCAAGGATTCACCCGGAAAAGCCACATGGCCTCGTTGTCATGAGGCCGGGCGACATTGGCAGCTGAAAACCTTGTCTTGCTCGCCTCCGTGCAACGGCCCATCATTCAAACAAAGGTTAGGTAGTTCGCCAGGCCTTTGTGGGTCGTTTTGTAACTTTTCGTTAGGCCCGCCCCCGAAATCATGCTACCCCTACGGGAGCAGTGTCTTGAAATCTTACACGAGGCCACCATTTCGCGTTGGCATCCGAGAATACTAATACGTGACGGGAAGTACGTACCGTTATTACTCGTAGCAAGACGTTCAGACACTTGCTGGGCTTTCTTCTGGTATTCGGGCTTCTCGGGGATCACTTACTTTGTCTGCCTGCCCGCCAGCCCGCCAAGGTGGGTATAACGGAGAGCTTGATAGCGCTATGAGCACGTCTCTTGGTGTGTGCTTACGAGATACTTACCGTCGCATCTCACGCTGGAGGATCGAAAAGTGACTGCTGAAGTCGAGATTATAGGCTGATCCTCGCCGTTAGTTACCTAGGAGCAGTCTGTACTGGAGACAATACAGCCTGTGATTAGTAAGGTAGTCGAGCTAGTCATGAAGGACGTGGCAGCCACGCGGAGTTTGGATTCACTCTTAGCAAGGTCCAACTCATCTACGCCGAGTGGGAGGGAGATGACAATCCTTCCCAGAGAAACCGCCGCCCCAGTCCGACAACAGCGTGGGTACCCAATGAGTGCAGAAAGGAGTTATAAGAGCATGCATTGGTGCTGGACTTCCTCGTCAAGGCATGAAAAAAGGCCGAGTATTGTGTTAAGGAAGAGAAGCTGGAACTCTTTTCACAGTATTTGCCGCGCCTCAGTTTCACCCCTCGGCCGTGAAGCCGTTGCATATCTTGCACAACGAAGCTGCTCCAGAACCATTCTTGCAGGAAATGTAGAGTCCGCACCGCGACCGGGTTGGAGCTGAATTGACACCATTGCGGGACGCGTCCCTCGTATTGATATTTCCATCATAACAGCATGTTGACTTGAGGAATTGAGCGGCTCGCGCATCAGCGCCCTTCATTCTCTGCCGAATGGCAAGGTTTTTGCAAGGCGTTATCCTCATCGAAGGAAAGAAGCTCTGATCATGACCGCAACGTCAGATGTGGGGCCTCCAATCGATAGAATGGTCGTTCAAATGTAGATGTGCATCTCCAGTCCCAGGATTTTCGCCAACCTAAAAGCCTCTCCCTCTACCACGTCCGCGTCCTCCGCCTCTTCCCCGTCCCCTACCACCTCCCCTCCCCCGCCCTCGTGAATCGCCTTCTTTCCTCGCCTTGTTCTTTGGTTTTGGCTGGTCATCGATGAGCAGCGTGTCGAGAGGTAAAGAGTCGGGTAGGATGTAATATCTGATCGTTGAGCCACGGATGTTGATGGTGTCAAGACTGACAGTTTCGCCTGGGGCGGAGGGATTCGACCGATTCTTCATGGTCATTTTGACCGCCCGTAACGCAGTGTTCATCTGTGGTGATACTGAGGTGATGGTGCCTGAAACTATGGTGCCATTCTTGAGTTCTATCGTGACCGATTCGTTGGCGCATTTCATGAGAAATCTAATATACCGTCAGCAACAGCGCCTCCCCCTTGTTCACCATGATCTGGCCACGCTGCAGGCTAATGCGGCGCCGCCATGAAAACAGTGTTGATAGGTAAAGAGGCCGTACGCACCTGACGAGCTTCATTTTGCGCCAGTTGCGCCGTCGAGTGCAAAATTCGCAAAGGTCTCCGGATCGTCCGCCAAGAGGAGGGTGTTGTGTGGTCGGAAGCGACTGTCCTAGAAGCGAGATACGAAGTTGACAGGGGTCGTCGTCGTCGGTGTTGTGAAAGAGCGGTGCAACGAAGGTGGAGAGAGGCCAGAAATGTCAAAATTTGTGAGGCATTGGCAGCCTTGTGAGGAGCAGCCTCAATGCCAAGAATGCGGAAAATTGATCCGCCGGCGCAAGCAGGCGCAAGATTACCCAGTATGGCTAGCAAGGCTGGGCAAGGCTCTGCTCCGTATCGACTACAATCTTTTCTAATGGATCTCCTAGGTAGGTATGCTATCAATATAAAGCACGATACTAAATTTTATATGCACCTCTACAAGGAAGCCTCAGCCTGGGCAATCATACCCAACTAAATATATATCTATTGCCATCTAGGACCCGGAACAAGATTCCCCCCCCATCTCTCATTTCCTCTTCACAACCAACACAACCATCCCACTCCCGCTTTCGATATAATCCCTCCCTTTCCCCTCCGGTACCTCCTCAATTATCTCCTTGGTCCTTCTGACCACCATTTCCAGAATGTCCTCCACCTCCCCCTTTTCCACTTTTTCCTTGTTGGCTTCTCTCCACCGGGTGATCGGGCTCGCCGTGCCCAGCAGCGCTTTGATCTTCGCGAAGTCCACCCTCAGAAACTCTGAAACGGCACCTTCAGAGGACATGCGCCCGTCCCTGTCGGACTGGATCCTAACGAACTGTTTCTCGTCAAACTCATTCAGCAGGTCCTTCAGTTCTTGGTCCGTGCCGTCGATTCGCTCAAGACACTCCCACGGCATGCCCAGATTGACGTACAGCTCCCGAGCCAACCTGTTTCCGGGCAACTCGTAAGGACTGAGCACCTCCTCTTCAAACATTCTCCACCAGTCCTGCAGCTTCTCCGCATTTGGGGTGCTCGGATCAACCCGATAACCCCCGGAGCACCAAATGATCACACTGCCGCCGGGCTTGAGAATCTTGGCCGCTTCCCCCCAGAAGCGAGGCATGTCGAACCAATGTGCCGCGGTCGCCGCCGTAATGAGATCCACACATTCCAGACCGTCCTTCCCACTTCCTGAAAACTCCTTCAGAGCAGATAATGAACTCAACGTCTCAGCCGAGCGGACCTCGTACGTGATCAGCTCGCCTGATTTCGTGGAAGTAGGGACAGTCCTTGCGGCCTCGATCATGCTCACACCGGGATCCGCGCCGATGGCATGTTGGAAATGAGGCGCCAGAGATCGGGTCGCAACGCCGGGTCCGCAACCCACGTCGATGACCAGGCCCAGTTCTCCGCCGGAAGAGGTGTGCTGCGAGATGACCAGATCAATCAGCTTGTCCGAGTATTTGGGGCGGTGTTGGAGGTATTTCGCCGCCGACGAAGAATCATAGTTGCGGAATGTCGGGTCCCGGGCATTCGTCGTGGACGCCATCTCTGACCGAGGCCCCAGTGCCTTGTATCTAGAGTGTTGGGAGCGTGTTGTGTCTGTCTTTTAGACCTTTGTCCGCTTTGTCCTGCTGCTGCTGACGATTATGTGCAGGGCCTGTCCCTTGAGTTTTTAGTTCTCAGGAACAACGTCTTTTGAACCAAACAAGCCCCAAGCACCCCACGGGAACGGAGCACATATTGTATCATTGAACGCCCAACAGCCGACGCCCGACCCCCCCGAGCCCCTCAACGGATGTTGGGATCGAACACCCAAATAAGTAAGAGGACGAGTAAGACGTAATACCTCCCTCATCTGCCGAATTGTGCCGGATAGCTAGTATGGGGCTAGAAGGGCCCAAAAAGAAAATGGCTTCTCGTCTATTCATTGTGAGTCATTTGCTCCGTCGCTGCATGCTCTGTGCTCGGTACTCCGTGTCCGTTTCCGTGTCTCGACATACAGGAAACCTAGTCCAGTGCAGATACCACTAGGCTCAATTAGAGCAGTCGTGTGTTGAGAGTTGTTTCAACGCAACGAGCTCGTCGTTGTCCCCAGTATCTCACACCAAATGGCGTGGCATGTCTGCGTCCACCGAGGCCTCTCTTGACCATCCCTGCGACGGGAGCGGCTTGTAGTCCACCGGCGTCTGAGAGATATGAAACAGGTGAGTCGGTTCATCGTAGGTCACCATGTTCATCATGGCCGTTCCCTTCCCCTGGTGGCCCAATCGCGGCGCTCCGAAATCCACACCACCCAAATCCCCAAACACTACGTCCTTCTTCATTGTGACCGGTACGCTCCTGTCCAAATTGGTCCACGCTCCGCCCATGCCCGCCCCCTCAAATGCCATCCTCTGGACCTGCATCTTATCGTCCATTACCCACCTCACTCTCCTAAACTCCCCCCATTGCAGTCTCGTTTGTACCCAGCCCACGACTGGCTCCATGAGCAAGTAAAGTAGAGCGATCGCTCCGCCTACCGCTAGGATGATGATGACTCCTAGCACGCTAAAGCTCACCGTGTCCCCGGACAACGAGACTTTCTGGCTACGACACATCGCTCTCGACAATTCGTCGAATGGGACTTGTAGGTACGTCCCTACGGGCATATCCACCTTCGCCACGCTGGGAGCCGCGTATTCGAACAGAGCATGTTGCAGCCTTGCAAGACTCACAGCAAACCAATTGCTCACTTCAACCTGCCATTGGTCATCCGGTAAAGTGACCTGCTGGACGCGGTCGGAAATGGTATCCTGTGCACGCAGGGCTTGGGCGCCGCGCCCACCGATCGCGTGGAAGGTGGACAGGCCGCGGGAGTTCAGAGCAATGCGCGATGCAACCCCGTATTGCATGCCATTCAAGTTGACCGCCGTCGAATTGAGCGCTGTCCATGCTTGTTGGTAGCCTGTCAGGGGGGTGCACTTCGATCTGTCTACGGCATGCCCATCGCCAAGACTGCAATATTGATATTGATCTGCGCATGCCATCACCGAGACAAATTCATCTGCAGAGAAATAAGACAAATTCACACCGTTCCAACTTCCCAGTTCAACGTAAAAATTCGCACTGAAGAAAGGGTCCGAGTTGGGGGTGCTGTATTTTATTGCGTTGGAGGCGAGAAAGATGATTGTGAGATCGGCGTCTACAGGATCAAGTTGGGAAATAGGGAGCCAGCCGATGTCATCAAGGGGAACTTGGATGGCGCTATGTGTCATCCATATTAGTGGAACTGCCTCTGTAGTTTGGTTATTGGGATAGAAACTTACTTCAATTCATATCCGAAGCCGTCAATGAAAGCATGTTGATTGTATGTGTAGGTTGTATTTGTGTCGTAGGTGGCAGCGGCGTATGTCCCGTAGTGATATTGTCGGATTCGATCTCCCGCCACTCCCAGGCCGTCCTCTCCAGTTGAGATGACAACAGAGACGAAGTCTCCCTCTACGCTCAGCGGCGAGCAAGTAGTAACTTTGCGGAATCCAACCCGGTCTGATTGTCGTGTGTTGACTCCTAAATCAGTGTGCGAGTCAACCAAGCCTGTATCCATTCTGAATGCTGACGGAACGGCGCAGATAGACTTGTCGAATGGGCAATCTGTCTCTCCAGCGGTCCAATCAATAGACTGGTTTGCGTATATGCTGCAGCTGAGTTTGTTCAAGCCGGCATCTTGATCGTAACACTGCCGTGCATATTCAGCCGCCATAAGTGTGTCATTCAAATCCTTGTATTGCATAGCCAGTGTTCGCTGTTCGAGGGTAGCTCCCGGATCATAAGACCAGTACCCGCAATCATCACTGATAATCAATCGTTGAGCTCCTGCGGCTCCGGTAACGAGTGAAGTCAATATGGAGGCCGCACCGAACACGAGCAAAAAACCCATGGCAAAGAAAGCAAGAGGAAGGGAACGAGCCCAGGATCTTCGCCCATTTTTCCGCCAATACCACGCAATTTGTGCGAAGGATTTCGTAGCTTCAAAGGGTGAACTGGTGTTTCGAAAAACAAGTTGGTGTTGATGATGCAGACCATCTTTTGCGTACGGGCTGGCGGAACATTGGTGGATGATAAAGCTGAGGATCCTCCAAAGACAGGACCCTACTATTGCGACAAACAAAGCCAGAAACGCGGTTAGGACGGAGGCGGAGCGGGCTGAAAGCGTGATGGTGCTTCCGACCACAACTCCACGGGACCAGTCGACCCAAGCACCCGTGTAGATAGAGGCTCCTGCGATAGTCGACATGGCGAGGCAAGAGGAAACGAGAAGTAGCGAAAGAGCCGAAGGTCAATCCAAAGGGGGTGATGGTCCCCGAACGGGAGGTTCAACGGTCATTCTCAAAAACTGCAGGTATCCCAAACACATTTATGGAGCAACAGAACCGGGGCCCGTGTTGTAGCATCGAGTGCTGAATTGAGACATGGCAACCGAGAGAGAGGCTAACATCACCACCTTACCTCAAATAAAAACAATCAGAAGTACAGAAGTGCATTGCCCAATCGCAAATTGCATGAAGGCTGGGCTGTCGCCGCAAACACGAAGTGCCTAGACAGTAGATGAGATCGGGCTGTTGGCCCTGCCAAGGCTTGGTGTTGACTGCTGAAGCTTGACAGGATCCTGGACCCCGAAATAGCTAACCCAAGGCATTGGTGTCGCAGACCAATTTGAAAAGTCGAAGAAGAAAAAAGGAAGCCCCAAAATCGCGTCTATCGCCAAGTCAGTAACACGAGAGGCCAAGATTGGCCTTGCCTCCTTGGGGATGGTCAGGGATGGGCACATTCTCTCAGTAAGGAGTATATGAACCATGTTGACTCCTCAGTAACAGTCCCAATTGCAAGTTCTATCTTCCCGTAATGGTGATGGCACTGTTGGTAGATGAGTTATGAGTGCTCCAGCCGGCTGAGTCGCTTGTGGTCGTGGCTGTCTGTAGCAGATTATCTATCCGACAGGGAGCAAACCAAACTATCCGCCTCTCTGATTGGAGCTCTTACTCCTGTCCATGGCCCGGTGAAGGTGCCTGAAGGAGAAGATGTGAAAATCATACTCCTGGTTCTAGGAGAGAGTGTATATTGCCAATGCTCTTTCAAGCGACCGGGAACTGCGTTCTTTGTTCTGTATTATTCAGCCGCGTCTGCAGATGCCGACGAGAACACAGTCGTCGCTAGGAACTCGACACGTGATACTTTGATAATGACAGTATTGAATTCGCTGCAGCTCCCTAACTAATATCTCTCCAAATGAGCGGATCTGTTAAAGAGTTTGTCTCTGTTGTATGCCGAATGACTTTCATCAGTGATGATGCTGATGATACAAGCAGCACCAAGATGCCAAGAGCAAAATGGTCATCTCCTCGGCCATTGTGCTTACAGGTCATCGGCTATTGAGCTTCGTTGTGTCGGGATCGAAACTGTCGTGTATTGGAGCATCGGCCAGAACCCCATTCGCCACTCAGCGCAAAGCAGGTCCTTGCAGCATAGAGAAGACCCGTTCTGGGTCATGTGGTGTGTTGCAAAGCCAACTTGACCATAACGACGAGTAATTCGAGTCTCGTGGAGTACAAATCATTGGCAGAGATGGCCGCCAAAAGACGGCCTCTAAATCTTTGGTAAGGGAAGCACACCATCAATTCGACGGCCCGCTTGTGAGGGAACTTTGGTCCTGTCCATCGGGAAAGAAATATGCTCCAACAGCAACAATCACATAACATGCACACAACAGTGCACCCTCCAAATAGTTGCTTCGCCCATCTAGGACCAGGAAGTTAACGATGAAGGTGGAAACAAACAAAGACCCGGTCTCAAACAAGCTGAAGTAGAGAGACATGTCCTTATCCATGATCCACCCCAGAATGACGACGAATGGAGTGACGAAGAGCGCAATTTGAATGGAAGATCCGAGCGATACGCCCAAGGCAAGGTCGAGCTTGTTCTTGGCGGCGACCGTAACCGCCGTGACATGCTCGGCAGCATTGCCAACGACGGGCAGGATGATTAGACCAATAAACGCTTCCGACAACGGGGAATCTTCCACCAAATGCTCGATACTTCCAACAAGGAACTCTGCACACAGTGCAACAAGACCGGTAGAGGCTAGTAGGAGAATGATCGACGCTGTTTGACTCATGGGCGGAGCGTCTTCCTCTGCGGGTGAATTTTTCGGTGAAGAGCGACGAGCGATCCGTGCAGCTCCCGGACTTCGGCTTTGGTGATCAGGCGCTGACTGATAATGTCTAAGTGGATGAGAAGGATATTTCGCTTCTCTGCCTCTGGAAGAAGGATGCGTCGACGATCGGAAAACTGGTGGTGGGCGGAAAGAGAGACCGCGAGGCCCTGTGTTTGGTTTCTTGTCCTTCGCTGAAGTTGCTGGAGGGTTGGGTGGCATGCCTTCTTCCATTGATGCATCTCGCGACTTGATCTCCTGTGCCTCCGCTGTCTTTTCTGCCTGGTCGTCACTCACGTTCTGACGCAGCTGCACGACAGCTTGTTCAGGGTCCGCTTCAGATTCAACCTCGGTCTTCACCTCCCTCCTCCTGCCTAGCTTTGCTTTCAGTCTCTTGCTCACACGCCGATGGGAGCCGGCACTTGTAGCAGACGATCTTGAAGACCTGACGGACGAAGAACTTGTGGAGTCGAGACGCTGAAGGATACCTGGCGTAGCTTCCTCGTCGATTATATGTTGCGGTGTTCCTTGGTAAAGATATGCGTGGGACTTTAGTTGGAAGAGCAGATAAAGAACATAGATGATGAGAAGTATTACGGAAGTCCCTCGGCTGAGTTTGATGACTGCGCGGTCAGCTTTTTGGAGGTCACTGAAAGACGCGTGGAAGGCGGTCTGACAACCCTAGTTAGCTAGCATCTTTTGATTGTGAACCCAGCTCAGCGCGAAGAACTCAATCTCACCGGAATCAGCAAGCTGAGGACTGCCAGCGCCAGCAAGCAAGCCGAAGTCTGAGTTACAGTACTGTCGTAAATCTGCTCCTGGAACTCTAGGCCTCCAATCAAAAAGGCCATACCCAATATCAGAAGGAGGTTGGCGAGAAGGGAGCCGATAAGGGACGCCTGGACAATGCGAATCTCATCTTTGACGAGGGCGATACTTTGGAAGGTTTAGCCATGCCCACGAGTTGGGGATAGACATGACGTACATACTGCATTCTGTTAGCAGACTCCAAGAAGAATGAGTTGAATGACCTACAATATGATCAACTCGACAGCATTTCCAAAGCTCACATTCAGGAGAGCACCTAAAGTAGGCCCAAGCCGATGCGCAACACTTTCGGTGGCGAACGTGAGAAGGCCAGCCAAAGGGATAATGGCAACTGCGTTGATGGCAAAGACCACATTCTGGTTGACTCCGGCAAAGTGGATGGCGATGCCTACAGGAACAAAAACTAGGAGGACATTGACCCAACTGTGGAAGAGGGCGACCTTGATATTGGCCAAGACACGAATGAAAACGGAGCCTTTGGGCTTCTTCTGCTCTGCTGCATCTGCGTTTTGCGGTTGGTCTTCACTCGCCGAAGATCCATGACTATCACGAACGGGCGACCATGGGTTGAAGTTGTGCTTGTGCGCAGATGAATGTGCCCATGCCCTCACGCGATCTGAGTAGAGATTAGCGAGGAAAGGGGAGGTGGGCACGGAAAAAGGGGGGCTTGGCAGCATACGCATCTTATTACTGGGTAGTCGACTAGGAAACCACCAGCCAGCATCTTTGAAAGAGCAGAAACGGGAAAACAGAAACTTGACTGGGGTTCAAGGATAGAGAATCGAAAGAGAAGAAACAACCCTAAACGAAGACAAAACCCCAATGTTTGAAGTGCAAACGATGACGATGGACTTTTGGTCTGAAAACACGGGATGGAAAACATCTGGGAAGGTGGAATGGGGACGCCAGCCAATGACAAGTCCAGTCTGCACGTGAGTGGCACAAGGCTTCGTACTAGAGAGCCTATGACGTAGAGATCCTGGCACCTCATTCACAAAACAAACACCATGACAGCCCTAATGGCTAATTACCCTAATTACCCTATTAATAATAGGGTATTTTGTTAGCAGCACCAGCCAGCTTTCCCTCCACCCGGCCACTGTGGCTGGTGGGCATTCCACTCTTCGATTCGTGAATGAGAGCGCACACAACAACCAAGCATTGCACCCCGTCCTGCAAGCACATACCCTGGAATTACATACTCTGACCAGGCATGAACTGGTCCTAACTAGGAAGTCCAACTACCACCGTCGCCCCGTATGAGGTGGTGATAATGGCAGTGCTGTAATCGCCAAAAACTCGTAACTCGTGTTCAGTGCCAGCCACAACTATGCGACAGTACTGGGTACCCAAGCAAGCCGCCGCAGAGCGCTTTGAAATGAGGCAGCCCATCGCAAATATTTAAGCAGGGTCGTCGGTAATCCCGGGGCACCACCCCAGGCTCCGGGGTAATAGTGATGGTGCAGACAATACGGCGGCCCGATCCGCCAATCTCACTGGTCACCCCTACCAGGCCTGGCAGCCCATGCATGAAGATGCCGCGATGAAGTACTCGATGGTTGTTTTAGCTCGGATTTAATCCCTCACGTTGGTTGTAGGCGGGCTCCGATGAATGCTGGCACCTGTCAGAATCCCGTGCACGATGTTTTTTTTTGCGGAGGGAAGATCAACCAAAGCTCGGACCGCTCTCGGACCGAGTCGTGTAGGAGGCCAGTGGGCGCTGGACTGCCTGCATTCGAATCAAAGAAGGTCATCAGAATGTCGAGGACTTGATTGAGCTGAGATTGTCTGTATTTGTGGTATTCGGAGCTGGGAACCTGGGCGTACAAGTGATTGAAGTTGTAGGACTGATCAAGGTAGTGGTTGACTCGCTGCATGCGAGCCACGGTCGAGTCTGGTCGCGCAATGTGGATTGAAGCCATGATCGATGACAATACTGGAGGAAAAAAAAGAGTCTCCACTCGTCTGGGATTGTGTGGATTAAGTACCAACAAGTACTTCGTTGACGGTCCCAGCGGCTCCTACAGGATCCAGACTTGTGTTGTCGAAACCCCGGACTGGTCACCAAATTATGTGCCATGATCAGTTAGGTTCGAACACAGCCAGTCAAGGGACAGGTCCTTCTCCATTGACAGGTTCCGAACCTGAGGTCCTTTAGGTTCAGATCAGTGCGCAGGAGAATCCCAGATGGTGGTTGGAGATGCAGCTGGCAATGGTCAGGGGCCTTTGGCGTTGGCCTCGGGGGTTATTATTGGCTTCCAGCGGTCCATGCCGGGGACTTTGAGAGGTCGATATCGGTTGTCTAGACTCGGGACAGACTGGGACGGAGCGTGAAATTCGGGATGAGTCAAAACACAGAACTGTAGTTGTCGTATCTGACCGCTGACCGTGCGCGAGGCCAATCATGTTTTGCAGTGCGCAGATTGGTAGTTTGTGACTTTGGTGTTGCGCGCGTCATGTGCAGCGCGTTGTCTGGGTGCATCACTGAAAGGTCCATGCATGAACTTGGCGGGCCCTTGATCTCATTGACCCTAAATGTGCAAAAGCCCTGATTACTGATGCAGAAAGGGCTGCAACAAGCCGAACTTCAGTCGGCACAGGCGAATCGAAAGACATTTTGCGCCCAAGAAGCTTTGCTGCTCGTATAATAAAGGCCAAAGTCTCGGGGTGGTTGTACCGAGCAAACCGGGTCACCTGAAGCGCTCGGAGGTGACAAGGACGCATCCATCCATGAAGGACGAACGCCTAGAAGAGGACGGGATTGATTGACTATCTAGGTATGTAGGTAAATTGGGAATGATGGGGGATGACCAAAATACCCCCTCCAGTGTCTCAAGTACTGACTGCTGAGTGCTGCTCCGCGTCAGGATCTGAGTTATCATGAATCCCTAGATACTATCGATAAGGAATCCTTCCAACACTTGAATAGTAGTTATACCCATCGAGCCAGGCGGATATTCACGCCTGGGCCAGTCTGAAGCAGACAAGCTCTGCGGTTAAAGGGTGTTGGCTACGGGCCACCTAGGCTATCCCTGGCTGTCCTAAGGGTGCAATAGCCAACAACCTAGTGGCCCTACCTCTGAACCCTGGGTTGCGGCGGCCGTCACCAGCATTGAGGGCACAGTGAAGGCACGCCCCTCACTTCCCCGCACCCGGAGCCCACAGCCACACAACCCACCTGTGGGTAGGCCTAGTGAGCCCACCAGCCTTTGGTATCGCCTAAGCACCCATCATCTCTGTGCCCCTTGCGTCTTGCTCCTGCCACAGTGCCACACACAATTGTTCATTGTTTAACTTGAAAGGTTATGACCACGTGGGAAGACGCTTGGGACTCTATGGTTCTGACGTTGGGCAGGAAGAGAAACACAAAAACCAAAAAACCTTTCGCTTTGGTGCTAGTATAAAACTGTTGTGCTTTCCCTTGCCAAACTGTTTTTTTTTTGGCAGCCAGTGACGGCGAGACAAGACTGGGTTTGAAAAAAGAAAAGAAAACTTTTTCTTCTAATCTCCGGCAGAGCCTCAACACTAGCCACAGTACTGTCAGTGGAGGGGGTGGTGGCCACGAACAAGGAGGGTCGATGGGCGCTGTGAATGGAGGGGTGCTCGAGGAATGCCCTGGATGCTCATCCATGATTTGCACGTTATGTACATTTGGCAGCGGGCCCAAGTCGTGGCGCCCTGCGGCATCCCTGAGCATTCAGAGCATCCCACCACTACAATCTTCTCGTCGTCGACCGTCAATCGTCAATAGTAAATCGATAGTCGATTAGCTCTGTAGAGGCAAATGAAAACAGTCCGAAAAGCAAGTCACCCACCTCCCCATCGATAACCAAGTGCCATCCCACTTGGCTCAACGACCACGACATCGTGTGGCACATGTAGCAGAAGGTCCTGAGCCGCCCCCAAACAGCGGCGCTGTCAGCGGTGAATAGAGGGCATGTGAGTGGCGAAATATGTCTTTCTGGACGATGGAAGCGGCGGGATGACGACCTCATATGCGGCCATTGGGATGAAACACCAATACCTCTGGAAACAATCTTAGCTGGAGGGCTGGCGTATCGAAGGTAGCCATTTCAAAATAATGGATACGGCACAGTACAACCCAGTGGTACCAACCAGGTATTGTTAATGGACCATCAGCCAAACAGCGGGCAGTTGTGCCTGCATTCGACAAGACGGACTTGGACGGGGACAATTGAGTCCTGGGTCGCGAGGCCCTCTTGCTAGTCTCTTGCCCGTCTTGCGCCCTCACAAATCTGCAAAACGCTAACCTACCAGCACACGCACTCTCACCACACACCCACACGCCCTTTTCTACAACTGATGCCGAAGAATCTGAAGCGTCTGACATTGTTCAATAACTAGTCCTCCATCTACCTATACCTGGTCTGCAACCGTAAAACATCTCTGACCGAGTAGATTACTCACCTCTGAAAACCAATCTGCGCCCGAAACGGCACACGGCAACTTCACCTCGACCACCACCACCACCACCATCTCCTCCACCACCTCCATCACCGCTCACGACAATTGTTGGCAACGCAAGGATGTCGTGAGTATTATTTCCATACTGGCCATGGACATAGCTATCCCCCTGCACCGCAATCAGGATTGTGGCTGCACCTCAGGTGTCTGCTGCTGTTACCAGAACAGAGACTCGAGCCACTGGTCAATCGTGTACTCCAAATCGACGGAGAATCCGATTCAGGGTACTTGGAGACTCGCGGCAAACATGAGATCAGACCATCGAACCATATGGTGCCCAGAAACCTTTGCTCTTCGCACAGCGAACCTGAATGTTCTAGCGGCGTTCCAGATAATTCATATGTACCGCAGCTGACATGGATGACAGTTCCTCCACACAGAGCATTGCCTCTTCCCAGTCAGACTCGAGAGCCTCCTCAGGGATGTTGTCGGCGTTGAGTTTTGAGATGTCATCCTCCTCTTCACCGACAATGTCCTCCATCCCGTCTCTAACCGAATCTGGCCGTGTGTACAACCACGCGATGAGAAACATGCTCCAAGAACCTCGCTTAGAGGCACCACACTTCTCTGGCCAGCCCTCCAGTGAAAGGAGGATGCAGAGCCTGGCAAGGTTGGACATTGTTCTTCAAGACCTGCAACAGGCATTCGCAGGGCAATCGCAACAACCTCGCGTGGAGGCTCCTTACTTCCCTGGACAGCCCCCCAGAGAGAGGAGGATGGAGAGTCTGGCGAGATTAGATATCGTTCTTGCGGGCCTGCAACGGGTATCCGCAGGTGAATCGCACGGCAGCGATTTACAGGGAGGCCTGTGATGTGGGGGGATTTGAATTTGGTTGGCTTTTCTACATCTCAGGTCAGTATGAACGTCAGAAAGTAGTACCCGCATTCGCTGATAATTGCCTAGCAAGTCGCTCGCTCAATTTCCTAGAGTTCGCATGTTATTGTTGGTAAGAAGCAAGAGGGTGTGCCGTCTTTTAGCACCGAGGAGAGGACTTCGTCGTGTAAGGGTGCGCAGATACAACGCCTTTGCCTGGTTCACCCGGACGATGAAAGGGTCGGCAGGCACAAATGCAAGAGCTGAAGGTGAAAAATCAAGTGACCGAGACAGTGACGAAGAGAGTGCGGCCGAGCACCATGATGTGGTGATGTTGGCATCTTTCCGGCGTTCCGAATGCAAGAATGAGTTTTGACAAGGCCA